CATCGTCGTACGCACCTGCGATCGCGTAGACTTCCCGGGTTCGTCGCCACATTCTCATCGAAGCCTCGCCGGTGTTCGATAGCATGTTCCTACTCCCCGCAACCTCAAGCGGACGCCGAGTCTCCGCACGCACCCCATCGTCGATCTCGCCGAGGACAGCGGGACGATCGAGACGCTTCTCCGCATCTGCTACCCTATTAGAAACCCTCCCCTCGGCCAGCCCCTGGATGCGATAGAGACCATGCTCCGCGCCGCGATGAAGTACGAGATGGAATCTCCCGTCTCTGTTCTGACAGACCACCTCCTGACCCTTGCGGAGCGCATGCCGTTGGCGGTGTGGGCGGTCGCCTGCCGTCTGCATCTAGAAGACGTTGCCAAACTCGCCGCCCAGCAATTGCGGAATGTGCCATCACTTGACTTCAATAGTCTCAGTGGAATGAACGGCATCTGCGCTGGCGACTACTTCCGTTTGCGCGAGTTCCATCGCACCCTTCGCTCCTCCGGCGACATGCAGCTCCCGTTCCTTTCGCCTCCTGAGGCATCGCGCAACACAGAAACTGACGACTCGCTCCATGTATGGCCCCCGGTCCCTTTCCCAGACGATCAGCCTCCCACCGTCATATGTCGATCCTCCGACGGAATGGAGTTCGGGGTACACAAGGACGTGCTCTGCGCCATCTCAAGTAGATTCCTGGATGATTTCGGGGCTGCAGAATTTGCCAGAGATGTCGCAGACGCCATCAGCGGGCACAACGCTCCTGCAAACACGCAGGAGATGAAGCTCCCCACCGTGCACGTGAACGCGCGGGCCGCAGTGCTCGCCCCGTTTCTGCGGCTTTGCTATCCGCGAATGGAGACATCCTCGCTATATGACCTGCACGTCGTCGCCGATCTCCTGTGTCTTGCCGAGATGTATCACACGGACGCGGTTGCTCGCGAAGTGGAGAGGCTATGGGGGCCGGAGGCGAAGGCGGACCCATTGTCTGCGTATTGCGTCGCCGTCACCCGGGGTCTGCGCGAACGCGCGCGGAACGCCGCAAAAGATTCGCTGGACAGGTCGCTGGATGGGGTCTATATCCCGGAATTAGAAGACACCCCTGCTTTGGCGTACCACCGTCTGCTCACCTACCATGCCTCGTGTCGTGCCGCTGCTACAAACTTGCTCGAGCGTAGGTTCCCCAGGGACCCCTCGCGCCCCGCCTCTGAAGCCCCTGCAGCTGGACCCGCCGTACACACCCCAGCACCTCCTCCCAGGGCTCCGGAGCCGGCCAGTGCTGCGGCTTCCGACATGTCCATTTGTGGGCATGAGCACGGAGGATTCAGGTCCTCTACTAAAAAGACATGGTTGAGCAAGTACGTCTCGAAGATGTGTCTCGAAGCCCGCAGTCAGCCGTACAACGTCGAAGACAACGTCGCACGGATTTTCGACGAGACTATCGCCAGCGGATTTTGGTGTCCCACCTGTAAAAACCGCTCGCGGGACATAGCGAAGATCTGTAACAGCCTCCGAGATGTTGCACCTCAAGTTTCGAATGTGCGTGCTAGCTTTGCAATTCTGCAGTACTCCTGACACTCACTACGCCCGATACAGATCACACTCGAGATCTAGTAGCTCGTGGCGTACTTAGTGCAGTGGAAGCACCAAAAATGTCGATGTTTGTGTACGTGGCAAAGCCGTAGATCTGCGTATATTCTCAGTGAAGTCTCTTTCCACCGATGTTTCGCCACCTCGCTGTCATTCTCAAGATCGTATGACAGATGCGAGCATATGATCATGATCCATTGCAATCACTCGGACTTGAGAATGACACTACAAATGCTACCAGCCTATCGCAACGACTTCCACTTCGATGGTCATAACTTTCTCAATATGTCGTGCTGCTACACCACTACACCCGCGCCATATCGTTGATCGGATGCGAGAATAAGAGAGCCCTAGAACGCAGGGTCGGACCCATCAGCTGCTTGCTCTGGCTCGGTGGCCTTGCCTGTGTTCGGGGGCTCTCCGTTCGGCGTTGTAACTCTCGTCGGCGCTGCAAAACATCAATATTGTGCCGGGCAAGACAAATAACACTAGTTCTTACCAGCAGGAGGGCTCTGTGGCGAATGCGGGTTGTACATACCCAGGCCCGTGCGCGGCGGTCTCGGACTCGGCCTTCGCCCACCGTTTGCAGGAGATGGGCTGCGGTTCCCACGCGCGCCCCCGCACCCCCCACGCCCTGCGCCACTCGTATCGTGCCGACGGAGCTCGAAGAGCAGGTCACCGTCGTCGTTGAACACGGGGCTCGCGAGCGAGTACGGCGCGGCGGGCGGGCAGCAGTACTCCCACGCGCCGGTGAACGCGCTGATCTCCTGCACGAGCCCGTCGAGCACGACCTTCTGGGGGAACACCTCGCGGAGCATGTCCATCGGGTTCCGGAACTGCTCAGTGCCGCCGTTGGGGAAGTCCGCCTTCACGAAGACGGGGTCGCGCGAGCCGAGCGTGGTGACCTTGATGCCGGCCACGGTCGTTTGCACAGTGACATTCGTCGACCAGCTCACGGACGACGTGGCGCTGCAGGGAAGATAAGGAACGCTCTAACGTATGAAGAGAGCTGGGAAGGCGCACGTGAACGATTTTGAGTCTGTTTCCTGGAGTGAGAGAGTCAGCTCGACCTTCCCGCTCACTCTGATGTGCAGCGCGCCCTTCTTCACGGCAGTAGGAAGCTCCACATAGTTTCGCGTGATGCCTTCAGGGAGCTTTCAGGACGTTATCGCGCCGCAGACGAAAGAAGGGCACTCACAGGACATTCCCTGGCTCACGTTTACTAAGTCACCGTTCCCCTCCATCTTGTGGCCCCACTCCTCGCGGTGCTGCCACATGTACCTTAAACACCCGTCGCCTTCCGTTGGCTGCAGCTGCCACCTCAGCAGGAGGTCCTTGCGCTGCTCGTGGTCCACCCACATCCTGAGGCTCACGCCACGGAAGCCGAGCAGCGGGTCGTGCATGAGCGGGATGAGCGTCGTCTGTGCGTTCACACCCGCCAGGAGCGTGAGCAGGCGCTCCTCAAGGAACACGCGACGTGCGATGCTCAGCGTGCCGTGCGAGAACGTGCGGTTTGCGCGCACGACCCAGCCCGTCGACCACTCGAGGCGTGCCGCTGGCAGCGCCCGGTAGCCCGTCGTGCCGAGCACAACGATGACCGGCTCGTTCCCGGGCGCGACGTGAGCCCAGTTGTTGCGCGTGACCTCGACGCGGGAGTAGACGTGGAAGGCAGCGCTCGTGAGTGCATAGGAGGGGAGCGACAGGCCTGCAGTCTTCCAGACCGGGATGCTTGAAATGACGTTCAGGCCCTCCCTGCAGAGCAAGGGGAAGTAGTGCTGAGTTAGGTACCAGATGACGGCCTGCAGCTTGAGGATGGTACCATGGCTGTCTTCGGTGTCTAGTACAAGGTCGCTGTACGTGGAGTACTCGTGCATATATTCCGCGTCTAAATGTTTGTGATGAGTGACTGGCGCGATGGTGGAGGCGCATCACTCACGCCGCAGATCGAGATAGATGTGCCTGAGCTCGCGGTCAGCGTTCTTGCCATGTTTCCGGTACGCGAACGTCTTCTGGGAGGCCGCAGAGGTTGACCCCTCCAGTTCTTCATAGCTGCACATTTGCAGCTCCACCTCGAATGCTATGCGCCAATCTTTGAATTTGTGTGCAGTAGCTCTGAGGAACACATCCGTGAGTTGCCCGTACCTCGCAGCATCGTATGCTAGCGTGTGTGGCCATCACGGACTTACTCTGCGCATGGTTTCCAGTCACTAGTAAGGGGCTTGAGGTTTCCGCGGGTCAGGTGCACCCAGATGATCGCCCGGTTGTTGCTCAGCAGAGAGAGGGAGAGCGCCTTGAAGTGACACGAGAAGAACTCATCAGGAAAAACCCCCCGGGCAAATGAGCACAAACGAGCGCAAATGAGAGCTTAAAGATCATGTATTAGCCACCTTAGCTGCAGAGTGCTAATTAGATAGGTCCCCACATAATAAATATCTCACTAGCACTAATTTGCACTCAAAATACGCTATTGAGCACGCTGTAAGCTTCATATATCCCACTACTAACAGCACACAATAATGAGGGCGTGAAGTAGATCCATTGACCACATTGTGATATAGTGTACGAAGTATACAAATATCCTACATGGATGCACTATAACACTATGTCTAGACCACAACGTAGACGCAGACTGACAACAAGTACCGAAGGTTAGCATGACAGACCAAGGGACAGCGAAGTCGAGGTGGTCGCACAGGGACAGACACAAGGTTACATAGCTACCAGAACAGTGATCGAGACGGGATGCGGGATATGTGCAAGCATTACAAGCAAAGCTAGATCGAAGCATTGTAGATAGATCCACTATCGATGACGAAGACTACCATTGAAGACGAAAAGAAGCAGCGAGAATTGGGCAGCAATAGCGAGTGAAAGGAGGTACCCGTAGAAGCTGAGAGGGCTACAGCGAGACAGACATGCGAAGATGGAGATGGAGCAACGAGAACGAGAATGTATGCAGCCAGGATCGAGCAGACAGGACGTACTAGTGAGCCAGGATAAGGACAGATAATGACGCCGGACATAACGAGTAGATTGGCAGCCGGTCGAAGCGCACAAGCAGGACACAAGTGGTAAGAGATGACGTGGAAGCAGCGAGTGCGATGGCGGGTTCACACAGACATTGAGACCGGAGGTAAACCACAGCAGACCCGAGCTGTATATAGCACGAGTTGTAAGCCGACGAGCTCATAGTGGAGGGGAGAAGCGGGTCTCACTGACAGCACCGCTCTCTTGATCTTCTCGGAGGTCCGCAGTATACGACGACGGCTCGCGCAACGCGACCGTATTAGCACGCAGCTGAGAGGGCGAGAAGCGACGGCGGGTGCGCGTTAATGAGTGCGAGGTAGAGGGGACCGAGTCGGCCACTAGAGTAGGGGACTTAGCTGATCTCCCCCGAGTGTGAGAACGCGAGCCCAGGCTGGGGACCTGTAGGCGAGGATGCATGGACAGCGGGCGAAGCTTGAGTGCGCCAAGGAGACGCTTGATGCCTCGGACAGCTTGTAACCCAGGACAAGAGCCGTGAGAGGAACATACAAGCGAATGAAGTGTCGTGTGGGTGTCTGGAAGCAGCAGGGCAGTGGCAGAGCAGCTCGAGAACACCATAGCAGGGTGGGCTTGGTGGTGGACTTGGAGGAAGGAGGGAGAAAGATGCGGTGACGTGGCTCCCCAGGGTGCGATCACCAACAGCGTCGAATAGTTAAGCGCCCCGGATACTAGCTATTACCGACATCCGGATCACCCGGGATTTAGTCGGTCCTCTGAAGCGCGCATTTGACTCGCATTCCTCGAGCTCGCTCTCGGACGAAGATTGGTGCAACAGCACTATCCTCACCTGGGCTTCCGTCTTTTCCATCATGTCTGCACCGTAATCTTTGAGCTGTCAGTACTTGTGTCACCAGTAGGAATCATTAGCTCATCAATACAGAATTTATCGAAAATTATCACTAATGTGCCAGGCTTCCGGCTGATTATTCCAAATTAGCATCTTGAGTGCTAATCTGCCAGGGGGGTTTTTCCTGATGCTCTTCGTAGGCCCATGAGAGCAACAACACTGCCGATGGGCTCGCCAACTGTGCGGAGAATTGGATGTTGATAGACTCCTGGGAGATAGCGATGACTTGGTCAAAGCCGTGCATCTTCGCCCGCTGAATCGTCTCCCGTGAGGAGACGCCGCCCCGGTCAGGAGCCTCGAGGCTCCACCAGCTGCCCTCCACGTCTTCGGGCAACTCGAACTTCTGCTTCTTGATGTTCTCCCAGCGAGCGTTGTGCTCGTAGAGAACGTTGTAGCCCGCTTCGTGGAGGATTCGGAGGTAGTGATGGGTGAAGAATGAAATGATGAGGTCGCGATATCCAAACTCCGCGTTGTTGTTGTTGTTGTTGTTGTTGTTCAGCCCCGGGTACGCCGAGAGTGTATGGTGATAGCGGCCGTCTTCAAAGACTGATGATGAGGGTAGGTCCAGATCAAAGACCGGATGGACGTACTGGACAAGTCAAACATGATTCTGGCCACGTTGTCGTCGATTCCCCTTTGCTGGAGCACATTGACGACCATTGCTACCTTCCACTTCGTATATTCCTGCACCGGATCCCTGTTTAAATATAGGCCGGGGAGATAGGGTGAGCACTGGCATATCGCAACCACATGGGAATGCAGCCGCAAGAAACGCTCACGCGGTGAATTCCACATCGGCAAAGAACTTGAGTTCCTCGATGTCGAACTGTATGACGACCTCCCTCGAGCATAGAACGCTCACGGACGGGGCACCGAACTTGATACGAAAGAAATCGCCTTCGTACTTGTTCTCGAACTCTGCCAAACAACACAAACTCTGGTCTGTGGTGTTGCTTGTGATGCTTCCGTACGCCGACATTGCTGCCTTGAGCCAGAGCGAGGACATATGGGCGTTGATGCGCTCTACCGTCACGCCATAGATTGATGGCAGCAACTCGTCCTGTGTGGGCGTAGCCGTGAGCGAGTATGCGATCTCCATCGCAGGTGTGTTCCGGCCAAACTGGGGTAGGGAGAACAGGACGTGGTTCCCAGCGCTGTGCAGGAGGTCCAGATACTGGTTGAGATAGCGAAGGAGCCTGGAGTCGCGGCCGTTGGCTGGCTCCGGCTCGATGGACGAAACGTTAGCGTCTGTTGGCGGTGACAGTGTATCAGCTAGGTTCTCAGCGAAAGAGCTGCCAAATGCAACTTACTCTTCAGATCAAGGATCACAAGCTCTATGACACTCCCGCCATCACCAACTTTCGTGTCATTGCCAACGATCCGTCGAGTCTCGAAGCCAACGCGGTAGGTGATGCGACAACATGTTCAGTAGAGGGGTTACAACCCCCCGGCCTATTAGGCCACCTGTAGTTGACCCCGGGGTTAACCCCGCGGGACTTAGCGCACATTAAATAAAATGGTATTTTGGGGATTCGAACCGGCACCACTTGAATGACACCGACCACTAGTACCCCTACACCATAAGGCCTTACATCCTTGCCTTTGGCTTAGGCCTGTGTGCTACATTAGGGTTCGGCTTAGGGTTAGGTATTAGGGTTAGGCAGCTCAATATAGGGACTTCCCCCCTCCCCTGAGAGGAGCCGGTCTGTAAAAAACGCGCGAACGAGGCTTTAGTGTGCCCGCCTGAGTGCTCCCGGTCCGGGGGACCCCCCGAGCGCAGCGAGGGAGGGGAGGGAGCACGAATGGCGGGTCCTCTTTGCGCAACCCACAAAACCAATATGTTGTATTAAATTAGTGGGGACAGTAAGCCTCAGTGGTACAGTGGTTAGATTGCCCGGCTTGCCGGCTCATGTCACCGTGTTGCTGGTTCAATCCTTCATAGTGTCATTTGTTATCGACTTTTACTGATGTATTTTACAAAGCTGAAGTCGTCCGGTGTCAAGTCCCGGGGACAACCTCGGTGGCCTAATAGGCCATGGGGTTGCAACCCCTCTACTGAAGCCCCTCGATGCGAAGGTTTTGATCAATCGGAATAACTTGCCTATGTCGATTCAGAGCACCGTTAATATCCGCCACATGCCGACAACCTGACGTGCTTACACTGATTTGCCTTTCCTATCCGGGGCGACAAACCCATTCTCCACCGTAAGGTGTAGCAGGGCGTCGTGGTCGCAGACGAAGCTGAGCACGGGTTGCTTGAAGCATACATGAAATAGGGAATCCTCGTGGGAGGGTATGTTGGATTCAACGGTGGGTCGTTGAACTGTGAACTCTGCCAGCGCGATAGACAGTCCTACACGATACCATGAGTCAGATATATGGGCGACCAGCATGTTCAGATTGCGCCGTGAAAAACGTACTGTTCTCCTCGCTACGAGCCTGAGGATGGGTCTTCAAACAATCTTTCGCATTCTCATGCAGGACTGCGAGTTGCGCATTCAGATAACGAACCGCATGCGGCGCAGCATCTTCGTCGGAGCACATCGAGTTGTTGGTAGATTGGAGTGTTGGGAATATGAGGAGAGATATGAGAGCGTGCTGATCGGAAGGCTGGAGCTGACACGACGTGGTGGTCCTGAGGGGTTATTATACCTCGCCGCCGTCCATGCTGGCCTTGGTGAGGATGGGTCAGCAGACACACGTTGGTGATATCTGCCATGAGTTGCTAGAGAAGGCGACACTGGTGCCGTCCATCGGACGGCGTGGTGGACCGTGAGAGTGGATATCTCGAGATGTGTCTCTCTCAAGACTTGCGAGAAGACTCCATGGCCACAATGGATAGAGCTTGCGTCTGCTTTCTTGTCTTCGCGGTATCGGCGAAGCACTGGTCAGAGTATGTAGCCCAGTGCGGTTGCGCAGATCGTGAGTTCTCAAGCGGGCCTGTGGTGGACGATACGGCATCGCTCTCACATATAGCTCCTACTATAGCCTAGAGGGGGCTATACATCTCCCGTAAAACTGTATTCTGTGGGGCGAAAAAGCGTCGAAGACCTTTGGTTCTTCAGACGATTGAACCCAGATACCAGCGGCGTATGGGTGAGCCTGAGCATGCGAACTTTATGAGACGTGAGTAGTTGGCAAAAATGCTGAACCCGATACGTACATGGGAAAACATGTCGCTGTGCCTGTGCGCACCTTTGACTCATTGGGTCGGGGGCGATAGACATATACGATATCGGAAGCATGGGCCGCCCACTCTGTGTTGAATTGTAAAGGTTGAACACAGAGATACTGTGCAGACCGTCACCGCGTTCTTCAAGCGATTCTTGAACCGGGACGCCTTGTTAAGGATCCGCATTGCTGGAGCGCCTAGTGTCAAGCAAGCGCAGTTTATCAGCTAGCGCTTCGTTTTGGACATGGTTCAGCTCCAATGTTCTCCCGCTCGGAGATGAAACAGTAGGTTGAGTTCGTGGACGTCCACAGGAAGCTCCTGTGGCAAGCCATCGCGCCCACCAAGAATAACGTGAGTACTTACTATCTGCACAAACCATGTGGGGTATGACGGACCGGGCCCTGCGCCAGACATCATGAGAAACCGATTAGATTAGGTGACGGGCAAGATGCGAGAGGGCGCGAGAGTCTAACACTGTACTGATGTCGGTTTGCCAAAGCGTCTGACCTGAGAGACGGGGCGCAGGTCACCGTGGTACTTAATGATCGTAGAGGATCGTAGGCGTCACTATCGTAGGGGGTTCCAAATCGGGCGACCCACCTGTAGCCCACCATCATACAGACGCCCAGACGCGCATGGCTCTGGCTGTCTCTGCCACTACTGACAACAGACCGCTGAAGGTGGATGTTCTCTCAGGAGTCGGCATATCTGCAAAAGTAACCTCAGTATGCAAGTCAAGCGGTCGCCGCTATCCTCGACAGACACAGACAGATACACCATCAACAAGTAGAGGCCTACGGCGGAGCATCGCCAGCGTGTGCGTTTTGCGAGTCGTCCCCCGGATCGCGGCCAGTGCAGGAAGCCTTGTCCGCGGCCCCAGGCGTGTATGTTGACGAATCCGCGACACCTGCAGGAGCGGCGGCCGTTGTCCCAAGCAGTATCTTAGGGCTTGTCTCGGGAGAGGCCCTAAGGGAATATGAGGCGGTATGAGCGGCTTGCGTGTAACTAGAGGAGGTAACAGGTGAATGCTTACGTTGTTCCTGGCTTATGTTTGACGGACCTGAAGTGGACGCGAATGATGGTCTTCCCAAAGATCGCCGCTACGTGCTGTACCTCCCGTACGTATTTGTTGTCGGCATACTCTGAGGCACTCTCGAGCGTCTCCGCAAGGTCCAAAATACCTAGAACCAGATCCTCCGGGACGCATTTCTGCAGGCGGGCATCGTCGAGCCCGCGAAGCCCGCCCAGAACCGAAGCTAGACATCCCGACTCGATGGTGGTCCGCACCTTGTCCGCCGCGAAGAGCTCCAACAGAACGCGCGTCAGCTCCGCGAGAACGTCCCGCGTGTAGGGGTACACGGTGTCCAGGTCGCTGGCGGGGAGGGTTGATGTCCAGGCGGGATGGGCGCACTCGAGGAAGTGCGCGACGCTCTCCAGGTACCCCGTATGAGCGGCCTTCGCTGCGTCCGCAGAGGCCTCCGTGAGGCGCGACTGAGCGATGCGAACCGCGCGGTATGCCCTGGTGATCTCTAGGCAAGCAATTGCATCAGTGTACGCAAAACCCCAGGAGGAAGAATAATCTCACCCGGCAGCAAGACGTCCGCGAGGGGTGTCTCGCGGCCCCTAGCGTTGAGGATCAAGTCTCCCTTCTTCCTTCGGAGCAGATCTTCGTTAACGAACTTTGCTGCAGAGAATGTCTTCGCGGTTTCAAGGTGGTCGGAAATAGCATTGCACGTGTTTACCGCCCATCTTCTGTCCGCCACCTGCATACCAGACGACCACCATCCGGACCTAAAGTAGACACCCAGGGCAGCCGCTTCGTCGTCCGACAGAGACGGGCGGCGGCCCATAAGTTCGCATAGGATGATTTGGAGCCAGAGCAGCTCTTGATGATTCCCCCAAGCCAGGGGGCCGCCAAGCGAGTCCGCGGCGGCGCCGAAGTGCTCTCGGGCGAATCTGTGAAGCCGCCGAAAGTAGTAGATGACATCGTCCGAGTTGACGTCCATGAGACACGTCGCGGCGGCGGAGAGGGCGTCGGGGTGAAGGGTGGTGCTGTACGCTTCGGCGAGGATCTGCATGTCTAACCTGGATGCGTGCTGGTTGATGTCAGACTGTTCTTCCGCACGTCACGTCTGCTTGCGAGCTCTCCATGATGTTGGGGGTAGATCAGGGATAGCGCAAAGGCCTCGTGTTATCCAGGCACTCGTCCAGTACGCGAATAGCTTGGGTTGCCAAAGCGAGTTGATTGCACGGATCTGGGGTGTGCGGTAGGAGCATCGGTGGTTGAAGAGAGGGATCAAGGTCGTTATGGCGGTGAAGATGGCCAAGAGACCCACGAGGGCTGATGCGACGACGGCCACGGTGTTGTTGAGATTCCACAGCAGGATAAGGAGCCCTGAGAGGTATAGGGCCAGGGCGAGCTGGAGAAGTACGGGGATGGTGTTGACGACGTCTTCTACATGCCAAGTCCTGAGGTGATTTAGGCGATATTGGCGCGTTTGCGCAACGGAACGAGAGCTCCCAGAGACACCGCTGCTGTACTCGTTCAGCCACTGCTTGACCATGATTCCTACGGATGCGGAAGCCAAGCTAAGGATGAGACCAGCGACCCATAACGCGTTGAGCCAGACGGCCCAGCGCGGGACAGGGGGCGTGGTGTCTGCATTCGCACGATCAGTACTTGACGGCTGGGTGGAGTTGACGAAGGGAGGGTGGATAGAGAAGCTCGCGAGCTGGGAAGAGATCTGCTGCAATACGGCGAAAGACGGATCGGGCGGGGCGGGCTGGAGCAGGAGATACGACTGTACATTGAAAGTAGTGAGCACCGCCGAGAAAAGACCCGCCTTGAAGTGTGTTGCTTGGTTAACGATATGATTGTCAGTGCGGCCAATCGACTACGTACGAAGACGAGGTAGGTATCGATCTCCTCTTTCCAACGCCGGATCATCTCGTCACTATACTTTTGAACCGTTTCGGTCGTATCCTTCCAAGCCTTTGTCTTGCGCTCTTCCGTGAAGACCTTGTCTCGTTCGTAATACACGTCCTGCGCATGCATCGCGATTGGAGAGACATCACCTCAGCTATGAAGATAACGCACATTATATCAACTTCCCTCGGCATCGCTGGGCGATTACGTGCCGCCTTTCTCTCTTCTTTCCCCCCGTTACGACGGAGTGTATCTTCGGGCCCCCTCCCTCTCCTAGCGGAAGTCTCTTGCTTAGACGGGCCGGGGTCGTTTGCGGTGGGCGGTTGAGTCGGTGGGCCGGCCGAGGGGGGGTCCAATTCGTGGTGCTCTGACATTGAAAGGCAGTCGTACAGGCGAGAGATGTGCGGGGCAAGTTGCTCGCTGCAAGGAGCGTTGCTGGTGGTCGCTGCAGCTTCCTCGGCTTTTCGAGCTCCGCTGTGGCTGCGCCCTCCTCACGCGGTCCCGTGACGAGCGCGCCGTACGCGTTGTGGGCGGCTGTTTGGGCCAATATGGGAGGCAAGTCGAACATGGATCGGACGCCGCAGCCGCCATCCCCTCCTCCTTCCCGCCCTCACCGTTGCGCTCCCCCTTCCCTCTCTCCGCCGACCTCTTCGCGCCCTCCCACGCCAGAACCCTGCCCACTGCTCTCGACCATGGGCTTCCTCAAGCGGTTCCTGTCCCTCGGTAGCTCCAAGTCTAGGAGGAACAAGAAGAAGCAGAACGCCTCCCATGGGAAGGATGTCGACGCTGAGGGGCGGATTCTTCGGCAGCATGAACTGGCCCCTCCAGACGCAGACACGAGTGCGAACAGGCTCCTGCGCTCCTCGTCCACCAAGTTCTCCGTCATGTCCGAGATTGATTATGCCTCTCTGCCTCCTCCACGTGAGCTTTTCCTCTATCGCAGATTCGTCCAGCCATTGAAGATCCGTGCTGTAGCACTTCCTGTCGGCCGGTTTCCAAGCACACCATCGCTTTCTCCTTCGCCCTCTATACTTACTGTCGCTACGACGCCCGGCGTGAAGTGGAGTGGGACGTACGTTGTCAAAGTCCATAGCCGAACAACCCACTCCCGCACCGAGTTCCCGCACGCAAATCCTCTTCCTTCTCCGACCAAGCAACCACGAACAGCGGAACCGAAGACGCTCCGTCAAGATGAATACGACACCGACGAAGACGACAACGTCGAAGACCGACCACGCGCCCCGCGTCTCAAGGAAGTTAACTTCACGCCCAAGGACACCTCGCGAATCTACGCCTTGCGGAGGGATCCGTCGGTGGTCAGTCTTTTGAACATGTACGACGACAATGGCTGCCTCGACGAGCATGCCTTTGCGAACACTCCTCCGACGCCTGCCCCCGTCTCAGCCGAGATTGAAGGGCGGCAACCACGTCCTAGAACAGGATCCACTCTCAGACAGCTCCTTGGCGAACCTCAAGCTACTTTCACGGAGCATACCCACGAGGGAGATATATCCTGGGCAGAACGCTTCTTAGAGTCAGTTCCAACTCTGTCTCCATTTTCATGATGCATGCAACTGACGGGCGCTTTACAGAGAACGACTTCACGACGACTCCGCACTATCTTCCCCTGCCTCGGTGGCTCTCGAGACACCCAAAGACGTTCTTTTCTCCGACAATCTTTCGCCACCACGTGTCGCTCCGGCCGATACTACCCTCTCTTCTATTGGTGCTGACTCTAGCATCAACTATCCCGCAATCTCCTCTATGGAGGTTGAAGTTAGTGAGACGATGGAAGACATCCCTGTCAAGGCCGCGCCCACCCCCAAACCGGTTATTGAGCCGAAAACACCTCAGCGCGCATCCGAGGTCTTTGGTTTTTTGAACCGCCGCAACACCGTCGTTATCAAGGCACGCGACCTTCCGGAAGTTCCTAAAGACTTGTCGCCTCAGATCACGGGCATAAGTCAGGGAGGCACCGACGACATCTCTACTCACGATACCTCCCTCGATGCACATCACAACGCGATAAACTCTGCCAACACCAGCCACTCTGCATCAAACAACTCCAGCGACGCCCCCTCCCACCTCTCTCATGCACAAATACACACCGCAACCATGACGAAGCTCAACAGCGCATTCGCCGCTTCTACGCTTTCCCTCAACCTCTTGACCTCGTATGACGAGGGTACCGATAAACCTGCGCCTAACGAGGGTACCGACTCTATCGACAATCCAGACGCTTATAAAATGCAACCAGCCACCCACACCGTCGACGACCATGTTCCTCGCAACTCTACGGGAGCCTCTACTCAGGCTCATGGACCACGACACCATCACACCGGCTCCTCGTTATCCGGCAGCAGCACTATGAACGTACCACCCAGCAAGATTCCGCGCGGACCCCGTCCGCGCCCCCTCTCCATAAGCCGCCGAGACGAGATGTCTCCGGAGGAGCGCGATACACACGCCGCCGGCGCTATAAACATGCCCAGCGCGCCCTCATCCTCGTCCCAACTATCGACGTCTCGCGCCGCGAAGCGCGAAGCGTTCACGGCGATTCCACAACGCCGCCACCACCGCGTCGCCTCCCGCTCCTCGGAGTCCGCCAGCGACCACGAAGAGAAGCACGCGCCCGCGCTCCCCGTGGACGCTCTCAAAACTCCGGGGCCCTCCCACTCTCGCAAGCGGCCCGCGAAGCCCGAGCGCCGCGTGACGAGCTCCGGCAAAGAGAACACCCCGAGCCCTCCGCGCGCGTCGCCGCACGCTGGCCATACCCCCGGAGGTGCGTTCGGGCTGGGGTTCGCGACGCCCTCGCGCGCCAAAACATTTGCCGGGCATCTCCTGGGGCGCGAGGACTTGCAGGTCCCACCGTCGCCCGCGTCGAGCTCGGAGCTGTCGCCGGTCGGGCAGGACATGATGAATAACCTCCGGAAGCAGCGCATGCGCGCGCGGCAGGTCGAGCGGCGGAAGGGGTTTTGGGTGCGCGAATAGCGGGGTGCCAGTGGACGCTTTGGGTTCTTGTGTGGACGCTCTCGATACGTGATGGACGCTCGCCGTTTGCAATGTCCGAGGCTTTCACGTTGTCGACGATTTGTTATGTTATTTGTTTTCGTGTTTTGTCGATGTCTTATTTTCTCGGGGTTTGAAAGTGTGTACTCGGCGAGTGATTTTGGTGACTCGATCGAAGTCTCTGTATGTATATGCCCCAAAACATGATACTTATGCATAACTGCAAGCACATCGCGTTGCTACGTGCTTTATTGATGATGGTACCTTGGGTGGAGACACGACAAACGTGGGCGTAGGGATGAGCTCAAGTACGTACTGAGTTGTACTTGGCTCTTTCATTTTGTCAAGGACGCAGCTCGGGAGGCCAACATCTAGATGTATTGGGGGCGTACCAGGCGTTAGCTGCCTTTCTATAGAGACCAAACGCGCAACGCATCATCGCATAGTACAAGTTAAGATATAGAATTTGGTGTAGTGCTCGCTAATATAGGTTGCATAGATAGTGAATAACCTTAAGCATTTTCTGGTCACAGTCGGCGGATATAGCTTGACGGCTTCTGCTTCTACGAGTTGGACATTCAGTCCAGTCCTGGCAACCCAACTGAGCACATAACTCACCGTAAAATATGAGCCCGTCTATAGTGGAGATTCACCCATCCTAATACCCGCCAGTCCTCCGCCGCTTGCAAGGGGCAGTAGGGCCACAGACGACGTGCTCGGAAAGCCCGGACTGCTCGTGACGCTCGTGCTTCACCACCAGCGCGTGGTACGCCACCGCGGTCATGCTCTCCATCTCGGGGTACCAGCCATACGCCGACGGCGGGCGGCCGTCGCGGAAGATGCACTCCTCGGCGTTGAAGATCACGCCCGCGGGGAACTGCGCGTGCGACGCGAGGAGGTACGCGAGGAGCGGGGTCTTCTGCGTCTGGTAGCGGAAGACGCCGTGGAGGGTGCTGACCACGCCGCTGAGCTCGTACGTCTTCGCGACGCGCACGAGCGCGCAGACATCGCGGACGGAGCCCAGCGAGTATTGCAGGAACAGGTTGTCTCGCCCGGGATAGCACAGCTCGAGCAGGATGGAGAGCGTGGCGCCTGCCGTGTCGGGGAACTCGAGGACGGGGAAGGACTGGGCGCCGGCGGCCGTCGAGGGTGTCTGGGTGGACGCGCCCGGCTCTTCTGCGGCGAGTGCCAGAAGACGGTCTCTCAGCAAGGTAGATGCTGCGGCGAGGTACACCCTGTGCGAGAGGAACTCCTTTCCGTCCGACGCCCGACAGACGACATCTGCGAAAGGGCGGTCCTGGAAGGTCACCGATGAAGGCCGCCTGGGGAGGGGAGCTTGAGGGCGCGCATTGCCGTCGGTATCCCAAGAATTCGGCTCCGCAAAGGTGTACGTAGGGCCCACCGTCCCGTTGCATGCGAGGAACCTGCGCAGGCGGAAGTACTGTCCGGCGCTGATCGTACTGAGCGTGGCATCTTGGTTGTCGAAGGGGCGGACGGCCGAGTAGAGCGTGAACGCAGCCCTCCGGGCATCCTCCTCCAGCTTGAGTTTGCACGCAATCACCCATCCTTCGAAAGGACTTGTACGGATGAGTGCGCGCAGCTGCGTCCGCATCACCGCAATGGCTTCCTCCATCGCGTACTTCATCGCCGCCGCGAGGACTCGGCGCAGTTGCTGCCCGCCGTCCACCACAGGGTCCGCGACCGGGTAGCACAGACGGAGGAGGTCGTCGAGGGTTTTTGCGTCCTCGGCCAGCTGGACGACAGGCGTGTCCCCGACGTAGTCGGCATTGTCGTCGACGCCGCTGGCGCCGCGGGGCGGCTGTGGGCTGGCGAACATGCCTGCGAACACCTCTGAAGCCTCTGCAACGATGACGCTACGCACCCGGAAGTCCGTCCTGTCGCTACTTCTGAGGACGATATCCGCGGTGGGGTTGTTGAACGGCGCCAGAGCGCAACGCGGCTGCGCCTGCTCACTGGTAACGGTGGACATGACTCGAGCTTCCCGCGATAGTAATGAGGACTGAAAAGTGTCTGCGTTGGTGATATTCCAAGTTAGTGCAGTGTACGGGGCTTTCAAACATGAGCTGCGCCCAGCACTAGCCTGATTCCGGGGCGAACTCGAACTCACCGTTTGCGGCCGTAGCGGGAGAGGAGAAACAAGTGCTGCGTCCCACTCGCGGTCCCCACTGAGTTTATATCCTCGAAGCCGCCGACTCGGCAGGCACTGGCCGATCCTCGGAGCCGATCATTTGTGTCTATCATCGTGAAGCATCGTGCAGCACCGTGAATCCTCGTGAGGCACCGTGAATCATCAGTGGGAATCGTCGTGAAGCGCGATCGTGCAGACAAATTATTTCCCGGCCCGGGAGATTGGGCTGAGCAAGTCCTTTCCGGGGTTGTTTTACAATGTTTGACCGCGTGGACCACCGTCTCAAATCTCGCGTAGCCAGCGTATTTCTCGCTGTACTCGTCCGTGTGGATATTGCATATTTAGATACCGTCAGCTTACAAGATTACCGTGCAGCATATATGAATATCCTCTAGCCCTATCATAATGCAGTAATGCGAAGCGGGGGCACCCAAATACATTTCGGCGCCTGCCTTGAACTCAGAGCTATTGCGGGTCGGGTAGGAGATGATGAGCAACCTGCAGACGCAGCGCATGCCCACGTGGCGCGTCGAGCGGCAGGAAGACTTTTGGGGGTACTAGTGAGCAGCAGGGGTGGTCACTTTTGTCTCTTGAATGGACACTCTCGATATGTGATGGACGAAGTTCGCCGTATAGCCATGTCCGAGGGTTCTACCTTGCCGGCGCTATCTTGCGTGTGACGGGGCGACTGCTGCGCCGAGGCATTGGATGAGGATCTGGGAGGGACAGATCACGCAATGTAGGTGTGGCATGACGGGGAGGGCTCACGATGGGGATGTTGAAGCCCAGGTACGAGTAGAGGAATATCCTCCAGCTGGCACGTTTGTATAGCCGCAAAACGAGACGAATAACGATATAAGTGCGATTACCACGATGCCGACGCTATATGCGGTGTGAGATTGCGCTTTTGCAAGTAGTACGGTTGCGTACCTCCAGCTTAGTTGGCCGTTGGATATGCTTGCAATGTTTGTCCCCCGAGGATACAATTAAGGATACAGAAGCCCAGCATTGAATACAGGTTGAAGAGACTTGGTATGATTACACCGTAGTAACTGGATGATATATGCGGTGTGAGCTCGTAGTTCCACAGGGCGCGTATGCGCGGCTAACGTACCCGAAGCTGTATCGGGCCTGGCACATTTGGCGTAGACCGAGTTTTGGTCCTCAGGTAGAACTACGGCGGTCGATTTCGTTACCAGGTCGCATAGGAGAGTATGGACATGTGCTCACAGATATGCTGGGAATGCACTGCATAGCAGGTTGAAGAAGATAATGACCAAGCAAGACTCTCTTAGGCCCAGTTGAACCAAACACGACTGGGCCCAGCGTGCCTGCCGAGATACTGGGCGATGGGAAATCGAAGGAACCGTATACGGTACGCCCCAGCGAAGTGTACGTATGAGAGAATATTGAAATTGGCGAATAGCCAGATGAAGAATATCTTGTTGTGCTGTGTGTCCACTCTTTCTCCCACAGGCATGGGGGTGATACCTATGGACGAGAGTGAACAGCTGATACACTGCAGTTCTGAAGAAGTGCGGGCGTACCTCTGGCCTCTAGTCCCCACTGCAGTAGTTTCCTCGACCATTTGTACGAGTGGTGCCAGTCTTGCTGAGCGTACGAACTCGCACCGATGGAGATACCATCTTTGCCACGTCCTAAAGCCCAGGTACATCGGCATCTGCTTTAGTCATGGAAGACTAATAGTCGTGGGGTGGTGGAGGACGGCGCGGAGATTTTACGCGTGAGCATCAGTTGGGAGGTTCATTGCAGGAACGAATTCAGAACTCCCAGTGAGCACGTCACGACAGGCGCGCACACCTCTAGTAGGCGCCGGCCACCTCGACGTGCGTGGAAGTGCTACGTCCGCCTGCGAAGCCTGTATACGTGCGCGCGATGTAGTTTTATGTACTATAGATATATATCGAGATAGAGCAAAGTCCGGCCATCGTAACATATTGAAAAGAGAAGAAATTTTCAAGAGAAGAATACGCATGGTGCCCTGCCAGACGCGACTCAAGCGTCGAAGGTGAAGTCCTAGAACTTGAAGCGGAGACGCTCACTCTTTGTCTTTGTAGGGGTCGGAGTAGCGCGACGTGCCCGCATCCGCGCCGTAGAGCGGGACGTGCACGGGCCCGTGCGTGCGCAACTCGTAGATGTTGCTGTACGCAGAGGGGCCGCCGCGCGCGGCACCTGGACCACGGCGGCGGCGGACGAGGCACACGACGAGGCCGATGACGAGACCAAGACCAAGCACCGCTGGCATGACGATGATCGCGGGCAACAAGCGCGTAAGGTTGTCGGAGGAGCTTCCGCGCGGGGAGTTGAGGTCGTTGCCATCCGCGTCCGTCTCCGCGGCGTTGCCGGCGACAGCCATGTCCTCGCTCTCGCTGTTATACCCGGAGTCAGAGTAGCCGGCGTTCGAGCTCGCGCCAGAGCCAGAGCTCGACCCGGAGTAGCTTCCGGACGCGCTGGACGCCGCGCTGCTCGTGGGCCACGGGAGAGTGACGGTACCGATGACGGTGTGCGTCGTGGTGGCGAAGATAGTGCTCGTGCTTGGCGTGTACTGGGTGCTCACAGGCGCCGCGGAGCCGCTGTACTGGGAGCCGGAGCCAGACCACGGCCACGCGCCGCTGCTGGCCGCCCAGCTGTGCGAGCCGGGCAGGGGCAGCATCTTCACGTACGGTTGGTTATTAGCGCTGTGGTCGATACCCGCGCGGTAGTAGAACGCCGACACTGTGTGCAAGAACGGCTGAGGTTAGCAATGCCGTGCGGAGACGCGATACTGGCACGACGAAGGAAGCTACGCACGGAATTGGAAGCCGAAGACGACGTCGGACGTGGTAGAGGCGGAGCCTTGGCCCTTGGTGAAGAGCGCGCCGATGCACTGGTCGCCCCACGGGTTCGGCGCAACGAGCGCGTCCTGCGTGACGTTGTACTTGACGCCCCCGATGGTGAAATAGAACTCGACGTCGACGTCGCACGGAACCTGATAGTACCCATAGTTCGAGTGCCCGTAGTACTTCGCGCCTGACAGGCTGCTGTAAAGGCCGTTCACGACAGCATCGGGGAACGTCGAGAAGCGCTGCGTGAGGGACACCTCTACGACGACGCTGCTCGAGGGCGTCTGCGGCACGCCACTCATGCAGCTGTACAGCTTGCCGTTCGCCCAGAAGCCGTCGTCCACGTAGAAGGTGCCGTCGCTACGCAGGTAGATGTACGGCTGATCCTTGATGCTGCTCAGATCTGGGAGGCCGTAGCTGGTCGCATCGCTCGCGGAGATGTCGAACACGGATGCCCAGTCAAGCGGCGAGCCGGCGGCGATGATACCGGCGAACTCGAGGTCACCGGTCGTGAAGGAGGCGGTTTGCCAGTCGTAGAAGATCAGGAGGTCGTAGTACCAGTTGTTAAGGATGTCAGACGACTTGGCGGCAAGGTACTGGTTCACGACGCTGGTCGAGTCCGTGATGTCAATACCGAGTTTGCCGGCACCGACACCTGCTGAGCTGCCAATAGACGGCCATGAGCTTGGCCATTGTGACGTCGAGTCTGTAGCAAACAGTTAGGACATGATAAGTACGCCACCAATAATCACGACGCGCGGCCGAGAGTCCAGTTCGGAACCAAAACATGCCCCAACACGCGTCGTGAATTGTGTTACTCACAGAAGCCAACATCGACATCCTCTTGCAGGAAGCGGACCGTGCCATTGCCTTCCGTGACTAGAAAGGAATTTCATTATTTCCATGCGATGTGCTACGGTAGCGACGTGCGGGCGCTTACCAGCTACGGCAACACCCTCGACCGTGATCTGGGTCGTGGTGCCTTGCAAGCTGCCGTTCTTTACGACCAGACCGCCCCTGTACACGCCGTCATACACGCTGCCTATAGCAGCCCCGGAAACGCGACACTCACCATTGGCTGTCCAAGTGTACGCCATACGTCTGGCCGCCAATCTCAATCGCCGCGTAGAGCGCGGAATTGTTCGCGTCAAGGTAGACGAGGTGGTCTACGTAGTCCTGAAGGGAGCGCTTGGCAGGGCGACCAGGCAGGTGGGGAAGAGAAAGTACAGAAGAGAACAAGGCGGCCACCGAGAGCGCGCGGAGGGCGCCAGAGCTGGAGAACATGAGGAAGAGAAGGAGAGAGGTGGAGGCAAGCCTGAAGTCGGGCCCTGCGCTGCTACGCGTTGTTATATAGCGCTGAGACGCAGAGCCTGTTCATCTCCTGAGACAGGCGAGGTTTGGGCGAGGTCTTCATTCAACACGCCTGCGCCCAGGAACCTGTGCTCTGTGTCTACAAAGGGTCAGTGGCACCTCAGAACTTGAGCCCGTCTCCGGGGGAGAAACTCGCCGTCCTAAAACCCCCCAGGCCTCCACCACTTGCAGGGCACAGTGGGGCCACATGTGGCGTGTTCGGAGAGTCCTGAGCGCTCGAGATCCTCGTGCTTCACCGTAATCGAGTGGTACGCCATCGTACTGAGAGCGGCGGCCTGATTGTCGAAGGGGCGGACGGCAGAGCAGAGCGTGAACGCAGCCCTCCGAGCATCCACCTCCACAGGTTCTGTGACGGGATAGCCTAGACGGAGGAGGTCGTCGAGGATTTTTGAGTCTTCGGATAGTTGCACGACAGGCGTGTCCCCCGACGTAGTCTGTTTTGTCGTCGACGCCGCTTGCGCCGCAGGCTACCGCAGGCCCTGTTTGCCTGTCATGCCACCCTATCAGCCCAATCGGTGCGTTCATTCCTATGAGATGATTACCGCAGCGACGCCTTCCGACCGGTTCTCTAAATGTTTGGCCGATACGACAATGGCAATGTGAGCATTGCATGCAACGGCGATGCTCCGCCGTTGGCGTCCTCGTCGTGCTCGTACCTACCTCGTGCCAGTAGAAGGCCGGACAGGTGGCACGCACGTCTTCGCTCGCAGTCGTGGGCAATCTCATAGGCTCTTCCGACTCAGTTAGGATGCTCCGAGTACGGCTGTAGGAGATAGAAGCTCGCCTCGGCGTGATACGAACGCAACTGGAGGCTTCGGGCTGTGAGAGTGTTCTGATCATGGGACGGCAACCATTGAGAGTGAGGATGGCGGGGTGGAAGCACCGAGTAGAGTTCCTTCGACACAGTTCCACTGCGTGGAGGTAGAGGATATGAATAACGATGTGCGGCCTGGCAACCCTCACCAGCTTGTGGAGGGGGTCAGAAAATGAGTTGAGGCTGGGTCAGATCAGACGCCCTCCCTTTGCGGCGAATGCCGATAGCCTACCATTGGCGCCGCTCTCCGGGCATCCTCCTCCAGCTTCAGAGTACACGCAACGATCCATCCTTCGAAGGGGTCCATGCAGATGAGCGCGCGCAGCTGCTTCCGCAACAGTGCGACCGCTTTCTCCATCGCGTACGTGATCGCCGCAGCGATTACCTTGCGTAGTTGCTGGGGGTCGTCCACCGCGGGGTCCTTGACGGGGTAGCACAGACGGAGGAAGGAGTCGAGGGTTTTTGCATCCTCGCCAGCTGAATGACGGCCGCATCACCGACGTAGTCGGCATTGACATCGACGCCGTTTGCGCCCCGGATTGCCTGCGGGTTGGCGAATATGCCCGCAAATACCGCCGAAGCCTGTGCAATGATGACACTGTGTACGCGGAAATCTGTCCCGTCGCTGCTCCTGATGTCCGCGGAGGGCTTATTGAATGGTGCCGGAGCGTGAGGTCGCCACCGCTGTTCTATATTGGCAGACATGACTCGGGCGCGATATTAGTAACTAGAATGAGCCTATGGTAATAAATCCAAAGTCAGTAAAATGAGCAGAACATTTGCCAATGAGAACCGATCTGCGCCCTGGTTTGAGCTTGGACTTACCGCTCGCAATTGTAAGGTTTCGCCCCTGCCGCCCCTCAGCCCATAGGAGACTACTGACGGTGTAGGTCTTACCGGAGTCGAGTGCTGTCGAGAGGAGGATGTGCGACGCTCGGACAGAGAAATACACATCATTCGCTCGATCGTACGGATAATTTATTTCCCGGCCCGGGAAATTGGGCCAAACTGGCCGTTCCGGAGTTGTTTGACCGGATTACTCCAGTACTTGGACTATCGTCTGTAGCTACGAATCTCGCTAGTCGACACCCCACTAGACTATGGTATGCGACTAGTGAGCCTAAGTCAGATTCTTTGGTTGCATGCTGACTGTTTCCGAGCGGACGTTTACATGGACGGTTCATTCAGCGCAAGCACGGCTGGCTACCGTCGGCCGTGCCAGTGGTCCACGCCGGCAAACACTGTAAAATAACGCCCAAAAGAGGGAGCTCGGCCCCAGGTCTCGGGTCGGAACACAATTTGTCTGCACGGTCGACGAGTCTGTGACTCTATCGGAAACTTCTGCCACACGCTTGCCAATTTCTACCCGTGTCTGTACTGGTTCTCTGCACTCCGAGCCGAGACGAATCGTCAATTGACCCTCAGCGGTAAGTGCAAACACAGATCGACGCTCAATTTTCAAGGAATACCGTCACTTCATTAGCAGTGAACTGCCAAGAACATCGAAACATCGTCGGTATCACCGCAAGCCATGTCTGCCACTGGCCTTCTCAGGGGGCCGCTTGAAGAGACACCAGTGCGGAGTTGCGCTGCACCGGCCCCGTTCGACAATCCCGCCGCCGACACCATTCTCAGGAGTAGTAGCGGCGACGAGCCTGACGAATTGCCAATGGACTTCCGCGTACACGGCGTCATCGTGGCAGAAGCATCTGAGATCTTTGCGGACATGTTCGCGATCCCACAGCCGCCGCGCGCGAGCAACGGAGACGACAGTGAAGACTACGTGGGCGACATTCCCGTCGTCCGGCTGACGGAGGACGCTGAGACGCTCTACAGCCTCCTCCGCCTGTGCTACCCCATCGCGGACCCCGAGCTGCAGGAGCCGTCCGAAATCCGCCCTGTCCTGGCGGCGGCGATGAAGTATGGGATGGCGGAGGCGACCACGCTCCTGAAGAACGCCCTCCGCGCCCGTACCCAGGATTGTCCTCTCGGGGTATGGGGGGCGGCATGCAGCCTGGGGCTGGAAAGGGAGGCGACGAACGCAGCGCTCGTGCTTGCGAGAAGGCAATACTCCCCCACCCTTTTCTGCGAGGGGGTGGAAGTCGCACACGTTAGCGCGGGGCAGTATTTCCGGCTCTTCAAGTTCATCGCTAGTCGCGGGCAAATGGACGACGCGTTCAGCTTCTGGCAGGCAAGTCCTGGAGACGCGATACAGCCCCCCGCCTTACCGGGAGCGCTGCCACTCTCTGCCGAGTCCGCGCTGACGCTCCAGGAGCGGCCGTTCGTGGATATCCTCTGCCGCGCCTCGGACGGGAAGGAGCTCTCCTCACACAAAGCCATCCTCAGCACTGTATCGCCTCTTCTGCAAGCACGCATCACGGCACTCGACACCGCTGCTCAGTCGTCCCCTACTGCCATCGATACCAACGACGACCTCCCCGTACTTGAGTTCGACGACACCAGCCCCGTCCTCTCCACCCTCCTCGAGCTGTGTTACCCCGTGTGCCGCAGCCCGGCCAGCGACCTCAGGCTCTCCCTCCAGCACATCTGTGCGCTCACGAAAGCGGCGGCGAAGTACGACATGGGCTTCGTGCGCGCCCTGCTCACCAGCGCGTTCCACGCGCGGTGCCACGGCGACCTGCTGCGGGCGTTCTTCCTCGCGGAGGCCGCGGGGCTTAACGACTACGCGCACACCGCCGAGCGCGCGCTGCTCAGCGGCGGACGCGCCCCCCCAGCGTACGGCTGGTTCCCCGAGATGGAGGCCGTCGCCGCGCCGGCGTATCACGAGCTCCTTGCGAAGCACAGGGCCGTCGCGAGCCACGGGATTGCGTACTATGACGCGCACCTCTCTCGCAAGAGGCAGCGCACGGAGGAAGCGTAGGAGGGCAGGAGTGTGTCGCCCATCTCGAGGGCCGGGGTATTCTGTAAGTCGCATGGTTGAGGGCTTTGATGCCATGCATGCACACTGTAGCTAATACATAGAGAGCTGTAGTCCCTCGCACTCGGAGTCGAGGACTACATCAGGACTGTGCTTCCAGTCCCCTCCATCGGAATGGGGCCGTAAACTTATTCATATCTATCTATCTAAGATGTGCACATCGTGTCTCATAACTAGGTCGTGTCATTCAAGCCCTTCTTGTTTCGTGCTTCCGTGCGGCGAACATCCAGGAGGTCTTCCAAAGAGTGGGCCCAGTTCAAACGCTCCCAGGGCAGCAGCGCTAGCCCGCTATTCGCGCACCCAGAAAGCCTTCCACTACTTTGGCAAGCCTACACATCAATAGTGAATCGTCCTCCTGAAATACTTGTGGATATTGGGTTAGTATGTTAATCTGGTATGTGTACATGTTTCTCGACACTGTAGCCCGGGGAATCACAATATCTAGGTATGTCTATGTCAGTAGCAGCATGTCACGATCTTCAGCCTTCATGAAGGGAGCGTCCGAGCGGAATGACCAGAAAGCACCTTTATCCGCCTCACGCCTCCACCGCCGCCGCGCACGCGCGCACGACCGCGTCCTCGCACGCCCGGTATGTCTCCACCAAGCCCGCATACACACGCTCGCGCTCCGGCTTCGGCTCGGCCACACACCGCGTGCGCTGCGCCTCGCCCACGCCGTCCATCGCGCGCATCTCCTCAAACGTGCCCGCGCCGCCGTTCTGCTCGCGCCACCACGCGTAGCGCGCGAGCTGCGCGCCGCCCTCCGCGGCACCCTCCTTGCCCGCGATGAACACGCGCATGCCGAACACGTCCGCCGCCGCCTGCTGGATGACGGGGTTCGCGGACGAGCCGCCGCTGAGCACGAGCCGCTGCAGGGGCGGGGCGTCCGGCGGGAGGATCGCGGTGATGCGTGAGCGGATGGAGAGGAACTGCGACTCGAGGATCGCGCGGGGGTGTGCGTCCTCTGGCATTTCGGACTCGGTGATGGCGGCGACGGAGGGCGAGGTGGAGAAGAAGTGGTTGCCTTGGACGTTGGGAGGGATGATCTCGGGGAGGGGGAAGTAGAAGCCCATGAGGCCGTCGTTGCCGACGGGCCGTGCCTCGACGAGCTCGTTGAAGCGCGTCCAGTGCCCGCTCGCGTGCTGGTCGCGCACTTGTTCGCGTGCGAGCGCGCCGTTCTTGTAGCACAGCATCGCAATGTGGGCATCGGAGGTAGTCGGGTGTGAGAGCAGGTGGGAAGTCGTGAACCGTTTCGGCGCGGTCTCGGCCGGAGGGATGGAGAGTAGGAGAGTCGTGGAGGTGCCCAGGGACAGGATCGCATCACCTGGTGTGGAGAGCGCGACGACCGTGGCGGGGTTGTCACCGGTAAACGGCGCAATGCTGCAGTCTAAGAGTGCGCGTGTGAGCAACAGCCTATTTTGTTGGCACTGGAGCTTACCTTCATTGAAGCCCCAGCGCTGCACCCAGTACGGGCTGATCTTGCCCAGGAACGTGCCGCCAGGGGCAGGCTCAGGTCCAATCTTGGCACGCAGCTCCGGGCCGCCTGCAGCTTCGAGCAGGCGGTCGTCCCACTCGCAAGTGAGAACATTCATGAGGTTCATGCCGCTCGCATCCGACACTTCAATGGGTGCGATAGAGCCGAGGAACAGCGAAGGCATGAATGACGACACGAGCGAGACCCGGGCCGTTGCATGATATGCCTCCGGGTCTGTTCGGCGGATCTGCGGGCGCGAATATGGCAGTCAGTCTCGGAAGTCGGGAGCACGACAGAGGGAACCATTGAAACACAGCCAACAGGCGCTACGGAAATACGCGTGCGCACGAATTCCGGAGAAAGCCAAAGCATTAAGGTAAACAGCGAAGCGAGGAAGCAAGCGGGGAACGGGACGAAGAGCGGAATTCATTATGACGCGAAGGGAACGCAAGACGCACCTTGGCAATCTGTGTTCCGGTAAAGCGTTCGTACGCCCTGCTGCCGGTGAGGTCCGCAAGGGCTTGCGCGCCTCCGACGGCATCCTCGAGTTCGCGGCACTCTCGTGTGGTGGAAGAATCCTGCCAGATGGGGGCGCGTTGGATAGAGAATGCAGCGGGGGCAAGCTGCTCAGAGAGGGGACGCGTAGAGTCAAGTGAAGCCAGAAGCTCCTCGGCAGCCGATGACCAGTACACCGAGCCGTGTTGCTATTTGATACATGCGCGCATGAGTGACTGCTCTTGTGCGATGGGGGATAAAGATGCCTTACCTGGCCGTCGCCGGAGATACCGACGATACGAGAGAAGTCGACGCCGGCTGCGCGCATGCGCTCCATGATGAGGTCGTACGCGTCGAGCCACATGCATACTGGCGAGGTCACCTCGCCCGCGCCGGGCCCGCGGATAGCACCATTCGTGGTGCCGTAGGAAGGAAGATCGCGGTCGAAGTGCACAGCAGACTCGTGCACTGGCGCGCCTTCCTCGTCAATGAGGACTGCCTTCAGACCCTGGGTGGAGAGGTCGAGGCCGAGGAAGAGAGGATCGTCGACGCTTGCGGACATTGTGGGTGATGAAACGGGGCGATCAGGGGGGATGGGTGGTAGATGAAGAGGATGGGGGTGGGCAAGGGGTTCGCGGTGGACGCGTTGAGGCCATGGGGGAGAATATATAGGGCAGAGGAAGAGACCAGGTGAGTAAGGGCGAGAGTCGAGGGCCAATGACCAGAGGCAGGCTTCCCCGGGCCGCTCGTCCCCCTGATCGGTCTCGACTGCCCCCCGTCTTTCCCCGCAATCCCCACGGAACGCGTCGGAGAAAATCCGGGGGTTGGTCCTCGCAGCGTCGGCCGCCGCCACATGGCGTTAGGCGCTGTTTTCTGACGGGTGCGGTTTTAGCTGCTTAGCAGTTGCCAGTAATCTAGCAGCTGTCGCTACACCGATGCTCAAGCCCATGCTACAGTAAGCTTCACTCAATCTCCCCGAGTTAGGTTGTAGATTATCCTCGTACAGCATGAGATCATCATGGACGACCGCAGCGATTCCGACATTCAATGGACTTGAATAAGCAGCCCGAGGCCTGAATGACAAATGAGGACGTAACCGTGGCATGCACTGGCGCATTGGGCTGCCGGCCAATCAACGATTCTTGCAGCTTTCCCAGGTGCATTCTCTCTCCTCGGTAGCACGCGCTTCAATGCTGACACTAGTTGCGCACCTAGCTGGCAGGACGAGTCTGTATTTGCAGTACACTAACAGGAGAGCGATGCGGGCGCCAGATGCTGGAGCATTGCGTCGATGACGCGTTGAACTTACCTTCCCAAACGGGCTGGTCTGGAAAAGGTGCGCCCACTGTTTGCACAACGAAACAGCCTTGGCGCCACTTCGTTGCATGCCCCTGTGTCTGTACCACATATCTCTGCTTATGCCAGGGAACTTTGGATAATGCATAGTGAGTCCCTCCTCTCTCAGGTCATGCCTAGGTACTCAATTTTTGCTGTGATCTACGGGCAAGTACACCATTCGGGCACCTGCAAACCTGACACTGACAAGACGTCTGGTGGAGGGTTTGAATTGTTCGGCGAGCCCTTACTCCGGAAGCCTCGTCGGAAGCTTGTATCTGTCCTGTGAAAGTGCAAGATGTCAATCCCTTCCATCTTTACCTTGCGCTGGTGGTCGGATGCACGACTACTGAGTGTCAAGCTACGACCCCAGTCATCAAAGCGGCCCTCCGAGCGAGCACACAATCCGCAAAGCGGCCGCTCGTTATGCAGAAGCGCTTGTAGGGGACTTTCAAATCCTCATCATTGCCCCGAGTAACCCAAGCAGTCGGTAAGCCGCGGCTGAACGCGAGTCCGGCACACAGCTTCGAGGAGCCGCGCCGTCATTTTGAAGACCCCGCGCCCTACTTGGGCCGATGTCCCGCACTCGACCCGCCTGTGGGTGCACTCGACCCTGGCGGGGCGCGCGACCACTGATCACTCTTAAACCCACCGTACCGCTCGCGACACTTCCTCCAGTCGGTGGGAGGCCACAGGTAAGCTGCAGCACTCCAGTTTCGCGTTCGACCTGCAGCCTGATCGCCGTGGGCGTTTCGCAGGCGCTGGGATTCGCGATGGTGCAGCGCTGTTCGAATCGCCACGTCTCTTCTATCCGCGCCGCTTACCCGGCGAGGTGCCGAGCCTTACTTCAGTGCGCCAGCCAGAGTTGCTATTTCCCGGACGTTGGCTCGCGGGCTCCCTCGTGCGTCCCAGGGGTGGATGATGGCGAGTGCTGTACAGGCTGCTGGAGCGAGATACCACGGACGGTGGCACTCGCTCCTGCGTGCAATTCCCCCTCACGACCCGAGCTCCTTTTTCTCTGCCACTCAACATGGGCGATTCCTCATTCTTCGAGCTTTCCTACTTCAACGCCTCAGGTTCCTCCTTGGGCAATTGGCAGATTCCTGAGACGCATACGGCCGAGCCTGAGGAGGCCGTTGCGGCTAAGCGTGCATACGAGCAACACCTGCCTACGCAGGTATGGACACCCCCGGTGAATATCTACTCTACGACGAGCTAATCCATGTCGCACTTCCATTTAGCCCGACCCCTCCAGAGTTCAGACCTTGGCTGGCTCCCCTTCAGAAGGGGAAGACTATGCCAACAACACCTTCCAAGACGCCCCTCTCGACTCTGTGTCCGTCTCCATCACCTTCCATGCCGCAGCCAACCTGTTGCATACCCCAACAGACCTCGTCCTCATCTCCTCCGATGGCGTCGTCTTCCACGTCCACACCGCAAAACTGCTGGGCGCGTCCACCAACGACTTCAACCACCTTATCCTCCCCAGCTCTGCACGATCCAACATCGTCGACACCGTCGTCTGCGTTCCCGAACCGGCCGCCTCCCTCAACGTCCTCCTCCACTCCGTGTACGAACTGTCGTGCACGCACTACAACCCGCCCCTTGGCACGCTCATCGCCGCGGTCGACGCGATGCCCGCCTACGGCATGTCCCCCCAGCGGTACGTCCTACCGCCCCTCTTCGACCTCATCCTCGCGCTCGCGCCCACGCAGCCGCTCGCCGTCTACGCGCTCGCCTCGCGGCACGACCTCTTCGCGCTCGCGCAGCCCGTCTCGAGCCACCTGCTCTCGTTCCCCCTCGACACGTTCACGGACGACCTCGCGCGCACGATCGCCGGCCGGTACCTCAGCAAGCTCTTCCTGCTGCACATCGGGCGGCTCGACATGCTCAAGCAGCTGCTCCTGCCGGCGCCGCAACTGCACCCGTGCACGCCCGAGTGCGACTTTGTGGAGCAGAAGAAGCTCGCGAGGGCGTGGGCGCTCGCGGCGGGCTACCTCGCGTGGGAGGCGCGTGCCGGTGAGCCGACAGTGTCAGCACTCTTTGTCAGACGTCGGCGCGCATGCTAACGTGGGGGATGATGGTTCTGCGGCGGCCGAAGATACGACCCCGGGTGCGATAGAGAGCGCGCTGGCGTCGCTGGCGCCGCGTCTTTCGTGCGATGCGTGCAAGCGGATGCTCGCGGCGCGAATAAGGGATATTGTCGCTCGGTGGTCGTCCGCGGAGGTGCGTTTGCTCAGTCGCTTTTCTCTCTCGATCGGCGGAAGCTCACGCGTGGTGCTCCACTTGCCTTGGATACTTGCAGCGGACGATCTGAGGCGTGGCGCTGTGGCGTCGGGATCCTCGTTCTTGGCTGTGCTCATCTTATGTTCCCGGTATGTATTATGTATGTCTCAGATGGGTTTTATGTGTATCACTAGGTAAGTATGTTTGATGTATCCATCTTGTTCCCTCCCGCGAGGCGTCGTTCATATATGTAGCGCCACTCCGCTGTAATATAGTGCGGACTCAATGCTTACTACTTATTGCTGTTTCACCGATGATAGCTAATCGTGCTTTTCGCATACCCAAGCCCACAAGATACACTAATCGCTCTATATGGGTACCAATTCTGCGTGGAAGCCCCGTCCGATGGAGCACTTGAGGATTACCGCTCAAGCACGCCACGGTTACCGCAGCTATCCCTAGCCTGAGTTATCCCAGGCATTTGTGGTCTCCGACAGGTACGCGCTTACCGGTGTGAGGCACTGTGCACGTGTGTGGCCTGAGTGAGCATGACCAGCTGCAAGTAACTTGGTGCCTTCAAGGTGTGGAAGAGAGCCATGGGGCGCTAGACAGTGGGCGCTAGAGAACTGGCGTTTGACGGCCATGACGCGTTGAACCTACTTTCCCAAACGGGCCTGTATGACGGAATGCACCCACTGCAGGTTTGCAGCACAGCGGTGAGCTTCGGTCGCTCCCGAGCACGGCCCCGTACGTACTACGCGTAGTACATACGCCACGTACGAGATTTCCGGGACACTGTGGCGAGTCATCGCCGTTCATATTGCGAAAAGCTCAAGCCGTAGTAGACTAACTGCTCCACATGCATAGCACGCGATGCCGGTACTTGTGAACCCGACGCTGACAAGACGACCGGTGGCAAAACGGAGTCTTTCGAGCGGTTTCTGTGAAGCCTTTGGTACAGATGCAGGTTTCTGGTCTGACTGGGCATCGACCGCTCCTTGTACCGCAAGCTACAACTCTGCGTCCCGGTGCCTCATACAGAAGCGCCCCACGGTGGACTTCGAAATCCTAATCATTTTCCTCGAGGCCGAGCGGTCGGTAAGCCGGATGAACGCAAGGTCCGACACACAGCTTCTAGGGACACCGGCCATCCTCCGTTGAAGACCCCGCACCCCACGAGCTCTATGCCCCATCTGACTTGCGTATGGGAGGAGGCGAGTCTCAATGCGGCCGCGCCTGGCGCGGAGACTGCTTAAAGCCGAGGGCAGAGTGAACGGGTAAGCACGAGTACATGAGCGTCGGCCGCAGGTCTGATCTGACCGTCGTGGATTGGTTGCGGGCAATTGTCAGGCGCCGCGACGTGTTGACCGATAGAGCAGCGCGCGCTGTTTGAATCACCACGCCGGTTTACCTGGCCACGCCTGCCGAGGGCTGCCACTTGGAGGCCGCAGCGAGAGTGCTATTTCCCGGACGTTGGCTCAGCTCGGCGCCCCCCTCGTGAATGCGAGGGCTAGACGGCGGCGAATATGGTGCAGCCCGGTGCGGGACACCATGAGGGCAGACGATTCACACCCGCTGCAACGCACCCCCCTCACGACCGCCCCTTTGTCTCCTCCCCTCCACCAGGATGACCGACTCTGTTTCCCCGGAGCTCGGCCAGTTCGAACGCGCCGGCTCCTCCTTGCCCACTTGGTCCCTTCGACTGCCCGAGACACGCACCATCGAATCTAAGGAGATCGATGCGCTCATGCGCGCCCGCCGTCGTCAGCTGTCCTCGCAAATGTTGACACCACCGGTGAATATCTACCAGTTGATGAGTCGAGATCCTTTGTCAGACTTCCATTAAGCCCCACCCCTCCAGAGTTCCGACACCAGTTCTACGACAGAAGGGGAGGACTATGCCTACAGCGACACTAGTAGCTTCTTCGACGACGCTCCCTCCGTATCCGTCTCGGCCACCTTCGACATTGCGGCCTGTCTGCTACCAACCCCTCCCGACCTCGCACTCATCTCCTCCGATGGGGTCATCTTCCACACCCACAGCGCGCAGCTGCTCAGCATATCCTCGAACGACTTCAACCACCTCATCCTCCCCGACCAGGCGCCATACGCCCGCGTCGATGCAATCGTGTGCGTCCCCGAGCCCTCCGCCGTGCTCAACATCGTCCTCCACACCGCCTACCAGATCTCCTGCGAGGACCACCAATACCCCCTGGACACGCTCATCGCCGCGGTGGACGCCATGGCCTCCTACGGCCTGTTCCCGCAGGTGCACCTCCGCCCGCTCATCGACCGCATCCTCGCCCTCTCCCCCACGCAGCCGCTCGCCGTCTACGCGCTCGCATCGCGCCACGACTGGTTCGCACTCGCGCAGCCCGTGTCCAGCCACCTCCTCTCGCTCCGCCTCGATTCGCTCACGGACGAGCTCGTGCGCACCGTCGCCGCCCCGTACCTCAGCAAGCTCTTCCTGCTGCACATCGCGCGCCTCGGGACGCTGAAGACGCTCCTCCGCGCGCCGCCGCAGCTGCACCCGTGCACGCCCGAGTGCGACTTTGCGCAGCAGAAGAAGCTCACGACGGCGTGGGTGCTCGCCGCGGGATACCTTGCCTGGGACGCGCGTGCGGGTGCGTCTAGGGTTGTTGTGCCGGCGTTGGGGGGCGCGTGCTGACCTGCTGGGCTGGGACCTGGTTCTTAGATGTGTCCCCGGGTGCGATCGAGGGTGCGCTCGCGTCGCTCGGGCCGCGGATTTCGTGCGATCTGTGCAAGCTGAGCTTGGAGGAACGCATCAAGGACGTCATCGCGCGGTGGTCGTTTGCGCAGGTTCGTCCGAGTCGTTGCAGGCGGCGATCTTTCTGTTATTTCTCGATGCCGAGATTGACATATGGGCTTGCCTACAGCGGACGATCTGAGCGGGAACAGTGCTGTGCACTGGATGGCGTCAGTGGTTTCTTTGGGTCCTCTGTGTTGCTCAGCTATGTCTAGCGGATCATTTTCTTCATTTTTGGGTTTACCGTTGTCAAGGTTTATTTTTGTTGTCGTTCTCGAGTCGCTGCTGTTATCGATCGTGCTCCTCGCAGTGCATTTCCAGTCTCTGTTGCTGTCTCATTGGTACCACCAGGATGCCGGCATGTACTCACCATTTGTATCGTAAATGGCATATGATAAATTATATACACGATGGGTCTCTATAGAGATAAGCATGCGGGCTGGGCGCAAGCTGGACCCCGCCCATACCTGCGGAACCTCTTTGACTGGCTTCGATCCCCTTTCCTACTTACACGGGTGCAGACCCATTGGGGCTGAGAAGACTCCGGTGCGGGCAAGGAGGTGCCTGATAAACTCGTGCCGTTAAACGCTCTGCTCCTCGAAGCAAGTTCAGAATTAGCCTTCCCGGATCCACAGCGGTGACTGGTGCGGCAGCTGGGCAGCAGTTCGACCTTGGGCTCGAGTCGGAGTGGAAAGACCAGCACGGTCACGTGCATTCGTACCTGAACGCGTCGCGTGTTCCGCTCGCGACTTCAACTTCGACGCCCTTCCCTCCCCCCTCAACTGCGCCCGCCGCTGCCGTCTACAGTCCCCCTGCTCATATACATATACCACCGTCTTTCTGCTCTCCCGCGTTTGTCCAGTCTCCATCAAAAGTCGGATGTCGTCAACACCGATGATCATAGAGCACGAAGGCAGGCTCGAGGTCGCGCGCGCCCTCCAAGCCCGACTGGACGCGGCCAAGCTGCACATCGTCGAGGACCAGAACCGGTTTGACACGCTCCAGAGCGCCCTCGCGAAGGATCCCGGGCTCGTCTCGGAGGGCGTGGCGGGCACCACCGATCCCGCCATCGTGGCCGCAGAGGTCGCGTCGCAGATCGTACGTACCCCCTCGCCATACCTTCCTTCCCTCAGCTGCCTGACACGCCATGTGGGACGCGTTGGCCTTTCATAGGCGTTCCTGCGCAACCTGAAGTTCCAGTACCTGGAGCAGAAGGCGAAGGATCAGTACGTGAAGACGATCGTGAGCGACGAGGCGCCGAACATCAACGCGGAGGACAACGAGCTGCTGCGCATCGAGAACGACAGGAAGAAGGAGGTGCTCTCCGCCGCCAAAGCCCGGTTGGCGGAGAAGTACAGCGACGTACGCACGCTCGCGCCACTCGTCGAGCAAGGTAAGTCCCCCCCTCCCCCTTTTCCCCTACCACATCCGCCCCATGCGCATGCCCATACTCCTTGCCAGACTACAACAAGGCGCGTGCCCTCACGCAGGAGGCGGCCGATCTCGCAAGCAAGATCCTCGACGCGCGCCTCACGCTCACCCGCCTGCGCCAGGCGCACCCGCACCCGCGCCTGACGATCCCCGCCGCGAACGCGCAGCTCGACGCGCAGGTCGCGGAGATGCAGGAGCTCGACGACGAGCTGCAGGCGCTGAACGCGCAGGTCGACGACGTCAAGGAGCGCGTGAAGGCTGGGGCGCGCGACGTCGAGCGGCTGCGCGTCGAGCGGGCGGATGCGGAGAAGACCGCGAAGGCCGCGCAAGAGGAGGTCCAGGACGGGCGGGTCATTGGGCTTTACGACTGGTCGGTGCTCCCTCCCCTGGCACGATGTGACTTGGCTTATGATGTGGATAGGTACACGGCCTCGCTCGCGCTGTACCGCGCGCTTGTCTCCCTGGAGACCTCACACTCTGAGTCTGAGAATGAGCTGCATCTCACGTACGCGGTCGCGCCTCGGGGGACTAACGAACGCAGGAGTATCTTCATCAAACTGCTCTTCCTGCCTAATTCGCGGCAACTGGCCGACGCACAGGTTGAAGGGCTGACGGAGGACCCCGGCGACGGCCTCGGTGCCCATGTACATGCGAACAACGTGCCCGGGCTCATCGCTGCAATGTTGACAAGGGCAAGGGCAGGTCTTTGATTGTCTAGGACCTGGTGGTCTCCTAGTAATGTAAACCTTTTCATCCTTGTTTGTTGACCGCCGCTAATCCAGATGCCTGATCCTTCAGTTTTGTAACCATTTGTATTTCTGGTACGGGATGATGTGGATCTTGATCACTCAGAGGCATCCCTGGCCCCGAATACCGATGGAACGAACCATGCCGCAGTTTGAGTGGTGCAGAAAAGAAGGTCGGCATTGCAAGGACTGGCATCACAGCGGAGATTATCTGTCAAAAGACGTTCAGGCGGTGCGGCAGCAGTTGGTCTCAGGGCCGCTGGCTTCCACAGTCAAACTTCACAACTCAAGATGGACAGGAAGACCGTTCAGGGGATGTCATTACCTGACCTCTCCGTCGAGTAGCACAGGCGACGTCAATGTGCTGCCGTAACGTCCGGAAATTTTCCCCAGGCTACTTCAAAAAACTTTGCAAGGGCATGGGACGAGGTTTTCCCACTCCCACAACCGCATCGCCATGCCAGGTAAGTTCTGAGTGGTCTAATCTTCCAAAGGCTGAAGCCCTTCCCATGAACTGCTTCAGAGCGCATATATCCCATCCCCAAACCCAGATGTCTCCCCGAAGCAATCTACGCTACTGCCTCGCAAGCATCATCGACGCTGCAGGAGCAGATGCGCTTCGAAGGAGACGTCGATACCTTTTCTACGCTCATAGTACGCCTCTTAAGCTTTCTATACCGTCGGGTACTGCTGACTTTGAGGCGCAGAGCATCATACGGCAAACAACGGCACGCCATACCGACCTCGCCCTCTCGTACAGGCAGCAGGACCCGGAGGTTTTGGAAAAGATTAAACACGAGGTGTGTGTGTCTTCCGCATCATTCTACCATACTACCCTGAGCAGTTATCGTGCGGCGTAGATACTCACGCAGTGTCCTACGCTGGAGGTTATGTACCCCAACGGGTGGCCCATCACCTCATATCTGCAGGTAGCTTTGAAGAAACACAAACCCATTCACTCGGATCGCAACAGCTCGAACAGTCTTCGCGTTAAACGATCGTCTCGAAGGATGTACTCACACGTGAGTCGCGCTGCGCTGTACTACACTGTTGACAGCCATGGATACTCACAGCTGTTCCGCAGCCCAGCGAACGAAAACGCGCTGTTCCAGAAAACGAGCTCTACTCGGATTATGGGCTGGCAGCACCTACGAAGGCGATGCAGTCGGGCAATCCCGCGCAAATGAGCTCCATCGGGGCGGACTCGCGCCCGAGGCGTCTCTTGCGTCGCTCCGCCAGGCTGAAGAAGCTCAAGGGAAACGAAGTAATCGAAATCGTCGACACATCGGAGCACGAGGAGTCCGAAAACGGCAACGAAGACGACGAATCAAGCTCGGGGAGTGAGAAGCAAGGAAAATTTGAGTACGAGGCGGACGAGGCCGGCTCGGAATCGGACGTGAAGGCGGATGAGATCGTGTATTACGGTCGCGTCGGCTCGTTCACCCCTGACAGTCCATCTGTGGGTTTTATCGTTTTCGCAGAGGACGTTTCTGACGCCTCTTGTTTATGCGAACAGAACAGCCGAGCCTCGCCGCAAGTACGTGCACGCAAATTTGAAGGCGCTCCCCGTACTCCTGTCGCGTCGGACGCGTCTCCTCCCCCCACCTCTTCCCTGAGGCGGGTATCATCTCTGCTTTCAGAACCCCCCGACACGCGCGCGACGCAGTCTCCAAGAGCGACAAGCAACGATCCCATCGAGACCAGACAGCGGTCCTTTGTCGCTCCCGCCGAGTCTCTTCCTCCCATTGTGGTCCACACAGACCCAGGACCATCAAATGCCGTTCAGAACGCGGCAGTGCAAGACCTACTCCGTGCACGCGGGCTCCCTCATGCTGATGTCGAGCGTATCGCCCTCCTCTTTGCGTCCCTGGGGATCGCCGACGATACGTACCTCCGGATATTTGCGTGTCTGCCTTCTCGCTATCGTGAGATGTGGCTGTCAGAGTTGCGCGAGAAAGGTCTGTTGAGCGAGATTCAGACGTGGGTTATCTTAGATATGTTGGACGTCCTCACGGCGGGTTGATTTGAAAATGGCGTAGTGTCCAGCATTTCGTGTGCGCGTGAGACAGGACTAAATATGCAGTCGGTACTGGCCGATACGACTTGATATACGTATGTAAGGTGAGGCCTGGTACTGTGATGGTGAGCGACGTGGTCGCGGGTTTGGTGTAAATGTCGTTGACTCGATTTGAACAGTACCGATATACAAATGCATTTTTCACAAGCATTGGTAGTTTATAAGATCACCATGTCCTGACTGTCCGAATCCCGTGGTTTGTAGGCGTTCGCACTCGGGGCCCCCAACCAACCCCACACTCCCCACTTCAAGTGCGCAAAATGTCCATTAATGTCAGGCGAGACGTCCGTGAAGACCCCGATCCTCCGAAAGAACTTCGCTCGACGGTTTCCAAATATTGCGCTGTCGCGTTCCACAGAAGACAGGACTAGCCCGACCACCCTGCTCTCGTCAGCGGTCGATGTACCAATCCGACATACAAACGGTAGCAGCCAAATTCTCCCGATCTTGACGTCCTCGTTGCAGTCCATGACGATGAGTGCGGACCACGCCATCGAGGCGTATGCGTCGTCGTAATGGTAGACTCCTAAATTCTCGTCGTGGGCGACTCGGATTCGATACGATGTCCTGCCGGGCCCGGGGTGCCGGCTGAGCAACGAAGCGCGTGCGCCCACGGGATGGCAGTCGCAGCATATCGTGCGTCCGCGCAACCAGAGGGCACCATCCAATACTCGACCGAACGGAAGCGCAGCATCTTCGAGTACGACCCCGCACTCCATGATGTTGACGAGAGCGGCAGTTTGGGTGTCTTCCAGATACGAAGCATGGGGACACTGGCGGACGACGCCGTCGACCGCTGCCCATGACCATGACGGCGCACGGTACGTTCTGGGGCGCGTATGTTGGCGTGTCGCCCCGTTCGGCGAGTCCTTGACAGTCTCCCATAGGAGGTCGACGAGGAACATATCCGAGCTCCACAAACCGGCCAAGTATGCCGAGTCCAGGGCACGGCGGAATTGCTCCGCGACGGCCGCGCACGCAACGAGCTTGTCAGACTCGACGCCAACGGTGCGGCCGCTGTAATCTTCGACAACCTTCATCCAGGCTGTGCGCATGTCCTTCCACTCCTTGGAACCTGGTTCCGCTACGGGCGGGTCTCGGAGGAAGAGCGTCTTCGGTAGCTGGAGATCGTCGACGATGAAGCAAGGTGAATCGTTTCCAACCGCCTGCGTAGCGGTAAGGCACCTGGATAGGACTGTCCTGGGGGTGAAGAGAAGGGTACGTGGGGACAACAGGTACTCCTGTAGGCACCAGGCTCGCGTGGCCATGCGCCCGAGTTCGTCATTGTACGATTTCCGAGTCGACGAAATCGAAGCGAAGTAGACTTGACCAACCTGCGACTGGGTTACCAAACTGCCATCCCAGCACCATACAGAGGTCAGATGATGGGGAAGGAAGATGAAGGGGAGGGCAATGTCGTGTTCTGGGGGAGGTCGCCTGTGGAGAAAGCCCTTGCTGGCTCCTTCCGCGCTGCCGGCCATAATCGTCAAATGTGCGTAGCGGTAGATGTTATGCATATGGCCGATTTCGTGGAGTTTGTCCTCTTCGGAGTCCTGGATGATGCAGAGGCTATCGACCCAGAGTAGCCGGAAGCCCAACATGTGTGTGACACGAATGGCGTCGCGGATGGTAGCGGGGAGAAGGGAAGGCGGAATGCCTTGTTCGTATGTGAATATGTTCGATTTCGTGGTCTTGTGGATTTGGTCCCCGCCCCATACGTAACTGAGTGCGAGGTATTCACCGCGCTCCCCGTCGATTGTTGCGACCAGCCGTGGTCGAGAGAGGTTCGTGCAGTCCACGAGGCGCGCAGGGAGGCGAAGGCCAGGAGACGCTGCGCTTTTACAACGCGTGTGTCCGTGGAGGCACTTGTCGATATGCTCTGTTGCAAGGGCTAGAGCACGACGAGATCCTATGTCTAGGATGGGGCCCCGTGTTGCAATATAGGGCGCTGCGGGGTCATCTAATAATGTCTATTAGTTCTATGTTTGCCCTCGGCTTGATATTGCCTGTATATACTTTGACATACCTGGAGCCGTGTACACACATCCTTCAAAACAGGGCACCCCGTTGATGTCCACATACAATGTTTGATACCTTTGGCCGGCCCGCTTCTGCTCCCGGCCCCGCACCGTGACGATCAACCCATTGTTTTTCTCCAGCTTGTGGTCGCGTGCCATATTGAGGATGAAGCGACACCATACGCAGCCAGTGTCTGCACGAGATTGTAACTTTGTCAGTGAGACCAAGTTCGAGAAGGGTTGTGGCCAGCGCGAGTCCCTTTGTCCGCCTCGCGGCCACACGCAGGGAGGCCCAAGGTACCAGGGCAAGGGACCCTCCCAGCATGCGTTGCAGACAAATGGAGGCGTAGGCGGAAGGGGGAGATCATCAACACGATCGGCGAGAAAGAAGGGCAGTTGCTGAGAGAGGGTGAATTCCGAGTCCACGGGGGGAAAGCCCAATTGAGAGAGGGTGGCTTTCATATTGAGGACGAAGAAAGGGCCCGGGGGAAGGGGGGTTCGTGGAGAGGATGCGATGGGATGAGAGTAAACCAGGAGGAAAAGGACGGGGCCCGGGAGCGGCCCATTTCTGCTGTACGTGGTTCATAAATGCACTTCTTAGCGCCTTTGCAGGCTGTGCTGCGTTCTCTGGAGCAAAGTGCGGTTCCATTCGAGCAGCAGGAGCACAGCAAGAGTGACATATGGCGGATTTTGTGCGCAGGGGAACGAATAAGACTGCCAAGAGGGCGATGACAGGTACGACATCCCGGACAAGACGCTTGGAAAGCTAGTACCGCATTTTTGAGCATCCAGCGATAGATGCGCTATTCAAGGACGCCGGGGAACGCACCCAGCATGGGGCCAACGGGCCTCAGACAGACGTGCATGGAGTATAATGCCGCGCACACCGAAAGAAGCTATCGGATAATGAGTTTTTGCAGTGGTAGTATACCTACTCGCCGTCCGCACGCGAATTGATTACAGAAACGTACCATGCGAGCTCAAGGCCGCGCAAGGCCGCGCGAATGAACCGAACCGACTCCAAAAATAAGGCACTGCGAGCGCCGTGGTGCGACGGAACAGGCGATGGGTATCTACAGAGGTAGCCGAAATTTTAGCCAGCTGCAAGCGCCATAAGCAGGACACGCACCTGTGACCATGCGTGGCATGGGCAGCACCAGACAGACAACCAGATCGTCAGTGGAAGACAAAATTGATGGCTTCGTCCTAGTGACCTCTAGTCTGGAGAAAACGTGTTTTGTCGGTGGCGGCAGGAGGCAAGCGCAGGCAAGCGCCAGTCAGAGCAACTCCCGGACATTTGTTAAGCTAGGCGCCCAGTAGTTCTCCGCAGACGAGGAGGAGCTCGTTCAAACGAGCACCACCTCCGCCCACGGTAGCCCATCCGGATCGATTTCCAATGTTTCGGAAGAGCGTAGAGTGAAGCACCCAATCCTGCGATACGTCTTCCCGTTCTCCGCGCCGTCCGTGCCAACGGGCGCAACGACGAGACCCTCCAACCGCTCAGTCGTGCTCCGCAAAAGGGGCACGATCCACGCGCTGTGAATGTCCGCATCCGCAGCGCAGTCGATCTTTTTTTTTTTTAGAGGTGCACCCTAGCTTCCAGGCCGTGGGCCTTCTACCAGGTGAGCAAGGTATAGGGGGATCGCACCCACTGCACCAGGGAGGAAATGCGTTACGCACGTTGTGTGGGACTCTTCCTCAGTCCGGTACGGGCACGTGACCGCTCAGTCTACTCGTACACGGGGACATACCCACTAAAACCTCCTGTTCGTCGATCCAATCATCTGGTAGATCCTTCTCGTCTTGCAGGGTGCCGGCCCACGTAGCTAGGACAAGTTCCCGCGGCAACCGTGCTTTCTTCCATCTCTTGTGCGTCAGCGCTATGTCCCTCTTGAGTCTGAGGTTCATCGCCGCCAACCATCGGAGTCGCAGCTCCTTCTGGGTGTGCCATCTCTCCACCGTGTTCTCCCTCTCGATCACTCTCTCACATCTTACCTTCCAGATTAGATGGGCTGTCTCCGCCACGACTATACGCAGCAGTCTGTCCGCGCCTTGGTTCTTGCGCCCCGTCAGGCCCTCCATGGACAGAGATGGCCCCGCTATCATGGCCCCGAAAGTCAGCGGGGGGTGCTCCACGCGTTTGCCGCGTAGCATGTTCGTCGCCAGCGCCCAGAGCAGGCCTCTGCCTGGGGCGTCGCATTCGGCAAGGACATGTTCCATTGTCTCGGGCACTTCGCACTTCGCGCAGATCCCTCGGGCCTCGTAGCCCGGTATGTTGTTCCAGTAGGTGCCCAGCTTGTATGCGTCGTGCATACATTTCCACAGGAAGTCCCTCGTGCGTTTCGCCACTTCGGGCTTGCGTATGTTCTTCCACAGGGACTTGGACGTGGGGTGCAGTTTATAGTCGTCCTCTAGGGTTGCTTGGATCCTCCCTAGCACGATCCCCGTGGCTCGGCGCTCCGGCCTGGCGCTCCGGAGCCTCACCCCCTTGTACGCAAGCCTCTGGGTGAGCCTGGCTAGACTGGCCCCCTTGAGAATGAAGCTGTCGTCGTGCGCGACGCCGTCCGCTCCCGCAGGGGGGTGGGGCAGCCGGGCACCTTCCGCGGCGAGCTCGTCGGCCTTCTCATTGCCGTCGACCCCGCTATGGCCTTTTACCCAGCGCAGCCAGGTCGGCGCACTCCGGGTTCTGAGCAGTGCAACCGCTTTCTGGAGCTCCGCGCTGTTGGCTACGCCGATCCAACCGCGGTCTTCCCAACCTCTCAAGTCTCTGGTAAGTCCGTGGTACAGATATTTCGAGTCCGTGGCTATTGTCAGCGGGGCGAAGGGGGGTGTCTTGGCGGCCGCCAAGGCCACCGCGTAGATCTCGCCGGTTTGGTTTGATTGGGTGCGCCCCGGTACCCTGGCCGCCGTGTTGCGCGTATCTCCCTCTCCAAAGTATGCGCCCGACCCAGCGGCGGCGTTCTCACACCCGTTGTCGTTGCAGGAGCCGTCTGTGTAGACTGTCACGGACTCGCTGGGCACTTGGAAAGCCCCCACTCGCCTGCGAGCTGGCGCCGTGCCTTGTTCGCCCTCCGGCAGGAAGACTCGGAAGGCCCGTGAGACCGGCAGCCCCACGGAGATCGAGGGATCGAAGAGCAGGTCGCCCTCCTCCGCGGCCGCGTTCGAGTTACGTTCACGTCTCGTGGGCGTCAGGCTCAGACCGTCGTCCTGCTGCGTCGCCGGCTTCCACTTCTGCACAATCTTGTCTACCGCCTTGCGGGCCGCCACGGCGCACGCGTGCGGGTCGGGACAGCCCCGCTCTTCGCGATCAGTTTGGCAGGGCGCGCATGCGCAAGTTCTACCCGAACGGTGGGCGCCTGCCGCGCCCGCTACGACTTGCAGCCTGGCCGCCACCGCTAGGCAGTCCGCGACGGTGCGGACTGCATGGACTTTGCGGAGGCACTTGTTCGCCTTCGTGTTCTCCGTCCTCCTGCCAGGGACTGCCCCTAGATGGTACCACACGGGGAGGCTATCTTGCAGTCCCCTTTTGGGGTTCGGCGACTCTACCCTCACGCCGTGTTTCTTGGCTGTCTTTATCATTTGCGCGAGGCTGCGCGGCAGCCCCGCTTTTGCCCTCGTGCTGACCTCCCAGGACTGCATGAAGACGTTTATCCTCGCGTCCTCGTCCACGGCCCTGGATCCGCACGCCGGCGCTCGTGCTAGGAGTGCATCCGCTACCGTGGCCCACCGCGGACGGTTGGGTGAGATGTCCAGGTAGCTCTTGAGCCACATCAGGTCAATGGCCTCATTTCTTGCCTTGATGTCGAGCATCGCCAGACCGCCTTCCTGTATGGGCAACATCAGGGTGTCCTTTCCAACCCTGGGGCGCCTCGTACCCGCCCACATGAAGTTCACCGCCAACTTCTCCAGCCGGTCTTCGATCGACTTGGGCATGCCCTGCACTCGTGCAAGATATTGGGTACGTCCGCCCATCTCCATGTTTAGGATGAGTCTTCTACCTTGACTGGTGGGGTTTCTTTTGTCCCATCGTGTTAGGTTCTCTTCTATGGCTGCCACAACATTGTGCCAGGGCACAGCGTTGTCTACGCGGTTCCCGACCCACGCGCCCAGGGTGCGCACGGCCTCCCCGTCTCCCGCCACTCTCAAGCCAGCCGGAAACGGAGTGCCGCCCTCGGCTATGCTCCTGCGCTCCCTCACCGCCTGGCGGTATTCTTCCGGTCCAACCGGTATGATTTCTGTCTTCTCCCCGTTGAATTTAGCCCTAGCCGCAGCGCACCACGCTTCTAGGATTGACAGCAAGTCCCCATAGTCGTCCCTCGCGCTGAGGAAAACTGTCGTATCGTCCGCGAAGAGAGTGGCTATGAGTCTCTCCGCCGAGCCTGGTATGTCAAGTCCAGCGAGCCCGGAGCTCCTGAGGGCTGACGCTAACGGTTCGATCGCGACGTTGAAGAGCAGACAGGAGAGGGGGTCACCTTGCCTGACCCCCCGTACTATGCGGAAGCACTCACTCAAGACTCCATTTAGCATTACATGGCTGGTCGCCGCCTCGTACAGCGCCTTCACCGTGTCGATGAAGCTCTGCGGGAAATTCATTCTTTCTAGTACTTTCCATAGGTAAGTGTGGCTTATTTTGTCGTATGCTTTCTCTTGGTCTAGCGCGACGATGACGCCTTCTACATTTTCAGTTTCTGCGAAGTCTATGACGAGCTGGGTTAGCTTTATGTTGTCGTGGATCTTACGTCCCCGTATGAAGCCCGCCTGGTCCGGGTGGATGAGCGACTCGATGCAGTCAGTGAGTTTGTTAGTAATCGCTTTGGTAAGGATTTTGTAGTCTGCGTTTAGCACGGTGATTGGCCTGTAGTTAACTATGAGCCGCCTGTCCCCCTTTTTGTAGATTGGGCAGATCCATCCCTTCGCGAAGTCGCTGTTCGGGGCCACTCCGTGCGCCTCGATGTCGTTGAAAACCACGCGCAGCAGTCCTACCAGGTCGAAGGCCGGGCGCCCTGCTTTGGTATCCGCCGCGAACTTTCTCACTAGCTCCTGCCACAGTTCCGCGGGCAGTCCGTCTAGGCCCGCGGCCTTTCCTTTCGCTGCCTCCATAACAGCGGTAAGCACGTCTTCGGTTTGGAGCTCTCTGCCTAGCTCGTTCTTCTGCGCGGTCGTCAAGGTGACGTCGACGTGCTCCAGAGCTCGGTCTATCGCCTGCTGGTGTGTGCTTTCTAGGTCCTGCATGTCGTCCGTTTGGACTCCGTCGTAGTGCGCTCTTGCGATCTCGGCCATGCTTTCCGATCTGGATGTGTACGACGCTGGGGCGCTTCCTCCAACCCGCAGCTCGTAGAAGGGCGAGTGGGGCGTCTTCGCCTTGCCTTGCCGCACCCAGAACTTTGTCATTGTTTCTCCGTCGACCCACTGTTTGGTCTGCAAGCCCTCTCTCTGGTGCTCGAAACGTCTCTCTTCCAGTTTTGCCAGTTTTTTCTGCAGCAGGGCTGCCGTCTCCTTCACTCGGTCTGCTGCCTCCTCGCCGGTACCTGCGCCGGCGTCGCCATTTAGCGTGTTCTTGATCGCCTCTCGGAGGCTGTTTATCTTTTGGTCCCATTTCGCGTATAGCTTCTTCGTTCTCTCTTTCGCCAGCTTTCTGACGTCCTCTTTGAAGCTCAGATATATGCGTTGTGGGCTGTTTTCGTCGCCCCCCGACGCGGCTGCCCTCGCCTCCGTCAGCGCCTTTATCCCTATGGCGGCCACATCGCCCAGGAACGCTGGGTCTCTTATCACCGCAGTCGACAGGGTCCACCGCCCTTTCCCGACATACGGCGTGTTGTAGTTGGCAATCGAGCAGACTGCAAGCTGGTGGTCGGTGTGCACGCCCGATCCTATGATGTCCCAGTCCGCGGTGCGGTCAACAAGGTCCGTGGACACATATATTCTATCTATCCTGGACTGACTGCCAGTGCTCTGTTGCAGGTAGGTGAAGGCTTTCACCCCCGGGGAGGTCTCCCTCCAGCCGTCGCACAGTCCGAGGTCGTTCACGAGAGTCCGAAGCGCGCCGGCGGCCTCCTCGTTGTCGGATCTTTGGGGAAGCCTGTCTATGGGGTCCTCTACGACGTTACAGTCCCCCATGACAACGTCAGGTTTCGCTACCCCTGCGGCCCGTATCGCATCCCGGATGTTCCCCCAGAAGGCCGCGTTCTCCGCCATGCTATTGGGTGCGTAGACATTCAGGATTCGCAGCCTGTTCGCGGCACCCCAGCCCATGTCGAGGAGTAGTGCTCTCCCCGGCACGACCACTTTGACCTCCGCTCGTTCCGCGTCCATCAGCCGTTTGTTGAGTACAAAGGCCACTCCTTTCGCCGCCGTTGGTGCGTCCGGGTCAGGAGAGCACATAACGCGTATGGATGATTCGAAAAGGTCGTTAAGCCTCTCGGCGCGCTCAGCTGTGAGGTGCGTTTCTTGTACTGCAAGAACTGCTATTTTCTGATCGCGTACTAGTTGGTTTATACGTAGCCATTTCTCGCTGGTGTCGAGTCCAGCGGGGGCGCATCCTAGCCCCCTCATGTTTATGGTAGCCATTTTTACTCTAGCTCTGGTCTTCCTCGCTCTTGCGTCTCCCCGCCCTCTCTCACTTCTGGGTTGCGCAGTCGATTGGGCACCTCCGGAGGCCCGCCTCTCGGGGGTGCCGTCTCCGCTGCGCGCCCCGCTGCCGCGTCCTTCGCCTGTATTGTAGCCTCCGTAACCAGCCGGAGGGCCGCCACCAACAGTGGCGGGCCTCTCACGGGAGCCAGGTGCGGCGGCGAGAGAACTGGCTCCTCCTTGCCCGCCAAAGCGCTGTATACCGGTTGCCGAACAATCTCCGTAGGGGTTGGTTTGTGGTGTGTGTGTTGTGTTCGTGGCTGATGGTTCCTTGGCGGCTACAGCCATGCCCGCCAAGAGCTGCTTGCCCAGTAGCTCGGTGTAGCTATGCTTCCCGCTGTCCAGCCAGCGGGGGAGCTTCAGCCTCTCGGCCCGGCTCGCTACTGACCTAAATAGGTCTCCGGTAGGGCACTCGGGGAGGCTTTCCTGTCCCTCGTCGGTCAGTATATTGGGCCTCCCCGAGGACCTCGCCCCGCGTCGAGCGCCTGCTGGGGGCATCGTCGCGTTGCGTATGGCCCTGGTCAGGGGTTTGGGTCGTGGCGGGGACGCCGTGGAGGGGTTGGGAGCGCCGCGGGCGGCTGTGCGCGGGCTCGCAGGCGGGGTGGTCAGAGGGCGCGTACGCGCTGCCGGCTCGCGGTGGTCTAGGGTAGTCGTTTTGTACCACCGTCCGTTGCTTCCCGGGTCTAATTGCATTCGCCGGGGGCGCATTTGCTTGCTCGCAGGACTTGCGGTACCGGCTAGGTCTCGTGCTGCGCCCGTGGGGGCACTGCGGGCCTCCGGCGCAGGCTAACTGTCGCCCGCGCGTGTGGAGGGATTCGAAAGTTTGCAGCGGGGGAGGGGAGCGCGGGTGCGGGCCTGGTGATATGGTCGGCCGGGTAGACGAGTGCAGAGGGCGGAGGCAGCGCCCGCATATAGGTTGTGGGCGGAGGTGGCGTATTCTCAAGGCACGGGCAGCGAGGCGGCGCGACATCGAGGGGGAAGGGGAACGTCGAGAGGACGAGGGCAAGCGGGCGAGGCCGAGACTCGTGATGCAGAGCCGAGAGGTGCCCGCATGGGGGGAGCACAGGGTGTCATTAGCGCGAGCGGGCGGCCGAGGTACAAGCTAGCCATGGCTTCTGGGGAGCCTGCGAGGCGAGGAGAGCGAGCGGGGGGCGGATGTATAGGGCTGTGTCGGGGACAGTGCGCGTCACGGGGGCGCGATTGCGTGTTCAGCGCACGCTGCGCCCCGACCGCCCAGAGCTTGCTGCCCACGCGCCGAGGCGCGTCTCCGGCGCGGTCGTCTGCGGGGCGTTGTACGGGTACCGAGCGGGCGGAGGGGGAGGTTGTGTTGGTATCCTGGACTTGGCGGGGAGCCCGCGTGCAGGCCGCTGCCGCGGACTTCCTTTCATTGGCGGGCGACTCGGGCGCGCGCGAGATTTATATTCTCGCGCGGTTTTCACAAAGTCCGTTGCGTGCTGCGTGTACGTGTCGCGGTGCACGGTCGGGCCCCTTGTGCAGCGACGCATGTTCTTCAGTTGTTGCGGGCGGTTCGGATCTCACTTCGTTCTGTGTTCGTTTTTCACGCGCGTCCTACTTTGTCGGGTGTGCGTGTTGCGTCGGGGGCCGACCGGCACGACTGTCTAATGCGCGGGGTGGGCAGGGGATTAGTTATGTGCTTTGCTGCAGGAGGGGGGCGCGGGTACGGGTAGCTCGTGCGGCTCGTGGTGCGACATCTTCGTGTTGTTCGGGTCTCTTTGGCTTGCAGCCTACTATGTACATGTTTCGCGTTCCAAGATGTAGAGATGCGTTCGGCGGGGAGTATGGTATGTGGTTCACAGGTGGTCATCGATTACGGTATCAAGATATCAGGAGGGGGAGCTGGGTCTACTGGTATGAGCCGTCGTCGTGCTGGGGGCGGCCGTAGCCATTGCCGCGACCCCTTCCCCCGCCGCGCGTGTTGTATCCGCCGCGCGGGGGGCCCATCATCGCGCCCCTACCACCGCGTCCGCGCGAGTTGCGCTGGGCCTCGTACTCCCCCCAGCCTTGGTCTGGGAAGCGTCCGGGCTGCTCGTTCTGGTAGGGGTTGTGCTGGGGCGTCTGTCCGTGGAAGCGCGCGGGTCCGTCGAAGACTGGGGCAGTGTTCGTCTGCGAGGGCCCCATGTTCGCGGGATGGGCCGTGGGCGCGCCTGGGGTGGGCGTCGCAGGCGTACCGTACATCTGCGAGCCAACGGGTGGCCCGTTCCATCCGGGCACCTTGGGGAAAGGGCAGGTGTGGGTGACGTGGTCGGCGCCGCGGCAGTACCCGCAGGTGTCCGTCGGCCGCGCAGTCCGGGTGGGGTTGTACTTGGTGCGGAATGGGACGGTCTTGACGTACTCGCGCCAGTCTAGCCACTCCTCGCTCTCCTTGCATGGGGAGGCGCAGAAGACCGAGGCGATGAACCCGCCGGGGGTGTATTCCTCGAGGTTAACACGGACAGAGTTGGCGACAGTCAGGGCCACCGCCGCGATGTCGTCGGTGCTGAGGTGCTTGTAGTCCTCGTTCTCGGCCACGTAGTCCTCTATCCTCGGCAGGATGAGGTCGCTCTTGAAAGTCGCCTGGATCGACGACTCGATGTCGTTGTCGTAGTTTTGGTAGTATGGTCCCAGGGTGATGAGCAACTCGGGCAGCCGCAGCTCGCGCTTGTGGGCAGAGAAAGAGAGCTGCTTACTAGACCAGACGAAGCCCTCAACGACTTTGGTCGCCGAGCCGTCGGACAGGCCTTCAATCGCCCAGACTCTCGGGAGCTTGGATGGCGGGGGCTTGAGGCCCCACGGAGGCTCGGGCGCGATTACCGCAAAGTCGGTCTCCTTCGTGATCTGCCGCAGTGCTTCGGTCAGGAGCCTCGTGAGCGGGGCGTTCATGCCCGCCTTCGGGTACCCGATGTTGAAGAGTCCGATAAGGATGATGCGCTTTCCTTCCTCCCATAGGTCGTCGACCCTCAGGGGGTCCAGGCCTTCGACCAGCGACTCGGGGTTTGCGAAGTAAATGCGCGGGAAGCCTCCTCTGGGTTTGGGGGTGAAGACGAAGGCCGGCGGTTGTGCTAGCGCGGGGGACGGCGTCACCATCCGCAGAGACGGTACTTGCGGGAGCTCTCCTCTGTCGTGCCACGCGGAGGGGCGTAGGTCCTGTCCCCAGGGGCTGTCCGGGGGGGCGCTCGCGTGGGCTGGGCCCGCCGCTGTCTGGGCGCGGGTTCTCAGAGCCGAGGGGACAAGTGGAGCGGCGGGGACGAGCGCCGCTGTTGCGCCACCACCCGCAGTGTGTTCATTTCGAGGTTCACCGGCGGTGGGTGGCCGCGCTGGGGCTGCTCGCGGTGCCGCGGCGACGGGGGGGTGGGCGACAGGATCGGCGGGGAGGTCCTCTGGGTCTACTTCCATGTCGCCGGCGCCGCGCGGTGGGATGTCCTCATAGGCTAGGTTGCCCGATACGGGGTGGCGCAGCGGTGCGTAGTCCTCGTCACGGAGGTGCGGGGAGGGGGGCCCGCGTGGGAGCTGAGAGCTTGTCGGGAACGCCACGGGTTCTCCAGCCTGCGCGTCCTGCGGTTGCGGAGCCTGCGCGCTCTCCTCTGCTTGTTTGCGCAGCCATTCGGCATGTATGACTTCAGCGGAGACGAACTTCGGTGCGGGGGAGGTGCTCGGAGGGGTGTGTCCAAAGGGGACCCAGTTCGCGACTTTTTCGGCCTTAGTCCTCGGCGTCGGTACGTCTTTGTACTTGCGGAAACGCAGGACGATGTTGGGCGGCGATGCCTCGGCTCCGTCTGTGCGGAGTCGCTTGCGCTTGCGCTCCTGTTCCTGCTGGAGCTCGTCGTACCCGGGGAGAGGGCGACCGTAGCGGTCTACGCGGTCGGTGACAAGGTCCTCTAGTCTGCCGCCGCTGCAGAGGTGGTCGCCTACGTCGTCGGCGAGGCAGCTCGAGGACACGCTTCCCGCTCCGTGGATGGAGAAGTTGGACAGCGCCGGGGACATCGGGGTGCGGTCTGCTGTCTCCCAGAAAGGCAGCGCCGGCGGGGTGCGCGCTTCGCTGGCGATTTCATCGTACTCGACTCCCTCTGGGGCAGCGGGGCTGGGGAATAGACTGGTCGGGATGGGGAGTCCGGGCGGGGTGCCGATTTCAGCCCCCTGCGCGGCGGTGGCGGCAGCCGCGTCGGGTTGCTCGGGCACTATGCCGCCGCTTTCCTGCTGGTGGTTGGGGCGTGGGGTGAGTTACGGAGTCTCCCTGCACACGCGTAGGTGCTCACCGGCTCTCCTTGGTTACTGCCGCTGTCAATCTGGCTAGCAGTGGTTTCCTTTGTCTTTTCAAGCGCGGCCTGGATCTAGTGTTGTCAGCGCAGCTCTAGTAGAGTGGCTGTCGGGTAACTCACAGCTCTCAGCCGTTGGGACGGGGGTGGCTGAGCGACCGTCTGGGTCTGCATTCGGGGGGTCACTGCGCCGGCCGCGGATTCCCCGGCCGCGGCCGTCGCACGTGTAGCGGAGCGGGTTCTGGGGGCTGGGGTGGGAGTGGGAGAGCGCGAGTTTTGGGCGGAGGGCATGATCGCGAGTGCGTGTTTGCGGAGGAGGGTGCTGGAGAGAGAGCGTTGGGCTGTGGGAGCTGAGGGTTGCCCGTGCCTCCGCCCTCTCTTTATCCTGCGCACCCTCCGGTGTCCGCCGTCGTTCGGGTTCTGCCCCAACGGTTCGTTAGCTGGGGGTTACGCGTCCTCTCTCGGTATGGGGGGAGGACACATGCCTAGGCATGGCACGTACCATTTTTCCCCCGACGTCGACTGACTTTTGGGCGTGCTGCATCACTGCTCGTGGGCGGGTCGGGCGCCCCGCGCACCACGTCGGGCTGCCCGGCCATGGGCGGTGGCCGTCTAAGGATTGCTACTTGCCTTGATAGCGCACCGGCCATGGTACCCCAACGGCGCCTTTCTTCTACCTCGGTCGTCGCGACAGTTCACGACGGCGGCATGCGCGGCCGTGGCGACGGCCATCGGGCACTCGCGCTCGCCCGGGTGCCTTAATGGAGGGCTGGGCGACAGTTGTCGGCCCCTCTGCGTGGTCGTAGGGCTGGGTGACGCTGGTTAGCGACACGTTCTTGAGTCTCGCCTGCTAGGGGGTGTGCCTTACTATTAATCGTTCCCGTCTGGGGGACTTAGGTCGTGGACCTTTCGGCTGGCTGTTCGTTCGGGGGGGGACGCAGATGGGAGGAGGCTGGGTAGCAATGGCGGGAGGTGGGGGGAGTACCCGGTTGCAGCGCAGTATAAGACGTGTGTTTTACGTGTAAGAGAGGCGCTCGGCATGGGCCGTGCCATATTTGGCCTCTGTGGCGCAGGCCGTGCGGTCTAGATGCGGCTCGTGGGTTTGTCTGTTCGGCGGTTGGCTCGTCCAGGCTTACGGGGTGTTGTTTGCCGTACTTCTGTTTCTCTCGTTTGTGCCATTCGTGCTCTTTCGCCGCGGCTGCAGCTCACTGCTTGTATCGGTTTTCCTGGGTGTCGACAACCTGCTTGCCGACTTGGGTCCTCATGCTCCGCCGTACGCGGTCGCCCGGCTTGATTTGTTTAGTTTGCCGTCGCCCTCCTCGGCTGCCTGCCTGGTTTGCGCTGTCGCGCGGGGGGGTACTCTCGTGAGACCTTGTGCAGGCGCACGTACTGTCAGCACGTGCCCATCGTCATGTGAGTACTCTGTTTGTCCTTGTTTAACTTTGCTTTGGGTGGGCGTTCTAGGTTTGGTGCCGCTCGATCACGCTCGCGTGGTGGATGGGCTCCTGTCCCGTCGGGCAGGCGTCTCGCTTGCATCGCCCGCGCATACGCTGTCCCGTCCGCTTGCGGAGCTCAGTGTGTTCGTCATCCCTTGCTTTCAGTTGCGTACGAGTGTCCACTGCCTTCGTGTCTCGTGAGGCTCTACAAATCGACTGTGTGGCTTTATTTTCGTGCGCTACTAGTACGTGTGTCCGGGGACCAACGCGGGGTTCCGCGCTGTTCGTCGTCACCGTGCTTCATCCCGTCTCCCCGCTCGCTCCCTTTTCATCCTCTCGCCGTCTTCGCCTTGGTCTCCTTCGCCTTTGTGCCCGTCTGGAAAATCCCGCCGACGGCTCTCCCTAGCTCGCCCAGTTCCTCGTCCGACGCCCATCTCGTGCCTTCCCCTCCGCCCGGGCCCGCGAGCTGCTTCTCGATTATTGGGGGGTAGCTCGCGAGGTCTACGGCCTTGTCTCCTCTGTGGGGGGCGGGCAGGCAGGTCACATAGTTTTGCGGCGGGTATTCTTCTCCCCAGTCTCCCTTACGTATGTTTGGTGAGCGCAGGGCGTCCCATAGCCCGGCCTCGATGGTCGTTCGGGGCATGGCGTGCAGCAGTATCGCAGCGTACCGCATCCTTCCCCATCCTTCGTTCCTGACGATGACTTCGGCGCAGACGTCGTTGACTTTCCTGGCTGCGATGACCCGGCCTTCCAGTCCGATGTCGACGCTTGTGAAGTGTGGTGGGTTGCTGGGGTTCCGGGAGGAGGCTTCGCTTCGCGGGCCAAGTAGTAGCGCGCGTACCTGGACTCCTATGTTCATGGGCTGGCCTGGCGCGAGGCCCAGGGAGAGGAGCGGGATGCCGCCGCGTAGTGGGATGGGTGGGAGTGCATCGGGCGAGCCAGTTCTCGTTCGCAGGAAGATAGTGGTGGGGGGGAGGCAGGCCATCGCGTTGGAGTGGGGGGGCTGCGTTCCTGCTTTTTATTCGCTGACGGCGAGGCGCTTGGCCCGTGCGTGTCGCCTCCGGCGCATTGTCTGGTTCAGTCCAGGCGTCGGTTCACTCGCTGTTCGTTTCCCCATCGGGGGGTTATCAGTCAGTCTTTCGGGTTTTGTTTCTGGCTGGCGGGCGCCGTTGGTTCCTTCTTCCTGTCCCGCTGGGACTCGGACAAGTGCGAAGAAGAACTTAGTCCCCGGGGGGTATTTACATTACAAGATATGCTATGTGCACGTCCTCCCGCCGCGCGCCGTTCCTTCAGGTGCTCTCTCACCTGCCTGTCCTTCGTTCCGACCTCGTCTGTTCCCCAATGGCGGCCTCCTCTCCTCCCTCGCCGGCGGCACGGCCAGCAGTCTCGGCCTAGCGGCCTCTTTTCTCCTCCTTCAGCGATGGCGAGGGGGCCATACGGGAGCGGCGTGGGGGTTTCCCTTCTGCGCCTCGGGCTGCAGGGGTCGGAGGGCGGGTCGTGGCGTGAGGTCTTCCGCCGTGTAGCGCACTTGGGGTCCACGGTTCGCCGGGTTCCGTCTGTTGAGGTCGTGTACCTCGCACCCCTCCAGTTCCGCCATGAGGATGAGGGTTTCGAGTCTGGCGGTGAGGGCTCTCCCTATGCCCTTGTCCACCATTACCCCGCTTTCGGGGATGACTTTTAGGAAGGCGTGCACAACGTCTGAGCCTTGGAAGAGGTTTTCTATCGTGATCGAGAGGTGCCCCGCCCCCAGCTCTCGTATGTCGACGATCGGCCCAACAATGGTCAGGGCCGTGTGCCTCACGAGGTTGGGGTCAACTTCTACCTCCTCATTGCGTGGTAGGAAGCTGTAGTTTGGTATGAGGGTGAGGTGGACGCAGAGGTTGAGCTGCAGGATGACTTGCGGCTGTGCCGCCACGATAAAGTGGTTGTCGGGGGCCGGCGGCGCCGGGCGCAGCTTGGGCCTCCAGACGAGTAGCGGGACGGGTGTGGGGAGTCTGGGCCGGGCCATTTCGTAGTGGGAGCTAGGGGAGGGTGGCGCGGCGTGGTGCGGAACGGCAGGTCGTTCGGTGGGCTGGCGGGGCGGGGCGGGAGGAGGGGGAGAGGGGCGGGCGTGGGTGTACGTGGCGTACTTTATTGCCAGCTGTCGGGCGGTCTTTATATATTTCATGGACCCTTGCGCGTCTTTCCTAGGCCGGTGAGACCGCTGCCTCCCTAGGTTGCCAGCTTCTACTCACCGCTGGGCACTTTCTCTGTTTTTTGGAAGAGATTTACTGTCTGGGTCGGCTCTCTGCCTATTCTCCCTGTCTGTTTTAGCATTTCGTTGCTGTATGTGGCGGCCACAAGGGTTTCATGTCGGTACGTCTCAGACGCCCCAGTTTATTGCGGTCACTTAGGAGGGAGAGGCAGCGACAACTTGTGATCTACGGCGTGGGCGGGTATCTCGCGGGTGTGCGTGCTACTTGTGTTTCTGCGGGATGCGCGGTCTGGCGCGCACCCTCGGCTTGTATTTGTTCAGGTGCGGGCCCTAAGCGCCGGCGCCTCGGCGGGACTCAGCCGGGTGGTCGGTCCGCTGGGCGCCATAGGTTCAGACTCCCATGGGCGCTATTCTCCCTTCCTCTCGGCGCTTATCGTGCTCGTCCAGGGGCCCGAGGGCCCCGTCCTCGAAAGGACTTACTCCGAGGAGCATGAGTCTCCAGCCGGGGGCTGCGCGTGCTATCTATCCTATACATCCTGCGTTGCGTGTGTTCTTACCTGCTTTGGCGTGGGGAGGGCTGGTCGCTCAGCTGGGCTCTATTTCGGTCGGTCTGTTGCCACGTTGGCTTTGGGGTGTTTTCTGCTGCTTTTCTTACTCTCATACTTTCAGCATTGCCTCTGTACTTCCATAGGTTGTGATATTCCGCTCGGTATGGCCGAGGGAGGGCCCCCACGGCCGGCGGCTCCAAAAGCCAACCGTGGGAAAACCGACCGTGATGGTGGTACGAGAGAGAGGAGCGCGGTAGCGCAGTCGATCTTTCCCCAGCCAGAGTATGCCCAGTTTAGCGCGGCCTCCTCTTCCTCGTCCAAGCCGCCGTCTCCCCAGTTGGACACGTGCCACGACGAGGCAGTCGACAACAGAACGTCGTGCGACTTTCCGTTCGGCCGCAGCTTGCACTCCACCAGCGGCGCGTGCACGACGAGAACCCCGCCCGTCACCTGCCCGAACCGCAGCTTCGGATGTTCGAGCACGACCTCGCACCGCACGACCTCTGCGACGGCGATCCACTCCAGCGGAGACCCCCACAGCGTCCTGACCCGCCCGTCCACGGCAGCCCACGACCACGACGGCGCGCGGTATCCCACAGGGCGGTGTAGGTATGTGCCCAGGCTCGCCCGTCGCCACAGCACGTCCTGGAGGAGCGTGGCGCGCCAGAGGCCTGCGAGGTAATCTGAGTCGAGGACGCGCGCGAATGCCTCCGCGATTGCGCCGCACGCGACGAGCTTGTCTGACGCCCTTCCGATCGTACGCTGGCTGTAGTCCTCCGCAATGTGACACCACCCGCGGTACAGCTTGGCCCATTTCTCCGAGCCGTGCTCAAGGGCCGGCGGGTCCGGGAGGAAGAGCATGGAAGGCAGCCGCCGCTCGCCGCACGGCTTGTAGTGCGTGGTGCCCACGTTTTGCGTAACGCTGGGGCACATGAAGCGGAGCGTTTCGGACGTGAAGATGAGCGCGCGGGGGGACATAAAGTACTCCTGCATGCACCAGCCGCGCGCACTGATGGGGTCCCAGTGGCGGTGGTACGGCGGGTGATCCGCGCGGCGGGTCCACGTCTGGGAGACGTGCACCTCGCCCGCTATGCTCTCTCCGGACGAGGAAAGGGGCGGGGGACAGATGAACGGAAGGGCGATGTCGCGAGGTGGGGCCGGGCGGTCTTGCAGGAAGCCCTCGCTAACTGTGCGGGCGCTGGCGGCGATAATGGTCAGGTGCGCGTAGCGGTAGATGTAATGCATGCACGCAAGCTCGTGCCGCTTGTCCTCATCCGAGTCCTGGATGATGCATAGACAGTCGGCCCAGAGGTACTGAAATCCGAGGGCGTGAGTGACGCGGATAGCATCCCGAATAGTCTTGGGGAGCAGGGAGGGATCGATCCCAGTCGAAGTGTATGCGTCCACGTTGCGTTCCGTCGTCGAATGGGGCTGCGCCTCACCCCACACGTAGCTGAGGGCGAGATATTTCCCGCGTTTTCCAGCTGTCAAGGTGAGACGTGGGCGTTCGGGGTCGGCACAATCGACGACATGCGTCGGGAGGAGGGGATCGAGAGAGGCCACAAGTGGGAGACACCGTTGGTGTCCTTGTACGCACTCGTCGACACATCTTCTTGCGAGCGAGAGCGCGTAGGGCGAGCCTACGTTCTGTATACGGCTTCGCCAGGCGATAAACGGGGCCGCGGGATTATCTGATGGCCACGTCAGTCGTGTGTCTGTGTGGCCAACCCAGGCGTATACGGACCCACCTCCAGTGGTGTGCACATAACCTTCGAATCGATGATTCCTGTTGACGATCACAGATAGAGTCTGGATATTATCAGGCGTATAGGTGGCTTTAGGCTTAGCTGGGTTCCCGACTCTGATCTTCACCCGCTCGTAAGGCCATTTGAATTTAGCGCTGTCCTTGCCGAAAGACCCCAGCAGGAACCGACACCACACGCAGCCCGCATCGGCGTGACTTTCAAGCTGCGGGATTGAAGTGGGGTATGAATACCCTCCAACGAACCGTGTGCGGTGTCCGGGTATTTCCTCGATTCGTTCGCTGAAGAGCCCAAGATGTGCGGCGAAGGGCCCCTCCCAGCAACTTTGGCAAATGGACGCAGGTTTGGGCGGCAGAGTACTCCTCGCAGCAAGATCGCAAGAGAAGAAAGGTAGGTGGGAAAGGTCACAATCCATAAGAGTTCATGAAAGCGGCGAAGTCTTCCGATGTATACGTTGACTGGTAGGCCTAAGGATTAGCGAGGTGAGTTTGTGGTCCCGTAGACGAAAGCTCAGGACATGGTAGCACAAGATGAGTCAGAAGGAAAGATGAAATTCGAAAACACCGTGGTCTCCAAGCCTTGTTGTGTCGTAATCCAAGGTCCGCTGGTTCTCGACTAACGCATGTACGCCGATGGCCGAGGTGCATGCACTATCAGTCGAGTTTGATCATCCTACAATGCATCGCTGGTGTAGGCTTCGACACCATATTCGAAGGCGGAAGTCATGTAAGGAATCAAGCATGCATTGATTTCCGACGAGTATCTAGACGTACATACACTAGAAAGAAGAAATGTGTTGTACGTAGAAATGTAGGGCAAACTTGAACCGTACGAGCTCCGTGACGGAACCCGCACCTTTCAACAATCGCCCATCCACCGTTGATTAGACGGTGGATGCCGTTCTTTTTGGCACTTCACCAGAACCGATTGCAGGGTGGTTGCGTTAGCACTGCTCGGGCAGAAAGAGGCCAGTCGGGGGAGAGGAAAAGGAAGGAAAAAAAGAACACAGACGGAAGCAATACGGGACGCACACCTTCCTATCAGAGCAGACGACCAGGATAAACCGCGACTACGAGCACAGAGCAGAAGATGAACCATCTAGTATTGCAGCAGCGGAGATCGTCCTTGGTGGGCACGAACATCGAGGAGAGAGTCAACGATGTGCTGAGCAAAAATTTGTCTTTTTATGCAGCTCATTGGCGCTCAAATAACAGATGCAAATAACGCGTCGCGTCGCCAAATTTGGCAGGTTTGGCATGGATGCGTGCCTCGTGCCGCGTGCTACTCCAAGTTACTGCGCTAGAATCGGTGCCTTTCCGTCGAGCGTAACGTCTGGCAAGATGATGTTGCAACGAGAATAAGTATTTTAGGCTGTTCCGGACAGTGCTATCACAAAGAACCTAGCACTGCAGTTACATAGTAGAAAGTCAGCCTATAAACAAGTCAGTAACCTCGGAAGCACGGGCTTGATAGGGCTCGAAGTCGGCGACACTGAACGGCTGTCGGAGGTAGTAGTGATTATTAAACGCATTCATAAATGATTTCGTACAAATACATAAACCAAGAAGACGATGCCAACGCACTCGCATAGGTATCTTGCGCGACTACCCTCACGCTTGCTCAACCATCCTCGCTCTCATTGAAGCGCGATTCCTTGCCCTCGCCTTCCCGTTCCGCAGACCGCGTCACGTCCAGACTGATCGCGTGCAACGGAATAGGCTCTCCCCCAAACTGGACGACCGTAGCAGGACGCTCGCTTCCCGCAACCGTAGATGGTAGGCTGTGCGACTTTGCGCCCGGCCGGCCGGCAGCGTTGACGCGGACAGTGATGAGCATAATTGAGATGCCGGTGATGGTGGGGCTGCAGTTACTGACGACCACTTGAAGCGGAGAGTGGAGCGCGTAGAGAATGATGTACCAGGCGGTCCACGCGCTGTGTGCCAGGCGTCAGCGTCGCACAAAATCGTGACCTTGCTTCATAAACGAAACGACAACGAACCTATACAAGGCCGCGCTCTCGACGAATATCGTCATCGCTTCCTGCGGTAGCGGAGGCATGACGTTAAGCTCACATACACAAGAGAGCCTGTAACGCACCAGAATGGGACTTCCGTAGCCTGCAGTAAAAAGGTCAAGCTTCTTCCGCGCTCGATTTGTAGTCCATAGGCGATATACGATCATGCCTGTCGACGTTCAGTCTCGCATGTCAACAACACGCGGAAAGGAAATCTCACTAGTTCCGTAGGTGGTATCGCTATCAGCCTGTCAGCAGATGATTGAATTGTGGGAATAAAACAAAGGGCACGTACAGAAGCGTTGCTACACAGAAGCTTATGACCCAGCGGTTGAACTCAGTCGCGAATATACTTTCATTCGGGGTAGCGGCAATCATCCTGTACATCAGACCGATTACTGTCGCTGCGGGTGTTGGAAAAACGGTCAGTAGGTAGAAGCCGGGTCAGGGACGGTGCGTCCTTACCCGCGAGGCCAATGACAGTGACTGCCGGAAGAATAATCGCTCGGTAGTCGCGTCCCCACACAAGCCAGACGCGGTAAGTCTATGGTAGGGAGAGCACAGGTGAGCCAGAGGTCTGGAGCGGACAGAAACGAGCGGGGCGTACTATGATGATGTCGCCGACAAGGAAGCCGACGAACATGAGCCCAGTCCGGATAACGTCCGTCGGCTGTCGCAGGTCAGCGTAGTACGCGGTCGCCTTAGCGGTGTCGCCCTGGTCTACGACAGCTTGGAGAAGTCGGAGGATGCCTACTATCCAGTGCTGTGACCCGCGCCAAACGTGAGTGTAGGTCATGGCTAGATGCAAAATGAGCTCGTACCGCGCTGACGATGACTACGAAGAACAGGTTGACAATGACCAGCGGCGAGTTCCTGAGGTCCCATATCAGAGCCCCCCATCGCGGTTGGGGGCTGTTGAAGGCATGCTGGCGGATCCAGAGGTAGAGGATGACAAGGGAGAGTATCAGGAATATGCCGTAGAACGTGCTCTCCAGACAAGCGGCGACGACGCTTGCGAAGAGTAACGACACCATGGTGGCGTGAGGGGATACGACGGTCTAGATGTGGGGGAAGATATCGCATCGCATGGCCGCCTTTTGGCTCGGTGGAAGAGATACCCTCCGGTGACAAACCAGCATCTCGGAGAAGCTCCGTGAGCAGCTTTGTTGTCAGAAACGCTCGACGACTCAGCAGCATCGATATCGACACCACCTCCACGGGGCGCACCGGTCGTGCCTGAACTATGCAACGACAAGGTGATGATGTCGACGCCGAGCGCGCCATTCTCATTGGAGCTGCGATAGGAAGGTTCAGAGCTTTATCAGAAAAGTGACCATACCTCGTCCGGAAGGGCTTTGCGGCGATGCAGCGCGCTACCCGCGAAGCTGGGCATTGGCCAGCGACACTGACATCGCTATTTCCGCCGAACACCGCACCACGTCCGACAGATGGCTCGGGCGGCACTCGTGGGTACTTAGCTGGTAGAGGGTTATATGTAGGATACCGAGCTGCGCGAGACGTTCACATGTCGGTTGGCTGTAGGTGACTCCGACTGACTCCCTGAGGAACCCGAGCGTAAGTGTAACAAGTCAATGGGACCTGGTGCGAGCCAACCGCACGCCAAAGCGCGTATAGGACGTCACAGCTCATACCACAGGGCCAGCCATGGGCGTTCACATTCTGGCACTGCCTCGGGATGGACCAGAAGATACGACCGGGGGAAGGGGTATGTGTTAGAGCGCCTTATGATGCACCCTTCCTTCCACTACTTCCGCGCGGAAAGATGGAAGTGAGAAGTGTGACCTAGAGTTTGATATCTAATGCGCAACGCACCTGTGCTCTATGACGCTGGTGCGGATGTCAGACCAGGGCAGTACATGCTCCCTCAAGCCTGTGGGCAAAGGGATGACTCGTGAGTAGCTCATATGATGAGATGATCAAGGAGCAGAAGCCGATACGAGAGAAAGTTATAACCTAAGAAACGCCACCAGGACACCCGACGGCGTGTTGGCATCCATGCCGCCTGCCAGTTATACTGCATCGTCGAGGTAGCATGAGAGCATCGTTACGATTAACATCGAAAGCCCGGTATACGGTTAATTTTCGTAACAATAACGTATCTCGGTGCGCACTCGGCACCAGGCCGCCCGCACCCCCATCGTCCGTTCTATGGCCACGGCCTTCTCTAGTCGCACTGAAGCAGCTCAGTCGACGGGCCTGCGTAGGGGTGGTGTGTGGTCAGAATGGTGTGTCACAACACATACTGAGGGGAGGACTTACAGGATCTCGTGGTCGGGCTTGACGTGAATCGACGCATGGCTGGGGACGCCCAGAATACGCGGGTACGCGTTCAGGTTCTTGTGCAGCGTCAGCTGGAACACAGAAGAGCCACCATGGCTGCGAAAGAAACATGGTCAGTAACTAAGACCCCATATGCTACATCCGGGATGAAGTAACGCACCGAGCAATGAGGACAGAGTACGCGAGGAAGAAGACCCAAATGCGGTACCAGCGCTCGCCGTACGCCTCGAGGACCTTCTCCTTGTTGGCCACCCAGTTCTTGTACCAGCGGAAGATCGTTGCCGAGTAGTGGACGCCGAGCACATCGATGTTCTTGACCTCGAAGCCAGCGGCCTCGACCTGGCTGACGACCCAACCGAGCGAGCACGACGCATCCGCACCAGGGAAGATATACTCGTTCATGAAGAGACCCCAGATGAGGTCTTCGTACTGCCAGTGCGGGCGGAGGCCGGCAACTTGGAGCAGGAAGATGCCGTCGTCGTCGAGGAGGTTGTAGATCTGGCGGAGGAAGGACTGGTAGCGACGGATTCCGACGTGCTCAGCCATCTCGAGCGACACAATCTTGGTGTACGCGCCACGGCCGCTGGGGATGTCGCGGTAGTCGAGGCAGAGGATGCGCGCGCGCGAGGGGTCACCACCGTTCTTCTTGATGCGGTCGTTGCCGAACTGGGTCTGCTTCTTTGCGATGGTGATGCCAGTGACGTCGCAGCCGTAGTTCTTGTGCGCAAACGCGGAGAGAGTGCCCCATCCACAGCCGATGTCAAGGAGGCGATCTTCGGGCTTGAGGTTAAGCTACGGATAGTAGGTGAGCCTCTTGCCAGCAAATGATGAAGGCTATTGCTTACCTTCTCGCAGACGACGGTGAGCTTGTTGTCCTGGAGCTCCTCGAGCGTCTCCTCGCGGGTGATGTCGGTGACGATGCCAGAGGTGTAAATCATGCGCGGACCGAGGAACCACTCGTAGAAGTCATCACCCCCTGCGAAGGTACGTGAGCGACGCGTCAAGACGCGAGAAAACGCGTGACGTACTGTCGTAGGTATCGCGGACCTGCTCCTCATCCTGGTTTTGGGTGTGGAAGATGACCTCGGGCAACATCTGGGTAAACACGTATTTGAACAGCTTGGGCGTGAACACCATCTTCGACCAGTCGTGGCGGGCCTCCATAATGTCCAGGACGTCGCCTGGAAGGGAGCGAACGCGTTTCTTTAGGTGCCAGGTCACAGGCACGGACTGCGCAACATACCGTTGAAGTCGATCTTCTCGTCAAAGTACGCGTCGTGGAAGACCTGCATGGGGATCTTCTCCTTGCCAAAGTAAGTTGCCTTGAGCTCGGGGTCCTTGATGGTGATGTACTCCTCAATGTTGCGGCCGGGCAGCTGGACCTTCTCGTTCACCCGCGGGCCGTACCTACTCATCACCGTCCAATACGCGATGGTGATGGGCAGGCCGAGCACAAGCACGAGGAAGAGGTAGGTCTTGAAGCCGCCATAGCATAGGACGGGGAGGGAACGCTTGACGACCCACGGCACGCCGAGGACGAGCGCAGCGAGCTGGTAGTTGGAGAAGTACCCGTTACCCTCGACGAGGCCGATGAGGGGCGCATTTTTAATGGTGGGCACGTTCGTGATGGTGGGGGCGTTGGCCGACATTGCGAACGAGGACGGGCGTCGTCGCGGGGAGTCGTGTGCTGGTCGTGAAGCGCGTCGTGGCAGGAGGGAGAGCACAGCGACGTCGACACGTCGCGTTCGTTGGCGCGTATTTAGCCTCTCAAATTCATAGGCGCTCGTCCCGCTAAACGAGCTTCGCCATCACGCCGCCCTTCTCCGGGCGCGTGGCATGAAATTCGGATCCGCACATACGCTGCTTGCCGCGGTGGCCTCCTCTGCGCGTTCATGTGCGGCCAGCATCGATTGAAACATAATACAGCTCGCAAGCCATCCGCATTCGCCTTAGGGGAAATGCAAGCCAGGTACAGCGCATGAAGCGCCATGCAATACCGGTCATTCAAATTCGACCGCCCGCAGTGCGCGCGACGAGTTCACGAGATGCTGGGCGACAGCACGCGTCGGCGGTCGGGAACTCCGGAGTGGATAGCAGCATCGTACGATGCAGCATTAAATGTTAACCACAAACATGACCGCAATGCTGCTCCAGTTACGTTAGTGTGATACCTCGTGACGAACACGCTCAGGCTCAGCCTTCGAGGTCTGAGAGCTCTTCCTTGTCCAGTGGGAGGTATGCTTTATGCCTCTTCGTCCTCTGAGCTCTCCGCGTCCTCGTCGACGGCGCCGGGTACCGCAGTCTTGTTCACAATGACGTCGCGTCATAGCGTTTCTTCTCCCGATACGGGTTGTTGCGGAACTCGCCCTTCTTGATAACTGCTGACTGGGGCACGATGCCCTTCGGGTTGAGGTACCCGAGGTGGCGGCCCGCGTACGCATCGACAGACCGGATCCAACCGTCTAAGCTGACAGACGTAGTCAGCGTCGCGGGTTGCCGTAAAAGGAGGGAAGACAGGAGTTGATGGTAAGGGAACAGGGACGCACATGCTATGCTGGTCCTCTATCGAACGCATTTTCGCGTATATATGGTGCTCCTTGAAATCGTCCAGCTGCGCGTGATGCAACTCGAAGTCGATGGGGGCGCGGTACTCGGCATGATCCTCCTTCAGCTTTGCGTTCACGCCGTGCAGGCCTCTGCTGTATCTCTCGAAGATCGGGTACTCAAGCAGCAGCCCGAGCACCGGTAACTTCGGAATAAACACCAGTCGCAGCCTGCGGCGCACGCGGGAGCCAATGCGACAGATAGACGGACGGCGGAGAGGGCGGGAGAAGTGGTACGTCTTCGATTGATTGGGGAGATGGCCCGCCGACATGAGAGCATAAGTCCGGATATCACCTTACGCTGAAAGCGAGGCGATGTGCTCCACATTCATGTAGCTCGGTGTCCGAACGTGCCTACGATCTGGCTGGGGTGAGCTGTCTGCGCGTTGCAACATCGACAACGAAACGGAGGCCGCACCTCAGGCTGATGCCACACGAAGCTCTGAGCACGGCTATCCATTCTGTGTCGCCGTATACTGCGGGGTCGAAATATCTAGCACCTCTGAGCGCGCTGGTCCGTTTCATACCGGGAATGAGCAACATGTTTCGCCGCGCGGGTGGAGGTGTGTCTTGGAGATCTAGAGGTGCCAGTGGCTGAGTAGGTTCACACAGCGTGCGAACTTCGGGTAGCCCCGAATGCTTCGCCGCGCGGACCCTCGCGGACCTTTCGAAGCCTCCACGACGGTCAACGCAAAGAAGCACACAGCGCTTCATTCGAACATTTTTCCGCTCGTTCGATTTCTCGCTGGGACCAGTGTACGTACGCTTATGGTCCGCGGAGCGCCCCTACGCGCGGCAGTCGTCGTGCGGTGCACAAATATATTACGGTTTTTACCCTTAGCCAGGCCACCATTCTCAAACCTGAACTGACAGTTTTCTCCTGAAGCTACATTCTGACGACTCCTCGGGTCGACTCTGTGCATCACTCTGGGAAGACCCCACACACTTCCTTGTGGAACGACCTTCTGAAAGACACGTAGAGAGCTGCCGGCATAAAGGTATGTTCAAGTATACTCGTATAAAACAGACGATCTCTTCCTATGATTTCCTCGACGTTGTCACGGCCTGGCGATGTCTCGCAGACATGGCAGTTCGAGCTACAGAATATTCAGTGCTTTAAGCTTTTCGATTACCACCAGTGCTCAGCTGCTCCTTCTGGATCACACACACGTGTGGCTGGGGTTTTAAGTGCGGATAGCTCTGTCAGGAGGTGGCAGACCGCGACCTGCAAGAGCCCATCATGCGCCTAACGTTCGGCGTGACGGGTCGAGGCGGATTCCGGATTCCCGCACTAGGAGCGCTCTATCCAGTTGCCCGGTCTGCCGAGTGGTTTTGCGGCCGAAGAGGGGTACCAAGCGCGAGCTAGAGGCGTCGTTGAACGAGGTGAGTATTTGCTGCGTGGGGACGCGCGTCGTCCTTGTCCCCAAATCTCATAAGCTTGTCTTTCATTTGCTCACTCCTTCCACGACCACCCTCACGACACTGAACGACCCTTGAGTATAAATTTAGTGGGCATGGTCGATAAGTCCGAGTCGCCAGACTACGCAGACCTTGTCTCCCCTAGGGAGACGGTGGTGACGATCACACCAACCGCAGACCCGTCGGCGGCCTCTCTCACAATGCATTTATCAACGCCAAGAAGCTACCTTGAATCCTCCAAAGGAATACGCTACTCCCGCCGTCAGGGCACGAATAATCGTTCCTAGGTTTAATCTCCACAAGGCGCTCGCCCTGAGCGCTCCTACTGTCCACAAGTGACGGGTCTCCGTTCTATCGAAGTCAGTAGATCTCGGCGCTGAGCGCTGATGTGCAACATACCAATGCTCATTGTCATTGCTCTCGTACAGAGTCATCACTATATCCGCAACCGGCTGGTCAATCTGTCAGCCATGTGTGCTCGGTGGACCTCCGCTGATGTCTTCGCCTTCCATCTACAGGGCGCTACGAATCGGAGCTCTATTAGACAAGCCAGTCGGTAACTTCCTTTGACGTTACGCAGATCGCATCTTGCTGACCCACGGACCCCGGCACGATCTCTAGATTTGGTCTTTCAAATATCCATTTGGAGTTGACGTAGCGGGCGGGTAGACCGCGTATACAGGGATATTCTATATTGCCATTGCGAGGTGAGTGTGCCGGTGGTTCTTCCCGCGCAAGAGAGTTTTGTTCTGACCGCCTGCACTTCCGACAGGCCGCACTATGGTGCCAAATTCGCCGATTTAACAGCTCACACATTTTTAACCGTAAGCCGTCACTCGCCCTCGGTGCAATCCGCTCATACGTATATATCTACAGAATCCCGTTGCTTCCCTGCAGCACGACGGAGAAATGCAAGCGATCAGCGACACCTGGCGCCCCGTAACGGTCTCACTCGGTAAACTCAGGCCACATCACCTCAGACCCTTCAACTTCGCAACTCCCGCGGCATCCACAGGGTTCATCGAGAAATGCGATACCGTGCACGAGTACCTACACCCACCCTGACTTACCCTAACGTCGGATAGGTACACCAGCCCTGCACTCCCCTATTATGCAGCCGACCGATCAACATCCACCCGTCGTAGGAACGGCCTCGCTATCATCGAAAGTCCCGTGCGGAGGCTCTGCGCCCGCGTCTCGCTCCACTACCAGGCGGCCACGCCTTACGGGCTGAGCGGCAGCATCGCGAATCCCACCGAGGAACCCATCAGGAAGGTTGACCTTCCTGGGCCCGGACACGATCATATGCATCCGCATCACGTAAGACGTTGATACCGGCACGTTCGTCGCTAGATACACGTGCGCAGGGTCAACGCTTGCGTTCCTTGAGGCGTACCACAAGGTGAAGACGCTGGATATGAAGAATTTGATAGGAGGGTGAATTACGAGCTCTGACAACGCGACTAGACAACTCCAGGACTTGTTTCTCACGACGGTTTCCAGAAGACGTCATGTCTTTGGACGCTATGACGGGGGTAATCCCGGTGAGTCGGGCACTGCTTTCCAAGGCCGGTCGTGATGTCTGAGAATATAGTATCCCTTCGAAGCACCGATCCTTGAACCAACCAGATATCCGAGAGCTCGGCGAAGCGTGCCCCGACACTTCGTTGCATGTAGATGGCTCTCAACATTACGGAAGACACGATACAGCATCTCAGACGGGCACCTTGCAAGTGGATGGTGCTGTCAGGGGATTGTCCACCTTGCATTGCGCACGCGGTACGATGAGGTACTGTGTACCCTCAAACCGTAAGGGATACACTGAGCTCGGGACGACGAAGGCGGTCATGAGCGAGGTCCACCTCCGACCTGCATTTCGCATTCAGCGTGGCATTTTCTCGATTTTTCGAATATTACGGCGGCTCTGGGTCGTATAAAACCTTGCGATTTTGCGCCTTTCCCCTCAGCGGATACACAGCTCTGACCGGCAGCGTACTCCCAGCTCCCCTCCTCCTCACGCCATCGTCTCCAAATGGCTCTCGGGTCAAAGACCCTGAACTTCGAGAGGCATGTCTTCCTCTTTCTTAACTTCTTACGCATGTGCTGATACAGTAGATGCAAACTTCTTCAGCAGCAACCTAGGTGGTGATGTCGCCTGTACCCTGCTGCTCTGCCTCACCGGTGGGGACCCCGTCGAGCCGACGGTGCACGAACGTCCTGTCATATGGAAGTTAGTTAATATCCATGATCTCTCCTTGATAATGTCTCACCATTCTACCTCGAATAGGACCTCTTTGTCTTCTACTGGTTGGTTGATCATCGACCTCACGCTACAAGTCTACCGCTGAAACGATACCTTAATTGCACAGAAATCTCCAAAGCCACCTACGTTTGGAACGGAAGGTCAGTAGCGCTTGCTGGAGCTATGCTCTGTTTTTCTAAGCTCATGGCATGATAGGATGGCCTTCCACACGCATCAGATTGACATCAGCCCGAGCGAGTGTGTAAGTAGCACGGAGAGAATTATCAAGGTTCGACCTCCAGTAATACTTCACGTTTGATTGTTTGGCCAATCATATACTCCACCAGCCCGGCGAGAGGACTGCGCTCGTCACGGAACCTATCCAGTGCGGGTCCCCTCCGCTTTACGTTTTTCGCGTGAGCATATCTCTTCTGTCGGGTGAACAACCTTCGCTAAAATTGTTCTAGGATCCCACTCCTTTCGAGAAATCATCTTCCGTCGCTGCAGTGAATGAAACCGATCGCACCATGTCCGTCTCCTTTGGTGAGTCTATGCCTTCGGTTCTCCGTGAGCGTGGAGACTCATGCGCCGCTGCGGCAGGGTACGCGATGAACTCGGGCGTCATCCATGATGTCCGTACATGGAAGAACCTGGGGTGTGTATCATCTTTACTTTGTGTTACTATCGGCCGCTCACATCGACGTATCGCGCCGCGCAGAGTTGGAATGCGGGCTGAACCCGACAAAAAATACCTCGATCCCATCCTCTCAATCTACATGGGACACGCGGACACGGTGGTTGGCGAACATATCCAGACCGACAAGCCGATCTGGAAGAAGGCCCTATCCGATATAGGTCCAGCCACCAAAATTAGTATCACAAGGAACGCAAAGCAGGGTTTCGTAGCCGACAGCGAGGAGATTCCGGTCGGTTGCCCGTGCCATTGTGATGCCGACCAGAGGACCAGGGTGCGTCTCGGGTAGCGCCGCAGTTAGGGTCGGAGAGCGTATAACTAATGATCGTTCCTAGGGGTCCGGCTGCTGCCCTCCTACATCTAAATCGGTAGAGAAAAAGGAGGTGAAACCTCCTACTCCCGATCAGGACGGACCGTGCTGCTCAGGTTGTCACCCCGGGAAGGGCAAAGAGCCGGAACATCGCGCCACTGAGCCAACCTGCACCCCCACTACTCGGCCTCCGCCCATAGCGCCGCCTGCTCCTCCCGTTGAGCCAACTCGCACTCCTAATGAGCCTCGCCGCGCTGCTGCCGGGCGCATCGATCTCGCTGCCCAGCTCACAGTGTCTGTCTCTGTCACTGGGCACCCCTCTACTTCAGCCGAGGGAAATCCGTCCCCCGAGTCCCCCACCCCTCCTGGCTCTCCTGAGGACCAACCACCTTCGTCCGCGGAGCAGACCCCGGGGCCCGCCGCCCCCGATCCTGTCACTGAACCAACGCCTTGTTCTAAGCCCCCTCCGGAGGCGCCCCCCAAAGCACCTGCTGAGAAACTGGACCCACCCGCCCGAGCCGGTCCTGCTGAGCTGAAAGCCACGGCTTCTATTCGCTGGGGGGTGCCCGAGTCCACCACTCATGCCGAGCAAACCCCGTCGCCTGCCATTCGACCCACGAAACTTGTCGCCTCCGCTGAGCAAACCAAGACCATCACCAGTACTATTGCTCCCACCCAGCACACGTCCTCGCTCGAAGCTTCCTCCGGCCCTTCTGAACAGACCCGCGCGTTCGCAGCTCCTGTGCAGCTGACAGTGATGCCCTGCGCTCTTGCCCAACAAATGACCACGTTCGCCGGTCAGACGGGGCTACCGTTCATCACTCAACTGCTCACAGCACCTGTTCCTGCTGGGTGGCCAGCTGCCTTGCTCGCGGCTCTTGCTACAGGGCAGATCTTCTGGTCCCTCCCATCGGCAAACGCGCAGGTTTTCTATACGACAGCGGGGAACGACATCAATTTCGAGATCAAACTGTCGGTGAGGGTAGCGGGGCGTCGCGGCTGAGCCAGACGCCACGCTGAGCGGGAACGTAGCGACGCGGGTCGGACGTCTCTTCGGGGAGGGCAAAGTGCGCGCCGGCGGCGGCGCACAGAGCGCGGATATTGTCTCGTTGCTATATTTCGCATGGTTCGTTCTACTCACAGCCTCGCCCATCGCCTCGCGCGGGTCATCCAGGGCGAGGCCCGCCACTTCTTTCCTTGTCTCTGCTTACTCCCAAAATTCGCGCTCATCGCGGAGCCCCTCTCTACCTTCTTTTTTCTGTGTGTTACTTACGGGTCGCGTGGATCTGGTGACGGATAGCGCGTACCATCGCACGTCGCACCTGTTATCATAGCCTTGTCGTCGACCGGTCTCATCCTCCTTGTACAACATAAGCCATATACATGTCATTGCGCTACCAAAAGACGCTGTGTTCCTTGTCAGCGTACTCCGTCGCGACCTCAAGATTCTGACGAACCTGCTGCACAGACAGTGCCGCGACTCTGGGCGTGGATACGAGTCATACGACCGCACGGCGCAACGCAACCGGATTTTAGAGGCGCTGAGCGATAGAACGCGTCGGCGGCCGGGCACTCCGGAATGGAGACCAGCGTCGTCGCACGATGCGGCATTAAATGTGACATACAGACATGACATATGCGCGAGACTGCTCCAATTACATTAGTGTGATACCTCGCGGCGAGCACGCTGAGGCTCAGCCTTCGAGGTCTGCGAGCGCTTCCTTATCCAGAGGGAGGTACGCCTCCTCGTTCTCCGAGCTCTCCTCTTCCTCCTCGGCCGCGTCGGGCGCCGCAGCCTTGCCCACGGGGAACGACGTTGCGTCATATCGTTTCTTCTCCCGAAACGGGTTGTTGCGGAACTCGCCCTTCTTGATGACGGCTGACTGCGGTACGATGCCCTTCGGGTTGAGGTACTCGAGATCGTGGCCCGCGTACGAGTCAATGGACCGGATCCAGCTATCAAAGCTGTCATAGCGTGTCTCAACATCGCGGGTTGCCGTACGTGCGGCAGAGAGAGGAGGGGGGAAGAAGATAAGGGGACGGGGACGCACATGCCATGCCGGTCCTCTATCGAGCGCATTTTCGCGTATATATGGTGCTCCTTGAAATCATCCAGCTGCGCGCGGTGCAGCTCGAAGTCGATGGGCGCGCGGTACTCGGCGTCGTCTTCCTTCAACTTCGCGTTCACGCCCTGCACGCGCTTGCTGTAGCTCTCGAAGATCGGGTACTCAAGCAGCAGCCCGAGCGCCGGCATCTTCGGAATGAACACCGGTCGCGGCCCGTACAGCTGTCGGGCGCACGCGTAAGATGATTGGACGAGCGGGAGGCGGAGTGGGCGGGAGAAACGCACCTCTTCGATTAATTGGGGAGGCGTGCCTGCCCGACATGAGAGCACGAGTGCGGAGATCATCTTACGCTGAGAACGAGGCGATGTGAACCACGGTCAGGTAGCTCGGTGTCCGAATGTGCTTACGATCTGGCCTCGGGTGAGCTGTCCGCGCATTGTAACATAGACAACGAAACGGAGGCCGCACCTGATGCAACATGAAGCTCTGACCGTGCAGGAGCACGGCTATCCATTCTGTGTCGCCGTATACCGCAGGGTCGGATATCTAGCACCTCTCAGTGGGCTGGTCCGCTTCATACCGGGAGAGAGGGCCTACCTCTACCGACTTCAAGAACCGCTGACAGCTGCGATCCCGGAAGTCGCGTCCGACCGTGAAGTTGTGGAAATTGTGGGAGCCCTCGAACTTCTTCGCGGCTTCGCGAAGCGCAGCGAGCGGCTCCGGGGTGATGCGGTACTCGCGCTTGCGCTTGAGGTCGTCTTGTGGCGTCGCTGTTGGATCTGCGTTTTCCCAGAAAGAATGCGAGGCGCATTCAAGGCCTTGCGTTTTGAGCGTGTTGTGGAGGCCGCTATTGGGCTTGGGAGGGATCATGAGGTAAGAAGGAAAGAAATATGTATATTTCCGACTGTCGCATGTCCTGTTGGTCGGTATACATGGTCAATGAAGGCAAGCGACGCAGATCGGGAAAGGGAGCGAACAGACGTTCTCGCGTTGAACGAGTTCTGTACCCGCACCTGAGGGCGGGTGAGCTGCTATATGCGCTAGGATTGCGCGAGTACGTACAATGCTCCAAATCCTGATCTCTGGGGGCAGTTCTTCGTTTATTCGTGCGACCAGGTCTGGCACACCAGGTATGGCATTGATGAGCTTCATAGATACAACATTTCCTGCGGCGTGGACACCTGCGTCGGTGCGCGCCGCACGTGCAAGCTTGACCTGCGTTTCGCGTGAGAAGTGCGTCCCGGTGGATAGACTGCATTATCGGTGAACGCACCTTGGTTGGGTTGTCCGAGTTATCCTCCGAGACCGCACCTACTTTGATGAGGGCCTCGAACAATACGCCTTCAATGGTGCGTAGCTTCGGATCGGGTTGTCTATAGCACGTTCAACATTTATCGAGAAGTCGTATGCCCTAAACACGACGTACATTTGCATTCCGTTGTACCCATCCCCGCAAAAGCCAAGGAGCAGCGCGCACGGCCGTTTTGGCAGCCGCGGCGCCTTCGGCTCGCCATCTTCTACTTTAACAGCCTCCTCGCCATCAGGACGAGTACCTTTGCGAAAGCTTTTCAAGAACTCTTTCTCCTTCTCTCTGTCCTTGCCCTTCTTTCCTCGATGCTTCTGTCCCTTCTTGCCATCACCGCGTTTCTCCGCCTTTACTTTGGGTGCCTTGGAGCTTTCGGCGGCTGCCTCTAGCGTGGTTTCGGTAGGCTCTGGCTTCGCGCGTTTCGTGGTAGTAGCAACATCGTCTACTCCCTCCTCCTTCGGTCTTTTTAAGCTGGGGCTTGGTGCGGGTGGTGATTCGAGAGCGCCAGGAGGGTCGATTTCCATAGCGTAAGCTGATCGCCAAGGCGATGGCAAGTGAATACTCTCGCGTGGATGGGAGGAGTGCAAGGTCCCACAGGCAATGGTGCGAAGAGAAAGTACAGAGAGCCGTGCAGTGGTCACGAGAACTCTGAGCATGCCATGGGCGCTTGTCAAACGTCCCGACGCGCGAAGGTGGCGATCGCGTCCGCGTCTGATTCTTCGTTCTCATTCCATGAAAAAACAGACACAGGCAAAGCAAGGGTTTTCTATGACAGTGGTATGTAACGGGCGAGGCAGAAGGGCGGACGCCCAAAAGCAGAAAGAGGCACGGGGGAGTTGCTCAATTCCTTCCTGCCGTCCTCGGACTAGCCCACTTCTTTCAAATGTAGGGGCTCGTAGCATTCGCATCGAAACGGCGACAATACTCGACAAAACGCCATGGACACCGGTCGAGAGGTACGCTTGGTACTCCGCGGGGTGCCGATTCGCTATACCAAACCACACGGCATCGTCTCTATGGATGCCTACGCCTTTCACAGCTGGTTTGCCTTTCCACCCTCGATCGGGACACGGAACATAGCGTACGGCTTCGTGCGCAGGTCGGTCCTACCGCAACGCGATCAATACGCACAAATCAGCACAAAGCGGACCGAACACGCACCCGCTCTGATAGTCTGGACTCAACCACAATCTAGTACGTAGCAAGGTGAGCGTCCAAAGCCATGAAAGACTCAACTGACTCAACTGGTTGCAAGTGAAGTACAGGAAGTTCCCGCCGGACTTCAGGGAAGCCACTGCGAGAGTGTCGGGCCACTGATATCAAGTACACGATGGTCAATCGATCAGCCGAATATATATGGTGAACTGGACGTGCCACGCGCCTGAATGAACGGGTTGCGGACGAACGGTTCAATCAGGCCTGTCTTCGGGTTGAAGCGATTGATCGCGTTGTGCTCTATATACCAGTGAGTGGCGTCTACTGCTCAGCGTAGGAGGAACTCAACGTACCTGGGGCGCTCAGGTAGATGAAACCCTGATCGTCACTCTCTAGTCCGATGAGATGGCTCCCGGTATCCCCCAAGTCCTGCACCGCTTGATTGGCTAGAATGATTGCGTTCGGATTAACCGCAGACGGCTGGATCTTCAAGAACGACGTAGGGATGCGGAAGAGCCTGCGTCCCGCCAACGGCGCATAGTAGAACAACTCGCCATCTTCCACGAAGTATCCTGGTCAGTCCACCACGCATGCTCAAGTGACGACCTCTTACCTGAGGACAGGGCAACACCATCTACCGCGGCCTGAATAACTCCCGATCAAAATTGCGTCAAAGAGGCAGACACGATATACACTTACCCGATTGAAGGCCGTCACCGCAAACGGCAACACTGGCGGATGGATGTAGTTCGGAACTATATAACGCCCACGCCGATTACCATTCAGCTTCGCATCCTTGCTTGACACAGAGCGATCGCAGCCCACCTCCATTGTGGAAAGTAATTAGATCGACTTGCACTATGACGGACGGGTGGTTGTCGAGATGCCGCCACGACACGCCCGTGCGCAGGTTCACAACGACGATACCCGGGCGCTGCGGCGAGCTGTCCGGGAGGTACGCGAAGCCGTCGCCGCGCAGGTCGATGCGCAGGTCGTTCAGCGACGAGTCGGCGGGGACGACCGAGGCGGGGAAGGTGATGCTCGCGAACCTCGTGCCGTTCTGGTGGAAGCCGAGGAGCTTGGGGCCGCCAGGGGAGGCCGCCAAGAGCGTCGTGCCGTTCACGACCGGCCGCCCGACGTCGAGTGCCCAGATGCGGTCCATTCCGTCGACGACGACCGCCTGGATGAAGAGGAGCTTCTCGGTCGCGATGCTGAAGCCAGGGTTTGTCGTGTTGACAAACGCCTCAGGCGTGTTTGTGTCCTGGCTATGTCCACCATAAGTTGAGTATATCTCATATGATTCCTGCGAACATGAAGAGAACGTACTCGGGGAACGGCACCTCGGTGGTGGCTGTGTTAGCCTCCGCTAGCGTGAAGGTCTCATTTCCCCGTGGAAAGGAGGTGAATATCCTCCCGTTGCTACTCACCGCGACGCCCTGCCAATGGCGCGATATCAGCATCACTAGTTACCCTCCGGGAGTCCCGTTATTCCCTCACTATCGGCCAGAAATCAAAATAGGCGTGCACCAGTTCGACTGGGGGGCCGTACTTGCCGGTGTCGAAGTGAATCTTGAAGTTCTGCAGCGCCGGGTCCTTACTGAAAGCCTCGTCCGCAGACAGAGGCGCGACGGAGTCCGCGAGCGTCTGGTTCGGAGGCGGCGTCATCGGCGGTGGGTACTCTGGGAACTGAGTGGCGGCAACGACCGAACGTGAAAATCTGGCCCAGCTATGAGATCATGCTCGAATTGAGAACCTACGTCGAAGACACTCGAGTTGTCTTGAGCAGCAGCCGCTGCCTCCATCGCGGCGAGCAGGAAGGACAAGACGAGTACGGGGCGCGTCATCGCGGCTGGCTGGCTGCGTCAAGGACGCGAGCTCATCGCGCCTCTTTATAAGGCAGGGTCGATGGACCGCATGCGGGCGTTCTCCCGTCCGTTGGGTCGACTCTACTGTCCTGGACCGAGGAATCGTAGGCGGACAATGCATCAGCATGTACACTGGGGAACAGAGACTGCTAAACGTAGGCGGAACCGAAGGTGGCGCTCCGCCGTGCACGTAAGGTGCCGTTTTTCGTAGGCGACATGACGCATATGCGGGCATTGAACGATGCGATGTACCTAAGTAGCGTAAAGTCTGAGTCAGAAGACCCCGAAAAGCTTCGCAAGAGGGTCAGCACACCCACCTTCTCGCTGCGGATGGAAAACCACTGCAGAAGAACCCTCGACAAGACGCTGACCAAGGAGTAAACTGGCAACGACGGGTCCTTGAGGGGATGGCTCTGCAAAGTAAAAGAGATGGCGCCGACGAAGGGGCTTTCGCTTACATGCATCGGGAGACTTTGTAAGGTGCAACAGCGGGTTCAGCTCCGTTTCAGAGATCAGGCCGCGCTACAGAGTGCAAATGACGTTCTCATTACGGAGACCCTCGAGAGAAGGACGTGAGTCCTGCTAGGAGGGGAAGAGCTGCAGCAAAATGAGATGAGTACTTGAAGAGTGCATGGAGGCAAGCAGACCCTTACCATTCGCATGTGTTCTTCCTGGCTGCTTTGGATGACGGTGACTCCGCGCGCCCGGTTCCCCTTGCCCAGGACGGAGTTTGGGGGACAATGAAGAGCAGCCGGTCTTCGTCAGCCATCTCAGCGAAGGCATGCCAGTGGCTCGTCGGTTTGCCCTTGCGATCGAGGCGAATGTGAACGCGTTCTACAGGGGGTGATGCCTATACGATGTTTGAAGGTTAATTGACAATAGTCAGACAGTATGATAATACGCACCGATGGCACGTTGTCTATGCGAAGCACGACGTACTCGAACGTGCGGGCGTTGTTGCGGCCCGAAGCGTGATGCTCACACACGGGGGTAGCGGCGCCCTGGGCGCAATCACTAAACCCGTCCTCACCGTCGAACAGGCCTATGCCAGCGCTATTCCTTCCAACAAAAGCACTGAGAAGGAGCCCTGCTATCAGACCCTTCGATCTCGCTGCACTCCTCGATGATGTGCTAGGAGATGGCTCTGAGGTCATGGAAGCGCCAGCGTCGAACGAAGCCGTCCACCTTCATACAATACATGGCGCATTCTACGTCCTTCCGCAGGCACAGCGGTGGCGGTGGTTGGACAGGATCGGCGCTGCAAGTAGGCTCGTGAAGCAGCCTCACGTTCGGAGGCGAAAGACAATCGTTTCCCTTGAGGGAAGTGGCGCTGTGAACGTTGTCAGGCGATGCAACAGCAGAACGATTGAGTGCGCATACATTCGTCCACATAGGACGTACTGAGGTCACAAAAGCTATCATCATCAACTATAAAAGGTTTGTATGTTGGCAAAGCACGAATCGGGGGCAGCAGAAGAACGCGCATATACTCACTGTTTCCATATTCTTCGCCCTCATTTGTCAAGAGAACAGGCACAGGCAAGGCGTGATTTTTTTATGACATGGGGGTGAATGTCCACAAGCAGATTTCAGAAGGAGGCGCGGGGGATTTACTCAATTCCTTCCTGCCGGCGGCGGGTATACGATTGACATATATTTGTACCGCAAGCACGGAGACGTGCAGCATATCACTGCACGCCGCGAGATTAGGAAACGGCATGCGGATGGGAGCTTAGGGTGCGTCGGCCGATGTACATACATAAACCTACCTCCGCCGAAGTTCTGCCACTCCCGGTGATTATGGCATGCTTACTTACAACACCGTATTCTCCAGCGCCGTCCTAATTACGTCTCTACGGACCAGACATAGCCGTAGGTGCCAGGGTTTGCCGGAGTACCCACATAGTCAGTACGCCTACTGGGTCGGTCGAAGTCGAGTGTTTTCGGGGTCGAGAATGAACCAGAGCAGGCCATGCGGCGAGTATCCCAGGACGTCGGGCCCAAAGCCTGGTGGACCGGAGAAGAGAGAGTAAATGCCGGAGGGGAACGTGGAGGCGGGAGTCTGAGAAGACATCGCACTGAATGCATGGGCTCGGTTATGGGCGTCTATGTGCCGGCTATATATTGCATCTGGCACGATTTCGATCGAGGCTTTCCTCGCCCTTTCTTTCTGACTCCCTGCGTACGGCCCTCACAACATATATTCCCCTCTAATTCTCCCCCTACTGCCCACGAGTAATCATGAAAATCAGCCACAAAATAGAGCAGGCCGCGAAGGAAGACCGCGTCTGGTGGTCCTTCGAATACTTCCCACCCCGGACAGCACAGGTCAGTCGGTTTTGGCTCCGGGCGGCGGCCGCCTTCCCCATATGTGATGATCTCACCAGGCCACGCTGCGTGCTAGGGTCTGCAAAACCTTCTGGACCGTATAGAGCGCATGCGTGCCCTGGGCCCCGAGTTTATCGACATCACATGGTGAGCACTTTCGAAAATCAAAAGCAAGCCGGGGGCCGACAGTGGTTGCAGGAACGCCGGTGGAAGGACGTCAGAGCTCACCTCCGAGCTTGTCAAGACTTGCCAGAAGCTCATTGGTATGGAGACTTGCATGCACTTGACGTGTACTGGCATGCCCAAGGAGAAGGTTGATGTCGCATTGCGGGTGAGTGCTCATATAACATGTGCTGTGACTTTGTGCGTCGTATGGTGTTCTCTTCACCAGACGGTATAGCGGCCGCGCCTTCTGAAGACGTGCGCGGAAGCAGGGAGACAGGGGAGAGGAGCGAACCTATACCTTCATCTACGGGTTCTCCCTTCCCCGGAGGTATCGCGCGACCCCGTAACACCGTCTGGTTACGACACTGGCCGTACGGGATGAATCAGCAGACATTCCGTACATTCCCCTCCATGTGGACATATTCTCACTCACCCAATATCAGGAAGCAAAGCAGCACGGCTGCCGTAACGTTCTTGCACTTCGCGGGGACCCGCCCGTGGGCAAAGAGTGGGAGGCCGTGGAAGGCGGCTTCCGCTACGGAGTTGACCTTGTGCACCACATCCGCAAGGAATACGGCGATTACTTCGACATTGCCGTCGCCGGATACCCTCAGACACAGCGCCTACCGCCTGACGAGCGGGAGCGGGAGATGGGATACCTCAAGGCGAAGATCGACGCCGGCGCGAACTTCATCTTCACGCAGATGTTCTACGACGTGGATATGTTCATCGAGTGGGTGCAGGCCGCACGCGCTGCCGGCATTACCGTCCCTATCGTCCCCGGCATCATGCCCGTGCAGACGTGGAACGGCTTCCAGAAAGCGACGTTCCTTGCGAAGATCACGGTGCCGCAGGCGTTCCTGGACGAGCTGGAGCCACACAAAAACAACGACGAGAAAGTGCGAGAGATTGGCACACGACTTGTCGCGGACCTCTGCAGACGCATCCTCGCCGCGGACATCGGTATCAAGGGCCTGCATTTCTACACCATGAATCTGGAGAAGGGTTGCCGACTACTCCTGGAGGAGCTCAACCTCGTTCCGCGTGTTGAAGTCATCAAGCCGCTCCCGTGGAGACAGGTACGCAGGCTGAGTGCTCCGACGACGCGCCACGCTTACCCGTCGTTCAGTCGCTCACGCCCAACCGCCGCACTGAGAACATCCGCCCGATCTTCTGGGCAAATCGCACGCGCTCGTACCTGTCGCGTACCGAGAACTGGGACGAGTACCCGAACGGTCGGTTCGGCGACTCACGTTCGCCGGCGTACGGCGAGCTCGACGGCTATGGTATTTGGATCAAGCAGACGACTGAGGATGCGCTGCGGTTGTGGGACACCCCGACGTCCGTCGAAGAGATCCGGAAACTATTCTCGCGCTTCTGTGTGGGCGACCTCGCGGCGCTTCCGTGGTCGGACAGCACACCGTCGAGCGAGACGTCGGTCATCGCACAGCAGCTGGCGAAGCTCAACGAGCTAGGCTTCCTTACGATCAACTCGCAGCCCGCGGTCGATGGCGCTAAGAGCAACGACAGAATACATGGCTGGGGTCCGGCGAATGGCTACGTCTACCAGAAGGTATGATCTTCAAACGCCTGGCTTATCAGATGCTTATATGCGCTTTTTCGCAGGCCTACCTGGAGTTCTTCGTGTCGCCAGAGTTGCTTGATATGCTCATTCCCCACATCGAGCGCGATATCAACATCACTTACTATGTGATCAACAACCGCGGCGATCTACGCACGAACACACACTCTGACGGCCCCAATGCCGTGACATGGGGTGTCTTCCCAGGCAAGGAGATCGTCCAGCCCACGATCGTTGAGGCTATTAGCTTCATGGCGTGGAAGGTCCGTACTTTCACGTAATGGTTACCATGGGTTACCACGTTCTGATACTGCAATTACAGGATGAAGCCTACGAGCTCGGACGCCAATGGGCCAAGCTGTACGAACCCGAGTCCCCTACGAGCAAGCTCATCGACAACATCATGGACACCTACTGTCTCGTGAATGTCGTACACAACGACTACAAGAAGCCCGAGGCCATCTTCGAACCCTTCTTCAAGGCCGGCGCCGAATACGCCGCCAAATACGGCTCTACGTCTCCACCGACGACCAACGGCGCGAACGGCCACGCGAACTAAGCGTCATCTCATCCTATACCGCCTACGACGACCATTTTCAAGGACATTCAACATCTGCCCCCTGCATCCGTGTACATCTTGCTTTACGACCGCGTCCCCGACGCAGAAATGACGGTTCAACACACCGTCAGCCACGGTTGGCTTGCTCTATGTTTTTCCCAGCATTGTCACCGGGTTCAACCCCCGCCGCTCCTTTCGTCTGCCTCCCTGCATACCTCCCCCACGCCCGATCTGTTTCCATATAGCTCTTCCACACGCCCTTGCCGCTTTTCACACCAGCGCACCTGCACTCTCACGAACTCTCTCGCACTTCGCACTATGTATCTTCCCATCTCATCGCCCTTGCATCAACTGCATCGTCCCCCGGACCACTGCGCCCGTCCTCCTGCAGCGGGACCGCCATCTAGCTCACTGTAGGACTCTGCATCCAACTGCATGTATCTTATTGCTCCCACCATCTTCACGCCGACATAGAGGTCGAGTGTAAAACAACAGGCCAGGTCCAGTCCCCCCTCCGCACCCGCGTGCTGCCTACCCGGGCGAACCACCGGAAAGGTCGTCATAATCAAAAGGTAGGCTTATAAACAACATGTATTCGAAGGGGTATTCCGCGCTGCTACTGGGATATATGCCGGAAGATTACGAAGAGCTACAGATCACCGCTGCCGCCATGCGCTGCACGGAAGGCCGCGCATGCGACTATATAAACTAATCATGACACCATTCAGATCGACAGGCTACCACGAACAACCTACAAAGCAGACCGAAATATTGCAGAAACAAGGGCGTGCGCGTCCTGCTACGCCGGCGCGTCGTACGCCAAGTCCGAGAAGAAGAAATCGCTATTCATGGGCGGTGGCCCGGAAACGAGGCCGCTCGGGATCTCCACTCTCTCCCCAGAGAGATCTAGAGCACATCTCAGCACTGACGCCGCGACACGGGAGACGGAGGGTAAGCACATACCCAGCAGCTTGATCTTGAGCCCGATCTCGGTGAGCGCCTGCACGAACAGCTCCGTCTCCTGCGACGCGACGTGCCCGCCGTCTCTGCGGAGCATGTTCAGGCCATCTGTCCAGTCCGCCCAGCGCGCCTGGTCGGGCGCGATCTGGTCCGCGAGCGAGCCGCCGCTGGTACTGAGAAGCGAGAACGAGAGCGTCGACGCGAGCAGCGGCGAGCCCGACCCGAGCGGGATGTCTGCCTGGTCGCGCTGGATGTGCGGGAACGGCGCGCAGGTGCCCGTCGCGACTTCGCTGATCATCGCGACCTCCACGCGGTCGGGCAGGTCCTCGAGCCCTTTGCGCACGGGGAACTTCATGGCGCTGTCGACGAAGTGGAGGTACTTCAGTCCGGCATCCTGCAGATAGAGGTTAGTATGTGACGGCGTTGATCAGGCGAAGGGTGGCGCTCACTAGGCGGAGGAAGCGCCATGGTCGCGTCGGTCGCCTGAGAGTATCTCGCGGAGCCGTTGTGGCTAGCGGAATACCGTTCATGAACCAGGCGCCTTCGAGCAGACAGTGGATCCGCTGTTGACGGACGAACTCGTATGACTCCTTGTACAACTTGGCTCGCAGGTTACTGAGCAAAGAAACATAGTCAGCGATAGTGAGCGTAACTCCGGGTAAGCGTCGAGACGCACCGTATAGGGATTTTGCTCATGATGTCGTCCTCCATCTCGAGTTCCTGCATTTGGCGGTCGCGGACGGCACGGTACTCGCTTTCGAGGAACTCCTGCTCGACCTCATGCCAAGGCCGGATGTTCTCTCGCTTCAACGCGACCTTCACCCTATTTTAAACAACCAAACGGGGCGCTTAGCAGGCGCACCATCAAACGGAAAGGAGGGAAGACGCACTGGCTTCTCGTCAAGGCTACCAGCCGAGGAAAGTCGTGCGCGGCGGCGCCGCTCTCGTTCCACATGCGCAAGAAGAAGTGCAGCGCGAGTGCGTGTACGCGATGGAAGTTGAGGAAGAAGGGTTGGAAGGTCGTCGACGTCGAATCTATGCAGTGAAGTATGAGTATAGGGACGCGCATAAGCAGTTGAGGAGATGATGGGTGAACGCACATCCTGGGGCATATATGGACCAATGTTCCGAGAGCAGGTCGGCGACCTCGTTGGAGGCTCTCCCTATCGGACATCGCCGCTCTTCGGATCGACTTAGTTGTTCTTGTACGACCTACGCATTGAAGTTTATTAAAAAAAATGCACCCCACACTAGCCAGAGTACGTACATTCGCCCAATACTCGGGATCCTTCGCTACGAAGTATCTCTGCATGGGGAAGCATCAGTCGCCAGCGCGCATCAGCCTTCGCGGGAGACCTACCAGACAGTCTAGTCCTAGTACGCCGACTTCCCGGAATTCGTGTCCGATATCTTCAGTCTCAAAGCCGAGCTTGCGCCACTTGATGGGCGTGATTGCGTCTTCTCGCTCTTCCTGGAGCTTGCTCTTTTCCCAGATGAACTGCAGCGCCTGATTGTGAAGCGGCTCGAAGTCCGGCTCGACCAGTGTCGTCTTCTTGCGGAAGGTAACGCGGACGATATTCGCCTGGAAGTCGAGGATGCAGGAAGTGAGGTCTTCGATTGTATGTGAGGACATCAGTCGCTACGGCAGAAGTGTCAAAACGTTTCCCTTCGTTGAAAGCGATAGCCTTTACTTACGATGACCGCGTTGCGGACCTTCAGCTGCTCCAACTCCGCAATGAACTCGTCCCAGCGAGGATCACTTGCATGCGCGAGCAACGAGTTGATCAACATCATGCTAGAGAGGAGTCAGTATCTGAGCGTAAGACATTGATATGAATGCGGACCTGTAGAGAGCCATAGTGGTGTCCGCGCTGCCGAGTCGGTTAACGACGGTTTCCAGCAACCTCTTCTCCTTGCGCATCTGCTCATACACAACGTCGAAGCCGTATCGATATACCGAACCGGGAGGCGGAGAAGGGGGCCCTTTGCTGGTGCTGGGGACATTGGTGCTTGTAGTGCTGCTAGGGTCCGCTTCGACCAACTTCTTCAAGATGGCGGTTGCGGGGCGACAGACGTTGATCAGGGAAGTCTCTGAAGAGAGAATCTGGACGACTTTGAAGATGAATGCGTTGTCGAGGGTCGACCACCCGTAGTCGAGCTCCATGAGATTCTGCATTGCTATCAGAGCATACTGTGACCGTCTCATCAGTTTGGCTAAACAACTTGGATTCAAAGCGAGAAAACTGACGCAAAGGATATTGCCATGAGATGTATTGATGACCTCTATGAGTTCATGCAGGCCGTCTCGTTGTAGGAACTCGTTGGCAAATTGCTCTTCCTGGACACCAAATGAGGCACCGTGATGACTAGGCTTCGTGTATAGAACTCACACGGATCAGCTTGCGCAGCGACGTCAATGCTAGACCGAGCTTCGCGTCTCTCGAGCCGAGCTTCTCCACTACTTCCGCAGCTTCGATAGCGGGGGCATTGACAAGCCTACCGAAAAGGGAATAGCGTTGAGTAAACGCGCACAGAGTAAATGTATTTTCCGCATAGCAGCAATGAGAGTCGCGGAGGGAAGGATGGGCGGGCAGACTTGCACGATGTGGATCAAGGTGGTTACTCACTTGAGGTTGACCTTCCCCTTGATTTTCTTCCTCAAGTTGTCGTTCGTGACCAGTTCGTCATTTTCGTCCCGCAACGCGTACACGGCATGAGTATCCTTCAGCTTCAAGCTGATGCACAGTTGGCGAATGACATCGTCCACAGACAGACTAGGCTCGATTCGTGTCCGGACGGTAAGCCCCTCTTTCGTCGTGACATTGTTTGTTGGGACCAGGCCGGCCTTTGCGGAAGACTTGCCGTTGGTTTGCGTGTTAGCGAGCGTGGGGGTGGTCGGTCTTCGCGAGCCGCCTTCGTCTGAGAGATTGGAGGACATAGGTGGATGCGACTATGTGCGGAACCTGCACGAGGGTATGCGTTATAAGCTTTCTGGTTACACGTTTCGAAGTAATCAACACTGAAAGATGGAGAAGCGCAGAAGATTTCGGGGTCTAGGTAGACAGCGAAGCAGATGATGTAGGTCTGGACATATACCCGCGAGTGACGGTACAGTCCACCCTCCCCGCATAGTTCCACCAAACCGTACGCAGACCCCCGCATGGCTAGCCCGTACCGCGTTGGCGAACATCCTTGTACCATCCCACCATAACGACATAAATGAAAAGCGGGTACTCACGCAATACGATTACTCTCAGGATCCTCTGCGGAGTAGCAGGATGGCGAATCGTCTGCGGACCGAGAGCGGGTCAGCGCTTGTAGACAAAGAGCGTGAACTGTATCAAGGATCAGTTGGTCCAAGTAGCATCTGCCATGTCCGAAGACACTCAGTCTGACGCGCAGATGTAGAAGGAATGCTCATGCCAAGCCGGGAGGCGCAGTAGTAACGGACTTGCGCTCACCTAGCGTCCTGAAGTGTAGTCGAGCAAAGGTGATATAACTTATTGCACAGAAGAGAGGGCAAGATACAGCGTGTATGCAGATAGAGCAAGAGAAGAGAGCAGGGTATGGCGGAGATATAAGGATAGTCGGCGGGATGCGATATGTGTTTCGCGTAAACGGGAAGGCGCTGCAGACCGGTGTTATTCTTCCGGAGGGGGACAAGGTACGCTGCCGGAGACTACCCAGACTCTCGGAAGATGATAGAGAGACGAGAGAGCGACAGAACAGGTCGAGCTCGCTGGGGCCGAGGGCGGCGGGGGGCGGTGGGGGCGGGACGCAGGTTGCGTTGACGAGGCGAGCATCTCCGACGTCGAGACTGGATACGCGACGCCGGCGTCTCCCCCTTGATCGTCCCATCGCAAGTTCGCGCCACAACGCCCTTGCTCCTCGCCATCATCATCTACCCCGCTTGTGTCTGCTCTCGACCGCCCACGATGTCTTTGTCTCTCCAGGTCTCTGCGAGCCCGTTCTCGACGAATATCTGCCTCGTCCACTCCATCTTACGGTCCATCTGCGCCTACCAGTAGGCTGCGTTTGGAAAATGCACGTTGCCCGCTCTGTACGTGGTATCACACGAATAATTCATTCGATATCACTTGTAAAAGTGATGAGCAATGCGCCAATTGTAAAAGAGCCCAACTTCAGTGCAGCCAGCCGAGAGGCGGGCGACGTTTGGCTGGTCAGCCGTCTCAAACCTGGTAAGTCTTAGACAGAATCCTCTCCAGAATTCGCAAGTCTTCCTTCCAGTCCGCAACGATGGCTACACAACAACCCTCCGCAGCAATCCTCTCTGCCGGATCGACCGCGACTTTGGACCTCCTTGATCTTCTCTCGTCTGGTCCTAGCGAGAGTCTTCTATCAACCGGTCTTGACTTCCTCCCCGCCGTAGAAAGCTCACACTCATTTGACAACGTCCCTCCTTTCCCGACGACTGCTAAACCCCTCATCTTCTTCCCCGACCTCGGCACTTCCCTGCTATACTCAACACCCCCAGCCACGTTTGCTGACGATGCTACCCCTGCTCTCACCACCCTGCCCACTGGCCCGCGCCTCAAGGTGATGATGATGGAAATCCTCTCTGTCGAGGCTTGGAATGTGCGCACTTCGTCTGTGTCATCCTTTATACAAGTGCTAATGCCTCTCATAGGAATCTATCGTTCCGAAGTCTGACTACCCAAGGGAGGTAGATATGGACGCGGCTGACCTCGACGCATCCAAACCTTCCCTATGGATCCCTGAGGGATCACTGTTTTCACCACAGAACTTCTCAGCCCTGTTTCGCAAGGGTCTCAGTCGCGTGGTTGAGGAGCCTTCCTCTCCCCTTGACGACCGGGACTTCGATGCAGACTTGACTCTCGTAGAGCCAAATGTGTCTGCTATGTCTAGTTTCGCATCTCTCTCAGACACCCTCTCCCGGCACGTCAACGCTCCTCGTCTACAGCCGGTGCCGACCATACTGGTATCGAGCTCAACTGCTGCCCTGCCGCTTTCTCTGGGATCCTCTCCGGATCTCCAACATGAGCTTCCTTTGGCTGTTCGGCGTGGCAAGAAGGTGCCTCCTGCACTGTCTCTTGGTCAGTCGAAGAAGGCACAGCCCACCGATTGTAACGAGGACGCCTATCCCGATATTCCGACACCGTTCTTGGGTTCTCCGACGTCTTCCACACCTATCACTGAACAACCCCGGGAGCCGTCCAACTTCACTATGGGGCTCTCCGCGATGTGCGCAGACCTCCGATCGCGTCTTCCTTTGCCGCCACCCTTCAGCCCTACGGAACCCACGCCGCCTCGGACGTACAAGGCCGATAGTCCTTCAAGCTCGATTTTTCCATCGCAGGATTCGGTGGTATCAGATCTAGACGACGAAGAGTGGGCGTTTGCCAGAGATCTCGTCGCCGACTGGCATGGTATGAAGAAGCTCCGCGTGGAGGTCTCACCACCTCCTTCACCCGCCGTGGAACTGCCGTATACCTCGGATTCGGCCTCACCTACCGCTGAGACGTCGTTCGACGCAACACCGCCGTCTCTCGAGTCTGGCAGTGACAGCAGCAGTGACGACGAGGATCCGGTACAGACACCATCGAGCGTGAAGCAAACCCGACGCAAGACGGTCATCATCCAGACCCCCGATCTTGTGCGGCCGGAGCAGACGGAGAAGGTGCTGTCGATTGCCAGTGCCCCCGATGGCGGTTGCGACATTCTTACCCACAGCATGAACGAGCCCGTTCCCTTCGAAACACCTATCCTTGGGCATCTCAGCTCTGAGCTGTTGATTTCCACTCCTCCGGGATCGAGGCCGTCGAGCACCGCCAGCTGCAAGCCTGTACGCGGCATCCTGAAGGAGAAGAAGAGCGTCCGCTTCTCGACCGTCGACATGTTCCACGAATATACTCCATCGGTTCAACCTGCCCTCCATCACGTCGCCGACGGTGTTACAGTTGCGCCACAGCATCATGCCCCAACCACGCTCCAAGCTGAGGCCGCCATGCCCTCCCGCCGGCTCACTCTGACGTCCGCGGTGCACAGAAACTCCCCGCTGCGCGAATCTTACGCTCCCACGTCGCTCGCCTCCGCTAGAAACCCGGACCCGCGCGCTCGCGCCCACAGCCCCGCCGTGCGGCAGCTTCAGGACCCCGCTCTCTGGCGTACGACGGCGAAGCACCCCGCAGTCCGCGCGCTCGCCCGTGCGCCCTCTGCCGCGAGTTCACCCACTCCGACCCTTGCGCGCCCCGCGGGCTCCGGGCGAGGTGGGGCCGTCCTGGGCGCTCCCAGTCTGCAGAGCCCGACGCCCACGCTTCTCGAAGCCCAGCGCCGCGCGCCGCTGCGCACGACCAACGCCCGCCAGCCCGCAGCTGCGGCGCGCAGGTCAGAACCCCTCAGTCCTGTCAAGCTCAGCCCTGTCAAGCCCACGCGGGCGAGCGTGCTTCCCGCGGCACGCGGTGGTGTGCCGGCGGCGTTCGCGCGCCGCGTGCTCAGGACGACTTCTATCCCGCCGCGCGCCAGGAACGAGGTGGATGAGAACGCGCGGAGACGATCGCAACCCGCCGCCGGCAGGGAGGCTTCGTGCGGTGCTGTCGCGTCTGCGGGCGCGGGCATGGGAGGGAAGAGCCGGATGTCCGCGCCGCTGCGGAGTATTTTCACCAAGCTTCGGGCGTGAGTGGCTCCGTGTCCTGTTGTATGCGGAGTGGTACGGAGCGCACGGAAGCAGTCGTCGGCTCGTGCATGTGCTGCAACTGCTGTATTCTATCGGTGTATCAGTGACTGGCCAATCGAGAGTGATTCAGATTTATGGTGTGCATCGCATGGCGTGCGGACTTTGACAGCAGCGGTGCATGGGCTGTGCCTTTGAGAGATCGTAGACGGTATATTACAGTGGCAATGCTGTGGTTTACGACAAGACTATGGCATAAATAGGTAAGGATTACTGCACTAGTAGGTAAGCAGCAAGAGAAGAGGTCCGAGGGGGAGGAATACAACAATAGTATAGTAGTACACAAGATGCGAGGGTGTTCGAGATAAACCGTGTGCGCAGGGGTTGTACAACATAAATAGTCCGTAAGTGTCCAAGAAGCATCTATGTGTGCGGGGATAGGAAGAGACAATCATAGCAGAACGTCCTAAGTGTGTTGAGATAGCAAGAAATACCCAACTGTCCAAGATCCAAGAAGGTAGATTACGATTACAGAGTGCTGGGGCCGCTCAGTAGAGTCCGCGTCAGTGGTGATCGTACATTGTGCGTTGATGACCGTGCGAAGGCCCTGACATTCACGCCGCCGGGCGGCCGGGACGAAGGGGCCTGATCTGAGAAGCTGTTGGAGAACAGATGGAGGTGAGCAATGTATCAAAACATCATCAACGACGGCGGGGCGACGTACACATGAACGGCGAGAAGGGTGCGCTCTGACCCATAGCAGCGGTGAGGCGTGCCATCTCCGACTGCAGAGTGCCCTCGTCGGGCAGGCCCTGAGCCACGGTCGCGCCTGCCGCACGCATCTGTCGGGCAGTGGACAGGCCCTGCAAGATCACCCGGCCGATTGAGCTCCAGAGGATCTGATGGAGTGAAAGTCAGCTCCCGAGTCCATGATAGCACCCCGACGGCGACTGTGGGGAAAGCACGCTCACCCCTGCGAACGGGTTGACGCAGAACAGCACCCCGCCTTCGATTTCGCGCAGGGACCTCACAGCCGCATGCGCCGCCTGGTATGTCCGGCTGTTCGCGGTAACGCGGTCCTGCACGAGCGGCGCGTGGAGCTGGATGCTGGCGCAGTTCGCGAGCGTGTGCACGAGAAGGGCGGGGCGCAGGATGTCCACGCGAGCGGGGTCGATACGGGGCAGCGCCCGCTTGAAACTCTCGATGCGGTTGTCCAGGGACAAGAAGGTTGCTTGGGAAGCTAAATTCGAACCCGAGAAGATCAAGATGCGTGCGCACGGCGGCCGGCGGATCACTCACAAGGGTTGTACCTGGACGCGAGGCGAGTCGCGCCCTCGTACAGAATCGCGGCCTTGGCGTGCATGGCCAGGATGCTCTGGTGCGCCACGTTCGCGTCGCTCTCCGCTCCGCTGATGAATGACTGCACAGTGCGCATGCTGCGGAATTCATTGGGGAACGGATGCTAACCACGAGGTCCATTAGGGCGGAGTAGTGCAGAAAGGTGACACGTCACTCACGCTCTGGTAAGCCGCTAGTTCCATGGGCCAGGGCGTGTCTATCTGTGTCCCGGCAGACTCGCTGTCCGTAAAGGCGGGTGCAGACCCAGTGGCTACGGCCCAGCAGCGGTCGAGGACGAATACCGTCCAGAAGCCGTTGATACGCTCGCCTTCTTCCAGGAGGTCTACGGGAGGCGGGAGGCGGTACGTGGCAGCGTCCGTAGTCGAACGGCTGCGCCTGGCGCTACGAATCGTGTGCAGCCGGGAAGCCACCGCAATTGAGACGGCGGCATTAGTGTGGTACACACCCTCCAGTTTGCGATCGCTGTCAAAGAAGTAGTTGGCAAGAAGAACCTCAGCCTGCATGACGTAGATCGCCCCGCGAGGATCCTCGGGAAGGGCAGTGGGAAGATGCTGCAGGGCCCGGTCCAGATAGGCCCGCTCTTGAGCCTTCACCTGTGGATTACCAGAGAGCTTTGCGCCAATGAGGTAGATGACGTTAAGCAGGATGCGCAGGCTGTTGCTGTGGGTGGAGTTACTCTGCAAAAAGACCTTATCCAGGAAGCGGTGGATGTGGAGGAAGAACCCGAACTCGGTCGCGTGTTGGGTGAATTGCCGCACGCTGTCGTCAATGAGTCTCAACACCGGTGCCAGCTGAGGATACTGAGCAGAGAGAACTAACAGAGCCCGCATAGGATCGTGGTCGTTTTGCGCTGATCGTTGCGCCGCGTTCCACGTGTGGTAAGGGTCATGCAGTACGATCGGATCCCTTCCGGCGTTGATATGTGCAATACGCCTTTCGAGATCCGCTACCTGATCCTCGAGAAGCTGGTTCTGCGTCGGACTATTGCCGTCCTGGTATTCGCAGTCCTCGGCGCGGTCTGCCCGTTCGCATTGGCCACAGGCGGGTCGTTGCCCGTCGCAGCGCTACAGGGTGCCGTTCAGTACGTTGATGGCGGTGTACCGTCAGGAGGATACATACCATCTTCCTGCGTCTATGTACATGTAATGTCAGAGTATTGCGAGGAGTAACATGGCATGGCGAACTTCACCTGCAGCGAGCACATGCCCTGCCACGTTCCAGAGGGGGTTGCGTAGAGGAAGACTGCATGGTGGAGTGGGGATGTCAATGAGTGAGAGGAGTTGAGTTGTGCTGGTTTGGAGGACGACATACCTCATATATACCAGACAGACTATCGGCTGTGTTCCCAGAGTAGTAACGGTCATTTGTCGTGTGCCTTGTGTCGAATCACGGCCGCGCCACGCTCGATGATGCATGGCAAGAGAGCTTGTTGGCAAACTACGCCGCTTGAGACGGAGAGCCATTCCCGCTCGTACTTGGCTGTGAGGATCGACCGGGCGTGGTTATGGTCACAGAGTAACAGTCGGGTTTCTCTAGTTTCTCATGCTCGGGGATCTCACTTTCCGACCTGGGACCTGGAACAATGCGGTCAGATTGCAAGGGTGGGATGGGACACACACGTTGTTTTCTCAAACAGCCGGACACTACGAGGTCTCCGCAGAAAGTACCTTATCTGGTAGCGGCACAGCTCATTGAGCACCCATGCAGTACAGGCTAAAAAGAGACATTATTGAGCGCAAAAGAATCTGATCAAGCATCGCGGGCGCGCGCACCGGGGCTGGGTCGCATCGTCCCCCAGACATCCTTGCGGGGTATGTTGTAGCATGTAGAGAAGAAGACCAGAAGGTAAGTCAGTTAGTCAATCCGCCTCGATCACGTCCTTCGGCGGCTGATCCAAAAAGTTCGCAGCACGGCTGTGCCACCGTGACGGGGCCTGAAGACATGGCCGAATCAAACGCGAGCCTTGCTTTCCTGGCGACAATCACCCTGTGGCTCTGCGTCGGCGTACGATAGGTCGTGTACTACTGCAGTCATAGGCCTCGTCCGATATCGTCGGTGCGCATAGCTCGTAGCGTCGGAAGTCTTTAGCGCTACAAACGTTCACGGGAGAAGAACGCCGAAGCCGCACCATCTACGTTCATCCCCGGGGCGTTCCAATATTCAATATTTCTCCAGCAATAGAGCACGGGACCACATAGGTATGCAGAGATCAGCCTAGTGGGCGGCGTGTGTGTGTCTGAGTTAACACATAGATTGCAACCGTCAGAGACCTCCGTATGGCAAAGGCTGTAGCAGAGGGTCAAGATCAATATTAATCATTGAGCTCGAGGTATGAACGGGACTTGCCGAGGATCAGGTGGAGGCTCACTTGAGAAGAAAGGCGCACTAGAAACGTGATGGCATAGCGAGACGACTGCGGATACGCAGATGCATTTAGGCAATAATGACCGGATCGAGCCCCAATACTGCTAGGCAAAATACGGATCAGGACGGTGGCGATGAACACACAGACAAAGATGGACATACGCAGTGACACAATGTGTGCGGTATGGTTGGCCCCGATACCGCGTCAGCAGTCACAAAACCACAGGCGTACAGTATTCGCCGGGGACGAAACATTGCTTCCGCGACAAACGCACCCGCTTGCCGCATGCCTGGAAGTCAGTTATCACTCCGCATGAACACTGAAATACAGAAACGGGGTGCGGTTCAAGGTGGCGCGCGCATCCGTGAAACTCCTGGTTGCAGAATACCGGGCTCGCTACCGCTTTCTGCGAAACATAGGCCTCGACACAGATCGGACTGTACAGGCAGGTGAGAGCGGTCAGAATGTAAACCACAACCACAAAGCCAGTCGAAAGCTCGGACCACCCGTGGTCCCATACCGGATGGGCTTCGTGGCCCTAGTCCATCCGATAGTCCGTCCGATTGGACCATAGCGGGCAAGAGTCGCCCTGGAGCGAACTCAGGGGCTTGACCGGCGAAATCTGCAGCTAAGATGCGGAGTGGAGGCAGCGTGAGCACCAGGCCAGAGTACAAGCACATTTTCTCATCCGACGGCGATGGCGACGGTGATGGAGGTGACAGCAAACCCGAGATACCCAGGCGCCTAAACGAGCCCGCAGTTAGACTTAGCGCTCTTCGCGGACTTCCTTCTGAACATCCACCACGATGGGGACGCCCATACTCAACCGGACCCACAACATCCATCTCACGTCCCGTGTATGTTCTTGCTGTACGACTGAGACTTAGTAAATTTTCTTGACGGCCAGCACTCAAGCTGCTTCTCCAAACGCCCCCGTCGATGCGTCGGGTCAGTGTGGGCCCCCGTGGATTAGGACGCTCGTGAAACGGTGTACTGCGTGTCTTCCGCAGTCCATTATGCCTTCTAAAGCGATCGGTGCATTAACCTGGAATCACAGCCGGGAAGCCGTCAGCATACGGTAGCGTTTCTGCTGTGACATCTGAATAGCTTCTGGGTGAGTGTGTCCGCTTTACCTGAATATTCGCCGTTGACGCTTAGTGTTGATATAGTAGAGAGTATATCTGACAGCGGATGCTTCATCCTGCTTGGGAAAAATATTCGTGGGTATGTCTGAAGCAATCTGGAGGCGAGCCGGCTATCTAGTCCCAGCCCCCATCTGTGTTGCTCGCAGCACTGAAGTGCCAGATGCCAGCCACAGTGCTACGGTCCGCAGGCTACTGGTCTGCGGACACCCTCGTCACCCACGTCCTCCACTCATCTAGACTCTACAGGACATAGCCCTCGGTTCTCAGGTACCCGAAGAACACTGCCCTACAGCAACCGCCGCGGGTCGTTCCGAGTCCGCACCCGCTGCTGCCAATATCTTCCACAACACAACTGGAATGCCTCGTTGTTACTTGCGGTCATCATGATCTCGGCAGCGCGGCTTCGCCGACATAAGCAACGTAGCATTATGAACGGAATTGAGGTTCCTGCGAGTAAACACGCAGGAGGCCGGCCCGTGTCGCTCTCTTTTTACATACCCGGGTAGTCATGACACCCCAACATATATCCGACGGACAAGGAACAACAGCGGTGGTACGCCACCCACGATTCTGCGCGCGATACTTCTGACTTAACCTTGACCAGGCACTAGATTGCGACTCGCTCGAGCCAACACTTGTTTACACATGACCGTCCGTTTGCACTGGACGTTGTTCGTCAGTGACTTTCCTTAGCACTGGTGTATGAACGTCATTTGTGCTGGCGTCCATCTACTGCGGTATGTCCATCTCGGATGCTCGAAACTTATTTCGGCCCCGAACATAGTAATCAAGGGATTTAGGCCGACGACAAAAAGGCTAATCTTGTTAGCAGTGCTATGTGCATGTCAGAATCTGCTAAGTATGTACGAAGTGTCACTGAATATTTCTAGACTCACGAGCACGCCACCTCTGAAGTGCCCGTTTTCTGCCGCGAGCGCTTCTTCGACAATGTCAAGCGTCCTTGAAGCACAACTCGTTCCTTGATTCCTCAGGGCGTCTCGTACCTAGGCGTTCCGGTGAGTCTTACTCACTGTGATAGATGCCGCAGAGACGGGGCTCATTGCGACGCCACGTCTCCTCACGTCTCAAGTTCGGGCCTCAGGTCAACAACAAACTATCTGAAACCCACGATGCCTGTGCCGTCTGCCTTCCACCTTCGGGTATTGTGACGCAACTGTGCAGCGGCGATGCACGACTGGCATGAACTCGGTGGTACAACACCCGGACGCGGCCTCCGATAGATGCCTGACTCACCCTCTTGCCGACTGACTGACGTATGCAACTGCGTCCGAGCCGTCCGAGTGGACTTTCCGCGCCAGGGCTCGGGCTTTGGCTGTCGGCTATCGTCCCCAGTACGCTTTGCAAAAGTCCGTGTCCAAGTATCATTAGCATCAGTTGTTGCGGTGCAGACATGTCCCACGCTGTTTTATTACCGGCTCGCGTTGGTGGCTCGTGTGGCCGCAGGACACATGCGGTGTAAGCAGAGACGTCCTAACTTTGCGAGTCGCGGTTTCATCATAGGAACGAAAAAAGGGCCTGGCCGGGAATTGAACCCGGGACCTCCTCCAGATTGCGTTAAGCCCTAAGAAGGAATCATACTACTAGACCACCAGGCCGTTATTACACATTCTCACTGTAAATATTTGATGTTGTGGTGCTGTAGCTCTCATACGCAGAGATGCCCTCGAACTTCTCCTCTGAGCAAGGCAATTGGTGTCATGCAGCGGCTATCCGACAATGCACGCGCACCCTCTTGCTCTCTGCCTGCTCATGACCTGCTCTCCCCGACCTTCGCGCTAGACACCGCGTAAACGTGTATCAGCAATGCCTCGAGGGATTCCCAACGCGAAACGAGACGAGTCGGCGCTGCGATACACAAACTTCCATGTCCCGCTTGCGTCAGTTGCTTTGAGCCATATGAGCTTGTGGCGACGTACGTACTCACTACGTCGTGGACAGGTTGAACCCCAAGCATGTAGGGTCGACCTACCAGAAGTCGGAGTCTCAAACCTTGTGGTCGCGAAATGCCGTTCGCGCACATAGGACGAGGATTGCCTTGGACGAGGCTGGAACGGCCACTCCGACAGAGGTTAGTGACGCGCACGGTGTCTATCAACGAGTGTTTCTAACGCCGAGGGAACTACAGCAGACTAGGAGGGGATCTAAGGTTGTTGTCATTCACCCAGGTTCTCGTTTCCTCCGGATAGGACGCGCGTGCGACGTTACGCCCTTGACAATCCCGAACGTCATCGCGCGAAAACATACTGTCCCTGTCTCGGAACCTGTGTATGTTCAGGGAATCTCGCGACCGAAGGAAGATAGGAAACGAGCGACGCCCTCTACATCTGCGTCTAACGGAGACGAATACGCGGTGAATGTAGCCTCGGATGACCCAGTATGTCGTAGTGCTTCGACGCTCTGATGATCGCATTTTGGCTGATATAAGTTTCCAGTTTGACACCAAGGTCGCTGCAATTACGGTCTCACTGCGAGACCGTATGCGGTTCTACAAACTTCGCGTGACTCCAAATGCCGCCGGAATCGCGACAACCTTCAACGAGCAGTTCAAGCCTGAGATCATTCCTGAGCAGAACGATCCCTACAGTGTCGACTGGATATACTCATCAGATGAGCCCTACTACGTAGGCGAGGAAGCACTGCGTATCGCAGACCCCGAGCGGATGGGTTATGTCACTAGGTGGCCTATCTACGGCGGAAACTTCAACACTCGCGACTACCCTTCGATGCAGCTCATATACAGTGATGTTGAGACGATATTCAGGGAAGCGTTAAAGCAAAAGGGCATCGAGGCAAGCGCATACAAGGTCGGTACATAGTCAGGCATGCTAGTAACCGCGCTCATTTGTGCGTACGTAGGACTACTCTGTCGTACTCGTAATTCCAGATTATTACGATCGAGCGTACGTGGAAGCCCTCGTGCGAATTCTCTTGCTCGACATGGGTTTCAAGCAGTTCTGTGCCCAGCAAGTACTGACACTTTCAGCGCCGTCATCTTCATTTTGCTCATGTATGCACTCAGGAATCTTTAGCGTCGACATATGGTGCTGGTATCTCAAATGCCTGTGTAGTCGACATGGGTGTGGTGAAGACCAGTATTGCTTGCGTGGATGACGGGCTAGTCGTCGCCGACACCAGGTAAATCATCATGGCCTCGTCCTTCCCCGCCTTCACTCACACAATATCAGAATGGTGTTGAGTATGGGCGGGAACGACATCACCGAGTTCCTTTATGTCTTGCTAGAGAAGATTGGCTTTCCATATCGCGACATTGACCTTGCACGATCTTACGATTGGAACGTCATGGAAGACCTTAAGGCGCGGCTGTGCACTCTCGCCGAGGTGAGTTGCGCCAGTCTCGAAGTGCGTCAACGACTGACATTCGAACACACTCACAGGGTGACGTAGCCTTGAACCTGTACGATTTTTCTGTCAGGCGACCGGGGAAGCCCACAGAGAAATACGGCTTGCGCGCATATGACGAGATCATCCTCGCACCAATGGTGAGTGACTGTGTTCGATCTCGCGAGCAGCGCCGCTGAAACGCTGTCTAGTGTCTGTTTGAGCCTCGCGTCATCGAGTTCGAGCGCAAGAAGGCCGGGATGCGGTTCCTCATGCGTGCGCCAGATATGGCAGAGGAGATGGTCGAGCAGAGTTCGGAGAAGTTCACGGAGCGCTATGTGCGTACTCCAATGTCCGCCTCCGTTCGTTACGCTGATGTTATATGCTGCTCCCGCAGACACAAGCCATGTTGATATCGACACAGCACCTGTTCCCCGTGCTAGTGCCTGCCCCTACTACGGAGCAGGTGCCGCTTCTCACTGCGCCAGTGATCCAGACACCGGTCACGGAAGGACCGTCGCTAGCCGTCACTCCTGCAGCACCCAGTGGTGAGCCATCTTCCAACGTTGACAATAGAGAGCTACTGAAGATGCCGTGTCAGCTTCTGCGACCGCTCCCGTAACACCTGCAGCGGAGGAACCTCCCACTGCCGCCGCCAGCAGCGTCAAGGACGAAGACGTTGAGATGACAGATGCGGCCGCCGCAAAGTCCGAATCTGGGGCGCCATCCGCATCAGGCGCGGACGAGGACAAAGCGTCGACGAAGCCAGCCGAAGACACCCCCGCTCCCGCAGAGAAGGGGAAAGCCAAAGAGGAGGCGAAGGAGACACCCGCCCCACCCGCCGAGGCCCCGGTGGAAATTATTGACGTCGACGAGATCGAGGTGAAGCCCGCGCCGCCTGCCGCACGCGGGCAGCCCCCACAATCGCACCAGCCCCCACCCCCGCAAATGATTCCGTTCGGGCTACGCGCGTTCAATATCGACGTGAGCTTCGAGGCGAGCAAGCTCCCGCTCGACGTCGCGATTTTCAACAGTGCGCGGGCGGCAGGTGGGGACGAGAAGATACGGAAGTACCTCCAGGCGGTCCTCGTGGTAGGCGGGACGGCGCTCGTACCGGGGATGGCTCATGCGCTGGAGAGCAGGTACGCGGCTGTTGTCGGGATCGCGCTGACCTCTTGGGGAGACTGACGCGACCTGCGTCGTAGGCTGCAAGCTATCGCGACGCCGCTTGTGCCCAACATGGAAAAGGTGCAAATCATCCCACCGCCCAAGGACGTTGACCCGCGCGCGCTCGCGTGGAAGGGCGCCGCTGTGCTGGGCAAGATGGACGGCGTAGCGGATTTGTGGGTAACTCCTGCTGACTGGGTGCGTCTATTCTCTTCGCTTCTTCGCTCATCTCGCTCGTATGCTGATGATTCATTGCCGGGTGAGCAGGAGATACTGGGTATGCGCGCGCTCAAGGAGCGATGCTTTTTCTTGTCGTGAAACGATAGTTGCTGTACAGTTGACATCGGTGCGGTATTTGTGATCATATTTGTATGTAACAATCCTGGAACTTCTGAGTACTCGACATCTACCGGAAAGTTATAGGCGACGATATGCGAGTGGTGCGTACAGGTAACTTGTAAGTGTATGTTACGTGCAGCAGTTTAATATCAGGGGTTTATCGTACCAGGAATGGTTGGTTTGGGGCGGACAGGCGTAAGGCAAGGCATATAGACAAGCTCACATCAACATGAAAACACAGGCGCATAAGCCAAAACGTAAGACACACAGCGAGCAAGAAACGTAACGACGGGATTCTATATGCGCGTACGGATTGAGAATTAGAGCGTACAGTATGGTATGAAAGGAACGTGATACATGGCGGACGATCTGCGGTGACATCCTTTCCTCCCGAAGACGCATGATATAGCAGTATGAGGCCGGGAAACATTCGACGTACGAAAGGCGCGACGCGGGCGTGCATGAAGCTTGCGTCACACGGAACGATTACACGCCGAGGCGGTCCTTGAAGGCGACGAAGTCGTCTGCTTGGAGCGTCGCCCACTGATTCGCAAGCAACGTCATCTCTGTCCGCCCTTTGCTGCGTGAGGAAATCATCGGTCAGCGGGTGTTCGATACGAGCCAAGCTAGAGTAGGACAAACCTGTCGCGCTCCTCCCATTCGATGTACGCCGCGCCGGTCCCCTTCCAAAGAACGAGTTTCTCGTCCTCGCAGGAGACAACCGCCGCATCCGTCGTGTCCATCCTTCCCACATGCGTGCATACCCCCGACCCTGCACTGCTGCTCTCCGGCTGCGGGTTCGTGCACCTGATGAGCTCGACGAGCGCCTTTATCGTGGTGTCGGCGAGGCGATTCGGGGTGAATGGGAAGGAAAAGAGCGAGCGCGGGATGTGGTCGGACGTGTACGGCAGCTCGGCGCGGCAGAGCGGGCACTCCAGGGAGTCGTGCCAGTAGCCACATCCGCGGTGCACGGCGGCGAAGCACCACTGGAGGATGCATATCGCGCAGAACGAGTGGCCGCAGCGGCCCGCAGTGAGAGTGTATGGACAGGCCCTACGGAAAGAAGATGAGAAAGGGTATAATTTGATGAGAGGGAAGCGGTACGTACATGACTTCGTAGCATCTACCAGACGAGGCGGTGGGCGTCAGCGGATGTGGCTATAAATACGGCTGGTGGCCAAAGGCCAAGTAGGCGGACGTACAGCGAGCATGTAAAGTGTTCCTCGAGTTGTGCGAGAGCCCACAGAGGCTCCGTCATCACGCCTACGGCGGTCAACGTTCGCTGCGTGCGCTTGAGCAAGACCTTCTCCTCCGCGGTAAGGCGCTTCCTCAGTGAGGCGAGCTCCTTGGACTCTGCATCGACCTCGCGCCGTTTGACGACGAGGCTCTGCACGCGTTTCTGAATAGCTTCTCGCTCGCGCGAAAACCCCTCCACCGTGCGGTGCATCGCGTTGCTCTTCTTTTGGACGGCAGCCTCACGCTTCTTGACCTCACGCTCACGCTCGCGCACGCCCTTCTCCAGTTCCTTCAGTCGCTGTGCCAGCGCCCGCAGCTCCTCGTCTTTATCTACCGAGGGCGCACGTTTCCGCTTGGGGGCGCGGGGGGATTTAGCAGCCGAGGCCTTGCGTCGTGATGGCCCGGCACGAGAGGTGCTCACGGAGGAGCTGCGAGATGCGCTTGAGGAGTCATCCTCCGCTTCTACGAGCGTGGCCGTCGAGCGACCTCTGGAGGTGGAACTCGAGGAAGGCGATGCAGCAGATGCAGGAGCTCGTGAGACACGCATGGAGGCACTGGCTTTGCGTTTGGCGGTAGTTGTTGCTACCTTTCCTTTCCTTTCTTTTAGTGTACGTGCACCTGCAATTTCTCAGCAGTCTGGAATGCGACATTCGACGTGCATGCGTACCTTTGACCGCTGCCTTCGCTGACGCCTTCGAGGTCCTCGATGAGCGAGTTTTCGATGATGTTGCGCGCTTGGAAGTCGAGGCGTTGGGTAGCTCAACGCTCGCTGCCGCTTTGACCGTCAGCTTTTTGACTCTGGCGGATTTGTTGCGCATGGCGAGGCGAGCAGCAGGGCGTAGACAAAGAGGGATTGGCGGCCAAAGGATGGGATCGATGTCGTCCGCACAATGAACCCGCGTCCTGCCCGCTATATCTGGCTGCAACCGCTGGGCAACCGTGACAAGCTTCAACCGCCCATAGGCGCAACACGGCGTGTGACGCAAGCACGTGATCGTGCATCAGTCACGTCTCGCGTGCGAGACGCGTCTCGTTTCGCTCCTTGCCTTCTTCCTCCATCTGCTCCCGACTCCCGAGCGCGCTGTGCCTCGTCCTCTGCCAGCTATCAGCACGCTCACACACATCATTTCCGCGACGTTGTCCCGGAACAACGTATCTAGGCAATCGAAACCCCACGAGAAGCGTACAAGATACGATGAACAGCCGCTCGAGGTCACATACCGAAGGCATCTCCTTGGTCGGATGTGGTCGGATGGGCATGCGACATGCAAGGCGGAACAGACGGAGTTGACGATGGCGGAGCGAAAGCGCGGGTGGGAGCTTCTTTGTCCATGCTGGTAAAGCCTCTTTGCAGCGGGCTGCCTATATGCGCCCGTCGGGCCGACTGGCCGGTGCAAGGTCTTGTTCTTGTGAGACATCCCAAACCATCCCCTTCTGCAGTACGCTTTGACAGCCTTGTATCGCTTAATTCGCCAACCGGCTGGTACCTTCAACAATCCTTTCTGGCCCCACCGACAAGGCAAGCGCGGTGTGTGCTTCAGCCGACACGAAGTCATGTCAACCAGAGCGCTCAAGAGGGCCAAAGAGCAGTGGGCTTGCTATAGCGGTCACTGAACGATCCAGCTTACCCTTTTCGTCATGTTGCTTTCTCACGTCGCGCCAGCATATACTTCATCGAGGTATGCAATTGCCTCGTGTATCGCGAACGTCGCTGATAAACGCCAGGCACCTGCAGGGACCACTCGGGCGGGCATCGATGAGAACAAGGTTGCGTCGTCACTCGCAGTCCGCCCGTCTGGCGTACTGTGCCTGAACCCTGCGGACGTGATCTTCCTGCCCCTTTGAGCTTCATCGTGACCTAGTCTCACCGCGCCGCCAGCAAGGTTGCGAACGGCTCCGTCGGCGCATCACAGTCAGCTGGCGCACCCGCGTCCAAAGCGACGCTGGGAAGGCACTCGCTCAATACCCATACGACCGCATGCGCGTTCTCCGCCTGTTATGTCGGGGCAGGTACGCATTTCAATTACTCTGAATGTGAGTCTTCTCTGTCAAGTATTATCATGCCGGTGCGGCCCCGTATACCGATACTGCATGCGAAAGAGCTTCCACGGCGGATGCAATATCCATCTGCGAAGTTCACGATATTCGCTTGCTCTTGACACAATGGGCATTCCGGGATATCGGACGGGATGATAATGGGATAATAGTGGCAACGATGAGATAACTTTAGGTCAATTATCTGTCCATCATTTGCACGGCTGGGAGGAAACATTTCGGACGAATATGAGGCCGTGTTTACAATGTCGTCAAGGTTACGTATTGTCCTTGCGCATGTTTGGTAGGTATCCGTGCCATTTGATACTGATCAGGCCAATTTTGGAGCCGTTCAGTAGCCGCGTGTGACGTATCCCGAAACCCCCAAGTCTGTAAGTGCGAAAGATTTCCCTTTGGCCCAAGATCGGCAGCATTTTGGGCGCATATCTGTAGATCTGGCAGGATCCCAAGCGGACGCGCGGATAGTGAGCCACTCTCGTGCCATAGTGTTTCCTAGCGCACCGGCTGAAAGGTGCCTTATATTAATTCGAAACTTTACTAACCGTGTCCAGTATTATCCGATTATCAGCGCGTCGGATATGCCGGAATGCCCGTTGTGTGAGTTGTATTTTCCGAAGAACTTCCTGGTTACTACAATCGCCAATGCGACCGACAGCTGATAGGCGTGTCCCTTCTCAATGTGAGTGCCTCCTTGTACTCTGCGCGCCTCCGCCAAGCCCGCTCAACCTTGACCAATAGCACATGGCGAGCACCGCAGTGGGCCACCCGTGCGTGACGTCGGGGGACCGAAAACATATCCTGCACTTCCCAGTTGCGCCCCGGATATCCGGGGTTGACCCATCCGCTGTGTATGATCAGGCACAGATACAATGCACAAATGATGGATTTTTGCGGCGGGCCCGTCAGATCGCGACCGCCCGCCTACTTTCGGCTCCGAACCGCAATATAGCTGGGTTTCTATACATCATATGCCACTACGACATGAATTAACTCCGCATGCTGCGTTTACAGACAACTCTCGCGTGTTACTACGCCTGAGGGTTTTGGAGGAATGGCGTCAGCACTCCTCCCAGATCGAATTTGGGAGTGCGCAATACCTCTCCTGCGGCGATACTGCGCCGTAGCTCATTACGGAGAGCATGTACAGATGTGTGAGCTTCCCGTCGACATACTCCCACACTTCCAACGTAATCGATCTAGACGTGAGCTGGTGCCTCAATCGCAAGCCTATCTGCTTGGCATGTGCGAACTCACGAACCCAGGCAACATGCTACAGAAGCAATGGCGCGTGTAGGGTTGTGGGGAAGTCGTGCCGATGTCGAAGTTCGTTGAATGCGCACGAAGCCACGATCCCGGCCTCGCGCGGCGTTCGTTTCTACGGCCGTTCTTCATCCCGTCGGCGCACTTCTTTGCCTGGAATGTCGCGGGGAACGATCGCTACAGCGCCAGTGGTGCCCTCCTGACAGAGACGGCGCGTCTGCGAAGCATCCCCACGGCGGTCAGTGTTCTTCCGTGCTCTGTCCGCCGACGCATGCAGTCCTAATTGGCGTTCTGGACATCTCACAGATGATTGACTGTTGTACATGGCATACACCTTGCCGTGATGAATGGAGAACCGTTTCTCCCTGCTCTGTATGCATTGTAGGTCCAATATGACCTCATCGTCTACTTCCTGAAGTCGCTGTGATGTCTTGCCCCGCCCCTTGATGAAGTTGTTGGTGCAAAATTCTCACCTCGTCACATCATACGTCCAATGCGGGTGAGTGATTCTTCATCGTTCCACTGTACGTGCATCAACTGGGGGCTGATTGTTGTTTGTCTGACAGCGGCGGCCCGTCTGTGACTAAGCTCAAGACCGCATTGCGTCCGCGCGCGCTCGTCCTACGATTCCGCAGAACGATGGACGACCCACCTGATCCAATAAACATCTTCCCTTCTCCCGTCCGTCCCCGCCCGCGACGAATTCTGAACATTTCCGTCTGCGAAGCGCCCCCCGCGCCAACCACAACTTCGACTGTTCGGACGCGCATCGAGGCTTCGATGAGATACAACACAGAACCCGCCGCCACCGTGATAATCGCAACCGGTCAATGGCTGTGGCGCGCCCCCAACTCTCTGGGCAATGCACCCGGGCAAACGAAGACGTAACGGTGTGCGGCGCGATTCGCTGGGTTGTTGTTCCGCGTCCGCGATGCCGAGCGCGAGCGAGCGACACAGAGCCGGAGCTCTGGGCACGTCATGCCACAGGGGTTCTCGCCTTCGCGCCCGCTCGAGGTCCTCGTTCTCGCGTCCGTCATAGAAAGAAGGTCATGTCCGAACGCGGAAGGAGCGTTTGCTGGGTGCGGAAGCTCTGCCCTTCGCGGCGCCTCTGCTTAGACGTTGACGGGTGTAGGGAGGGGCTGTCAGCGTGGGCACGGACAAGCGGCCTGAAAAGGCGGTCCTGAGGCATGGAAGAGTGCGATAGACTGCCCTAGGGCTGGGGCTGGCCGCTATCTGGCTTCCATCGGACAGGCCAGGTGCGACGTGCTGCAATAGATATCCCGATTGTTTGTCAAGACGCGTGCTGCGCCCCACGGCTGCCGGGAGCACCAAAGGCCTAGCGCGGACGCTCGCGGGCCCTGGGTGGCCGAAGGACGTCGCGCGGTCGAAGAGACATTCAATACAAACTGCGCGAAGGCGAAGACCCGCCGTCGGACGTTGGAAATACCCCTTCGCGCCGATCCAGAAAACTTCGCTGTGGACGTATGAACCTTGCAATTGACGCAGGCGCCGCGACGGACCTCGATGTGCCCCGTCATGAGGTGCGGGAAGAACATACGGCACGATGTCAAGTCGGGGTCGGGCGGGGCGGCCTTTGTGCTTTGGGCCGCAACATGGGCTGCTCGCCGTTCTGGTTCCTGCGATACTACTGGTCGACATATCGCCGGCTGTGGTGCATTCACGGAGGCGGGCGTATGTCCAAGTGCTGCGGTTGGTATATCTCGGATGCATGGGCTTGAGCGCCGTTTCCTCAGTGAGTTTTCGTGAGGTTGTCCCCATCGCATGTGATCCTCGGACCTCACTCAACCCGTTGTCAGACTGTACCGACTCTGGTGATGACCCACAAGACCACCGAAATCTTCAATGCGCCGTAGGTAGAGCTCTTGCCGCCGTCGTGTCCGGGCGTCCGCATATACAAAATAAGCACAGTGACTCTCACAATTGGCATGTAAAGCCGTTCCGGCCTCTTCGCCGAACTTCGCCGAGTCGTCGTCCGCGGGGCTAGCAGTCTTGTCAGCACCACGATGAAGCGCTGCGTCAGCAAATACGACGTCATTATCGTATGATTTCTGCAAGCCAGGACGATACAATGCTAGTTGTCGATAGCCCACCGCGTTTATATCGGACTTGGTCACCACGTACTACTTGCAGGGCGTATACGAGCTCCGCGAGCCTCTTTTAGGGACCAAGCTAGCTCGCAAAGGTGGCATTATATCAGCGCATTTTGTACTTATATGTTACATTACTGATATCTCCGACAGACAGCCCGCCATTCACCGGAAGCCCGAGGAGTTCATCCCGAAGGCTGTATGTCCGTCGACTCAGATTCGACCACAACATCAGAAGCCACTTATCGGGGACTCGTACTGCGTCATCGACGCATCTAGCTGTCATTTTCAACATCATCTGGGTCTTGTATTTGACGCTCATTGCACATGTACATACTTGCACATGGCCGTCTCGACGGGCGGCTTTAGGAAAGGGCTCTGGTACGTGTATATCCATCATCGTCCTTCACAACATCGCGCAGCTTCCGTCCCTTTTCCAGTACTTACTCCACTCCAACGTCCTCAATAGTAGGAAGATCGCATGCGCACATGTCTATTTGCAATCATGTCGCTCGATCACGTCCGCTACGTCGGCGAACCCGCGCAATATCTCATGCAGCGCTTCCCCGCGTTCGACCCGCCACCGGCTGCTGGAATTACGTGTAAGTGCACGCTCGTCCGCTCGTCCACCGCACAACCCCAACACGTGTAGCTTTATCTCGCAGTACGCCATGATAGGCACCCCGTCGCAGTCGCTGGCAAGACATGCTTGGCTCCTGAGGTCCACTGGCAGGGGCCAGAGCTCGGCTGCCGCTACAGCGTCCCACTCGCGCTTCCCGTCACCGTGCCCAACAATCACGCAAAGTTTGCATTTAATATGGCCGGTCATGCGCCCGCATAGACTCCAAGAGCTCGCACCCATCGCGCGCCTGCGGGTTGCCCCGTGTGGTATGTTTTGACGTTTCTGACATGCCCGACCTGACGTCGCCTTTTGTTCGAGTGTGCGGCCGATGGGCCTGCCGTAAGCCCTCTCTGGGTGCAGGCCTTGATCTAGGCCGCGCACACCCACGGTGTCCATGGTACCTATATTGTGGGGGCGCCACCGTCATCCGTCGCTGGCAGCCATCGCAGGCAGCCCTGGGGCGGTGAGTCCTCGATCAGCAGATGTGCGATCCTGGGCGATTCATTCAGCTGTTTCCAGGAGAAACCTCTCCGATATCGGAAACTTGCCTGGGAGGCGACGCCGGGGAGCCTCCGGGCTGTCAGTACTGCTGAGTGGGCTGCCGATGTCACCCTCGCATCAAGATCGCGAGGTAAGATCGACCTGTCGGTCCTTGTCGGTCCCAGCCTGACACGTTGGTCGGCATTGTGCTGCGCAAAGCACTGTCTCTCCAGCGCTGGGGAGGCTGGCCGTTCTACTGATGTGGCTTGTTCAGCTAGAGAAGCCTACGTCCGAAGTAGGAAACACGAAAGGACCTTCCTTCGTCGGCCCGTGGAGGAGGCTGTGTATCCCGACGTTGTATGTGCAACACGTCAGTACGCGTTCACGTCGGACCGACCTTGTGATATTGACAAGACTTACAGATCGTGTTACCGTGCGTTAGAGATTACTCAGCACTGACCACAACACGGTCATTCTCAATTAGTGCCTCGTGTATAGCTGCAGCTTGGAAAGAAAGCGGCCAAACACTTTTACTGACTGTGGATCTTCGATCAGCCGTCGCAGACAAGGGCTCCGGGTTCAAACCGCGGTAGACAATTGTAGTGGCCGACCGTTGGTACATGAGGGAAAGAGTCCTCCCTGTTTGCTCGAATCAACACTGAAACTGTCGCAGAAATCTGCATAATACTCCACATGGTCGACAAGAGCCCACTATCCAGTGAACACGCACATGAAGTGCCGTCCAGGTAGTTCTCTCTCCCAAGAAGTACATTTACGACTTGCTTTCGCCCAGACTCGCCCATGACAAATGGAGCCTCCGCAGATGATTAGTGTTGTGAGTCCATGCACCCCCGGGCCCGAGGTTTGGTACGGCTGATCGGATAGCCCTCTCCAGTGGTGGGCCAGACATCTCGCCAGGTCCAATTTACTCCCGATCCCATATTCTTCACGTGGTTACGAGTAGAAGGCACAAGACGAAAGAGGACCTGGCGCCCTGGCGACGCCCCAAGTGTCGGGCACCAGACGCCCAGGCTGATCATCGTGCGCTCGTCCCCGCGTGCGACCGAGGACGCCCGCGCGTCGGACGCGCACAAATCGCGGGCACTGGGCATGCACCTACAGAAAACAGCGGGTTTGCCCGCCGTGCCGCTGCCGGTACGCGGCCAGCTGGCGCGCCCGCCACGCCGGGTTTGTGGCCCAGGGTGGCGGAAGCGGGCCTGGCAGGACGCACCCACTGTTCCTGACAGCCGAAGGTATGTACGTACTGTTTGCGTCCTCCTCGGTGCGCGTCGCGCGCGCGAAGGCTCGCAAAACTCGCGAAAGCCCAGCGCCGGGCGCCTCCCACTGCTCGTTCGCGATGGATGTGCTCGATGTCATGGATGCTGATCAGCTCTCGATGCGCGAGCGGAAGCGAGGACCACGGTGCAGGACCCCACATCACCAGCACCGCAATCCCGGTGAATAGAGAATTCTGCATGCCCCTCGCGCGGGCTCTGCGCCATCAGCGATTCAGCCCGCACGCGCGCGTGCCGAGCCGCGCGCAGAGCATCCAGCAGCTCAGGGATCCGGGCGCACCGGAGTCGACCCTGCCATGCGCTGCGAGGAGCCGACGCTTCGCCCTATCGGGGCCCCGGCCACGGCAAGGGGTGTTTCGGAACTATCGATCGCGTCGCCCGCGTCCGTGCTTGAAGCCGTCGGACGACGTCCATCAGACGCGGCATGCGGGGGAACATACCCGAACGAGGAAGATTCCACGTTCCGGCTCGGGAGGGGGGGCCTCGGCTTCGGAAATTGCGGGGGTTTGCTCGCCGCCACGCGGTTTGCGCGCAGAGGTGCGTTCCTGGGCCCGGACGCTCGTTGGAGTGGGCCCGCTCTCGGATTCTCTTCTGTTGAGTTCCTGCTGAATCGGAACCCACAGTGCGCACGATTGTGGACGCGCCGGACGGTCACCGGGTGTGCGGTGCGCACCGGGCCAGCAACGGACGCCTGTCCCTCGAGACGTCGGGCGGGAGAAAGCCGCCCGTTCAGGCGGCAGCGTCTCTGCAGCAAAAATACAAACGGAGGGCTGCATATGACGAGCAGTGGGTCAAAAATAACATACTCTAAAACGAGAGATGCACTCAATCGCAATCACAGGCGTCATCCCGCGCGCATATCCAGATGGGCAGGGCGTTCGCAGACACCCCCGAAACGGCGCAAATGCTTCCGCATTTCACCTGCCCCCGCGGGCGCTGATACTGTGCGACAAGGTACCGTCGATCAGCGTTGAGTGCACACAACGCGTCGCGACAGGCGCCCGCGGCCAGGGTCGGCGCGGTATATTGCAATCCGACACGTCCGAGGCGGGAGCAGAGAGGCTGGAGAGGCACGTCGCATCCACTCGCGGCTCCTATCGTGCCAACACGGTCGCAGGCAACGCGCACACACACCGCGCAGCCGCAGCCTGGCCATAATCAAATCACAGGGTGGAAGAGCGGCACAACACGCCTCGAACCGGCACCAATTGCTGTTGGCGTTGGCGCGACGACGCGACCAAGACGCGTCGCGTCGCTGCACTCTTACATTGTACGTGCTCGTTGGAATCTGTCAAGTGTATACTGTCACCGAGTCGTCTCCAGCGCGAGAAGCACACGCCCGCCCGCGTCCGCCAGAACTCGCTTCTGGGACCTGGCGAGCAAGCAGGTCCTGTCCCGCGCTTGACATAGAAGGGGGCGCGGGCGTGACGGGATCACCCCACCTGCCAGGGCGTGCGAGTGTGCGTTCCGTCCCGTTCGCAGTCGTCGTCCTTCCATGTCGTCATCCGGCCTGTCCGCCAACGCCCGCGAAGTCTGCGCGACAGGCTACAGCGCGATGGCGCGTCGCTGCTAAACACGTCCGCGACATGCTGACTGGGCGGATGACTGGAACCCACGGGCAGCCCTTACGACATCGCAGTGACTCTGGGAAATCAATGCAGGAGAAACAGGAAACAGAAACGGAAACAGAAACGCGGGGGAGGGCTTCGCGATCAGCAAGAACATCTGCCAGGCCGTGGCACTCACACTGCATGCCACGGGCGTGTCCGCCCCGCGCCGCCTGGGCACGCGCGGTCGGACGGTCCTGGTGCTTCGACTTCTCAGAGACCGCAGTTACACTGCAGGTGTGTTACGCAATGCGTATGCGTATTCTTGGGCGACAAGTATTCTTGGGCGACAGGGCCACACGTGCGCGGCGTGGGACGAGACCGCGCCGCCGACATTGTATGTGCCGAGGCGGGACCAGCTGCGCGGTTCCCACCGCACACCACGGTCGTCGCAGCGAAGCCGAAGCAAGGTTGTTGATGCCATTTGCGAAGCTGGAGATCCGGGAGAGCAGTGCACCCGCGGTGGCACGCACCTCTGCTGGGCAACCCCCCGAGCGATGTCGGTACGATGCTCGCAAGCCCTGTATCTGTGTCGCGCGGTGAGTGCAAGATAGATTGGCAGATGTGGTGGTGCTGATGCATACCACACCTCACCCCTCACCGTGGCACGCACGTATGCACGGAAGCAGTCGTCGGGGAGCGCTGCAGGGAAAAGCTTATTGGCGTACGCGTGCAGTCGCTGACGCGCGCCCGCCACAGGATACATCCATACTCAGCACTGAGCAAGTACTCACGGCCCGGCGCGGGATGCGCACGCGAAGCCCCGACCGCGGCCCGAGGCCACACCGAAGCCCGGGCGACGCGGGCGGCCGGTAGCCTGCAGGCAGCCTCTCGGGATCATCGCGATCACTCAGAGCCACACACCGCAGGGATCGATTCGATTCGCCATCGGACGTCCATCCTCGACGCTCGCACCTCAATCGCATCTCGACATGCACCTCTACGTCCAAGGCATCCGATAGAGGCGTCTGCTGGGTACGGTACCGTTACGGCGCAGTGCGACCCACCAGGCCGCCGTCGTCGCGCCGCCAAGCCGCCGCCCGCCTCCGCCCCGGCCCCGGGGATGGCCCCCATCTTGCCTCCGGGAGCCTCTCGGAGCTTGTACACGAGGCAAACTCGAGGTGCACCACCACGCCCAATCGGTACATACGTGTGCGCGCACGCGCGCGAGCGCAACATTGAGATATATTGACGATTGAGGTTGAGATAGGGCACATGTGATCGCACCGCGCACCGTGACGCCGCACTCGCCCCCCTCTGCGACCACAACGTTGGGCGCGCACAGCTTTTTGCATCCGGAGTATGGCACCGAGGGTTCCACAGAACGTCGAGAACGGCGCGCACGCAGGAACCTGCGGGGGCCTGGATGGCAGTCAGCCGTGCGCCAAGCGCGCGGCATCGCGAGCCCGCCAACCCTCTCCTCCTGCCTCGATTGCCCCGCGATCACTGCGCTCCGCAGGGGCCAGCCCGGGCGCTGGGGCACCCGCGCAGCGAGACACCACGCAGGTGTGGTTGTGTTGTGGACGTCCGACGGGGGGTTCGGGAGGATCAGATGGTGGCGCGCCCTAGCGCCAGCGGGAAAGCGGTCCTGGGCAATCCGCAGTCCGGATCTCTGACGAGGGCACACAAGAGGACGCTCCACCCGGCGGGCAGACGGCGAGGAGGGGAAGACGCACATGGCGGGGTACAGAGCATGCGGGGTCCACGGCGGCCCCTGCAGAGACGGGCTCGAGGGCACCCGGCGGGGTCGACGTCGGGCAAATTTTTTTCAAGTGCAGGCTGATGGGCGTCGTCGTAGGATCGAAGACGAGTCACGGGCAGGCTGGGGCAGACGTGCAGAACCATCGGCGGCGGTTGATCGCATGGAAGCGCGAAGTACTAGTGGCGGAGACGGCGCCGTGTGCAAAATACTCAAGCCCGGCGGCACGCTCGTGGCCGGCGCTCGGCGTCCAGAGGAATATACAGCAGGAGAAGAGACGCACAGAGGACGGCGGCAGGACTCGACCAAGGAGGAACCAACAGGCAGCGGGTGGGACAGCACAGCATCGCGTTGCGCGACACATCGAGAACCTAGGAACAACACCAGCGCGAGCCAGCTCAGGTCCAGGGACACATGCACGAGCGCACGTACGCTCCTGGTCCAGCCTCTTCCACAAGTTCCAGCAGACGCAGAGCAAAGGGACGCAAGGGGGCGCAGGCACACCTTGCGATTGGACACGGCCCGCGGCGGATCGGGGCAGGTCGGACCCACGCACGTAACTTGTTGCAGCGCTGTTGGTCCAGCTCCACCGCACGCCTCTACGCGACGTTCCACGCAGAAGCGCCGGCAGCGTGTGAGACGAGCAGAACGGGCAGCGCGCCTGCCGCTTTCGCTGTTGCCACCCACGTCAACGAAGGCGCGAGCTTCGACACGGCCGCCGTCGCGAACCCGCGAACTCACCTTACCGGGACAGCGGCCGTCGCCGCGCTGCCTCGCTTCTGCTTCGACCCGAGACGCGTTTTGAGTCGTGACGTGGTTGCCCGGTTCCGTGGGGGGTCGGGCTCGGCCAACCTGACGGGATCGTTCGACGGCGGACGTCGAGAAGCGCGGCGAGGCGTTGCGCGAGCACCGCTGGGGGCGGAGCGCGTCCGTACAGCGACGCGGGACGCGGGACTGCCAAAAGCCTGAGCCTGTTCGCGAGTGTGTTCGGGACCCGCACGCTTCAAGGCAGGTCTGTTTCCTTCCTCGGAGCAGACGCGACCCTGGGGCCCCGCGCCGCCGGGGGCCGTCGCGGGTTGTGCGCTGATGCATACGCCGAGAGCGTCGCGAGCAACGCGCTCGGTATCGAGCATGGCGGAGGGAACGCGATGATCCACTCTCCGACGCAGGTGCCGAGCCCGAGCGCGCGGGTGCGACGCGCCGTGGCCAATCGTCTCGCGTCAGAAGGCGGGGGCGCGGGCGATTTGCGTCTTCGCCCGATATTGCCTGTCTGCCCCACGTCTTCGGCGTTTGAAGGTGAACGCACACGACGCGTTAGGAATGCTCCCCCACACGCTCTGGCGCCCGTCCCCGGACGCAGATTGTCGTCCTCGACGTCGCTGCTGTCCGGCACGGCTGCGTTCCAGAAGGCTTGCGCGCGAGCGGTTGGGAGGAAGCCCGGGGTCGATGTCGAACGGTTACGTGAGTGCGGCCGCTTCTCGACTTCTGCGCAGTGCGAGGGTGGGGTAAGTACGCTGCGTTCCGGCGGCTGGTTGGACAGACCGCAGAGGACGTCGAGCAGCTGGTGGAGATTTGACAAGACAACGAGTTACGTCGTGCACGACAAACGCAATCGACGACGTGCACAGGGGCTCGCTCGGCGTCCGGGACGCGTTTGTTCGCCGTTCGAATGGTGTTCGAGGTGGCAGCCGCGACGTCGATAACGGACGGAGCAATGGGTGGGTGCAGTGGGTGATCGCAGCGGCGACCTCGATGACACACGGGGTGCAGAAGAAGGCGTACACGGTCGAGGATACTGCAGTCGACGCGAGCCCCCCACCGGGGAGGCTGCATTCGGCGCGAAGCGCGCACAAAGTCCGACGGCACGGAATCGACGGCGCCGGGCGAAGGCGCGCGGTGGCAGGTGTCCGTCGTCCAGGCGATGGAAGGAGGCTCGTGGGAGCGTCCGCCTCTGTGCAGAAAGTGGGAGAGGGAAGCGCGGGAGGCTGTTCGGCTCGCGGTGCGGAGCGTGCTTCGGGAAGGACGGGCGCGGGCTGGCGGGACCGATCAGCGGAAGAGACGCGTCCCGGGCGAGGGTGTCGCGCACGCGTCGATATGACGCGTCAGACGCGTCCGCCATCGAGGAAGGACCGGGCGCGCGGGCGCCGGGCAGCACAGACAGCGAGCGGAGAGAAAGAGGAAGGAGGCCGGGTTAATCAGAGTCCCACGGACGCAGTTGCGGGCGTGGACGAGAGGGTGATCACGCGATGGACACGCGAGCAGACGGGCGTCACCTGTGTGCTTCGGAGTGATGTAATGAGCGGGAGGGAGGAGAGAAGGGCGGGGCCGGGAAGCGAAGAGGGGCGGGGCACGATAGGAGGAGGACGTGCGCTGGGCAAGTCGCGGTGGGTCCGTATGACAGTTGGTGGCGTCGGCATCAGCACAGGGGGTGACAGAGAGAGAGACGGCGGGCGGGGGAGAGCGAGGCGGGCAGCGGACGATAGAGGAGGGGGAACGGGACGAGGACGGGGACGGCACGTTGCGTTATCGTCCGAAAGACGCGGATAAACGGGCAAGGGGAGGGGAAAATGTCTCGGGAGGAGGTACTGCCGCGCACATGGCTGCTCGAAAAGGGCTAATTATTGCAGAGTCCCCGAAAAGGAGCGGGGAGGACAGCGGGCGGGTGGCCAATGGGAGAAAGGGGGCAAATTAAAATAATGCGCTGAGGGAAGGCGAAGGGGATCGTGACGAGGAATCTGGGGGCGGAGCGTGAAAGGGAAATGTATTGGGAAGATGGGTGATGGAAGACGTGCGATTCCAGATCCGCTGGGGGGGAGATCTGAGGACCCTGACGGGCGCCAGTCGAATCGAAGACGGCGAGAGAGCTAAGGGGTTTGATCTATTGACGTCGTTTTACGCTAAACCGGCCCTAAACTAGGTAATAATACGTAACTCGTAGACCTCGAATCCAACATAGACAGCCCCGAGAGCGCAATACATTTGACCCCGTCGTAGCCTATACCCACACGCTGTTCACATCTTCTGTAGTCCTAGTCGCTCTGCGGCACATCGGCAGGTTGCGTGCGTAAACCTCGCATGATGGGAGGGGAAAGCCGCGTAGCTCGCGGGAAACCTCGGCCAGGAGAGCCACTGCTGCAGACACAGACAGCGTCTCGACACGCACACGCAACCCAGAGCAACAACTAACAAAAGATGCAGTCAGCAAGGGTTTAGACTCCGGGGGTAGGTCACAGGTGATCGGGACCGGCGGCGCCCCAACAAGGCAACCACTCGCAGTCCTGTCCGCGGCGCTCCTGCGCCAGTCTAATGATAGACGTGAACGGAAGCACACACCTTGTGCCAATGTATGGCGCCACCGGTTGCCATCCGGAAGGCATTCGGAATTCGCCCGACTATGTCAGGCCCTCCCAGCCACGTCCTGTTCGGGCGCGTTGTCTTGGGGTAGTAGGGGTGGGGTTGTGTCGCACAGCTCGAAGATGTCGGCGACGTAGCTCGCCAGTATGGGGAGCGTTGTCGAGCCGCGGAGGAGCATGTCGAGGAGAACGACACTTGATAGGCGAAAATGCGCCTTTCGTAAGGAGGGCACCGCCGTGAAGACGGCTTGGAGGAAGACCTCGCGGAGGCCGCGCGGGGCGTCGGCGTCGCACTCTAGGAGTACGTGGGTCTCGTCCTCGATGGCCCAGGGTTGCGTGCACCATCGGCAGATGCGGAGTTCGCGCGCAACGCGCGTGGGACCCCGCCGGAGCTGCTCGATGGAGAGCGGATGCTCGCTCATGAGGAGCAGAGTGATGGCGGATCGCTCGCGGTGGTGGGGGAGCTGTAGGTATTCGCGCTTGCAGCACAGCTTGGCGATGAGCGGGCGGGCGGGGCAGTCATACTGCACACGGCGGTGTATCACCGGCAGGCGCAGGGATTGGAGGATGGTGGTATAAAGGTGCTCGGCCACGAGCCCTGGGATTCTCGCAATGTAGCCGTCAACGGCCTCGACTGTGGGCCATTGGTTCAGGGCGATGACGAGGGGTACGGGCAGCATGCGCGCGGCGATGGTGAGGTCGCTCCACCATGTTGGCGTAGGTCGGTCGGAGTTCGCGAGCGTCCAGCTCTCACGCAGTGCCGCGTACGCAAGCGCGGGCTGGCCTGTAAGGAGATAGCGCAAGAAGCGCAGTGCGAGCTCCAGGCGGCGGAAGCGCAGGGGCCATATTCCAGTCTCCGAGTGGAGGGGTGCGATCTGTGAACGCTTGCTGACGTGGAGCGCCCGACGGAGGAAGATGTGCTGAATCATCTCCAGTTCGTCGAGAGCGGAGGGGCGCACGTCGAGCGCAATCTCACACCCGCCTGTGAGATGTGGGTCCAGGTGGGAGAGATAGAGGCGGATGGCCATGAGCGGGGGTAGGGGCCCTGTGTAGGATTCCAGTGCGAAGCAGGCATTGCCCACACGTCGGGCCGCGAGCTCCTTTGCGATGTAGTGCGGGAGGAAGATGTCGCGCGCCGTTGAGCAGAAGGACATGCCTACGTAGACGGAGATGTCGACGTAGGTGAGGCGTTTGCCATAGAGCCGCAGAGCAGGGAGGGGGGGCGAGGATTTGTGCGCTGCTCGTGCTCGGGCGCGTCTCTCCTGCGTCTGGGGCGGGGCGGCGGAGGCGATTCAGATCCAGTAATATTCACCTGCGACTGCCCGTCCTCCTCTTCTCTTTCCTGTCGCCTCCTCCGGCCCCGTCCCTCCGTCCATGCTCCTCCATCCCCCCCAGCCCTCCTCGTCCTCCGCCATCGCCCACTACAACCTCCTCCCCGCACCCTACTCCTCGCGCGCGACGCCCCGCTCCCTCGCCGCCGTGGACAGGCTCCCGCCCCCGCCGCAACATCCCGCTCACCGCGCAGACCAGCCGCGGCATCCAGATTCACCCCTGGAGCACTCCCACAACTACCACTATGTCCCCCGCCCGCAACCGGTGCACTCCTCTCCCAGCCCCGACGCGATGTACCAGCAGCACCCACATGTACAACCCCATCTCTACGACAGCCACCACCCGCATCTGCAAAATGCACATCCCAATCACCCGCCGAACGCGATTGCGAACCCCCAGCAGGACTTTGACCAGCCCCGCCAGCAACCGCCCTCTATCCACACGGACAACCTCGTCTATCCGTCCGACTCCGGGAACTACTCCCCGTCACCCGCCTCCTCCCCGTCCGACCATGCGATGGCCGCCCAGTCTTCGTCCCGCCAGTTCTCTTTTCCTCAGCCCATGAGCGCGCCTCATTCGCAGAACGCGTTCCCGCCCAGGTATGAGAACGATCCATCCCTTCCCCGCTTCGCGTTCCCCAATCAGACCCTGGACCGCCGCATGTCCGAACCCGTGCTCGGTGCCGGCCGCCAAGCGTACCCCCAGCCGCCACCTCCCTCCCATCACGATACGTTCGCGTATTCGGGCGCGTCCTCCGCCACCACAATCCAGCCTTCCCCGCTCTCCCCGCGCCCGTCATCCTCGTACTCCTCGTACGGCTCTTATCCCGGCCATGAGCGCGATAATAGCGGCGCGTCTCTCGGCTCTGCAGGCATCCAGGACGCGTACGCGCCCTCAGGTGCACCCACATGGGGCTCAGGTATCAAACACTCTGATTTGGAACAGGACGCCGCGCTTGCCAGCTCTCCGCTCTCGCCATTGTATGCTGCGAGCGCCGCGAGCGGTTCGGACGCGTCGGCCTCGGGGCTGCCGTCTCCGCCAATCCAATCGCGGCCGTCTCCTTCGCAGCGGCCGGGGCAACTATCTGGACGTAACCCGCAGTCTTCACCAACAAGCAGCAACACCCCGCGCGCTCCCGGGAACAGCAAGACTTATTCTTTCGTGTCATTGCCTGGGAACGCGGTGAAGAAGCGGCCGCGCCGGCGGTACGACGAGATCGAGCGGCTCTATCAATGCAGGTGCGCCCCCGTTTACAGCATCGCTTTCCCCCTTCGCGCCTAGCAAGGCCTCGCGGCTTGCATCTTGTCCCCCAAACTGTATCTTTTCCGCCGCACAATCAGATCCAGTTTGTTCGCCACTTTTTCCGCGCCGTTGGCATGTCATTCAACCGGTCAAGAATTGCGGCTTACTGAGACGCGTGTATCTTTGCACCCCAGTTGGCCAGGCTGTCAGAAGGCGTATGGCACGCTCAACCACCTGAACGCGCACGTCACGATGCAGCGGCATGGCCAAAAGCGCAGCCCCAACGGTATGTGCTTTCGCGCCACAATGTCCGCTCCGTGCCACATGCTCATCAACGCACCGTATTTACCCCACGGCCCGCAATATCGGCCACGGATATTTGCGCGCACACGTAAATTACTCGTCACCCCACAGAGTTCAAGGAGCTGCGCAAGCAGTGGCGGCAGCAGAAGAAGGAGCAGGAAGAGCAGGAGCGCGAGCTCGAGCGCGAACAGGCGCACGCGAACGCGATGGCCATGCACGAGATGCAGCAGTTCGCGCACCACGCTCCGATGTCAGAGTTCGAGCACCGGCACGTCCGCCGGCGGGTGAGCATGGCCGAGCCGTACCCCCACCCGCACGCGCATCCGCACCCGCTGCCCGGGCATTCATACCTGCACGGAGGCCTCCAGGGCCACGGCCCCGGGCCCGGACAGATGCAGGGCGGATTCGGCGGTGCGCCGGGGTACAACGCGCTGCAAGGCCCGGGCATGAGCATGGAAGCTCGTTACGGCCTCCCGACTCCGGCAGATGATATGGCGCAATTCCGCTATCCCCCGCCGCCGTCTTCGCAGGTCGCCCACCCGCAAGGCCTCCCGTCTATCAACCTGACACACCACACCCAAGCCGGCCCAGATGACGATATCTACTTCCGCAATCCGGCGAGTGCGAGCCAGCCTATTCCGCTGGCGCCACACGGCGAGTCTGTGGGCCCTGCGTGGGGCACACCTCACCCACCGCCGCACCCGTCCGTCCACCACCACCCGCACGCACTCCGAGCGTCCCAGTCGTTCTACTCGGCGCAGGGCACGAGCTCGTCTATCACTTTGCCTCCTCCGCACTCTCTCGGTGGGATTTCCGCCTCTGCGCCGAACCCCAGCCCGCTCTCTGGCTCAGCTTTCCCGTCTCTGGGTCCTAGCACCGGCCACCCCACGTCTCTTAGCGGACAGCCAGACGTCAACCTGGGACTGCCCGGGCCTGGCGGAGAGAGCGGGTCTCCGACGCCCGAGCTCGCGGCGCACGTCTCGCTGGGGTCGAACAGGCTTCCGCCAGACTCGACGCTTCTCACCCCTCTGCCTGGCTACGAGCCGGACCTGGACCGTGACGAGGTAGAGCACGCCCGCGACCGCGGCCAGCGGGAGTACGCGCGCGACCCGAGGGACGAGCGGGACGGCGACGCCTGGCAGCGCGGACGCGAGCGCGAACGATACTACGCCGAAGCGGCGCAGGGAAACGGGCGCGACCAGTACGAGTAGGCGTCTGCACCCGCCGTCAGGAGGGGGACGCCCGGTCCACAACGTGACCCCCCACGTCGTGCGCCCTGTCTGACTCTCTCGCTTCGCCCGAAGGTCTCTGAGCGCCTGGCCCGTCCTCTCTCCGCTCCCCTGGTGCTCTGCGTCGCTCCTCGTGCTCCTCGGAGCTGGAACCGACCGTCAGACTGGGCCCACCCGCCTCTGTCGCACCCCACATCCCCTCCCGCGTGCGCCCTGCTTCGATCTTCAGACACCCGGTGCTTAATGCACGGGACACCCGCATCATTCTCCCCCGCGGCTGAACAGCCCGACACACCATCCATTCCCCCACTACGCACATCGAACGAACACTACTCGCGCACGTCGCGACGCGCACCAGCCCGCGCCGGCCCTTGTTTATTGCTCCCATCTCCCCCCGACCGGCGCGCCCCATAGCCTCTCGCGTCCGCGTCCGCGCATCACACTACACCCCCGTTTCCGTCTCCGTCGCCGCGCCCCATCTCTTGCCTACCCCGCGCCCTGTTCCCCCTGTCCCGCCCGCGCCCATCCCGGGCTACCGTATGATACGGACAGTGTATAGTCGGTTTATTGTGTACCTGTACGGTAGTAGATACCTCTAGTTCGTTCTTGGTATACATAGCACGCCTGTTTGTTTCCCACATCTTACATTCCCCCACATCTGGATTTGCTTACCCCCCCATCTCGCGTCTCCTTCCCATCCATGTGTCCGCCCGTCTGCACCCACCCCCGATGATCATGTGTTGTCGGCTCGTTTACGCGCACGCGCGCGTCCCCGGCGGGATCCACGCTGTTGTTGCTGTGTCGCCCCTTCCCCCGCGGATGGCGCGCACATCTTCCCGCGCACACTACACGTAGTACATGCCCTATTCGACTTCGCCCGCGTTTACATTCTCACCCCACTGTATCTCTTCCTGAGTTGTACATAGTATTCCCGCCGCGCGCGCGTAGTACCCTCTTCGCATTATTGCCCTCTTCCTTGCCTTCCCCGCTCCGCTCCTCCCACATGCCGCCACCACGCCTCGGTCTTCGGAGCGCGAGCGACACTGCTGTCCCGGTCCGCGCGCTATTCGTTCCTCCGTTCCGCGCACGGCACCCCCCGGGCCCAGTCCGCCACCTTACCCTTACCTATATACGCAACTTGCTGCTTATTTACTGTACCACAGCACCGCCCCCTCATCCGCACCACAGGCAGTCCGTGTACCACCTGTATATAGTGTACATCATCCTGCAACATATTTTTATGAGCCTTTTTGCCCTATATGTCCGAGCCCTCTAAACCCGATGTCGGACTGGGAATACGCTGTCTGTCGCGTCAATCGTGTCGTGTACATCCAAGGTTCAAGGCACCGGCCGCTCGCTGCAGCGGGAGAGCCCTGAGAGCCCCTGCGCGCCCCCTGCCCCTGGCGGTCCCCAGCGGCCTCGCCCATCGGCCCCATCCACGGTTCCTGGAGCCCAAGTGCGCAGTGCTGAGACCGGTGCCGCGCCGCCACGGTTGACAAGGCGTCTTCAGGAGGTGGTGTGCGGCGTGCGCCGCGGCGCATGTCCCATCTCGATTGCGATTCGTGGCGGGGGTTGTGGACACCTGTCCCGGTCTGCTCCGCACGCCTGCGCCCCCAGAGACCCCAAGGGGACCCCCGCGCGCGCCGGGCTCGGGCTGCGCGGGGCGTCGCGCAGGATCGAGCGGCGCTGGGCGAGGGCGCCGACTCTGCGCCGGGATATCGTGATACATACAGGCGGCGTGGAGTCCGACGCCCTGGGCGACTCTTTCCAATGCGTGTACCGTCACGGCCCGCATGCGGCTACGGAGGACCGGCCCCCCGATGGGCTGTGATGCGATATGCGTTGCGGACGACGTGTACACCCAACATTCGAGTGTCAGAGCTGAGCTTGGAAGGGCCTCCGGCGGGACGAGGTGCGGTTCAGGGCGCACCGGGTCGTTCGCAATCGCGACACCCTATCTCGCGTCAATCGAGCTCCTTCCGCGTGCGAGGGGACCATTATTTGCTATCGACGAGGTGTGGCCGCTTTCCAGCCCGGGGGCGCACACGCGCGGGCACCAATGCGAGCGCGTGTATGTGGTTTACCGCTATGGGCGACATGAAAGGGACTGAGAGCGGGCAGGTGAAAGGGGAGGGGTTTGAATGGCTTGAATGAGAGCCGAAGGCCCGCTATCACGACCCCGCGGGCTATAGTCACAGAGGGCTTCAAAGAGGGGTCGACGGTAAGGAGACGAGGGCTTCGGCTGAGAGCGGCGTGAGTGCTTCGCGTTCGCGCGAGGCCCGCAAGGGTGCGTCTCGAATGTCGCCACGCCTGCAGAAGCCTGCAAAGAACTGGGGGTCGCATCCCCAACGATGCGCCCCGCTCGAGACCACACGACGTGCAGCGCCGTGCACCCCATCGGCCACACGGACCTGTTCACAAGAAGATGGGCGCAGCGTGCCTGCAGAGATGTGCACGGTGTGTCTGCCATGAATCAGTGATTGCGGCCGCGGTCGAAGGAAGACAAGAAGCGCCGCCGCTCACCGTCAGCTGGCCCGCCGTGGCGTCATCGACCCAGCGGTCGGGCGGCCAAGGAGGGTCACTGGGCTCGACCCGTGAGCGCGTGCGGGGTGAGAGAAATGCCGCCGGCAATGCACATGTTCCTCGTAGCCGGGCGAAAGCTCCTGGGAGGTACTGTCAGTGTGGCGATCGCGACATCTATGAATGTTGCGTATCAGACTGACCACCAAAGGTTATCCATTGCATTAGTGAGTGTGCACACGATGCTATGTCCTCCGTTCTATGATTGCGAAAGGTTGAGTACGCCTGTGGCCTCGCGTATGATCTACCCCGGTGCGCACCGTTGAGAGCTATCCCCGCAGACCGCATCTCGATGAGTTCTGTTCCAAGTTCAGCTCGCATCAGATCCCTGTTCAAGGAATGGCACACCGTATCTCATCTACGCGTGATATGTTCTGCCTTCGCTTCTGCTCGTCTATCTCGGCGGACAGTATGCGAGGAAGAACTGTTCTGGCATGGTACCATATCCGGCCACTTACGCACCTTTTACATTGCAGTTCTTGAGGCTTCGCCAAGGATCGAAGGCCGGTGGATGGTGAAGCGGGCGGACTTGAGAAACGGCTTCGCCCGGAAATCCGTCAGGCCCACCTGGTTTGCCCAGAACGAGTGCGAGGCTGAGGGGTGGCAAACAGACGATATGGAGAAGACTGTCACGAGTGGAAAATGGGAAGATGAAAGGGAAGGAAGAAGTAAGTAGAATGCGTATTAACGTCTGGAGAGGGCCATAGAATCTCTGAGAACAATAAGCAAGCGCCATTCATTGATGTGCAGCCCGTCATTGATTTGAAGAGACATGTGCACCCACATCGAAGGGTACCACCCGCACCCGACGCCTGGCACGGGGTACCATGTGAGAAGAGAGAGACCCCAACTGCATGTGTGCTGGGAACCGCACCTGCAACACAGTGGGAGGCTGTGAGCGACTTGCAGTATCGAAGACGGGCGGCAAGGCAAATCCCGAAGTGGGGTCTGATTCCTGGTAAAAATGACATCCAGAATACTTGGAGAAGGATGCCCGGGAAACTACACGCCGGAGAAGAACGCAACTACCTCCGCCATGAGAAATGCGTGAAGCACGGCGCTTACATAAGGCTGTATGGAAGGGCGACGCAAGAAGGGAGGAGTATACGCGATCTGTCTTCAGATTTCATCCGTAAGGATCGTGAGAGGAGGCAGACGCGCATAGCAATCACTCACGCACCGCTGTGTGTACTTGTGGGCGTAATGCTAATGCCTCGTCCGGTCGCAGATATGAACCAAAGGTGCGGTCCGCCTGATCATACTTATGATTCGAGGTATCCGCTTGTAGTAAGACAACAGGACCTGGGGGAGGTGGGTCCGTGTGGTTGGGGATGATGGAAATGTCAGACGGAGGTGTTGATCCTCCCTGACGATGGGAGCTCCATGTGAGGCCACGATAACTCATCGTTCGATGAGAGGTGGCGGTTTGAAGTGGGTATGCGAGATGCATGAGCGAGCAGTGGTGATGTTATTGATTGCATTATGCAGTCCTACAGCAACTTCTTTAGCGTGACACATAGACGGCAAAATGAAGAGAATACATGGGCGGAAACAGGGCCGAATGAGGCGAATGAGGGCCGCTGGATATGAGTATAGAGCCCTGAGAGCTCCAGGTCTCTCACCCGCGAGTTCTCCGCTGCTGCGCCGTCCTGTGAACAAAGTGGCGGGGAGGGCCGGACATGGACTTGCTCCCAACGGCTTGTCACCTAGCCGGTCGCGCCCTGAGAAATAGAAGCGCATCAGCTCTGTTCATTCGAGGCTGTATCGCATGTAGGGTACCTACCTACAAGCACCGAATGCGGAGATGAGACGGCAGGGTCTGTAGCAGTCAGGGCGAACGATTGCAATGCGCAGTAAGCTCCACGAGAAAATTAGTCAACAGTTTCACGAGCTCACCAATGAGTAATTCGGACGGCTGACTGCGCGCCGACGATTCGCAGATAGACCCCAGCAGTACCTCAGTGCTGCTGACACGGCCGTCCGCACCATGGTCATGCCGTTCTGCTTGCGACAGGGGCGAGAACGTCGTGCGTGGTTGAACCCCAAGATAGCCGACGCGGTCCCGCCGACGCATGGAGTTCGTGTATCGGAAGGAGATGGGGGTAGGAGAGCAAAGAGGACTCCCCTGGTCGACATGGCGAGAGCGACGAGCTGGCACCTTGGAGCCACTTCCGCCACATCGAGCCGGACTAGGAGAACAAGTGAACATCCCGCCTGAACAGGTAGCAGACTTACCATATGCGTCCTCGCAGCCCGATCGCAGGAGGACAAGGTTCGCGGCGCTCTCTTCACGCAACCTCGCCCACTTCCACGGCACACGTCCAGAACACTCGGGTCCGTTCCGAACGAAGCCATTCAGATCTGGTCATTCCAGCAAACAGAGTCTGGACGTTTCTTCGACGTCAATGGAACTGCAGTCGTTCGGCCTGCGAACGCGAGGTGGGTGTTTTCCAGTGGAATTCAATTACCTGTACGTGACAGATGAGAAGGACGATGCAGCCTGCTCGGGTGCCGAGCAAAACGGGGCGCGTGTGCGCTGCAGCCACATCACGGACGTCTGTACCGTGGTAGAAACTGAATGGGTGACGGATGGGAAAGCGAGGTCGAATTCCAAGAAGAACGACGGACGCAGGGCCCGCGGCGGCGTGATGGGGACGTCAAACAGAGAGCGAAAGCTTCGTCCAGACGTGGGTTTCATCTATCCGTTTTCTCTCTATCCTTTGCTTCGCGGCTGTCTTCCTGACCATCTGCCTGTCCAAAAAAGGCTCGAAAACAAGCTCGAAAATCGGTCAGCATGCACCGTGGGTGGCGCACCATCCGCAGCTCTTGCGATCTCAGGGAAGCGAACCTCGGTGTACGAGAGCGGCGCATGTGGCCAGACCCCGAGTGCAAGTGCTGTGCACCGTGGCCGCAAGGCGTCCGCATCAACGAGCGCAGGCGGCAGAAGCGTCCGAATCGGTGCTGGTCGAGGAGGGAAAGATGAAAGACGTTCGAGAGGGAGGCGTGTGACGCGCGCTGATCTGCGGAGCGCCTTCTGGAATTCGAGAAGAGGTGCGCACTCGCATCATGTTTCAGGGAAGAAGAACCATCTTTGCATCGTTCCACGCGAGCCCGCGCGCCGAGCCCACGGATCGGGGCATCGGGCTTCTGGAAAGAGCGGAAGCCGACGGTGTGGAACGGCGGGAGGGGGCCGCGAGCGTCGATGCTTCGATGCTGTCTGGCCACCTCGGGCCAGCCACAATCCGCGCGGGTGAGCAATATCGCAACTGCACATGTCGCCGTCCTCGACACCTTCGCCTCCGACCAGGTCGAGCAGGTTGTCCCTGTCTTCGTGCCACCGTTCACGCTCTCGCTGCGCTAGGCACCTGTACAAAACCACCGCTCGCAACGGTGCCGCTGTGCACGCGGTGATGGACGAAATGCAGCTTTCGCAATGCGAAATCCTAGTAAGCAGTACACGCTCATGCCAGTGACATAGTGCCGCCCGCGTTCTTCCGCTTACCAGGCATTTATTGCCGATAACTTTCCCACAAACAGCAACTATTGTGCCGCATGGTCACATAGGCTCTTACATGGAATCTGTTCAGCTGGACGTGCGCCCACCGAGGGCGCCGTTTTCCAGCCATTGGTCATGTCGTGAGTCTGCTTTCCCTCACCCGCTACACCGGCCCCGCGATATCCACCACCCGAGCCGGCCAAAGATCGCAGCCCCGAGACATGCCCCGAAGCGATGACCACGTTTGCCTCCAGACCCTCAGGGAAGTTCCTGGCGGATATGCCTATACCCGCACGATATGGCGGCCGAGCAAAGGCGGCGGCTCGCCGAACGTCTACCGCGGTATGTTGACTTGTACATTCGCTTATTATCAACATGTAAACCCGCTGATTGGCCGCCTTCTTCCCGCACGCCCGCAGCCACCGCACGACCATGTACCTCAAAGGGACAATGTTCGTGCCTCCCTCGACGTCCGAGCTAGCAACAGAAAGGTCCCGTTTCGCCGTTACTGAGGAGCCGTTCAATCAGAGTTCAACAACATCGGGTTAGCGTCGCAAAACCCCGTGTGCAGTGAAGACGTCCGCCCCGTCGATCGGGCATCGACACTTTTGAGCGTTGCACGGTCTAGAGCCCAGCCGTCCGGCCGTGCTCTTATCCCCCGAGGCTCCGAGCCGGAGCTCTCGTTTCGTAAGTCCTGGTGAAAATATATTATGCTTGCAACGAGCATGCGGCATTCTTGCTTATTTGTTGTACTTGGCGCTGCAGGTGTTCTACCCCAGGTGCAAATTTCTCTCCACCATCATCGGCACGCTCGCAGCTGGCGCACCCAGCGCCAGCTGCTTGTTGCGTACGAAGACGCACACAACAATTGACATCGAGGCGTCTGGTCCCAGGCCACCTGACCACAAGGCGTGCTAGGCCTGATCCCTTGAGCGGCCGCGGTGAGTGCCTCTCCATTCATCACGATCGCCGAACATTATCTGACACTGGCGGTGCGCTCACCGAGAAGAAAATTAGGGTCCGCGTCACAGCTGCGCCCGCGAAGGCCACCAACGTGGCCTGCGTCCCGGGGTACTTCTGCGCACTCTCTCGACCCAAAGGGGGGAGGCCCCGGTCTGCGAGTAGAGGCGTATTGCCTCCGTCTCGTCGGCAGGCAATTTGAAAGCAAGCCGCCTGTTCTGACGTCTGTCCGCCGCGACCCCATCGCCACTTCGCACAATCACCGTTGTTTCAAGCTTACATGCCCAAGGAAGCGCATGCCGTGTGCTGGTACAGTCACAGACCTTGCAGATTCCCCTATCCCACACGCTTCTCTGAGGGCTCCGCTTCGCACGTTCATTACGGCCGTGCCTTGGAAGCCTTCATGACGGGCCACGGAAACAACCGTCTTCACATCCTCCCCGATCGGGCAACAGGCGTGTGGAACTCTTGTCGTTCTCGGGCAATCGTAGGCTGCAATAGCAGACACGCGCTCGGGGAACTCTGGAATGTGAAAGAAGATTTAATGAACGCACGGGTGAGCCGCAAGCATTGACCGCGGGCGGCGTAGTGTAAGCCTGGCTGTAGGCTTAGCACAGATATGCCGGTAGTGCATATATACACCGCGTTAGCTGAGAGTATAACCTTTCAGTTAAACTGCCTTTTGGCGTAACGGTTTGAGCAGCGGTGTCTCAGCCTGTTTACACTAACTGAAAGGTTTAGGCTTGCAGGTCAGGAGTTCAATCCTGGCTGGGGGCAAGTTTCAAGGGGTCGTTCCCTTGGGGCAGTGTATAGCACTCTCACTTACAGGGAAACCCTGGGGACCCCTTAGCGCCGGTTGCACCGGGGGTGGGACTAAGTTCCTAAAGTGGGTGAGAGTGTAAGCCTGGCTGTAGGCTTAGCACAGATATGCCGGTAGTGCATATATACACCGCGTTAGCTGAGAGTATAACCTTTCAGTTAAACTGCCTTTTGGCGTAACGGTTTGAGCAGCGGTGTCTCAGCCTGTTTACACGTAGCGCAGGCGAGGCACTCGGCCAGTCGGTATCGCCGCTGTCCGGAGTGGGAGAGGAGCTCGCTTTTCTGTCATATAGGTTACTTCGATGAAAAAAGACATGTGGGCCACCCGTTCGTTTAACTCACCGCCTCCACGGAACCTACTCTATCGCGCGCCCGTCATCCGCTGCGCCCGCCATACGAGTCGCCGCGCGTTCCGAGCTCCGAGGCGTCTGTGTACTCGCAGCGCAGGCCTCGGCGCACGGAGCGAGCTGCGAGAAATTGCGCGGCGCTGACGGACTGGGCAGGTGCGACCCAGCCGTGTGTGGCGAGCGCGTTACTGTCGTCCGTTTTTGCGCGGGTCCGTGCCGTGTCGGCCGGACACCAGCTCTGGCCAGGACGGTATCCGCAGGATGGGCGCGCGCTCGGACGGGTGCGGACGGTTCTCGAAGTGGATGATACATAGATATCCTGCGGACGGCGCCAGGAGCTCAGCGGACCAGCGGGGGCCAGGGGAGGAAGATTTCAGAGTGCTCGTGATGCGGGACACTGCGGCGGCGTTGCGGGAGGCTTTCGGGGGAAGAGATGTACAGTTTGGAAAATGCACTTCGTGTCCCAAGGTGGCGTTGTGCGTATGTGAGTGTATGACTCCAATTCTGCAGTATGACATGACCTTTTGGCCCACCAGTACATGTCGTGAGCTTTCGACAGACGCGGATAGGAGTGCAGCAAATCCATTAGCTCCAATACTGGACTGCGAGGTATACCACCGCTGCTGGCGTGCTCAGTCAGCGCGTTTTTGGCCAGCACTTTGTGACGCTTTGACACCACTTCGCCGTAGGAATGGTCGGTTGAGTTAGCTAGCCACCGCACACCTATAGCTTGGTCTTGTAGTCCCTAGCAAAACGATGTGTGAGCTTTTCGAGGGAAGGGAAACCCAACGTAAAGTTCGAGGGTTAAGATATTCGACTTAGAAGCGGGGTCCTTATACGCGTTCAAACACAAGTGAAGCTCCACATCATATGGCCTGGTGGTCTAGTAGTATGATTCCTTCTTAGGGCTACGCAGCATTTGGAGGAGGTCCCGGGTTCAATTCCCGGCCAGGCCCGTAATGTTTTGATGGGTTTTGCTACCGACGCAATGTGTGGGCTGTCGGCTGGACTCATGGCATGAGGGCTCGGGGAACGTATTATATTGTAGTTGAGAAACGCTTGCGCCAATCGGTAGCAAACCCGTCAGAGAGTGTAAGACTGGTAGCTGAGCTCGTGCTGTCCGTACTCCAAGCGTGAGGCCTTCCACAAGGGGCCTAGGGTAAGCAATCGTTGCGGAAGACGGGCATATTGCATAGCACTTACAATCAACGTAAATCCATCAGGTTGCATCAACATCTGCCTGAAGGCACGCAGCCCCTGTGGCAGGACGACACGAGGGCCCATCACAACGTTATAGGGCAACGTCGAGCGCACAGAAGCGGCGAATCGGTCTTCCCATGATCCTTGGGAGATCGACCTCCGAGCTAGCAGGTCCACTCTTTCGCCGACTGTGGCCTTGAGAGGCTCCGAGTCGGAGGACGCGCGGGGACGAGAGGTGGCAGGGCTGAAGTCCAGGATGACGACTTGCGCAGCTGTCAGCGAGGGCGGGTCGTCGTACACGAGCATGCCGTAACGATGTCCGAACACCTCGTAGAAACCACTTGAGCCGGCTGGGCTCGCAGGCATATGGAGGAATGCGCTGCCATGTGGGCCCCAGTCAGTCCAATCGGATGTAGTCGCGTGGCCCAATGCGTCGGCCCTAGCAATCTCGCGGCGGATGGTGCGAAGAGGGATGAGGAGCGTGTGGTGGGTCCAGATGCCGTCTTCACGCCTAATAAACACGATGCACATCGACAGCATGGCTGATGCTTCGTCGGGGTGGAAGGCGATTTGCTCGGGCGCTGTCGAGGGGCGATAGGCGTTACAGGTGAAGGAGCTGACGCTGGTGAACGTATTGGGAGCGTCCTGGGGTGGGAGTCGTAGGGAGCAGATGGGTTCTTCGGTCGCCGGGTCTAGGGTCTGCGGCGGCGGCCCCGGCTCGGTCTCTTCTCTAAGAGGGGCGAATCGATAGATCTGTATAGAGCTCGGCAAGCTGAGGTCCAAGAGGACTTCGACAACGGCAAGATGCGACATATCGAGGATGGCAAAGAAAAATGGATTCGGAAAGGCGTGGATCTGATGACGGTGGTCAGTAACCTTGTCTAGCGGTGTCATTTCCATCTGGGCTAGTACGAACATACCCAGACAAGTTCTCCCGTTTTCCAGTTCCAAACCTCGAGCTCCGAGGGCGCGCCTGATTCACACAAAACCCATGCGACGAGCTCCCGGCATATTTGAATACAATGCACCCGCTTGTTCTGTATCGTGTGTCCCAGCGGCGAAAAACGTGTACGCACAAAGTGTGCTGCCGCGTCGGGATGAATCGCACCATTGCTCTTCAACGACAGGAACTTCACCCCAGCGTCACTGTGTTAATGCATGTGAGACAGCAGATCTCTCTATATCTTCACCTAAATAAAGAGGTACGTACTATGTGTCTGCGGGCTTCTCGGGTACCACGACGAGATCTTGTGATACATCAACGGCGCTGTCGTAGGGCTCCGCGTGGGCCTCCAGAGCACTACCCAGAGCAGGGTCCGCCACTGGAACCGTGTATTGTCTCTCTGTGATGTTCCTGAGCTTTGAAGGGGCAGTATAGACGTAGATGGCAACATTAACGCCGCCCGCTGTGCCATCGACGTGCGCGATGGAGCCGTCAGGAAGAAGCTTCATCTCCGAGAGCCGAGAATACGACTGTCTCCCAAAGGTGGTCCAACGTCGGCTCACTGAATGCCTCGCCTCCGACCAAGCCTTGCGGTAGTCTCGGAGTTTCCCCAGGCGCTCCCCGACAGATAATAACCCAGGCGCTCCGTTGGCCATACCATTTATTGCAAGCGCGATCTTGTATTGAAGTTGCACGCTCGTACAAACAATATATGACGTTCGGCGATAAACCTATGGATTGCAATACATGAGGTTTTGATACAAACAGTGCGAAAATTCAACATGCACGAACACTTGCACACCTCGCGAGGTTATACGCATCCAAGAATCCAAATATCATGAGGATTACATCGTCTGGCAGAGAGTCAAAGCAAGTTGGTCTGAAGGCAAGAGATCTTCCAGGAGTAGGAAGAACGTCGAGGACCGCCATACCGAAGTCGTCGCTCGGGAGGAGTCGTTGAGTGGCGCTGCTACGCAGTGGCAAGTAACCACGATCGAAAGCGGCACGATTTGTGGGCGCCAACTTCCTCCCGCATAACCACGTGGCATAGGTTGAACGAGAGCCGCGCGAGCCGCAAAGTCTCTTCAGTCTCGACCACCGTCCACGGGAAGAGGCCACACATCGTCGTCTACTCTGCCGGCAACGACAATGCAGGCTCATACGTATCAGACCTCTGCGCCCAGCCAGCTCCATTCTTTCTTGCGAGATACAGCCATGAGGGCCGCTACGTCCGGCCTCCTCGATCTGGAAACACTCTCGCTCACTCCTCATCTCCCTACATGTGCGCGATCATTCAAGAATCTAGGCTTGTGTGATACTCAAGAGTCCTACGCATAGGTCTTATTTTGTATCTTTATGTATCTGCGGTATGGTGTCGGTGTCCCCCAGCTACTGACCCTCCAACTCCGGCTCAACTTGACGCATTCTCCGCCGAGGTCATGCAGCTCCTGGATTACGATCTCGCCAACTCTCCTGGAGCACCATCACTTTTTGCGGAATGGCGTCAGATAGTGCCTCGTATTCAACAACTCACCTTCGCTCGACAACGCGATCTGGCTCGGTTCATCAGCGGACTCGCGTCTGGCCCCTCCTCGGCTGACGAAAGCTTTGAATGGATCGCCTATCGGCTACGTTGCATTGTCCACAGTCTACAGTCACGTAGTAGCTTGTCTGGCAATGTAGCGGTAGGTATACACGACACATTTCCACTATCCCAATCCCCTTCTGAAGACGTGTGCACACCGGCGGCTTTGCCGCCTCCAGCGGCGTCTCCCCGTAAAACGCGTAGCGGAAAAAGCTACCCCGCAGGAAGTCTAAAAGCGGTGACTAGAATACCGAAAGAAGCCAAGAGGAAGCGAGCTCTTCGAACGCCTTCAACACGGAAAGCCCAAAGTGTTTCCAGTAATGCTTCTCTCTTCTCATACCGACGAGGATTCAACGATTTCTCCATAGAGCCATGTACGACTTCTCCGATCACGTCTGGCAAGCCAGAAGCTTCTACAACATGGACCGTAATCAACCCTTCCGAGCGACATAGCTCCGCCATGACCGCCCTCGCTCCAAGGAACAGCTCTCCGCACTCAGGAAGACCCCATGTTTGGGCGACGGTACGTTGGCCGAGTGCTGTTCTCCTTCACCCTTTTGATGCCCGTGAAAGACTCGCAAGGAGCTGTGCCAGATTATTCCCGAATTTGGACTGGCGCAGAACGACATCGTATTCGGGAACAGTGAGACACCGCTTCTGTTCGTCGACGGACCATCATGGGAAGATGACCGATGGGATGGAGGCAGAACGATCGAACTGTCGATGTACGTACGGCTCTGCCGCCAGTCCATTCGTGTGCTAGGAAATCCTCATACTTTGCACAGGGTTAGAGAGTTCACCCGCGTCATACCAGGCTTCGCAGTCAGCCATGGTGACAACCACACTGCCCAGAACGCGCAGCAGGAAGCTCCTCCACAACCCCCCGTAGTAGAACCATCAGGCAACCTAGAATCACAGGTGATCGAGATTAGTGAAGGCACATACGTCTTCGCGTCCGAGGAGTCTCGACAAGGCACCGATGCTACAGCCCGCTGCGCCCCCGCGCATAGCTCCATCGCAGAACTCCCGTCCGTTTCCACGGCCAACACTGCTTCTACGCTGTACTTGACAACGCTGGCCGAAGAACCTCATCCTCCAGTGATTGAACAAGACGACGGCTTGTACACTTTCGTACAAGAGGCTTTCATAGAGGGGGAACCAATCGGATGTCCACCTATCCATGACCCAATACCCCAGCTCCCGCCGTTTTCCCCCGAACTTGGCACTTCTCAACTCAACGCCTCCCACAGCGTGATTACCTCCCATGACTTTCCTCAGGCCTCTCCCTCGATAAACTTGACCGGTTTGGTCCCTATCGATGCGCCGCCGGAGATCGAAGCACTTTTACTCTCGAGGACCGCCGGCATCCCGATCAGGATCGTTCTGTGTCGGAATGCCGCAGTCTCCCCGTTGACGCCACCGGACGGCTGTGGCTGCGCCTTCCTCGGGTTCTTCTTTGTTGTAGACGTACAGACGTCTGCCGAAGTGAGTTAAAAAGTAACAATCCCCTAGAACGGACGGACTGGCTTACCGCTTTCACTAGGTTCACTCTTGGGAGGCTCTCCCGGGAGAGCGCCCCACGACGCTTGTCCGCGGCAGGAAGACGTGGCATTTCCGCTTCGAGTGGACGCCCGGGGGCGAAGATCCCGATTCAATAGTCGCGCCACAAGCTCAACCCTGGTGGCAGGTTGCGACGACGGATCATGAACGTACGAACGGGGATGGCGCGATGCCGTTACAACACTCGTACACGCTCCTTCCGCTGCACTTTCTCGCGCCGCCCGCACAAATCGTGTGCACCGATGCCGACGTCAGGACGGGACGTGGTTGGCACTGCGTCTCCTGCGGGAGACTGAACTTGCAGCAGAACCTCTGTTTCCAACGCTGCGGCACTTGTTCGGTATGTATTTGCAGCCACCAATTTGGCTTTTACCATTCTCAACACTATGCCACAGACGGCCAACGGCCTTCCGCCAATATCAGTCGAATACGTCCGCCAAGTGCGCGGAACGGACCCGACCGCATTTCCCTGGGACAGGTATCTCGAATCCGTTTCGTGTGTCTCGAGCGACTGCCCCGACGGTCTCCGCTGCTTCACCTACGGCTTTTCCAGTACGGCGTTCGTGCACCACATGTTCACCTGCAACCGGCCTGAAGCGCAGGCAGAAGCGACCTTGTTGTTTCACGACCTACAGGCGGAGGTGGAGCTCATATCAGAGCCGAACACAAGGGGCAGAGGCGGAAGTGAGCTTCGTCTGTCTCTCTTCCTTTCGTCATTATGGTTGCGCTGACACACGCGAGCCAGGTCCGTACTACTCCTGCGCAGTCTCCCGCCCTTCCGCGAGGTCGACGACACCGGACGCGTTCTGGTCTTCTGTCCCTACGAGTGTCTCCCGTGCGCGCGATCTCATGTTGAAGCGCGTCCATGCATCGCCCTATCCTGCGGCCCTCAACATCAACGTCTTGACCATATCCGCGTGGCGCACGGCTGGCAACAAGAAAGTGTGTATCTCTCTTTAGTGCGTCACCTCTTGACTGCGGGCTCACGCGTTGCTCTTTCAGGGTTGTGTGTTCGCAGCGCAAACTTCCCCGATTGTCTTCCTCTGTCTCGGGGCAGACGTCGAAATGTCGTTTTGGAGAAACAGAGGCGCAGCAGCCTTTGTCGCTCAAACAATCGCAGCTACGGCCAACGCGCCGCTGCCCCGGAGCGCCTCTCCTGACGAAGAGTTCGGCCTGGGCGACATTGAAGAGCCGTACGAGCCGCTTGTCGATAAGGGCGACGAGTGCATCGACAGCGCGGACTCCACCCCGGCCGCCGAAAGTAACGTTGCTTCACTCAGACGGCCTAAGCCCGCGGTGAAGGGCAAGGGCCGCCCGAGCGGGAAGCGCAACGTGGAGGAGGCGCTGATGGTCACTCTCGTTCATGGGGACGTGCTCGTCGTGCACGGCGCCGTGTTTGAGGTGCGTCTCGGCTTGCCCTTCGACTTGTTTTGAACTTACCTGTACGTTACGGTGCACTGATGCCTTCTGCTTTCAGTACTCGATCAAGCGGATGGGGATGAGTATAGGTTAGTATGGGATGACTGATTTCTTGAGCCCTTGACTGATAACTGACGTGATTACAGTGCTCTATGGGCAGTAGCAGAATACGAGGGTCCGACGAAGGGCTTTCTATGGTAAAGACAGGAGACGTTGTACGAGCTCGCATGTGGCCTAGGTTCCAGCGTGGGCCTGAAAGATGGTATCAGAAGTGTCGCGCTGGTCGTCTGTGTTCGTTCTGCTCAATTGTTTGATAATTCGGACATATACACGTGTAGCCATCCCTTCCTACATAATCATACATACCCCGTGTTCCTGTTCCTGTTCTGACATAGTGATGATAGTACAAACGCATGCTGGAATTCTGATACACTAGACTTCAGATACCACGCCCCCGCGCGGCGCCTCCACGGTTCATGCCTCGCCCAGCAAAGCCAACGCGGAATGCTCCGAAACCCCTCCCGAGGCCGTGGGGGAGAATATGCACCATGCCCGGAACAGGCTCAGGTTGCGGATTGTCGTTGCCTAGCCTGTCGTCGGCCGGGAACGCGCCGGGCATGGGCCCAGCGTTCTCGTCTTCGTCGTCCCCATCTTCGTCAGGCTGTCAAGGCGAGGTCAGCTCATTTGGTATTTCATAAAAAATACAGGGTGCAACGCACGTCGAGGTCTATGACGAGGGCGCCAGTGTGCCAGCCGAGCGCGGCGGCGCCAAAGCAGTACTTCTCGCGCTTCCTCCGCTGGCCATGATCGAAGCGCACCTCAGTCGGCACGCGCACGTCCGGGGGCGGGCGCATGATGCCGAAGCGCGAATTGACGGACGTGCGTAACTCGTCATTGTCAGCGTACCCGCCCGGCTCGCCGACTGCGATGCGCGTCGGATCCCCGAGGCCCAGCGCGCCTTTGGAGAAGGCGCCCCAGGTGAGGAGCTGGCCGGTGCCCGTGAGGGCACCGTAGTGATAGTCTCCGAGGACGACGGATATGACGGCACGGTCCTGCAGCTCGGGGATTATGGTGGGCATGGTGGTTTGGGGGGAGGAGTCGGTCGCTTTGCCCATGAGCACGACGGAGCTAGGGCCGGTGGAGTAGGCGAAGAAGGTTTGGAAGGAGCCCGATATCTACACACATTAATTCGGACGAGGGTTTAGGTGATATTGTTCAATGGGCGTACGTGGTTGATGTGCATGGTCTCCGGAGGTGTGAGCTGTGGGGCGTCGTTACCGTCGACCGCCCGATAGACTGCATGCTCTTGAAGCTTCTCTATGTCGCTGAAGTAGGGTAGCTGCGATGTGTATGAGTTTTCCGCTTTGAAAACATGCCTTATCACTCACGTATTCCCATCGTCCTTGCCGGTAGGCTTCTTCTCCACCAAGCCTATCGTAGCGCAAAAGGTGGCCTTTGTTCGTGAGACCAATGACACAGTTGTCTATACCGGCAATCTTGACAAGCTTAGTCTCCTCTTCGAGCTCCTCCGTCGAAAGACCAGTCCTCCCAAGCTCAGGAAGGTCGTGGGAAGGAATAGGAGGGAGCCGCACAGGGTCTGCGCCTTCCAAAACCCACCAGTGACAGGGGATGATACGCGGGCTATTCTCGTTCACTTGAGCTTTGGCGGCAGCGTGTTGCGTTGCGTCGGTGAGGCCATTCAGCTCTTCGTCTTTCCGGTCGATGACGCTCTTCATGCGGCCTCCGAATGGCCAGAACACGAGAACGTCGCCCGACTGAGTGAGGATGGTGGAGAACGACCATCCGCTCTCAACCTGGATCGGAGTGGTCTCTGGGGATGACTTGTCGACGAGAGACGACTGGAGGAGGAATGGACGGCCCCAGGATGTGAAAGTCCAAACTTGAGAGCTAGCATCTAGACCAGTGGTATGAAGCCTGCCGCAGCTGAGGAGATGCTGAGATCAGTAACGATTTGCGGCTCAGATAGAGTATACGAGTACCTCAAGCTGCGGAATTTGGTTGGAAGGCTGAGCTTCATCGGGGTGTCTGCCTTCTGACCGGGCTCCGCAAATCCATCGCTCCGCAGTGCGAACGTCTCACCGTTGAGTACACCTGATAGCGAATGATGTCCAGGTAAGCGACTCTTTCAAGTGAAGGCGGTGATCCTTACCCCATACATATACATCTCCGCGAGAGTCAATGGCATGGAATGACCTGTAGCAATGCAAGGGATAAGTGCTATGTGAGAAGGGTAAGATATTTAGCTCGCACATTCCTCCTGCCACCAGGCTGACGATGCGGACGCCCGGAATGTCCAACCGGACGGGATAAGGAACACCATCTCTGACGGCGGTCTTGGGGGTGTCAATGAGACCTAGACGGCTCTGACTCTTCTCACTTCAAAAAACGCTGAGTCTGGCAACATAAGCGTGCAATCTAACAGTCGGAACGCACCCCCACACATAAACCTGAGGATGGCTGAGACGTTTGTAAAGGAACTTCCAGCCTGTCTTGCGAGCGGTGTCGGACCCGGAGAAGTTAAAGTCTTCCTGGATCCTTCTGTGCCAGTACGCCTCGTCGTTCACGAGATTGCTGAAGAACCGGTTTGTGGACCCAAGATGCAGGAGATCCGCAACTGGGAGAAGGGGGAATATACCGTCGAGAAAGAGCTCTACAGGGAGGTCCCCGAGAGAGCATCGTGCAGCCATGATATTTAACTAGAGCAGTGGGATGCAGCTGGTGTGGGCAGGCGGTTCAAGACAAGAGGAGAGGGGGAGATCCCCAAGCGCAGCCGGTGGCTGAGCCTGGATATAACTCGGTTCCGATGACGCATTGGATCCATCTTATCGTTTCCACCAGAGTGCAGATCTAATCTTATCAGCTTTACGTGAAACGAACGCGTCCTCCGCCAGTGCACTCACTGTCCGGCTACGAGGAGCGCGCCCGCTACTACTGGTACCTCACTCCCCTCCTCACCGCCGCGCTCATCGTTCGCCACGTCGAGCTTGCATATGCGGTAGCACAGCGATGGCGACCACCGCTTCCGCCTCCCAGCAGGTCGACATTCTCGACCAGCTCTTCCAGGGACTTAGGAGCAGAAGTCCCGACACACAAGCCCAGTCCGCCATCGACCTGCAACACTATGTACGCAACTACATCTTATTAAGATGGCGTGCTCACGTCTTTTAGATATCCAACACCGTTCCCGAGCTATCGTCGGACGCCGCCTCCAAGCTATGGGAGGAGATCATCAACAAGATATTCGACCTCGTCCATAGCCAAACAACAGCGGAGAAGTTGGGCGGTATATTGGCTATCGGTGCGCTCTTTGCTCTGGCTTCACAAACTCGTCTAACTTTTCCGAAGATCACCTCCTGCGGGTGGAAGGAGAGATCGACTCCAAAGCCAACCTTTTCCGACTGTACAACTATGTCAAGGCCCTTCTCCCGGACCCGGACGTCAATGTCATGCTTGCGGCCTCCAAGACTCTCGGCCAAATCGCCGAAATCGGTGGACCGGCATTCGGCGACTACTTCATGGATTTTGAGGTGCAAGCAGCCATTGCACTGCTACAAGCGGACAAGCAGGAGCCCGGGAGATATGCTGGCGTTCTCATCTTGAAGGAGCTCGCGCGCAACAGTCCCGCCTACTTCCACTCCCATATCGGCCTCGTCTTTGACAAGATCCTTGTACCATTGCGGGATACTCGTGTGATCGTACGGGAGAGCGCTGCAGAGCTCCTCGCTGCTTGTCTAGAGATCATCACCCAACGCGAACGCCAAACGAGGAGTCCCTTCCTGCTGAAGATCCTGCAGGATGCACAGATGGGGCTGAAGGTGTCCCAGCCGGAGATTATTCACGGTTCTCTGTTGACCTACCGGGAGCTTCTGTTACATGGCGGCATGGTACGTGCCACAGTCTCTTCACTGTGGCGCTGCGTACTGATATCCAGCACGCAGTTCATGAAGGAGAACTTCTTGGACGCTGCAGAGCAAATCCTCTCTTTCAAGACGCACCGAGATCAGCTCGTACGGAAGATGGTCATCACTCTTATCCCTACGCTAGCCGTCTACGACACCTCGACATTCTCCGAACACTTCTTGCACAAGGCGATGGCTCACCTCTTGACCCAGCTGGAGAAGCCCGCGGAGCGCTCGGTCGCGTTCATCGCTATTGGGCACGTCGCGACCGCAGTCGGCAGCGACATGAAGCCGTTCTTGGAGTCTATCATGACCCAAATTAAGCAGGGTCTACTCATGAGGGGGTAAGCCGACTACTCACGGGCCGTATACCAATTGACTCACCGGGAATACAGGAAGAAGAACGCGCCTTCAGAGGAGCCGATGTTCCAATGTGTCGGCATGCTTGCTGCGGCGGTCGGACCTAACCTCACCAAGCTGCTACACGATCAACTAGACCTTATGTTTGCCTATGGGCTAAGCGAGCCCCTCCGACAGGCTCTGGTAGCTATCGCGACACACATACCCCCCTTGCTGAAGACCATTCAAGGTACGCACTATTGGTCACCTAGTATTGTAAGATCAGCCCTCAATAATGTTGGCGGACTAGACCGACTTTTGGATACTTTGTCGTATATCCTTAGCGGACAGCCATACAGGCCACTCGGGGGACCGCCTTCGCTACTACGCGGCGACTCCGGCACGGCGAAGAAGGACGGCGTTCCTATCGAGGTAGCGAATCTGCAAAAGACGCCGGAGACGCTCACGCTTGCCCTAACGACCCTGCACACGTTCGACTTCAGCGGTAGGTGCCAAGACAGGAGGCCCAGCATTTGCTAAACCCGTCTCTAGGTCATGTTCTAAACGAGTTTGTGCACGACTGCGCGCTGCCTTACTTGGACTCAGACTACCCTGACGTTCGGCGCGCTGCTGCACTGACGTGCTGTCGGCTGTTTGTCCGCGACCCGATTTGCTACCAAGCCAGCAATCACTCGATTGAGATCATCAGCGACGTCATTGACAAACTCCTTACGGTCGCCATCGCGGACCCAGGTAGGCGTTCTTTACGACGTTCAACAACATCACACCTAAGGCTATTCTGTAGATGCGGGCATCAGGCAGACGGTCCTCTCATCCTTGCACGAGCGCTTCGACAAGCATCTCGCACAGGCAGAGAACGTCCGCTCGCTGTTCATCGCCGTGAACGACGAGGTATTCGAGAACCGTGTCACCGCGGTGTCGTTGATCGGGCGGCTAGCCATGCACAACCCCGCCTACGTGATGCCTTCGTTGCGCAAAGCTCTCATTCAGCTCTTGACTGAGCTAGAATACTCATCCGTCACGTACATATAATCTTCATGTCCCTCGTTCGTAGACTGACGCGACATCTGCAGGCGCAACCGTGAAGAGTGCACACGCCTCCTAACGCTGCTAGTCAACGCCACTCAACGCCTGATCAAGCCGTACTCGATTCCCATGCTCCGCGTTCTTCTCCCGAAGGCCAATGACCCCAACCCGATCGTTTCCGCCAACATCCTCATGTGCCTCGGTGAGCTCGCCTGCGTCGGCGGGGAGGATGTGATGCCGCACGTGTCAGACCTCATGCAGGTCATCATCTCCAAGCTCGCAGACCCCTCTTTGCAGAAGCGTGACGCCGCGCTGCACACACTTGGTCAGCTCTGCTCGAGCACCGGATACGTGATCCAGCCGCTCGTCGAGCACCCGCAACTACTGCAGATCCTGAGCCGGATCCTCAGGGCGGAGTCGAGCCAGGCGGTGCGGCGCGAGGTGATCAAAGTTCTTGGTATCTTGGGCGCACTCGACCCGTACAGGCGCAAGGTCAAGCCGGACGAGGACGCCGTTAGCGAGGTTTCGTCGAACCTCGTGAACGCCGCGTCGAGGAACCTCACGGGCGCGTCAACGGCGACGGACGACTACTACCAGACAGTCGCGATCAATTCGCTGTTGAACATCCTGCAGGACCAGTCGCTGAGCAGCCACCACTACAAGGTCATTGAGGCGATCATGTCCATCTTCAAGACACAGGGCTTGAAGTGTGCCACGTTCCTCCCGCAGGTGCGTTGCGGCTCGGTTGCATCTGCCTCTCGGTCCTGACCGTCTTTCATCTAGATCATCCCTGCATTCACTACCGTCGCACGCACTTCGTCGTCGCGCACTCAGGTCTACCATCTGGAGCAGCTCGCTATCCTAGTAGGGATTATCAAGCAGCATGTGCGGAATCACACCACGGAGATCTTCAAGCTCGTGCAGGACTTGTGGGACAACGTTCCGCTCCAGCTTCCTCTCATGTCGCTCGTCGAGGCGCTCGGCAAGGCGCTTGACGCCGAGTTCAAGCCGTTCATCCCCATGATCCTCCCGCCCATCCTCAAGGTCTTCGAGGGTGACCTGAACGACCGTGCGAGCAGCACGCAGATCAAGATATTCGACGCGTTCCTCACGTTCGGCGCGAACATCGAGGAGTATCTCCAGCTCGTTATCCCGCTCATCGTGAAGACGTACGAGCGGCAGGACGCGTCGACGCCGCTGCGGAAGAAGGCGATCCACACGATCGAGGGCCTGACGAAGCGCGTGAACTTCTCGGACCACGCGTCGCGGATCATCCACCCGCTCGTGCGCGTGCTGAACCAGCCGAACAACGAGCTGAGGATGGCGGTGCTGGACACGCTGTGTGCGCTCATGGTGCAGCTTGGGTCGGACTTCGCTATCTTCCATCCTACGATTCGCAAGGTGCGTCTGTGAATAGCTGTTCCACTTATCTTGCGTGGTGTTTATAGAATGTTTACAGACAATCATGCGGCACCGTATTTCGCATCTCCGTTATGAGAGCCTCATCGACAAGCTCTTGAAAGGAGAGCGGTTGCCGCAGGAAACCTCCTCATTCGGGCTGTACGTTTGCTCCTATTGCTTAGCAGGTCGACACGTCTAACCCATTCATTGCAGGTCTGGTGACATTGGCAAAGCCACGGACTTCCAGGCTCCGGCGGAGGCGACGAAGATGGCGGTCAACCAGCAACATCTGAAGCAGGCATGGGATGTTTCATTGGTATCCACGAAGGAAGACTGGATGGAGTGGATCCAGAAGCTGTCGGTTGAGTTCATGCGAGAGTCCCCGTCGCACGCTTTGCGGGCTTGCATGTCTCTCGTGGACGTGCACACGCCCCTTGCGAAGGAGCTGTTCAATGCTGCGTTTGTCTCTTGCTGGGGAGAGTTGTACGACCAGTATCAGGTGCGTCCATACACACTCACATTTCTGATATACCGGCTGAAACCCTTTGTAGGAGGACCTGGTGAGGTCGATCGAGTTCTCCATCACCTCGAGCACTGCGCCGTCCGAGCTTGTGCACCGGCTACTCAACCTCGCCGAGTTCATGGAGCACGAAGAGAAGCCGCTCCCCATCGAGAACCGGACGCTAGGCGAGTACGCCATGAAGTTCCATGCATACGCGAAAGCGCTGCATTACAAGGAGCTTGAGTTCTTCAGCGAGACGTCGCCCACCATCATCGAGTCACTCATTAGCATCAACTCGAAGCTGCAGCAGCACGACGCCGCGTGGGGCACATTGCTCATCGCGCGCGAGCAGTACGACGTCAGCAAGCACGAGGAGTGGTACGAGCGCCTCGGGCGCTGGCAGGAGGCGCTCGAGACGTACGAGAAGCGGGCGGTAGAGGACCCCGGTGCGCCCGAGATCGCCATCGGCCGGATGAAGTGCTTGCATGCGCTCGGCGAGTGGGACCACCTTGCGAAGCAGGTCGAGGAGAACTGGTCCAACTCGAACTTGGATGACCGCAGGGAGATCGCGCCGATGGCGGCCGCGGCGGCGTGGGCGCTCAACGACTGGGAGTCGATGGAGGACTATATCGCGACGATGAAGGCCGACTCGGCCGACCGGCCGTTCTACCGTGCCATCCTGGCCGTACACCAGAATCAATTCCCGAAGGCAATGACCCAGATCGCAAAGGCTCGCGATTTGCTCGATCCAGAGCTCACCTCGCTGGTTGGTGAGAGCTACGGTCGGTCATACAAGTAAGTGAAGTCAGGTCTATGTACTGGAGGACGTGACTGAATGCTGCGCAGCACTATGGTCCGCGCACAGATGCTTTCTGAGCTCGAAGAGATCGTCAACTACAAGCAGTATGCCGACCAGCCCGAACGACAAGGCTCGATGAGGAAGACCTGGATGAAGAGGTTGCAGGGATGCCAGCCGGACGTCGAGGTCTGGCAGCGCATCCTACAAGTCCGGGCTTTGGTCCTCTCCCCCGAGGATGACCCGGTCATGTGGATCAAGTTCGCAAATCTCTGCCGCAAGTCAGATCGCATGTTCCTTGCCGAGAAGACGATCAACTCGCTGCTTTGGCCGGAGAGGGTATGTGCTTGTGGGGTACCCGTTTTGAGAGAGACTTACTCACTTCGCGACAGCTACTCCAGACGCCGAACGCGCGTGCACAGCAGTATTCCAAGGCACCACCAATGGTTATATACGCTCACCTCAAGTGTGCTTGGGCAAAGGGAGAGAAAGAGGAAACTCTTAACTACCTGCGCGACTTCTCTGCCAAGCTATCCCGGGATATCCAGTCCGGCGCCACGATCCGGGCATCCGGAGAGCCTGAAGTGCATCACAAGCTGGAAGAGCTCTCCCGCCTGCTCGCCCGCTGCTACTTCAAGCTGGGTGAATGGCAGTTTGCTCTCAGAGAAGAGTGGGATTCGGTATGTCATGTCATGTTAATTTGCGCGACGGGGCTTTTACTGAACAGACCTGCGCAGCGGAACATTAAGGATATTCTGCAGTCGTACTATCTCGCGACCCACTATGACCCCGGATGGTATAAGGCATGGCACACTTGGGCGATGGCTAACTTCGATGTGGTTGGCTTCCTGGAGAACCAGCAGTACAACAGAGTGGGCGACGTCCCGGGTCAAGATCTTACCGCCCACATCGTATCTTCGGTCACTGGTACGTTGGCAAACACATGTCGCATAGGATAATACTAACTAATGAACAGGCTTCTTCCGCTCAATCTCGTTGAGGAATGTGAACGCGCTGCAAGACACCCTGCGACTGTTGACGCTTTGGTTCAAGTATGGTGCTCATGACGACGTCAGCCACGCTATGAGCAATGGCTTCACAGATGTCGAGGTCGACACATGGTTGGAGGTCATCCCCCAGGTACATCGCATACGGTATATCCTTTTGGAAGCTGTTAATCCTCATCCTAGATCATCGCCCGTATCCAAACGCCGAGCAACAATATCCGGAGGAACATCAACAACCTCCTGACCGATGTTGGAAAGCACCACCCTCAAGCCCTCGTATATCCTCTCACTGTCGCATCAAAGTCGTCGAGCGCTGTACGGAAGAAGGCTGCTCTCAATATCATGGACCGTATGAGGGAGCACAGTCCGGCGATCGTAGAACAAGTAGGTTTACCTACCGATTTCAACAGACGTCTTAGCTCATTTCCGGTCTAGGCGCTTGTTGTTGGCCATGAGCTGATCCGGGTGGCCATCCTTTGGCACGAACTGTGGCACGAAGGTCTCGAGGAAGCGTCGCGTCTCTATTTCACCGACCATAATCCCATGGGCATGATTCACTTCCTGGAGCCATTGCACGACATGTTGGAAGCTGTGAGTGTTGTGGCTGTCTCCTTTCGTTATCTTCGACGTTAATCCATCGCACAGGGGCCGAAAACAACGCGCGAGACCTCCTTCACTCAGGTCTTCGGGCGTGACCTCCATGAGGCGCGCGAAGCCTGCAAGCGATACACAATATATGGGGAGAAGCGCGACCTCGAGAAGGCGTGGGAGATCTACTATGGGGTAAGTCGTCTTGACGGTCTCAGACAAACGTTCGCTGATGTCAAATGTCTTGCAGGTCTTCAAGAAGATCGAAAAGCAGCTACCTCAGTTGACAACACTCGATTTGCAATACGTCTCACCCGAGCTGCTCAAGGCGAAGAACCTCGACCTCGCCGTTCCTGGTATGTTGTCCCGCACATAGTCGTACCACACTTCTGACGTTCGCTACAGGGACGTACCACAGCGGGAAGCCCATCATCAAGATCTGCAGCTTCGCCCCTAAGCTCACGGTCATCTCGTCCAAGCAACGCCCCCGTCGGCTTTCTATCAAGGGTAGCGACGGCCAAGAACATCAGTTCGTGCTCAAGGGCCACGAGGACTTGCGGCAAGACGAGCGTGTCATGCAGCTGTTCAGTCTCGTCAATGGCCTGCTAGCGATCGACACCGACTGCTTCAAGCGACGTTTGCACATCCAGCGCTTCCCTGTCATCCCTCTAGCCCCCAATGCCGGTCTGCTTGGGTGGGTCAAGGACAGCGACACGCTTCACGTGCTTGTTCGGGACTACCGGGAGTCACGGAAGGTCCTCCTGAATATTGAGTACCGGTTGATGCTTCAGGTTGGTGCTCTGGGGCGAGATATTTAACCGTAACTGACGGAAGTCTTTTCATAGATGGCGCCGGACTACGAGAACCTCATTCTTCTCCAGAAGATCGAGGTCTTCGAATATGCGCTCGAGAACACAACCGGCCAGGATCTGTACCGGGTGCTATGGCTCAAGAGCGTGAACTCCGAGCACTGGCTCGAACGGCGTGCGACGTACACACGCTCGCTCGCTGTCAACAGCATGGTCGGGCACATCCTCGGTCTCGGCGACCGGCACCCGTCCAACTTAATGCTCGAGCGGCACACGGGCAAGGTGGTACATATCGATTTCGGCGACTGCTTCGAGGTCGCCATGCACCGCGAGAAGTTCCCGGAGAAGATCCCATTCCGATTGACGAGGATGCTCACGCACGCGATGGAAGTGAGCGGGATCGAGGGCAGCTTCCGGAACACGTGCGAGATCAGCATGAAGGTGCTGCGCGACAACAAGGAGTCGCTCATGGCCGTCCTCGAGGCGTTCGTGTACGACCCGTTGATCAACTGGCGGCTGATGCAGCCGGACGTGGAGACGCGTCGTGGCGAAGGTTAGTGGGTTTCCTCTTTTGGGTGCGACCACACTTGTTCCTGACCCAGGGTCTTATGAAAATCAGGCGACAGCGGACGTCCTGCCGAGTTGGTTCGCGCGGCTGCGTACCCCACAGCGCCTATCCGCAAGCTCAAGGCCGACGAGAACGACATTTTGAATGGTACGTGACGGTCGCGTTGTCATACTTGTTGACATACTGATCTCCCACTGCAGAAGCGCAAGAAGTACGGAACGAGCGTGCTCTGTTCGTGTACAGACGCGTACAAGATAAGCTCAACGGTACGTCATGATCTGCGCTCTGCGCTGCTTCTGGCAATTAACGTCAACGCGTCCAGGCCGTGATTTCAACCCGGACGAGGTGTTGACGGTGCCCGCGCAAGTCGACAAGCTCATCATCCAGGCTACGTCGTTGGAAAATCTGTGCCAGTGCTTCTCTGGATGGTATGTTCTTTTCTGTATAGCGATTGTGGACAGTCACTGACATTCGATGCCACAGGTGCGCATTCTGGTGATTTACTCGTGGGGCCCCTGTCTGTTCTACTGCATGCTTTCGATATACCAGCTGTACATTTCCGGACGGTTTCTCTACTGCTCTCGTTAATAGAATGTATCATAGCAACGCAATGTTGGGGTGCCGCGTGTCTGGCTGTGTTACATACCAGCAGGCTATTGTAGTGGGATCCACAATATTAATGTCCATCCAGTGTCCATCCCGCCAGTTCGCCTTGAACGGGAATTCTGGTAAGTGATGCAGTTGCGCCAGGAAGCATCCGTCGCGTTGCGCCGGTAATTCCGCGGTCTGCTTCACGTCCTCATCCATGAACGTTGAACGTTTGAACCCCCCTGCACAACGTTTGAGAGCGCTAGCATGGCAGACCAAGGGCGAAGTTCACCTGCTGCTAATTCATCATGACCTATGCAATGACCTGGAACTTCCCAAGCGGGTTTCCAAACTATATTATAACATGCGCTTGCTTCCACACAAGCTCGTCCGCCGCCGAGTAACGCAGTAGAGAGGTCAAAACAAAGCTGTCGCACGACATTGCGCGCTGGCCGCATTTCAGGGGCACATATCCACCTCAAGGGAGATGTGAATGTATTCTCAGTATGTTAAGGGGTCGCGACTGTAAGAGCGCAGTGCTGAGCCTATAGCTACTCCTGTGTAGTGCTCGCGAGGCGGTTAAGCCCGAGAGGATCGGGTGCCTGTCCATCGCGATGGGTATGTACCCCGGGTGGCTAGTGGACGCGGTCGTCGGGGCACGATGTGCACGCGTTGCTCTCCGTGGGCGGGAATGGAGGGGGGCGTGCATGGGAGTCTCACAGTGACAGGCCGGGCTGGGCGGGTAGCGAGAGCGCGTCCGAGTCCGAGTCGGGTCACACCGCGGCTCGTCTCGTTCGTCAACACCTTGAGGCGGTGCAACGATGTCCAAGCTCTCTACTCTTCCTGCACCTCTCTCTCGCAGCGATAAGACATGGGGCAGAGGTACGCCGGCTCTTTCCTGTTCCGCAGAGCTGCGCTGAGCTCCAATTTCGGCCGCTCAAGTCCTCATTTGCGGCGGCACCGACTGGTGAGTGTTCAAGTTCGTGATCGGCCGTTGTGGCCGCGACTAGCTCGCGTGCTGCTCCGCGTGCGCCGCGCCGACGCATGGGTGGTACAGAGACACTCACCACGCTCACAGGCCACGCCTGGGCAAGAAGGACAAGGGAGGGAAGAAGGGACAAGAGGATGGCAGCGCGTGCGTTTCTCTCACTCGTCTCGTGGCTGGAATTCAACCTGAACCAACAACCATGCACCGCGCCGCGCCCACAGCAACACCTCTCCTGATCTCCTCGAGCCCCACATCCTCCGCTCGCTGAGCAACATCAAGGCCGCGTCCATCCACACCTCATGCGTCTCCTGCTATTGCATCGTCATAGACGTCGACGGCGCGGCATGGATGTTCGGGCGCAATGACAAGTCCTGTCTCGGCCTCACGGACGTCGACGCGATTTCTGAGAACGAACCGCGTCGGGTGACCGCGCAGGACCTTGGCGCGCCGAAGGGCACCCGCCTGGTAACCGCGGGGTGCGGGAAGAGTCACACGCTACTGGTCGGGAGCGAGGGGCAGCTATGGAGTGCGGGGGCGAATCAGGCAGGCCAGGTGAGCGGTTAATGAAGAGTCGGTGCATTCGGACGACAATAACGCGATTCAGTGCGGGCATCCGGCCTGTCCACAAATATCGACATTCAAGCTAGTGAATGGGCCTAAATTGGGCGGCGTGAAGGAAAAGGTCGTGCAGGCTGCCGCTGGTATCACCTTCTCTGTCGTTCTCACGGAGAGCGGGAAAGGTGAGCATGCCCCGTCTCCAATAGGGGATTGGTGCTAACTCGTGCGTCGTAGTATTTGCCTTCGGAAGCGAAGAGAAGGGCCAGCTTGCCAACGGCCAGGCGGGCGAGCGCATCGTGTCGGCCGGCAAATCCGCGTTTGACTATGAGACGGAACCCAGTCAGTCCAACCGTATCCTCCCTGTATATGGACGCGCGTTCTGAGCGGTAGCACAGTCCTCGTAAGAGGTCTTGTGGAGCGGAAGATTGTAAAGATTGCCTGTGGTTCCCAACATGCGATAGCCCTTGACAGCGAAGGGTAAGCCCATCTACTACGAGAGTCTGCGGTGCAATCTTCTAACTTTGAACGCAGGCGTGTATACGGCTGGGGATACAACGGGTACTGTCGTCTAGGCCTGGGAAACCAGCAAGACGCGTTGGTTCCCAAGTTAATCCCTCAGGTATGGCGCACACTCGTCAATGATTGCTTACACTCCTCCTCACAACGTGCATACAGTTCGCGGGCCCCAACGAGCTCACCATGGCAGCTGATATAGCTGCCGGACCCTCGAATTCAGTTGTTATTGACAAGCAGAACATGTACTATATGGCTGGAAAGTGGAAGAACACTGGTGACGGTGCGAACTGTCTCACCGGGGCATGAGCTCGTCTGACGTCATCGTTGTAGGATCCGGAGGCCAACCCTTTTCCACCTTCAAACTCATCCAGGACATTATGTATGTCCGTGGCGAATCTGGTTATATCTCTGTACTGACCACAGCTTCAGGGGTTGCAAAATCGTCCACGCAGCGTGTGGCGGTGTTACGCATTGGGCCATCGCTCAGGAAGAGGAGGGAGTGATGACAATCACCTTCGGTCAAGGTGCACTGAACGGTAGGCCTCAAGAGACCCCGTAGCACGCGTTTACACTTCGTTGACCTTGATGTTCTAGGCGAGCTTGGATTGGGGCCAAATGAGCCCAAGAGCTCCACGAAGCCTTTACAACACAAGCCGTTGACAGGTATCGATGTGTTGCAGTGCGTCCCCGCTCACATTCTCGACCTTTGCGAAACATCACTTACGTACGCGTCGTAGAATCGCGGCCGGTCAAAACACGTCATACATACTCGCGCACCCCAACGACAAGTACTCCGACTTGCCCCGACACCCCGCCGAGATTGACGTACCGGACTTCTGCTTCGTTTGCGAGACGGATAACGGTGATGATGATCCCCTGCTCGAATGCGAGAAGGTTCGTCTGTCGAGCGATAGACTCTACGTCCTCGAGCTGATGTATCCACTCAGTGCGATTACCCGTTCCATCTCAAATGTCTGAGCCCGCCCTTGGACGCTGTTCCCGACGGGGAATGGTTCTGTCCGGACTGCGAGGCCGATCCAGGCGCCCCGGTACGTCTTGACGGCGTAAAGCGGATCCTGCCCAAGGGCAAGAAGGGCAAGGCCACCGATTTTGACGAGGAACTCGCCGTAGCTGGCCAGAAGCGCAAGGCCTCGTCCCAGGCCGCTCGTAAGCTGCATACCCTTTCAAAGTGCTTCATGCCGTTGACTGTCATTATCTCTAGCTACAAAGCGCAAGAAGTAGCTGTGGGCGCACGGACCCTGCGCGACGCTGGCATATGGGTTTTAACTAGCGTCGTTCCCTCTCTATCTCCCGCCTTCGTTTTGTATATTATTCTCTGATAGTGATTTATGTGTATCCGGCGTTCTATCATTGTGGAGTAAATGTCGCAGCAAGTGCCCACGCGCAAGGAGTAAGGGGTTTGGAGATCTTTATGTCGGATGAATGTCTGTATTTGATAACATCCGACGAAGCACCCAACGGTAATGGCTGCATCTATCGATCGTTATTGTGAACTTAGCGGTTTGGGCAAGTTCGCGGGTACTGATAAACAAAACGACCATGCATGGGCGAGCTCCCACCGCTCATCTCAGAAATATCAGGGAAGCATCAACACGTACTCAAACCCTCCGGTCTTACTCTCTCTAACGAGCTTGTTTACAAGTGACGGCTTGTGCGCGGTATCTGCCCATCGACCTTTCACGAGCACGTAAACATGTTTGATTGTCTGGAGCGGCACGACTCGGATGGTGTTCAGGCGGTGCGATCAAGAATCTACAAATACTATGTGGACGGAACGTTGTTGCGTATCTCAAAAACCCCAACCAATGATGAGTCGGTATCGACCGTTACCCTACTGAAACCAGAAACTCAGCCATGTCTCGGGGTATGTTCAAAGTCATAGCAGCGACAGACCTTCTATGTCGCAGATGTTAACGTGGAGGGAGACGTTGAGCTCATAGACCACGATTGCCCACTGGGGCTGCTTGACCTGCTCCCACCGCTGGCGACGTCAGGAAACTCGAGACTGATGTCGAGCGCGTAGTAGCCACAGACGTCGGATCCCAGGCCGACGCCAGATAGGTCATCCGCGTCCCATATACTGAACTGCAGCGTGACGGCGGGGACGTGCCCTGCGGGTCCCTGATGGCATTTCTTCCCGTCTTCCCATGCGTTGATGTGGTGCCCGTCGCACTCCGTTGGTATTGCGTCAGCAACGTGAGGTGGCTCCTGGCAACGCCCCTCGAATGTCTCCTGACGCAATAGAATCAGTGTATCGCACATTTGAGAGAAACGAAACCCATACCTCGGCTACAGGGCATGACGGCCCGACCCATCCGACGGAGACATGCAGCGGCCCGCGGATTTGCGCGGGGCAGGTGAATACCGTGACCACCACAGTAGTTTGAGTGGTGGCGTGGAGAAGCTTGAGCGTGTGGTGGTGTATATGGTAGGCTAGACGTGCAGCCTTGGACCTGGTGCCGTCCTTGATCTTTAAGCCGTCTAACGTAACGCCGAGTGCACGGAAGTGCTGCAGCGTCCAGCTTGGGAGCACAATCTCGCAGTATCCGGAGAAGCCTTTGCCTATCCACGCAGGACGGCGTCCGTATATGGCGAGGCCCGATCCCGCCTGCAGACGTTGAGAGGGGATGCAAAGACTGCGCACAGACCCCGCGGGCGCCGCACCCGTTAAGCTTCCTTCGAATGCGGATGGGTCCAGTAATGCGATTCGCGGGTACTGTTTGGAGTGGGGAAACGCGGACGCTCTGGCTGCGCGAATCCATTCGGACCGCGAGATGCCGCGCATCTCGAGGCCCGGGGAGAACTCCAGTTGTGCGCCGCTGGGGAGGAGAACCACGATGCCATTGGCGCTTGTGTAAAAGCCGTTCTCGCCGTCAAACCCGCTCGTGAAGTGCGTCCACGACGCACCCGCGGAGGAAACGAAGAGCGCAGGGAGGCGTCCCGCCGAGTCCTCGCACGCCAACATCGCAAGCTGCACCTCGACGGGGCCATCCTTTCCCGGGAAGTGAATAGTAAACACTGGCAGCGTTGTTTGGATCCCATGGCTCGTGGGGAAGCATACCGTCGGTGCCGAAGACAGGAGCCCCTGTTGAACTTCTGTGTCTACGGCTGTGCCGGACCGGGAGTGGCAGTGATAGTGGCTGTGCGTCTACCATACGCCAGCATGGACTTTCCTACTTACCATATACGTACATTCTTTTGTTCTGTACTTACTTGGCATCCTGCCATCCCTCCATATGATTCTGGTACGTTCTACGATGTTCCGGACTATTCTAGACAGCATCCGGATTGCTCGCATTACTCAGCCATGGACTATCTGACCTTATGTCGATTATGCTCCCTTACTCAGCGTTACTCATCTGTCAGTCAGCGTCCTCTGGACGTCACATGCCCTCTTCCTATACGCTTACTCATCGTCCTCCCCAGTAGTATATAAGGAGGACTCTGCAGGCCTCTGCTCTTCAGTCGTTCTCTCACAGACTGAAGAGTAAGTCCCATATCACCTATGCTTCCTTACATGTTTACTTACTAGTACTTGTAGCCTCTCTTTGTGCGGCTTACAGGTACAGTACTATGCAATCATAGTCGTTCTCTCACAGACTGAAGACCTCTCTTTGTGCGGCTTACAGCCTTCCAGGTTCAGAGTTCATCAGCCCCAATTTTGCGAAGAGGGCGTCGAGAGGGATGGGTGAGAACCTTGCAGAGTGTTGGAAATCCCCAGGGCACGAGGCAAGGAGATATGCAGCTTTCGAAGCGCGGAGCTCATCTACAGGTACACGCCGGAGGGCGGGCAAAGGTTTGTCCGGCGTGTTGGTGTCGAGTGGGAGCATGAGCCCCCAGCTAAAGAGCGACTGGTCGGGGATCCGACGCATGATCTCTTCCTGGAGTCTGATGAATGCCTGGGTGCCTTCGCCGTAGATCACAGGCAGGCAGACACCGAAGATGCCCATAAGACAATACGCCTCATCCTCGATCCGCGTCGTCCGTCGTCGCGACGCCCACGACATCCGTCGCGCGACGCTGACGGTATGGAGCGGACGGACATGCAGTAGAACATCCCGCTCGATGCCTGTGATGGCCTCGATGGCCCCTGCGAGGCTAGCCTTGGTGCCGAGCATCCGCCATTCCTTCGACAGGAACACGCTGCCCCAGGGCACGATGAGCTCCTGCAACGTCCACCCGCGCGTGTACCACATACTCCAGCGAAAGCGCGGGTCGGGCGCGTGCGGGCTCTCAGAGTCGGAGACGTCGGCGAGGAAGACGTAGCAGACCTCGACGTGAGAGTACCAGTCGTACATGGAGTTGATCGCCTCCGAGAGCTCCGCGCTGCTCGTCTTGTCGATGCAGCATGTGTCTATCCATGCGTATGGAATGCCCTTCGAGCGCGCGTAGTCGCAGCAGCGCCGGATTTTGACGCTCAGGCGGTTCCGGACGATCTCGAGCAGCTCGGGGTCGTCGTCTGCGGGGATGGTCTGGAATGTGCTGCGGGCGGCGGCATGAATGCTTTGGACGTCCTGCGGACGACGTGAGCTGTTGTCAACAGGGTGCTACGCGGCTGGGAGAAGTATTCTCGCACCTGGAAAGTCTGTTCCCCTGCGAGGTCCCACACGTGCGACAGGATAGCGTATGCCACTTGCGAGGGATCTTGCACAAAGTGCAGCTGGTACGTGGTTGTGTTGAGAAGCCACATTGGTCGCCTAACAACCGTTGTCCCAGTCAGCCGACAAGCTTATCGATGGGAAGGAGAGCACGTACAAGTTATAAAGGCGTTAGAAGTAGTCACACTGACATATGGGGACTGGCCTAGGGGCCGCACGTATGTTGAGTGTGTTCGACCCTTGGAGCTTCATATACTTTCCGGAGTCAGTCAATGGAGCACTGGATGTGGTTCTGCGGTGTAGCTTCGAATACTTCGAGAGAAGCCGGTATGTACAGGCCACCGGCGGACAGAAGCGCGAGGCGATGCGAGCGCAATTGGAACACAACACGGAAGCATTTCTGCGACACGGAAGCTACTGCGCACGTATGGCTTGCGACTGTCCGATATGCCATTGGTGCGACGAACACGGGGTGCACAATACCTCAGGGATTGGGGAAACTGGAGGTGTTGTGAACAAATTAGCCCATTTGACACTGGAAGGCAATTTAGCATCGCATGCGACATCCAATGACCGTTCTTCCCAGCACCATCGATCTTGCATTGCCTCGCTGCTAAATATCATCCAGATCGTAAAAGATCGTGAGTTGCACTATATAAGCTGTATTTTCACGGGTATCGAGCAGACGAAAGCAAGAAAAAGCAAAACGGGCGTCACGTCCCGTCAAGCGCCGCATCACGTACGACTGAGTCCCTTTCAGTCCAAGTCCAAAAGACCCCAACGACTACGCGGGCCCAAAGTACTGCAGGATGAGGTACGCGGAGCCGAGGCCGACGAAGAGCACGATCGCGAAGGCGGACGCAACGTAGAAGATGACCTCGTTCGACTGGGCAGGCGCGGCGCGGTCCGCGGTGAGTGCACCCGGCTGCTTCTCGCGGAGCTCCTGTATCCGCTTCTCGCGCGCGAGCTCGCGGTCGCGCACCTGGCCCGCCTCGACGACCTTCGTGCGCGCGTCCCACTGGTTCAGTCGCGGTTGGCCTCCGACGGTGTCGAGGCGCACGAACGAGGGGTAGTGCCGTTCGCACCACTGCTCGATCTACGAAGGATATATTAGCGCATGAGGTACGGGGAGGGGCGGATCGCGTACCTTGCCGCAGGCTACAGAGAGTTTGATGAAGTTGGGGTCTTCGGGGGAGGCGCGGGCGTGCATGCGCCGGGAGTAATCGCGGAAGATAAACGCGACGTCGCGAGGGTTTGTTGACTTCATGATCAGCTGCACGAATACAGCGTCAGTGACACGAACGAAGGGGAGCGACGGCGTGTTCCACTGACAGATGCTGCCTCAGCCTTGCGGATCTTGATATTCCGTTGGAACATGTCGTAGTTCATGAAGCATAGCGAGAGCGTCGCCATCGCCATCGTCTGCGGGATTGCGCAGAAGCAGAACACGCTCTGTTTCGTGAGCAGCCGGAGGTAGTCGAGCGAGTCACACGCGTGGCAGAGCACGTCGACGATCATCCCGCTCTGCACCCACAGCGCCTGCTTCTCGTTCCCCGGCTCGTACAGCTGCGGCAGCTCGGTGATGGCGGGCCGCCCGCCCGCGGCCTTGCCGTACACCTCGCGCCCCCAGATCTCGCGCGGCCAAAAGAAGCGGCGCTCCTCTGCGTCCTCGCGGAAGTCGCGGATGATGTTCGTCTTCTGGAGCATGGTGCCCATCGCGTTCGAGAGCTCGAGCTGGTCCCCGAGCCAGTCTGCCTCCTTGCCCGACGCGGACCAGAGGCGCGTGACGCCCTCGCCAACGAGCCCGGCGACGTAATGGCAGTACAGGTTATACTCGTCGATGGTCTCGACGTACAGCTTGTCCGTTGTCGCGGCCCTGTGTGCATAGTCTGCCATGCCGGTTTGCATTTTCTCGGTGATGTCGATAATGATGTCGAGATACCTGCCAAAGCGGAGGTCCCGAGGTTAGCAAGATGCAAATTAGGAATGGAAGGGACATGTGGTACCGAGGGTCTAGCCTATTAAGCTCTTCGCTCACGACTGTCCATTCTACAAGGACTTGTCGGTCCTTTTCGTTGGGGCCGCATTCCGTGAAGGTCCATCCCGGTGTCACGGCGAGTTTGTGGAATTGCCGAAGGATGGGTTGCTTCTTCTCGTCAGAGAGCGTCATGTCATCTTCAATCGTGTCTAGACCTCGGAGAACGAGGTAGAATAAGCACACCTATTGAGAAGATAGTTAGTCGATGTACCAAAGCAGCGTACCGATACCACGAGAATATATGACCAGCGCATGACGCGAACATTGGTTTCCAGGATATGGGCTTGCAATGCACTGGTGCTCATCGAGCGGTGCCCCTCTCTGACGCCTGGCCCAACTCTTGCGGTACTTCTGCTAGGCCCTAGCGAGTGTGTGCTTCGGTCGAGAGCTATCTGACGTGCGAGGTGTGCGAACAGACGCCCCGGCGGGACTTCCCTTCGCACACCAGGAAGCAGAACCGCACAGACGGTGAACTGGGACACGTACCACTCTCGCCAAGTCGCCTTCAAGCTCCTTGATGACGCCAGAGAAGCTTCTGCTGGTCTCGTCGAGAAACTCCCAGCATCTCCGCATGGAGGGGCGGTCCCATCCCGACGTAGCGAATTCCGAGGGCTCTGTGATGTCGCGCTTTGGCTCGTGCCAGAGCTTGTACTGGAGGAGAGTGCGGAACTCGAAGGGGTGGGTGAGGAGGAGGGTGAGGAGAGACGCGGCGCCCATTATCACTGTTTTCTGCTAGAGTAGACGGGCGGGGAGAGGATGTGGGGCTCTCTCTGGCGGACGCGGACGCTGGCGGCGAGTGGTACGACCGCTCCTCCCACACGTGACCCGCGTCCCGCCCTTTTCTCGGCAACTTCTCGGCGCTTCTTTATTTTCTGCCTCCTCCCACCATGGACGCTGCGCTCACCCCGCCCCTCCGCATCCAGCCCCTGCACATCCAGCGGGTCTCGCCAGAGGCTGCGCAGAAGCGCGTCGAGGACTTCCTGCACAAGTTCCATGCCCGCAATGTCGCCAAGAACAGCGGCGAGAGCACCACATCCGCTCAGCTGCAGAAGCTGGCAGACGCGCTGAACGAAGAGCAATGAGGTGAGCAATGCATTCACCGAATCTACAATATGTCTGATAGACTATGTGATTAGCATAGGGCTTCTAGCCGCTCTTTGAAACAAACCTAGCCCATCGCGGGCTTGGGCGCTGTATATATTCAACGACAGCAGCCGCTCCGCCTTGATTGCGCAAGAATAGCGCGCTACCGCCCGCCCTTGTAGTACGATGCCGTCGGGCATATTCAACGGTCAGCCCAGTTCTCTGTGTCAAACTCGTAGGATGAGTCTTCTATTATTTCTATTTGCACGTCAGTCTGAGTGCCTTCGGGCACGATAGATGACACTTCGCATCTCTGACACTTCAATATGCGTGTGCGGATCCTCGTGGCAGACAGGATTGCTCACTATTCTCTACAGGGCGCGACTCACAGCATGAGAGAAGTTTACAAGGGCGACGCTTGCTTGGCAAGCGTCCGTGGCGGGATATTGGTAGCGAGATATATATCAAGAGGACTTGAAAATCTAAACGTTGAAGAGAAGTGTTGTGTATGCGACTGAAATGCGAACAGCGTTGTTGCATCGGCGATATGGCATCGTCGGCCCGTGCGTGCAAACGCACAGTGGACGGATGTTGGTTACGAAGGCTAGCACTCGAGCTTTTTCACCAAAGCGCTTCGTCGCTTACAGAAAGGTACGTTCCTCACCCTACCTCGGTATCTATGCCCCGCGTAGACTTTGGGAGTCTTTAAACTTGGACTGAGCGGCATATATCGCGCGGAGCTATAGCAGAGCCAATGTGATATCGAGGACCGTACGACATGCATGCCGCATGCGCAGTGCACATCACGTCCAGAGAACAGTCGATGGTCTGCTTGATGTCTTCTGGCTTGTAGGCCGTCGTCGGCGTTACTAGGCAAGGGCGGCAGCAGCTTGCGTGGCGGACGGTCTTCGAAGCTGCAGTCCCGGAGGTCAGCGATCCTTCGCGCAGCGGCGCGGATACCAGCCCCATGCTCAGGTCACAGGTGAGCCTGCCTCTCGGGGTTGTCGCATGTAGGCGATCTTCGAGCTACCAGTGCCTCTAGAGTATGGGTGCTGGGTGGTCGAGATGTTGGCATATCTCGTCGTGGCCCTCGCGCCGCGCGTGCCTTGCTGAGAGCCGAAGCCGTTCGTCTGCCTTCTGTGATGAGGTCTGACACTTGCGCACGCGGACGCAATCTTATGGAGCATTGAGGATGCAACATGATTGATGTGATGTAGACACGGTACACGACTCGGATGAGCCAGTCTTGGACAACGATAGTGACAACGGTAGCGAGTCTCGGGCGTATGAGGAACCAGCTATCGCATACACGGCGAAGGCGTGGTTCTCGACACCTGGTCACAATCCCCTCGGTCAGCGGGACGCGTACGTCAATCGAAACGAGTGCACCAGTATCAGCCTTGTGACCTCAAAGCTTCAAGCCTTGGTACTCCCGAATACCGCTTTCGCACACGCTTGCTGGCATATCCCAAGAGCGGCGTTGCAGTTCAAAATAGCGGTAGGCGTGTTCTCGTCGGTGGTGACTGTGCCGAATTTGCGACCGGCATTGTTGTAACAGATGGTGGCGAAATTATTGCAGCCTGGATGGGCGAAGAACAAGTACTGGTGAGCAAGTACTGAAGCGCATCCCTGATCATGCTAGATCGCCTACCCGTTTGACAGACTCCATATGCAAGCTTCTGTATTCCGGTTCTGGGCGGGGCCGCGGAGGCAGAAGCGACGGCAAGTGTGAGGAGGATGAAGGAGAACTGCATGATATCCCTGAGTGGTAGATGATTGTCGCGGGGAAGTGAACACGTCTTCTGAGCTGAGTGGGTCCAAGAGCCCCGGATTATATAGCTGCCAGCGGCAGCGTATACAACCCAAGGAAGTTACCTTTGCAGCCTGGTGGATGCACCGGAGCCTCGTGTTACCTCGATCACCAGCTTCTCGTGTGCCTACCTTTCTACACGCAGTGGCAAAGCAGGCTTCGGCGCAGCAGGCAGTAAGCACGATGTTGCAGTGACAGCGATGCACGCTATTGTAGCACTCAGGTGGTGAGTCGAGAAGCGTCCCTGCGGTGATGTCAGACCTACGGTAATGTCAGGCCTACGGTAACACAGAGGGTAATGAACGGCCATCGGAAGGCTGGCGCGGCTAAAGGCGCAGACCACCCGGGCCACTGTGATGCCAACATGCGGCATGGACAGTGTGGAACAGGCTATGACTCAGGGGAACCGAGGAGGGACTGCGTAGGGAAGTATTCCAGCAGGCTCAGTCACGACTTCGCAACTGGAGTGATTCAAGTATCGCCCCCGCGTTCGCCGCGAGGGACCGGCGTCTGATGTGTTTTAGTATGTTCAATGTTGCTTTGTGACATCAACTGGTTTTTTTGTTTCCCTCCACTCACTCGTGAAAATTGCGGGAACGCACATCGTTATTCAATTTCATTAACTCCCGCTTGCACTCATGGGAATTTATCTCGCACTGGTACACGCAGTTATGCTGTCGTCAGGATATCTCAAGCTATTTAAGCCTGGGCCTCTTTCTACTGCTGTTGAACGAGTACCTCCACCTCTGGCCTGATGCTCTTCAGCAAGTCCTCGATCGTGAACTTCGGCTTCCATCCAATCGCACGCCCCCTATCCCCCTTCAGGCGCGAGTTCGAACCGCTGTAATAGCGAGACAGAGACTCTCCGCCGCAGTACTTCACCAGTTCCTCGACGGTAAACGCGGTGGGCTCGGGGTCCTGCGAGATGCGGAGCGCAACAAGCGCGTCGCCGATAGCGCGGCTGATCTGGTACCAGCTGTGCTCGCCGTTCTCGCCAAAGTAGAAGCCCTCCCAGCCGTGTCCGCTTGTACCACTCACGATGGCGTCGAAGAGCACGATGTACAGATCGGCGACTGTCAGTGCGCGACAAACCCGGTCAGTGAGGTTGTATATGATTTGAGGTGATCAGGAGATACGTACCATCGTCGATGTGGACATTGGGCCAGCGAGCCTGGCCCCTGCCGACCATGCCTGCTTGTTTGCGGGCTAGCGCAGCCTTGATGAGGTACGGAATCTGAATGGAATGCCGGTTTGATACGCCCGCATCGAAGAGCGCTCCTTCTGCGATGCCATAGATGGTTGATGGGAACACGATGTGCGAGCGCGTGTAGCCCTGCGTGTCTGCCTCCAAAACAAGGAGGTCGACATTGCGATGCAAGTTGGTTGCAGGGATCGACTTGAGCAGCTCGAGGTCGAGGTCGGAGTAGACGGTCCCCGCCGCGTATTCGCCCCGCGCATCATCAGTCACGACGCTTGCGCCGGACTGGTACAACGTAAACAACACGTACTAGCAACAACAGGGCAGACGTACCGTGTGTATAAGAATGGGAAGGTCGCCGGTGTTCGCGTGCCTCTTTCTGAGACCGCTCAGGAGGGCTTTTGCGAGTGGCACGTCGTCGGAGTCAGCCTAGGGATGGAAGATTAGACTCTGTGGGTGTATTGGTTTTAGAGCTTGGAGAGTACTTACGCAATGGAATACGACATGAGCATCTTCTGCTAGAGTCTCAAGCTTGTCAAAATCCTGATGAGTTCCGCGAACGACCTTGACGGGAAACTGGGACTCTAGGATCTTCGCTTTCTCCTCATTACGCACGATGGCGGTGATATCGAACGTGCTTGCACTAGGATGCTTGAGGAGGCGCTCGAGGACAGCGCCCCCGATGTAGCCTGTCCGGGTCGGCTGCTATGAACATCTTGAGAGTAATAGCACAAGTCGAAAGTGACTTACCAGTGGCGCCAGTGATGAAGATAGGCGTCTTATCAGAGGTCATGTTTGCAGAGTGGTTCAGCTTGATTCGGGGGGTCAAACACAACGAACGGCTCGGATGATGACGGGCGTGCTCGCGGGCCCGCAACGGGCTCTTTTATACCCTTGAACCTTACAAAGCGGTCCGCAGAGAACCCGCCGTATCAAGGAAGATCCACTTCTGCCGCTATGGTCACTTGACGGCACTGAGCTGCGCGTGGATATGATGAGCATTCAGTACATACACGTTACATAGGAGACTTGACGTTATCGTACCTGGATGCTCCATGAAACACTAGACGCTCTCCTCTAACCTTCCCGCGTCGCCGTCACGGCCGTCAATGTCAACGCTTTATGAAGTGCCATTCCTAAGCGTATCTCTATGCCCATACATTCACCATATATATTGTCCGATGTGATACCCACAAAACCTCCCATAAGTCTTTCAACCCACGAACCAGTGACCTCGTCATGACCGCTTCAGCTCCGGTATGAGTCGAACCACAGATAGCCGGTTCGGTGCCTCCCTCGGATTTAGGAGTTAGTAGGGCTACGAAACGACACATTAATAATGCGGCAAGATAGGTGCGCTGGCAGCACTTACACGGGAGCAATGGATGTCTCCGGGCCTAGAGCGAAGCATGACGAAATGTCAGAACACGGAGGAACCGGCATTGTAAACGAACAAAGACTTACCGGACAGAGTAGCGATGGTGGTGGGGAAAGCAGAGGTAGTGCAGGAGGCCTGGATGTCGTCGAAGGACTTGCCGGCGGGCAAGACACCAGCCGCAGGGGAGCCGGACGGGGCGGGGATGACGTCAGAGCAGTCGGTGAGGATGCTTTGGTCAAAGCCGAGGAGAGACAACTTCTGGACGGTCTGCACGAACTTCGCCACCATGTCGTCGGGGTCGGCTGTGTATGCGATCACGGCGGTCAGTCAGCCAAAGATTGCGACACGTTATGTGAGAACGCACTGATCAACCTCTGCCACTCGCAGGCCGTGCGGCTATCCCTGAGATGCGTCTCAGTGTCCAGATACTTCAGACAGATTGTACCAAATACATACCTAGCGATGAGAGAGTCCGACGCCAGGCGGAACTCACCAGGAATAGGCGAAAGCGCTTCGCCGTTAGCAGACTCCAGGGTGCTTCCAGTAGGCGCGGTGCCGTTCAGAAGGGTCTCCACGAAGAACTGGGCGTCGAAATCGGACGGCGTCGAATCGAACGGCGCGCCAGGAACGGACTACAGCGGCAGTCAGCCTCCCGCACTATCTCCGAGTGGCAGAAGGAAACTCACGGGGTCGATGGTGTGCTGAGAGGCAACGGTGTGCGAGATGAGCAGCCAGACGAGCTCGACAGCCACAAAGCCGCCGGCGTCGCCAATGCGGTCAAGAATCGTCGTAACATCGTCGGTCGGCAGAGGGACAAGGCCGTCTGGGGCCGGCTGCGAGTCGTTGGACCGCCCCGCAAAGAACGGAATTTGGGGACCACCGTTGCAATTCGAGGCGCCGACGGCACCCGCAAACTGGATGCTAGAGCCACGCTGTCAGAGTGCGATACGACCTTGATAATAAAGAACGCACAAATCACCAAAGGAGACGTTGTGCTTGAGGGCGAAGGGACGCTCGGACTCGATGATCTCGTCCAGGCCATTGTTGGCGTGATAAGCCCCCTCAACATCGACGTGCGCCATGATCGAACCATCTGTAGGAAAGTTAGGTTGTGACGCCGAGAATGGGTGTCCGCTCAACGTACCTGCACCTCCGCCACTGGAATCAGGGTTAGTCGCCATGATCAAAAAGCATGAACTGAGATAAAGCGCACCCGAACTGTCCTTGGGCGGTCAAGGCAGGGGAAATGGCAATGGCATCGTGGAAGATGAGCTAAAGAACCAGATGATATCGATATCAGATTGTATTTGTAAGGCATCGAGGGATATGTACCCGCAAAGCCTCGTGGGCTTCCTCGCCACAAGTGCCGTCGTGGAACCTGCGAATAGCCCCCGATGAGCGAAACCTGTATGTTAACATCGATACGAGGCTTACAGGTTGGTTTGGATGTCGTCAAGAACATCGAACCATACACAGCACTGTATGTGGCATGAGCATCGAAAGCGTGTTTAACAGAGAAAATTGCACTCACCGCCTCGTTCGCTGTGGTCTGACCACCGCTGCAAGTCGCCCGCTTGTTGGCGGACGGGATCGCAGCGGCTGTCGCAGCCAGCATGGCGAAGGAGAGGAGGGTCTTGGGGAACATGGCTAAGCTCGACGGTGGAGAACGAGGTGAATGGGCTGGGTAAGCTCAAGTGTCGTTGGTTCGAGTCGAGTTTGGTGCAGTTCCTCCTCACACAACGCCAGGTACTTATACATGGCAGGAGGGCGTCATGGTCCGGTTGTGCGGATGGGCACAAGGCGCACCATCGCCGTAGTTGGAGTCGCGTCTCAGAGCGTGTGTAGCATACCATACCGCCGGCCTCCTGGTATGGTGTCCGCGCCCATGGACAAGGCACCAGATGATACACGGCGACGGAGGGCGGCGGCGACAAGGGCTGCTACTGCCGATGCTGGCATGAGAGCTACGCCGCCTAGCGGCTCGCTATAGTTGGCCGAACCAATGGCAACGCACTGATTGATGCATATGTTGTCCTTTCTTTGTCGCTTGTGTACCGCTCGGTCGGCGAGCTGTGCATTGCGGCACCGGAGGACAGTCGTGGTAGAGTGCATTGAGGATGCCTTGCATGGATGGTGGAGATATGCAGAATGGCAGATAGATTCCCGCCGGGGTGTCGTCGCCCGTCGTGTTCCTGTCTGGTAGAGTTAGGCGTTAAAAAAACATGTCATTCGACCAGGAACGCGCCACGAAATGCGTTCGACGGACATGTCACCGACCGATACCAAACGCTCGTGCAACCATGTGCAGGTACGACGCCTCCATCGCCCCAGTAGCTCGGTGTACTGCGAGAAATATCCAGCATTCGGGAATGCGTTTCAACTCTGTGTATTTCAGATATGCGACGCAGCACCCGTTACATCGCCGGCTGGACAAAACCAATACTCACCGTGATGAGGTCGGCTGTACGTAGCCAAAGGCAACCCGTCTGCAGGCCAATATACCCATGGGCAATCCAAATAAAGTTCGGGCGATGCAATGCGGTATAAGGCTGCTGCGGAGAACACAGACATCAAGATGTCCGAGCCCTACGGTACCGCGCTGTAAATATAGCGTCGTTCCCAGGCGGTAGAGCGGACGTACCATTGCAACGGTAAGAAGACGCGCGACCCGCAGTTCTCGAAGTATGTTTCGCGGGTTTATCACACCGCTAAAATGCGCCCAAATAGCGTCGTGAGAGTTGCACGATATGCCACTGACCGTTGCTGTCGACTGCAACACATCGAGTATCTGCGCTCTCACTACGACACATTCCCGAACACTTGAGGGCGGCTTTTTCGACAGAGCGAGGGGCGCATTAGAGCCCTTTCAGCGCATATGTGAGAATAAACTGTAATTCTTGCGTGCCGACGGCGGAACTGGAACCTAGGTCAGCCGTCGTCACCGACTGGCCCGCACGCGGGCGCGATCTTCTGGGGAGAGACGTCATGGGCGTTAGTTTTCGACAACGAAGGGGACACGGAGGAAACCCGAGTGGTATTTTTTGCAACTCACATATACATAGGAGTGCGTTGACGTCGGCATACCAGGACACACGCCGTCGTAGAACCTTCATGGAAGGCTGGAACGAAGAGGTTCAGACGCTTGTAAGCGACGATAATTATGCCACGTGGGTGAGTTGACGCTTGTTGACGCTAGTAGACGCCAGCATAATCGTTCGCCTTGAGCCCGACGAAATTATCCCGGCGCCGCCACTTCAATGCCACTAGGTTTTAAAGCCGCCCACAGAAGCAAGCGGTAAGATTATTATAGAACTTTGAATGCCATTCATGACAGATAGATGGACGTTGGACAGTTAAACGACCTGGACTATCGGCCTGGGCGAAGCGCTAGCACTGACTCGCCAGTCACGATAGTACTATCACAAGAAACGCCAAATGTCCTTTGAGATCTCCCACACAGCGACAGTGACTCGACCCCGTATCATTTAGCATCCCGACCCAGTCTGTCAAGGCCTTCCTTGAGTAGCCGGGCTTGTATCGGCGTGAGATCCCCCTCCTCACGAAGCTCATCGAGCCATTGGTTTCGCATTTCCAAAGTTGCGAGTATCTCAAGAAACTCCTTGTCCTCTACGCCCATGCTCTTCAACAGACGCGCTATCTTCTCAGCATCGTGAGAGGGAAACTTCAAACCGTACAGGAAACTCGGGATGGCCCCCGATGCTTCAGGAGTTGACGCAAGAGGCCGACCAGGACTTGTCTGTTGGATCTTGTCAGTACAGTGCCGCAGGCGTTCCGCATAACACAGGACACACCTGCTCTATTCCTGGAGGTGTCAGGGATAGAGATAAGAATATGCAAATGAATGGAATGAATCGCTGATAAACGAACCCGTACTGGTCCTTGAGTTTGAACGCTTGGCTTCTTTCATAGGGTCAGCGGGCTGCCGTTCAACGGTGGGATCCCTGCAAGTCTTTACACGATTAGAATTAGCGACATAGCGGTAAAATTTTGAGCGACCTTGGTACTGTGAAGCCTGCTGAATGTCTTCCGGGACCAGGTCGAATGCTAGCACGGGCAGTCGAAGGTCTGGCAGTATCCTACAAGACACTTTGAAGATATGTAAGAGTGTAAGATTCCTAGCTTACCTTCGAACGCGTCCCATTCCTGCGCCCCTTGTGTCCCCGAGGGTGATGATTCTTCAGATAGATACGGATATATCTACTGATGGGCCACCCGTCTCTATACTTCCGTATCTCCGTACACTCCTTCAAGACCTTAGTGTAAAGCGTAAGTGTCCTTTCCGCGAGGGGCGCAGACATCGCGAACCTCATCCGTAATGGTCACCAATGTTTCTGGGCGCTGCTCGCGGAAGTTGGGCCTATCAAGCTCTAGATGCGTCGAGGCAGCCTTGCGGGCGACAAGCTGGGGAAGAGTATGTTGTGAACGATACTGTCAATGGCGGTGGCAAAGAAGACGCACGATCATGTCTGTCAAGGCTTCTCTATCCTTTTGCAGCCCCATTTGAGTTTGCAACGACAGTTTGCGCTGCCGATTGTCGTATAGATACATCGCTATAGCCTCCGGGGCAGGAATGCCGTCTTGTGGATCTGCAGAGTGGGTAGAACGTGAGAAATAAGAGGCTATAGATGCTGGGAGATGTTCACACTGAGTCCTACCAGCTGTATCTCCAGACATCGGGAGGCTCATTAGTGGGATCGTGTTGCGCCGGACACTCACCCGAGTTCAGAAAGGCCAGTTTCTTGAAGACAAGCGACGCGGATGGCTATAAAACCGGGGTGTCCGTTCATTAAATGTAAGGGCCGCATAGAAGATTCCGGAGCCCTGGAAGACCGCGGGCCTCGCATTCAAGCAGGGTCGGTTTCCACAGGCCGTCCTCTAAAAATCCGAGCGTAAATCTTTTGGCGACGGCGCTGAGCCTCGCGTTTCCTACACCCCCGCATATCTCTGTACGAGAGGCTTGTCTTCCCATCTTCCATTAGAGGGCATTGCGCAAGAGATGAGACAAGGATGAGATGCTATAGTGACTTTGGGGTGAAAGACGAGTCGCAGGAGCGCGAAAGCACTCGGAGGCGGAGTGTCGGTAATTGCCGGTGTGGATCGAGATTTGCTTTTTCGATCTTTGGCCAAATAGGCGCCCGTATCCTGGACCTTCATCCTGACCTGCGAACGCGCTCTGCAGTGACCTTGCTGAGTTGTCTCTCATCCCCCCACCCTTGGCCGAAACATACCCTTCTTATCGCCTGATTCAAATTAACGGCATGGACGAAGTAATCACCAAACGAATACACATCTCTGGGCTCACACCGGCCATTACCTCCAAGGACCTCAGCGACCGTTTGGGATCCTTCGGCACAGTGAAAGCGATGGATGGTTTCGGCGGCGTAGACAACCTGGGCCAGCCGCGCAAGTTTGCGTATGCCACGTTGGAGACTACGAAGGGAAAACTGGCTCGATGTACGTCGCGTTCGGACCGAGCCTTCAGGAGCTGACCTCTGCCTTTGCAACTTAGGCATGAATTTGCTCAGCGGAGTTACGTGGAAAGGCGCGAAGCTCCGATTGGGTGAAGCAAAAGCCGACTTTCGCGAAAGGTCATACTCTACCACTCTCCATGCTGTTACAGAATCTAAAGGGTCAAACGGGATAGATTCGCTCAGGAGCAAGAAAAACTCAAGCGTGCCGCAGAAGAAGCCGCGAACGCGCCCCCTGCGAAGCGCCGCCGCCTCCCACGCGGCGTCCAGGGCGTATGCGCCTCCGACATGTCGCTCGTGACCCCCGAGACCGCGCCGACGCTCGGTGGATGGCGCGTCACTGCGACTGGGCGGCTTATCCGACCTATCCGCACGCGTCCCGACCATCCGCTCCCAGAACCCATCGTGGTTGCGAAACCCGAGACGAGTAAAGGGAAGACGGACAAGGACAAGGAGAAGAACAGGAAGCGAGTACGCGTCCCTCCTACGCGCGCGAGGAGACGGACGATCGACCCGACGAAATGGGGCTCTACACATCTCAAGGGCATCTTCCTGGAGAATGCTGCGGCGACGATTCTTCCCAAGCGAGCCGTCGTAGATGAGCATCAGACCTCCGAGGACGAAAGCGACGACGAGAATGACATTGCAGTTGTCGAGGACGATGAAAGCGAAGAGGAAAGCGAAGGGGACGAAGAAACTCAGTCGGTTCCGGAAGATCTGTTCAAGGACGACCCTGCTCCTGCCATCGTTCTACCACAGCTCAAAGCACCCTCCGCCTCGAGCAGTGCACCCCGAGCCAAACCAATCTCCGCCGCTCCAGATGGCGATCTTGCAGAGGAAGCTAGCAAAGCGCTCGGTCTCCTTCAGTCGCTATTTGGCGATAAGGAGGAGTGGGGAGGAGAGGAGAGTGTTGGGTCTGATGTGGATGAGGAGGACCTTCGACGTGCTGGGCTTGACGTCACCGAAGCCACAGGCGCAGACTTGGAAGCGACAGATACAGACAGCGACGAGGGTGCTATGCAGGTTGATGCTCCCGCTGCAGAGGAGACCAGCTCCGCTCCCACGAAGACACCGGCGACGGAGAAGACAAAATTGAAGGATTTGTTCGCGCCTCGCGAGGAAGACGGTACGTCTCTGATACCTCTGTACCATCAAACTCAACTCATAGCTCTTGACAGCCACCTTCTCACTCCTGGGCCACCTGGATCTGGATCTTGAGCTCGAGGACGACGTGCCGTTTGACTTCCCCGCGACTACCTCCGTCGCGACGGTCGCCGAGCCACTGCGTCCGATCCAGTCAACGGTCTCCGCACACGCCTCGCGCGCCGCAGCACTCGATCCATCAAAGCCGCTCTTTTTCCCATCTGACAACGCTCCGTCTATGCGCCGTGTACTCGACCCGACAAATTGGCGGGCTTGGTTCCATCGGACCGAGACTCCTGAGGCTATACGCCAGCGGTGGGAGGACTCCAAGGGCGAGCTCACGGCTGGGTGGAAACGGCGGCACCGTGAGGCGATTAAGAGTCGCAGGAGGAGAGGCGGGGGTGCAGGCGAAGCAGACTGAGGTGTCAAGGGTTCCAATAATATGTAAGAACCTCGCGACATGGATGTGTAGCGCTTGGAAATACTGCTAGCGCATGATGAACATACCCGAATACGAGCAGTGGCTTGACTGTACGGATCCACGGCGCAGCTCGCAACACGTATTGGTCAAGTATTTTGACAGTCATGTAGAGGACGAGGCACTGATCGTCCGCAACGGGAAGCGCGAGTGCCGGGACCATGGCCACAGACGCGCCCGGCCCCGTCGCCGCAACTGTGCACTACATAGCATGCGTCTTCCTTGCCTCTTGCCATCCGCCCCCCTCTCCCTCTTTCTTTCGCTTTTCTCGTCTCCTGGTCGACGCGAACTGCCCGTGCCATCCAACCTTCGTCAAACTCAATGAGCAAAGCACCGCAGAGGCGGTGGGGACCCGTCCGGTCACTGCTCTGTTTGGCGCCTCTCTTCATCCTTGCGCCCATTTATTCGTACCGAGCGCACTATGGCGAGTACCTCATGCTAGAGTTGCGGAACTCTTGGACTAAGACAGCCATCCATGTTCAGCACTTCCGAATCCGGTGGTAGACCTGTAAGTCAGCTTCTGTGAACGCGCTGGCGGACCGCGTCGTAACCCTGGCCGACGCGACTCCCACAGGGTCGACCCCGCGACTTCGCTCCCTCAAGCTTCTGAAGCTCGCATCCTCGCGCACGCAAAGTACCTCTCTGAAGACATTGGATATCGCACGGTCGGTACAAAGGAGCATGCGTTAGGTGATGCATGGGTATTGCAGCAAGCAGAAGCCCTACGCGCCGAATGTGAGAGCATAGTGCTCGCGCACCCAGAACGGAAATTGGAGTGCGAAGTATGGCATCAGCAGGGCAGCGGGAGCCACAGGTGCGTTTTTACGAGCATTCGACGCGTCCGGGGCTGACAGAACGCGACGGGGTCGGCGTGCTTGTTAGGTTTGACATGATGGGTAGACGGCTGTACAAGACATATGTCAACCTGACCAACATCATTGTCCGCGTCTCGGACGGGACCGAAGAAGGGAAGGAACACGCTGTACTGGTGAACTCGCATGTGGACAGCACATTGCCTTCACCGGGTGCTGCGGACGACGGACTTTCGGTCGGCGTCATGCTGGAGTCCATTCGCGTTCTGGTCAACACGCCGGCTTGGGAACCCAAGCACGCTATCGTATTCTGTGAGCTTTGCCGCAGGGTGTGAGAGTTGAAGGTGGTTGAACGCTCTTCACAGTGTTCAATAATGCAGAGGAATCGCTGCAGGACGGTTCACATCTATTCTCCACACAACATCCGGTTGCGAAGACGTAAGATGTGTTTTTTCTCGCCAGGCTTAACAATGCATCTGACAATTGCTGGTATACCACTCAGTATCCGTGCCGCCATCAACCTCGAAGGTATGCCCCCCGCGGTTTGGACAATGTGTGGATACCTGTGACTGATGCTATTCAAGCTGCGGGGACGACTGGCCCCGAGATTCTCTTCCAAGCAACATCTGAACAGATGATCGAAGCATATTCGAAGGTTCCAAGGTGATACATATGCAAACGTTATTGCAACCGTGCTAACTCATAACGACAGACCTTATGGTTCAGTAATTGCTAATGAGATCTTCAGCTCTGGCATAATCTTATCCGAGTCAGTCTTTCATAAATGCGGGCACAGTACCGTAGCTAATGAATCTCGACAGTACCGACTTCCGGCAATTTGAACTATACCTTAACGTCAGCGGCCTAGATGTGAGTTCCTCCTTACTCCGTTTTTACGCTTGTCACTTACTTGTGTACGCGGTAGATGGCTGTTGTAGGCAACAGCTACCTGTACCATATGCGCAAGGTAGGGATTTCGCGTGTCGTGTTCGAGACGAAACTGAATTGTAATAAAGGACTTGGTAGAAAACATAGAAACCGGCGTAGCTCAGGTCAGTGACGTCATATCTCGCTCATGCTAACTCTAACGACATGTATAGCACATGGCCGAAAACGTCCTCGCGCTGCTCTTGCACTTGACTGCCGAAGGCTCGCCCCTTCCTGAACTGGCGGGAGGCTACACTCGTCCTCACACAGTCTTCTATGAGTACTTCGGTTTCTTCTTGGCCTACTCCTTCACCACCGCGAAGATCCTGTACTCTACCTTCCTCGTCATCGCCTTTGTTGTCGCCCGGGCTACTTACGTCGACCCTACACCTGCGTTGAAGAACGGCACCAGCTTCTTTGGCGAACAAATCAAGGGCTTTGCCGCCGTGTCTGCGTCCTTCGTTGGCGCCGTGGTTGGCGCGAACGTCGTAGCATTGCTCATGGACAAGGTGCTCGGGAAGTCGTTCAGCTGGTTCTCTTCCGAATTCGCGTGCGTTGTCCTGTATGGACCCGCTGCGTTGACAGGTCAGTGCAAACGCCTCCCGCAATCTTCATGCATACTAATCGCCATACACTAGGCGCCCTTGTATCCCAGCTGCTCGTTCCCCGCGTGCGCGAACAAACGGCTTTCACCTCGGTCATGCTCATGCAGTCGTTCCTGGCGACGGTCCTTCAACTCATCGGCATTGGCTCTGGCGGCACGCTCTTCTTGTCCTCGGCACCGTTCGCTGTCGCTCTGCTGGTCAATGGGTTCCTCACGAAGCGCGGCGACGACATCTCACTCTGGAGTTACGCAATTGGACTGCTCAGCCCTCTTGTCATCGGGACGACACTCTTCTGCGGCGTTCTCGAGGTCTTCGTCCCCCTAGTATGTCACATCCTCACCACTAGCGTTGTACCGCAGACTAATCGTCATGTCTCCGATAATGCAGACTGGCCGTATCGGCGAGGAGGCCCCTGCGGAACACATCATCGCGATCATTGTCTCTGCCACCGGATCGTTTACGCTCTCGCTAACAGTGCCATTCATGAGCCGGTTCAGCCATCGCACGCTCGTGCGCTCGGTAACCCTCCTCACGATGATCACCGGCCTAACCATGGCCGTCTTCTCCATGCGGTCGCCCTTCGACTCCATGCACCAGAAGCGCCTGTTTGTCATCCACATGGAGAACGTGAGTTTGAGGCGCTTCCTAGTCTAGTAGCAGATGCTGATATAGTTGGCAGATTACGAGCGAAGAGCAGCATCTGCACATCGCCGCTGCCGATGGCGCACCGGGATTCCACAGCCTCGCAGCGGACATCGCTAAAGCATTCAGCACGCCTGACGTCACGCCGACTTCCGTGGTCATGAACGACTGGAACAGTGACTGGGACACTGTCTACCCCTTTTCGGCGGTATGCATAGCTGCACGTCTCTTAGCATGATGCCCCCTCTAACTAGTCCGCGATAGTTCTTGACGCCCTATAAGTTCGACTTGCCGCTGCGCGCGGAGCACCAGAACCCGATCGACCACGACTTCACCGTCACAGCGATTAACAACAAGGTTGACGAAGTCGCGGGCACCCGGAGCTTCACGCTTGTCGTCAACCACCCAGCCATCATCTGGACATGTCAGAATTCCTCTCGCACTCTGATTTTAAGAACATGACTGACCGAATGGTATCCGTGCAGCCATCGCGTTCGACGCGCACGTCATCGAGTGGACGCTCGACAACAACCCGCCCGATGAGTTCGCGCGCCACCACATCAAAGAAGGCTCGTTCTACGGGTACGACACGTGGACGGTTGACCTCGTCACGAAGCTGCGGCCGGACGCCGCAGGCGCGCCCGCGGACGGCAGCGTGAAGGTGAACTTCGTCGGCATCCACGAGAAGGCGATGTGGCCGGGGAAGAAGGCAGAGAAGGCGCTTGGCGGGCGCGCAATGGCGCTGTTCGAGGAGTTCGACGGCTGGCTCGAGCGGGAGACGGGCGGGACTGTGGACGCGATGTTCCTTGGCTGTGTTGCTGGCGTCGCTGTCATCTAGAGTAGTATTGTATCGCGGATTGTGCAATTGGTTCAATCTATAGTAGTGTCCTATCGTACATTGTGCGCGTTCGTTCAAACCCCAAGTTGCTACAGCATACTCAACTGGTGTTACTAAGCCTATGCTCTAAACCGACATGGATCTACATCTTCACAGCGAAAACGTCAATCCAGAGCGAGAACAACGCCGGGTAATGTCCGTCGCCCCGGTAGTCGCATGTGAGCACCAGATCAACAGCGAGTGCCTCCGCCAGCGTTGTCGAGCCCAGGACCGCGCGCGTGCGGCGTCCCCAGTCGCTTCCTTCGACGGGGTCCCATGACTCGACGTGCGCGTGGGGGTCTTTGCAGGTAGTAGAGGCGGCGCGCTCCGTGAGATGGCGCGACGCGGACACCCGACGGGCTGTGATTTCGTTGAGCGACAGTGAGGAGACCCGGGACGCGAGCCACCAGTAGCTCGTGAAGCTCCCCCGGCTGCAGCTGCATGGCCCGAGGCTGATGTCGACAGTGACGAGTCCTCGGACGAGACGGACGATGTAGGTTGGCGGGGATCGGTGCGGCGACGTTAGCGCAGTGTGGCTGGAGGAGAGGGAAACGCTGTATTCTTGCTCTGTGAGACGGGACTGACACCACTTGGGGAGTTTGATTTTGAATGCATTCCCGTAAAGCTGCAACGGCGAGAGTAGCGGTGGAGACGGCCCTCGGAGCCTCGGAGCGGGGGTGAGCGTAGGACGATGGATAATGCAGATCTCCTCCACACAGGCGCGTGAAGCGCGAACATCCGGAGCATATGAGGGGAGGTGAAGAAGGCGGATCCAGGTTTCGGGTGATTTGGAGAAGGTAGGGTTGAACCTGACCCATGGGCCAATGTCTCTCGACGCAGCGCCTAGGGACCATGCGTGGGCATCTTCATCCTTCTGCAGGATCAGGCCTACAATGACGTCCTTTCGGATCTCGCAAGCCAGATACGCGACACGGATAGTAGAAGAAAGTGCAGTGAGGGGCAAGTCGGTTCGGAGGCCATACGGGGTGATGGTGCAGGTGGGCGGAGAATAAGCAGGGGGGATCCCGAGTAGTTCCCCGGCTTTCTTTACCGTGATGCAGTCGATCCTACTGGAGAGCTCGAAGTCCGCAGGAGACGTGGCGAACAGGGTTGGGCCAGAGGCGGTCTCTTCTGCTTCTGCAAAGACGGGATTCCAGCGATTCCGAGTGCGCTCCCAGGCAAAGAGACTTTGATCAGGGACGAGCCTCAGGATTTCCTCCTGCAGCCGGATAAACGCGAGTCGGCCCTCACCGTAGATAGTCGACATGTTGACCCCGAAGATGCCCATGAGCGAGTACGCTTCGTCCTCCTTCCGCGTCGTGAAGCGCTTTGCTGCCCAGGACATCCTGCGGGCCACGCTGACGGATTGGATTGGCAGACGATGCACGAGGACGGCCTGATCGACGCCGGTGACTTCTTTGACCACGGTGGAGAGTCCATCTTTGCTGCCCAGCATGTCCCACTCGGCAGAGATGAAAATGACGATCCGCGGCGCGATCAGCTCCTGTAGTGTCCAGCCACGCGTAAACCAACGACTGTTGCGGAACTGCGAACCGGACAGGCTGGGGTCTTCTTCGCTGGTGACATCATCGAGGAAGGCGTAGCAGACGATAGACTGGCCGTACCACTGATACATGGAGTTGATCGCCTCAGAGAGTTCCGTACTGCTTGATTGATTGATGCAGCACGTGTCTATCCAGAGGTACCCGAAGCCTTCGGAGAGGGCGTACGCACAAGCGTTTCGGATCTTGGGAGAGGCCCTGAGGAGGACTTCGTTGCGAGGAAGATAGACACCGGAGGCTCGTGCAGCGTGGACGTCTGTTTGAATCTTCAACAGGTCGTCGTATGTCTGCTCCCCTTCGACGGCCCAGACATGAGAAAGGATCGCGTACCGGAATTCCTCTGGGTTGTTGACCACGAGGAATTCACCTGTCCGCGTTTCCAGCAGACGCATCGTATAGTGCTGTGACAAGGACTTGTAAACGCGGTCGTCGACGTGGAGCTATGACCACTGCTTACCTCGTTCTTGTATCAATGAAAACCAGTAGGTCAGCTGAAAAGAGGTTCTTGGGGAAGCCTGGGGAAATGCTGGGCACATGAAGATTTATATACACTTATCCACGGTACATCGCCTTGGGCATCTCACTCATCAACAACCGAGGATCAGGGGGGCTGTGGTCGCGCGGATGCCATTGCGGCCTGGAAATCCTGATTTCTATCACGGAATGCGGCAGGTTGTAATGCGGCTAGAGCAATGTTTGTGCCGGGTGCTGGTGGGAGAGAGAGATCTGGATGTTGGCCGCGTGTGGCCACGCGAACTGTTTAACGCTTAGCGCGGAGTTGTAATTAGCGCCCGATACGCGTCGCGACGCGCGAGTCGAGTTTGTGGCTGAGCGCGTCTTGTCTCCTTTCCCCTACCATCTTACCTCTCTTCGTCGCGTTCTCGACTATGGACAGCACTGAAAACACAAGCGGATATACACATGAGCTTGAGGATGCTTCCAAGGTGCGATCCAACGGGGTTTTGCCCATCTTGACCACATCGCTCACTGGCATACTTTACACCTACTAGGCATGCGTATACATACCGCCGGGAAAGCCCCGTTAGTAGTTGTCGTATCACGTTTTGATGTTTGCTCATGACTAGAAGAAACAACGCGAAATCAGAGCCTCGACGGTTTCCGCCTCCACGAATATGCGTTGCGGATGCAGACGTACAGGGCCGCTTGGGACAAATGTCTGAATCGTCTTCAAGTGCGTGTTTCAGTGTTACGAGCACAGAGCTACGCCCTGGAAATATGGAGTCCCTCCATTAACTATGTGTGCAAAATAGTCTGCGCGCTATGTGACCTCTTGATACTCACATCACCCTTGCCTCGCCTGTATACATGTTAACATTATTGCTCCCGGGTTGATATAGGATATTCTCAGGGCCTTGCAGGTACCGGCTGTACAGGAAATCGTGACACAGGTCACGAACGCCCACACCGATGTGCTGCCTGGCTTACCTTACCCTGAACTTCCCGTAATTGCGCTTCATGGTATGTCTGCTCATATTAATTATGATTGTGACTGACGGAGACATGGCGTAGGTATAAACTCTTCTTTTGCAGAAGAAATTGGATATCATCTCGAGTGCGCTGGCGTTGATGACGCGAGCAGCCCTCATGCTGCGCATGGTACCGGCTTTGCGCGTGTGTTCCAGGTTCACCTGCACCCTGCGGAATGCTCTACCGTGATGAACATGATGAAGGCAGTTGTTACTGGGTTCGTCGATTGTACGTATATGCTCGCAGAAGCTGTCGACACATGCACTAATCATGGTCCTCACGCAGCCGGCGCGAAACGGAAGCCAACCACATCCTTGGCCAACTTTGACATCAACCTCTTACGCACTTGGCACATGTCCCAGGCGTCACGGTCCAAGCTTGTGGTGTTCTTGCACGAATTCGAGAGGTTCGATGCGCACGTGATACAGGATGTGGTATACATTTGTAGGCAAGTATTCCGTTCTCGTTGCACTGAGGCGGTGTATTGATGCACGTTTTAGTATGCATGTACCACAGCTCCCCCTGGTGTTTATACTGTTGATGGCGTCACCACCCGTTCCTTCACACCTCCACGCGGTCTATCCACGGTCAACTCTAGCCCTACTACGGATTCATCCAATCACTGTCTCTTCCGGTGTCGCCGCGATAAAAGACGCGCTGCTAAAGGTACTCGCACACAGGGCAATCGGTAACGCTCTCGACCTAACGCTGCTTTCACTACAGACATTCTTCGATCCAGACTTTGAACCTGATGTAATGGTCGGTCCTGGTGCACTCGACTACATCGTAGACTTTGCAACGCGGCAGACCACGGCCCCAGATGCTGTGGTAACACTCCTACAGGCAAGTGTCATCTCACTATGATATCTCCCTCATCGCTCATTATATGATACTAGCTCCTTCACATGAAGCATTTCACGCAGCCCATCAGCCTCTTTTCTCGCGAAGAACTTCTTGGAGAGCTTGACGTTGACCATGCGGAGCACAAGCTCAATTCTGAGCCAGAGCTACAGGCCCTTATAGAGGGGCTCCAACTGCGGCTCTTTGCAACGACTCTAGCAGCAGCTCGAACGCGTGAAGGATCCTCGGCCCCAGGCACGCCGCGCAAGACCAACGGAGCTATACACGAAAACAGATGGCATGCGAACACCGCCGGCGAACTGCTCGAATGCGTCTCGCGGGCGCGTGTCGCTTTCCATAAGCACGCGCGTCGTATGCGAGTCGCTTTCGCAGTTGCGTGCATCGCTGAACGAGTTGCTTTGGGCCCTGCACCTGTCCATGTGAACAAGGGTGGCGAGGGCGATAACGCAAGGCTGGACAGCCTCGAGATGCTCAGTGCGGTGTTGCGTGGGCGAGCAGGAAACCAAGTGCGATACGTGTGTATGGCAGTCAGGTACGTACACATATTCCGGCTCATAGCGTGTCTATGGCTCACGTCGCGCCCCAGGAAACTGCCACTGCCCAAATTGCGAGAGCTATTCCGCCAGCTTCACGCGTTTCTGTGGAACCTGAAAAGTGCCGACATCAAACGAGACGAGGAAGCCGCCCGCGTCTGGATCGTCACTACGCTGAATCAGCTGCCGCCTGAAACCAGCGAACCTCAAACCTCGCCAGATGATTTGCAGGGCCCACAAGATCCCGCAGTGAAGCAACTCGCTGCGACGGTCGGAGACTGGCTGCAGACATACATTGAGTACGTCCTTCGCCTATTTGCGCACACGTTCTTTGATTCACATGGCTCGTTATCTTAGGGAACGCCTTGTACGCCTTGACGAGCAAGTGCTCTGGGACATCTGGTACACCGGAAACGCGCCTTTCCCCTCGGAACTTGTCAACCCCGCGCCGCGTCCAACGGTCGTCGCCGCACTCCTCCACCCGCACGACTTCGCCCGCGCTCACGCCGACCTTGTCCGTGCATCGTCGAACGAAGAGCCACCCGCGGCGGTGGACGACAACCCCGCGCGCGAGCCGGAATTGTGGGAGATGCAGGACACGAGCATCGCGTTCCGGCGGTACGTCGAGGCCGGGCGGATGGTGAACGTGTACGACTGGTTCGAGTCGTTTGCAGTCGTACTCGAGACGCAGCGGCGGAAGCTCCGCAAGAGGGCGCAACTCGCGACACAAACCACCCCGCGCTCTCAGCGGAACGGGAGTCGGCGATCGCGGAGCACACCCAAGAGGCGTGCCGGAAGGGCGGATACGGATATGGACGTCGATGGTGATGAGACTCAAAACGGAGACGAGAGCGATGATGGCGAGGACGAGGAGATGGACGAAGAGGAGGAAGAGAAGTGGAAGATCGAGGTGCAGGCACGCTTCTTGCGCGCCCTGCACGAGCTGGACTACATGGGCTTCGTGAAGCACACGGGGCGCAAGCCGGACCACGTCGTACGCACGATCTACGACGTCCCTGATTAGTACTTGGTCACCGGTAGGCAATTTCTGTGTCAAGGTCTATGTTGTCGAGCACAAAACGGACTTCATCCTTCATTTACAGTACAACTTCCTCGCCTTCATCCACCTCTTCGTACTTGCTGAACGCGTCCATGTATCTCGCCCAACGGCCATTATCCCATGTCATGATATTCTTCCACTCCTCGCTATTCTCACCGAAGACGATGCGCGTGCTCACTAAGAAGCTGGCGAGGGTGATGTCCGCGAATCCGATGTTGTCGCCGAGGAGGAAAGGCTTGTCAATGCCGTCCGCCTGGAACCACTGAGCGACCGTGCCAAACGCCTTCCTCAACCCTACCCAGTGCTTCTCGCGCTTGGGACCCGGAGGCGCGACATCCCGCAGCGACCCGCCGAAAAGCACCTCACGCGTGGTGTGGAAGTACGCCTGGCTCCTCGGCAAGAGGTGTTCGGGGACTGCAGGGACGAAGAGTGGCCGGCGGTCGGGATCCACCACTGAGTGAATCGCATAGTGGAACGCAGCGTGCAGCGCGTCTGTCCCAGCTGGGATGAGGCGTGGGGTGTCGGGGTACGTTTTATCGAGGTGGCGCGCGATCGCAGCAGACTCGGAGAGGACGGTCTCTGTGTTCGGATCGTAGATCGCCGGGAGGGTGTATAGCGGGGTACCGTCGGGGCGGCGCGAGGTAGGGAGTGCGCCGATCTTGTGCATAGCGGCTTCGATGTCGGGATACTCGACCCATATGGTCTTGTATGGGATGCCCTTTACGTTCAAGGTGTATCTACAGAGGGTGATTCAGAAGTTAGTGCAGCTTCATGTCGAAGGCGATTTGTGGTGCGTACCTCGTCTTCCAAGTGTTGGGAGACCAAGCTTTTGGGACGAGATCCTTGCTTGGAATATCGTAGAATATGATGGGCGCGGGCATCGCAGGTCGGGTCTAGATGAATTCAAGTTGAGTCAGTATGCGTCGGCATTCTGCAAGGAAACCTCGCCTCCTACGACACGGTATGTTATCTGAGGCTATGTAGTAGTGGCCTGTAAACACGAACAGGGCTGAACCGTAGGTCTCGTATTAGTCACAGGGGGTATATTGATTTCGTAAGGGCATATGATCATGAGCACGATCGATCTATAGGTAAGTGGCGTCAATTGGTGCACTTAAGCTGCTACCACCACTAGTAGCTTCGCTCGGCCGATGTCTCGCGTACTTGTTCAGCCAACGCCGCTCTTGAATCCCTACTTCCCCAAATACTCCGATGAGACCGAAGACGGTCTCCGCGCCCTGCTGAGCGGCGAGGCATTTTCTGCACTTTTCGGCGGGTCCACACCGTACCTCCAAGCCGACGAAGAGTGGCCGCTCTGCAAGACTTGTGGGCACACACTCATTCCATATCTGCAGATCAACCTCTCTTCCGAGAGGACGCCCCAGGAGTTCCGCCAGCATCTTCCGCCGCTCGAATCCGAGGGCGTGACGCTTTTCCAGATCTTCATCTGCGCAGAGGAGACAGACAGTGGGTCCTGCTTCGAGGCATGGGTCATGCAGGTCGAGGAGGGCGAGTCATGGCTCGTGCGCAGAGTCCGCGTCGACGCGGACGCGACTGGCCTGGACGCGTCTGCCGCCCACGATCAAGCGCGCGCGTCCCTCGAGGAGGAGGACCAATTCATTCCTGAGCGCATCATCACAGAGTGGACCGCGGGGAATCCCGAGACCGAGCACTGGGAGGCCGCAGGCTCGGGCGCGGACTTTGACGAGGCATTCTACGAGGCACATAAGCCCGCGGAGGGCCTCAAGCTTCTCGGATATGGGGTTCGAGGTGAGTTCAAGTGCACGTGTCACGTCGGTACCAGCAGGTGAGCTCACGCATCGGCTGCAGGCAAGTTCTACAACACTTCCAGTGGCGACCCTCTGGGTCAATGTACCGCGGGCGACGGCGGGCCGCACTTCGACTGGCGGTGTCTCATACAACTAGGCACAAGGGATGAAGACAACCCGGTAGACATCTCTCACCGCATGTGTATCCACAATAAATTACTGACATCTCGCGTCTTGCGTCGTGACGAGGCAGATATACACAACGGGAAACATTTATATGAACCAGTGCGAGCAGCATCCAGAAGTGTTCGAAGCGGTTTGCAGCGGAACATGGTGAATGTCAGAAGGTGAATGTCATGCTATGACGAGCATTGCACTCACCTACTGAAAAGAACGCGGAAGGTTGTACAACAAATGTTGGCAAGGGTGGGCCACCTCAGTGGTCGTGCCAGAGGAGTATCCAACGGAGAGCCCTTGTATATACTCGCCGTCACAGTCTAACTGTCTCGGTGGCCTCCGAGCCGATGTCATATAGGGGTGCAGGATATTTGAGTACTTTTTCTCATAACGTTGACATGCCCTCACATCTCGCAAGTACCTGGACCAGGAGGCCGGCATCATTGTAAAGATTAAAATTACAAATGAATGTCACTATAACGAGGGAAGCACATCCAAATTACTTAGGGCATACGATAAATGGTACCCAGGTCCACATCCACTGCAGCGTGTCCGTCACTGGAACAGAAACATTGTCCACCGTCCTTGAGTCAATCACCTCACGCGCACTCGAAGCTCGCAGCATCATCCTCGGCGCCCCCGATGTACTTCGCCGTCGCCGGGTACTGACAAACCGCATCAGCATTCCCGATCGTGCACCAGGAATAGGAACAGGAGGGACATACCTTGCACAGCGGGCGGGTGAAGGCGACGCCATCAGTCAACGTGTCGTTGTTGAACTTCGTGGCGACGATCCGCTCGGGCGCGACGCCGTCTTCGACCCAGCGCATGAGCGCGGCGAGGACATCGTGCTCCGCGTCGAACGCGACGGTCTGCTGGGTGGCGCCGCCGAACGAGTTCGCGCCGTGTCCGCCCTGTGTCTCTCATCAGTACGCTCTCTGGTGAACCGTTCAAGGGATACGCACGAAACTACACATAATCATCAGTACACGCAGACCTGGAGGAACGGGAACAGCACTCACCAGTGGTTCAAGCCAGGCACCGGGAAGAGGCGGTAGTAGTCGTCAACGTTCAGGCCTACGCTGGATGCCTGTTCGCGCACGGTGTTGTAGTAGTACATGCTGTTGCGCGGGCTGATGATCTCGTCCGTGAGGCCGACGTAGTGCAGCACCTTGCCGTTGTACGGCGCCGCAGCATACGTGCTCATGTTCGGGTCCATCGCCTGTCCCGATGTGTGCATGTGAGTGAGTGTATAACAACTAAAAACAAGGGGGGACGTGGCGTACGTTTGTGGTTCCGGGGTCGACCGCGTCCGCGATCTTGTACACACTCGAGTTGTACTGGTCGAGCGTCCAGGTCGTATCGCTGTTCACAACGTCAGTACCTATACGGGCTTTTATCTCGTTGGTGCGTACTTGAGCACCATATACTCCAGCCATTCCGTTACGAGCGGGCTGGGCGTCTCCGCGAGGAAGTTCGTGAAGTACGCGTCCTCCCCACCGAGGTTGAACCCAGTGGACACGAACTCGCCGTTCTCGTAGTAGTCCGCGTATATTTGGGGTAGAACGGCGAGCTGGTCCGCGTTGAGACACGTCGTGGTGTCTTGATCCGAGGTGCAGGCAAGCGTCTCAGGGTTGAAGCTGGAGAGCGTTTAGTGGGATGTAGCAGAGATAAGAAAGTAATGCAGACGTACTTGCATACTGTGGGATCGTTGATGACATTGTCGGTGACCTGTCGCTCTAATGTCAGCACATGCGTCTACAGTGAGGATGCGAGTCTCGAGGAGACTTACGCCGTCGAGCGCGTCGCACTGCTTCATGACCTCCGGCGCGATCACATTCTTCCACGTTGCCTCAGGGATGAAGCGAGAGGACGTCGCGGGCTCGACGAGCTGGGAGAGGTGCGCTCCCCAGGACACCAGCCGGGAGAACCAGTTGGCGGGCGAGCCGACGACCTGCGCGGCAGGTTCTGCACGTCAGCGCCAGTAGTTCATGTGCATGCGTGGGGAACTTACCATGCCGTCGAAGCTGTCGGGGAAGAGTTGGGTTTCTTTCAGGCTGCGGAGGTCCCGGGCGACTCGTCAGTATGGTGTCCAGTATGATAGGATATGGGAACGGCATACCCCTGACGTCCGCCTGTGGTTACGCAAAAATTGAATGAGAATGTGGAGTCCACAAGGGCAAGAGCATGGGCGTACCGTTGGAGCAACCCTGGAAGTATGACCGCACTGGGGCCTGTTTGTAGTACTGCTGCACGAGATCCTTGGCCGTAAGGACACTGAGATGAATAGATCTCCATGCGTAGTCGACAACGGCATTCTGGCGATGTAAATATATGAGCTCAGTCTATACTGCGTGAGACAGGTACTGCAGGCTTACGTCATTGTGAGGCCCCGCCCATGAGCCGTCAAAGGCCGAGGAGTTGTGGCCCCCGTTGGTGGATACACCGGCGACTGCAGGGGAAAAGATTGTCAGGGGACGGTTTAGCGACATATGCTCAGAGGATTCCGCTCACATCCTTGCGGGATTGCACGGGTACCGAGCGCGAGGACGTCCTCTAGAAAACTTCGATCAGCACCCCGAGTTGAAACACATGCCAGCCTGCGCGTCCGCTCATACCTCCTCCGGAAAGCCCGCCCCCGCCGATGGTGAGCAGGCGCTCATTCCACGCGTCCGCGTCCGGAAGCCATATCTCGGTGTGAGCAAACGATCCCGCCGTGGCGTTCGTGGTGATCAACAGCTGAAGACGGCAGAACGCGGGCAGGGTGGAGGACGAGAAGCCGAGGTATTCGTTCGTGATCTTCACGGTCGTATTCGCGGGATAATACGTCCGCTCTGCTAGAACCACGCCGTCCGGGCCGCTAGGGGAGAAGCCCAAGCAGTCGTCGGAAGGGGAGGTCTGGCGCGGGCGGGAGGCGTCCACGCCGCCCAAGAGGGCTGAGAACTGTAGGACGCTGACGAGCGCGAGGGCTGTTAGGGAAGACATGGGCATGAGGTTGAGTGAGGGTGTAGACCTCTGGTGCGCGTGATTTTATATGTTTTGTGCCGGATGCCTGGGAATTTGAGTTCGGGGACCTCACCGAGGGATGGCTGCGCGCGGTCGTACAGTGCGCATGAGGCGCTGTTTTCGGATGATATTGAGTGGTACACATACCGTGACACAGAAGTGGTGCTGGCGGGCTTAAGCGTTCAAGCATCTTGTACCGAAGATGCGGAAAGCAACACGGAAGGACTTGAAGGGCCGAAGACTAGCATCCTTGTAGAGTTAGTTTGCGTGATCAAAGTGACGGGTATTGAATTTACTTAAATCACCTCGGTCCGAAGGAGCCCAAGCGGCAACCAAGCCACTGTGACCGCCGGTGTCTAGCTCATGACCATGCCAAGTGAATTTACGCAGCGTGCACTTCCAGAGCTGCTGCGTTGAATGTCGGTCCGAAATCATGGCAGTGCAGCCTACAGTAGCAGGTTGATGCACGGTGACGGCACATTGCGGCAAACACCGCTACGCGTGCATCGTAAACCCGAAACCCGAGTTAAGGTAACAGATTATAGACTGCTGCAGCTTCGAGTGTCGTCTGTGCATTTAGTCACAATAGAAACTGGTGATGTGAACCGACCTATATACAGGACAGATTGAGCAGATGTCCATTGAACGTCCGGACGGCGCTTGACCAGGGAGGAGAAACATATTCTACTTACCCCTTCCTTTGTAGGTTGTGCAAAGCTTTAAGCTCTCTTGCTCTCTATAAGACCGTCGCTCTGGCGAATCATGACTGAGTTATCGACAGAATACTTCGGAGGCGAGCGCTAGGGAGTTTCCAGGTGGCTGCTATCCCAACTCCTAGCTACACGAGAAGCCCATAACACCCGCGCTGTTGTGGCTGGATGGCAGAGAGAATGAGAAGTACAGAGGAAGAGAAACGTAGCATTGCGTTCGTCCTGTATGTAGCGTCGTGGTACGAAGGCAGGCTATGAAAGAATTCCACAGTCTCCCGCAGCGCGCACGCGCTACTGAACACCTCGGCAAGTGCCGGAAAGTAGGCGCTCTTTACCAAATCCAAAAAGTTGTCCTTTAGTTGCGACTCGTGAGCCTCGTGGCAAGTGCTACCGGAAAGTAGGGTAAAGGGTAAATTACTCCATAATATCCGAGAAGTCCACCGACAGGGAGAAGACGGCAGGAAGATGGCGGTCACCTGGGTGGTCGCAAGTTAGGACAAGAGTCATCGTCGCAACCTCTTCGCCGCTGCCCGCCAGAAGGGTAAAGCGCCTCCAGCGTCCTGTCCCGAGCGCATCGGTCACAGGCCACGACTTGATGTGTGTAGCTGGTTCTCCACATGGGACATGGAAAAAAGTACGCGTCTGCACCTTCTCAGAGCCACGCGGAGTCCCGTGGATGACACGTCGCCAGTGCCGTACGCCAAAGGCCCGCAACCATCGAGCTGCTCGTCCGCCGTATTCGATGTTCACGGCGCGTTGAGAATCCGGAGGGTGTACTGGATCGTCTATCTTCATCCCAATGACCTCCCCGGAAGACGATGCGACCCACGCTTTGAGCCACCAGGAATGGCTTGGGTTGGATCGGAGTACGCAGTCGCACGGCAAGATGTTGATGGCAATGGTGTTACGGTCCGAGTCACTACCATCCTTGACCAGAAGGAGAGAGTAGAATGGATCGGATGAATACGGAATTGTCGAGGGACCGTCGGTAAACCCTGCGCGGGAGAACACGGAGATGGCGTACCCGCGTTGTGCCAGAAGCGCCTGACTGTGAGTGGTCAGGTAAATCCTATATGAGCCCCCGTTGTGGCACGCGGTGAGAGCTCCGCGGGGGGAATCATCAGCGAGTGAGAGGGATGTCGCGGGGTGAGTCGGACGATAGGTGATGTAAACTTCGGTCATCCGTACTTTGAGGGGAAACGACCTCCGGTAAAACCGGCCAGTGGTGACAGGAAGCGGAATCCGAAGTGTGCGTGTGTAGCTGCGCCGTGCCAGCTGCCCCCGCCCAGGTATCCACGGTATGGCCTGGATGGATGGAACAACTTCGTAGGTCGCGGCAGGTTCGAGGATGTCGCCAACGCAGTAAGCATCGGCCCGTGCATCCTCTCTCAGTATGAGCGCGATGAGATGTCCCCGCTCGTCTTCGCATGCCAGGATGGCGATCTGGAACGGGTGGTGGTTCTGTTTGACAAAAGGTAGCGAGGTCCGGACGCCGTATGGGGTAGTGAGATAGCTTGGTCGTAGTAGCGCAGCCCCGCCGAGTCTGCGCGCGAGGTCGTGTCTTGCAACCGCTCGGACACCACTGCAGTGAACGAAATCTGCCGGAGAGCTCGCCAGCAAAACCGCATTCTGTTGACTCCTTTGCTCTTTGAAGGTCCATCGAATGGAGGTGTAGGACCGCCAGACGAAGATGCTCTGATCGGGAATTTGCTTCAAGATCTCTTCCTGTAACCGGATGAACGCGAGTTGGCCTTCACCGTAGATAGTCGGCATGTTGATCCCGAAGATCCCCATGAGCGAGTACGCCTCGTCCTCCTTCCGGGTCGTGACGCGTCGCGCAGCCCAAGACATCCTATGAGCGACACTGACAGAGTCGAGCGGCTTCACGTGCGTGAGGATGTCTTTGTCGATGCCTGTGATGTCCTGAATGACGCTGGAAAGGTCGACTTTGGCACCAAGTAGCTCCCAGCTGAAGGAGAGGAAGATGACGGCGCACGGAGCTATCAGTTCCTGGAGCGTCCATCCGCGTGTGAACCATCGACTACGGCGGAACTCCGATGGCCGCGCACTCGGATTCTGACCGCTGGAGACATCGCTGAGGAAGGCGTAGCAGACGGTGGCCTGGCTGTACCATCGATACATCGAGTTGATCGCCTCGGATAGCTCGGCACTGCTTCCCTTGTCGATACAGCAGGAGTCAATCCAAAGGTACTCGAAGCCCTCGGAGAGAGCGTACGCGCAAGCTGCTCTGATCTTGGGACAAGCCTTCAGGAGGACCTCGTCAGCAGGAAGCTTGGCGTCAGATGGCGCAGAGCGTGAAGCGTTAACGTCGACCTGGAGTGCCAAAAGGTCCTGATAGGTTTGCTCTCCTTCTTGTCTCCAGACATGAGAGAGAATCGCATAGCGTGTTTTCTCTGGGCTGTCCACCCAGTGAAATTGCCCCGTCCGTGTATTGAGGAGACGCATCGACTATGAGCGGCTTGCATACTAGAGGAGTCAGCGTGACGCGCTATTTACGAGGAAGCACAAGGGGCATACTGCGGTGGTTTCTGGGAATGATTCGCCTGCGGAAGGGAAGTGGGAGGGGTGTGGCGAAGGGCGGAAACGATACTCGTCCAAGCTGACTATACGAGTCGTTCGAGATGTTGCACGCGATAAGACTGAAGGAAACGAGCAGGAGACAGGGAGTGCCGCGCATACGTGATGATTGATGCTCCCCAGTCTGTCGCATGACTGGCAACCGTTGTCAACTTTGAAAGATGTGCACATATGTATGTGTGTACTCATATACGCACCATGTAGAAAGCTGTGTCTGTGGTCAACAGTGAGCCTCAGGTAGGTCCAAACGCGTAATGGCATTACAGACGGTCCTTCGGGGAACCACGGTGAAGTCCTGGAAGTATGATGTATTAGTAAGAACAGCGACTCCAGCTTGCCGTCCCAGACTCCGCAACAAGCGGAGTATAAAACGATGACCGGTCGATAAGCATTCAATCAATCGCCCTTGGGCGGAGTTTGATACAGACATCGACCTCATGCACGCAGCTCAAGCGCCCACCGCTCACTGCACCCGCCCATCATCGACATCCTCGACTTCGAGTCTTCGACTTACAAGTAGGTGTGCTTCCACAATTACTGGGTCAGACGGCGCCTGTGATGCACGGTATACCAGGGTTCTATGTTTGACCCCGTCTACTACGGCGCTCCGACTTCGGGGGCACGCCCTTTCATCTAGTTCCCGAGTTCGCCACGCGCAAGCTTCAGGCTCCAGACCGCCTGCTCATTTTCGTGAGGCCCAATACTCCTAGGACATAGGTGCACAGATCCGTACAAAATATCTGCCGTTCGCGCCACAATGTGTTGCTTGGTACGTATACCACGCAGGCGTGGTCACAGTGGCGTACGAAGTGAATAGTGGGGGTCATATACGCTGATGCCCGGTTGGCAGCGTGCAGTGCCCTTACTCTGTGGTGCAGCTACCGTCACTTAGGATTGGGAGCTGCAGCCGCGTTTGCCACGATTGGGCAGGTGTTAACAGTGACACGTCTCAAGGAGCTGTGTAGCGGCGATGGCTAACCGGACAGTTAACCATGCACATAGGTCCTATTATTCTCTATTCCGTAGGCTACAGATTGCATATGTACAGCTGCAAAGATATTTTGTCATCAGCGCAGGTAGGTACACCAAAGGTATCATCAATGGAGGATTGCTTCGCTCGGCAACCGTGACGAAGTAGGGCGCGATCCATCCACCATCTCCCCACATCTCCGGCGGCCTTCCAAGTACGTCATCGGTGCAATCAGCCTCCGGTATTAACGGCTAAAATACGGACACCTGTCAAACGTCGCCCGCCACGGGGCTTCGGTGCTTCATCTTATAACGCCGCCTTCCCCAGTCCCAGTGGTACTGCGAGCTGTGAGTGATTACAGTTTGCACTGCCGGTGCATGATGTCCAGCGTCCTGTATATATAGGTAAACACGTCCCTGCACTGTTGTGGCCCCCAAACACATACCCTCACCCCAGCCATTTCAAGGATACCCTCCGAAAAATCCCCCCCGTTCCTCACACGATACACCAGGACACCATGTCTGCTCCCGGAACATTTGACCCCGGATCGAGTTCAAATTCGTCGTCAACAGGTCCCGACAATGGCTTTATATTTGGCATCGTTGGCGGCGTTCTGGGACTCTTCCTCATTGTAGCGGCTTGCGTCGCCATCTCACGGAGGTCGAGCGGAACATACTACTCGGAAGGAGGGTTTCGTAGCATGCACCCACACACTGGTCACTCCCATCATCATGTAATTGCTTTACTGTTCCGGATGGTCGTACGTGGCCCTGACATCAGCGCGGAACATAGCGACTAGCGGCGCAGGCTCAGGCTCAAGCAGCGCAGGATCAAGCCCAGGCGGCTCAAGATCAAGCTCAAGCGCAGCAGGTCATGATGCAGAATATGCAGAACTCCCAAGTGGCTTCGGCGCAAGTTCAGGCTTCAGCGCCGGCCTGTTAAGCGTACTCAGTACTTGGGACCTGCGGTTTTGCCTAAGCCGAAACATCCTCTCTGCGGGATCCTTGGAGCTCTTGGACATTCGATAGGTGTATGGGTCCAAAGTGTCATGTGAGTCTCTCGACGCTTCCGTGTATATATAAGCTGACATGAATGTCGTCTCGTTGATAGCCCATAGACAATCTTACCTCTATGTCCCGCACTTTTGGCACGATCGCGAGGGCACACTCATACGTACAACCGGCCAGAAACCGTGTGGATACCTGTAGAAACGCTATATATCACACAGATTTTCGTTAAATAATCTATAACGGCGCCCAGGACATCATCAGCTCTTCTCGTCGTGCCCGGTAACAGCCGTAAGAGTGCGCACCCAGTAGTATGTCTCGGACCGCTCTTCACCGCATCGCGCGCCGCATCCCGCCGTCGTCCGGCGGCTCGTCCAGCATCCGAAGTGCGCGCTGCAGGTCCGCGTCCACCGTCGTCTCCCACGCCCACTCCCAGTTCCCCTGTATCCGTGCGCGGATGTGCTCAAGCTTCTCCGCGTCCGTGCGCGCACCAGTATGCGCAGGGCCGCTGTCGAACGTGAGCCCGGGGTAATTGAGCGTGTAGAGGAGCCCGTTCTCGCGCGAGGCGGCCTGCACGCGCTGCGAGAAGGGCCGCCGGATGGCGTCGTAGGCACGCAAGGCGCGGCCGAGTGTGGAGCGGGTCGTTCGCGGGTCGCTTAGGAGCCGGGCGAGCACGAAGGCGTCCTATGGTGGGGGGATGCAGAGGACTATGAGTGTTGCGCCGCTGTGGGGCGCAGGTATGACGTACCTCTATCGCCTGCCCTGCGCCTGCTCCCTGGTATGGCATCATGGCGTGCGCCTTCGACGGGGGTTAGATAGGATATGTGGGTGGCATGAAAGGCCCGGACGAACCGCGTCGCCCAGGAGCACCACCCTGCCGGATGTGTAGGATGGTAGGGGTAGTGTTGTGTTGATCGCCCACCGGTTTGGCCGGTCTACGCACTGCGAGAGACAGTATCAGCCAGCCGAAGCGGACGTATCTGGTGAAGAGCGAGACCTTGAAAAGCGCCTGTACCTCCGGCTCCCACTGGTCGAAGTCGCTCAGTAGCTCGTCCCGGGATACGTCCTTCACCCAGGCCTCGTTGAACGTCGTGTACTCGCGGTCATATCGCGCGCGCATCGCGGCAAAGTTAATCAGGGTCCCGCGGGCTATCGGGTATACGGTTAGTTGCTGCGCAACCAAGACCGAGCGCGAATGAGCCGCCCATTCAAGCCCCAGACAACTGAGACTCACCGTGTTCTTGCCAAAGTACTTCGGAGTCGGGCGTTAATTTGGCATGATGTGTCGCGGACATAACAATGCAGTACTCACGACCATAGGGTTTTCCAGCACTCGATGGTTGGGTATGAGCGATCGCAGCTTCTCTGAGGGTATCGTGGCGCGGTACGCGAGCGTCCCGCTCCATTTTGGGAGACCGGCGTCCCGCAACTTTTGGGCCACGTCGGGCTTGCCCTGTGCCGCAGCGGCGGTGGCCAGTTCTTGCACCATGGTTCGCCGAGCGGCGGATTTGACCCCGTCCGCGGCGATGAGTAGGTCATATGGCGCGGTTGTTCCGTCCTCGAGTTGCAAGGTGACAGCCGGGTAGGACGTAGAGGTACGCTGGGTGTACGAGACGAGGCGCTTGCGAGTGAACGCGCGGCACGTTGCGCCCGAGAGGTGGTTGATGAGGACGCGCTGGAAGTCCGGTCTGTGAAACGCGAGCATGCCTCCTTCGTAGTAAAAGGACAGCTGAGTGATCACCCTTTGAGCCCATTGCGCTGTCCTGACTCACCTGGAGTGACAAGGGTATGGAAATTGACGCCCTCGGGCTGGTCTCCTTTGCGAAAGTGGAATGCGACCTCTGGGGCGTAAGATGAGACACGTGAAAGATAGTAGAGAGCGTAAGATGACCACTCACTTGGCTGGTCATCTGGAGGAATCATAGCGATCTTTCCGAGGTCCTCAGCCAGGCCGAGGGCAGAGAGAATCTTCCACGTGCGGGGCCAGACGCCAATGCCGGCGCCAACTTCAGCGAATTCGCTTGCAGCCTCGTATATGTCGACCTCGACGTTGCTGGCCTGCGAGAGGGCGACAGCGCAAGCGAGGCCCCCAACACCCCCGCCGCTAATGCCAGAAGAGATGGCTGGTTAGAGTGTGATGCGCCAAGAGAAGGGGAGTGGCGTCGTACCAGATGGCAACTCGGAATTTAGGAGTAGACATGATGGCGAGTCCTTGAGCGGGAGACGTAGATCAGGGACAAAGTTGGAGAAGCATGCAGAGGAGGCGCTATATATTGGAGCGGGAAGTCAGTCGGGCGGGGTGACGCCGAGACGTGGGGCGATGGACGTACAGATATGAGTTGCACCGCGATTGGAACGGGTGGTGCCTTTGGGGGACAGGTGCGCTTGGCTGGCGAGACAGCAGCGGGTCGCGGGGGCGGGGACGGAGATACGGCAGAGTTCATGCAAGGCGACGGTTGGACATGAAATGCCGCGAAAAAAACGGAACAGGAGCATCGGGGGCGCGTACAAGCGGCACTCGCACGAAAACGTCGGAAGGGAGGAACCGCGCTCCCTTTTACCCATGTGCGTGCGGCCGCAAGAGGCAGCCTGCGAGGCACACGGACTCCGATCTCGCTCGACCCCAGCCGACGCCCTGCCCTTTCCTGCTCCGCCGCGCTAGGCCCGACGCAACCGCGCCCCCGACGCCATCCCCGCCCGCCACAGACCGCAGTGGAGTGCATGCTCGATGCCGCCAGCCTGCAGCCCTCGTCGAGACCCGCACTCCGCTCGACGCCACCAGCGACGATGGGCGGCCAAGCGAGACGCTGGGGGAGTGGATCCGACGCGGGCGCTTCGGCGCCCATCGCGGACTTGAAGCCAGATCCTATCGCAGATCGACTCCCGCTTCGCCAGTCCTCCTCCCTCTTTCCTCCCCGTTCGAGCGCAACTCGCTTGGCCCATCGGTCGCCCTGGCCCCTCACGAGGCTCCCTGCATCTGCCATATCCACGCGCAACACTCGGCGCTGTGCTGGTCAACGTTCGCGGGCCGCCGAACGCCCGCCAACTGCATCTGACACCGTCCAGGCCCGTGGGTCCACTCTCGTAAGTGTGTCGTACCGTCTTACCGTGACTGCTCGTCACCGACACCCTCTTCTTCCAACCCGTTGGCTTCCTAAAGAGCCCGTCTCCGGAAGAAATGTCCATGTTCAGCCCGCCTTCTGCAGTTGTGCGATTTGATCGCAACTCGTGCCACAGATCACTCGACAGCGGCAGATGGTTGCACAGGGCCCGGTGCATTCGGTATTCAAACACGACGCCCTTCTTTGAGCAGCTGCACAACTCGTGGCAGGCCTGACAGCGCAGGTTGATCCCACACCATGGCTTCCCCGTCCTCTGCGAGTGAATCCGAGCGAAGTCTATCATTCACAACGACTGCCTTATTCGGCAGCCCGGTCGTACGTTTAAAACCACCGGTGCGAGAGGGCAGCACAGCTGGATGCATGTTCGCGCACGGCAAGCTCGGCATGATATGTCATGGATCGTGCGCCCATCTCCAAGCCCAGCTTTGATTGGAACCCCGGGTATTTGCGCGCGTCGCTGCGTGGCCGAGTTGCACGGAACGGCGGACGAAGGCGTCCGTCCCCTTCGAGGGCGCTTGTCGAGATATGCGTAGCCGCCCCATGTGGCGACGACGATCATGTCGGAAGCCCGCAGCGGTAGATGCGTTCGACTCGTCCTTCACTTGTTCTCAACTTCCGAGGTCATCGTTGAAACTGCGCCAGAGATGCTTACTGGACTACTGGCGCCGTGGCGCGACAGCGCAACTGTCAGAGCCAGTTCGCCGTTCTGGTTTGGCCGGCACGCAGTAACTAACGGCACCCGCGCCTTGACTCCGGTCTCAGGCGTTCTTCATCAAGTTGGCGTTGCCTACCGAGAGGCATAACATATAACCTCCACTCTTTTGTACGTACATGCATCATGTGGGTTGCTTACTGCTGCATCGTATCAACCGAACGACGCGCTCATTGGCAGGCTCATGACTTCACAGACTTCGCAACGTAGGTTCGAGGTACCCTCGTGTCTGCGGATAACCGCGGTTCCTACCACCGCAGTCCCGCCGGTGCGTTGACGTCCACATTAGTCACAGCACTGACGACAGGAGACGACAGGCCCCTAATCTCCCGCTATCACGTTATATCGCAGGTCGCGCGCGCGTGCCGCGAGGGCGAAGAAGCTCGCGAAGCCGCATCCAGTGCCTGCGCGAAGCGAGCCCGTCCGTGAAAATCGGCGTCGCACATGGCCTGCGGGAGTCTGCGGGCGCGGGCCTCGAGGCACGCGGAGCGGCCGTTCGCAGGGGCAAGCCGTTTTGGTGAACTCGCCGTGCCGTGTCGCCGTCCTTCAAGGGTGCGAGCGGTCCCGCAGTTCAGTATGCTTGTGTGGCATGGCAGCAAGGCGAGAATGCTGTCTGTAAGGCATACGTCGGCAGCGGCGTATGTTGCTGTACACTAAAGCTCGCGGAACACTCGCCTCTGCCTGAAATACACCGCGCCCCGCGCGTACTTTGTTCATACTTTCGTCGGGGAGTCGGCTGTGCCCAGCACCGTGCATCGAGTACCGGATATATCCGCCGAGGCCGTAGCTACTAGTACATCGCCGCTAGCGGATCTCCAAACGCTCCATGAAGCTCGCCCGAGTCCCGGGCGTGCGTCCGGCCGCACATTCGCGGGATCTAAAGCCTCCGCCGGGAGCGCACCTGCGCTGCTATCGATCCGCTGGAATCGGTCGGCTCCCGGGCGGCCAAGCGGGCGGAGTGCGCCGCGCTAACGTGCAGAGTATTATAAACCAGCGGGGGGAAAGCACCCTTGGTATTCATGTGAGGCTTGGGACGGGGTGGACTATCCAGCGACGGGCGTCTTGGCTGAGAGTAGGGCTGGGCACATGAGCGAGCGATCTCTCCAATAAGGGCAGTTGAATGACACAACCTAGGTCGGCGGAAAGAAGGGCGTCCGTCCGTAAGTACGTTGTAGGCATCCGCATGCGTCGGGAAAAGCGTACGAAATGGCTAGGAAGCGTAGAGAGGGCCCGAGGGCGGTCGCGCGCTCAGAGCTGGACGTAACCTCGCCCCCCGATCCCCTCGCCTGCCGTGCCGCGTGCGTCGCACTCGTCCGCCAAGGGCAGGGCGATGGGCTCACTGACGTCCCGCCGAAGCGCGGTATAGCGCGAGACGTGCGCGCGAGGCGAACAGGGCGCCCGGTCGTGGGACGCGGCCAGGACGCGGGTCCTGCTTCGTCGGTTCGAGCGGCGGGGGACCAGGGGTGCGTGTGCGCGTGGTTCCGCAGAAATCGCTGGCGAGCCGCCGGGGCATGCGCCGTGCCTTTCTCGATTTCGGGGCCAGCCGAGACACCGCCTGCTCCCTGGATCGTAGGGCGTCCTGCGTCTCTCTGACCATCGATGCTGGATGCCGTACTGGCTGAATTCTTGCCGGGGGCTTGGAGGACGCCGTCGTTCCGTTAGGTCGTGCCCTTCGCGTTCTTCCCGCTCTTCCTGCTTGACATCGATGAGCTTGCCGCTGCGCTGGTCTAATTCCTTGCCTTGTTAATTCCTTGACTCGCCCTAGACCTTGCCACGGAAGACCGCCTAGGCTCTATCGACCCGGACGCTGTTATGATTTCAACATCGACAACGTCATCGCGATGTTGAGATCTACTCAAATTGTATCTGCGTTGCCCGATATACCTGAGGTCGCGGGAAGAACATGCGGCCGCATGGCGTTGCGTGCTGGTGAGCGTTGCATCATTCCCGCCGAAGAATCTTTCTTCGTCCCGAGGTCAAGTCGCCGAGGGCGCAGGGCTCACGACCATTGCCTTGGTGCTCAATTTCCGATCGGCCATATGGGACGAATGGCTCATCTGGCGTCTGGAGGGAGGATATAAGGCAGCATCGACGGTGAGTGGCCTCGCATCGCATCTCCCAGTACCGACACCTCGCCCAGCTTTTCACGGAGGCACTGTGCCTCCGCCGCCTCTTCCAATTGTACGTCTTCATCTACGCCCCCCCCCTCTCTCCGTTTCATCTGTGACATCACTTGGTCAGCGAGGTGCGTCCAGCACAGTTGACGTGGCAAGGACCCACATTGGCGAGCCGTCCCTTATCCTCTCCCGCCTCTTTGATACTAATGCACACCACATTTTGTCCGGTTGAATGCCAGGGAGGCAAGGATCGTGCCACGTCGTTCTGGATGTCGAGCATCAGCCCGAGTGCCCACCACGCGCGAGACGAGGCGCGCAGCCGCGAACATATTCTGCGCAAGAAATAGCACCGGGGCGTGCAGTTTCTTGCGGGAATGTGCTCGCGCCTGCACATGCGCCTCTACCGTCACTACCTTACCTCGATGTCTCCGGTAACGAGGCGCGCGATCCACCATAGGATGCCCGCTGTTATCCACCCCACGTTGTAAGCCCGTGCATCACATCCACCAGATCGCGACAGCGCTGACAAACAGAAAGTGCACACCAGATAGGGAGTCCAGGACCGCCGCTACCTCCAAGTACGTGCCCGACGAGAGGTTCGAGGACGATCTAGAGCCTGCTTCGAGGCTTCTGCATCAGGTGCGATACACGGTGATACTCAGCATGGCAGACTACATGCTTGTGGAATGCGTCTTCTGCTCTTGGCATGTTCCGAGACAAATGGACGATGGGGGAATTTGGAAAGGTCGAAGCGGAGCGGTGAGTCGGCTGGCTGCTGATGTACTTGCTGAGAGTGCTAGATCTATGCGAACAAGCTAGAGTACACTGTGTAAAAATGGTACTTACTGGTATATTCGCAACGATTTCCTGCAGACTTTCTTAGTTGTACTTCTCAGCGAGCCCCAAATGCAAGCGCCAGGGTAAAGGCATCATCCGAAACCCTAACCCAAAATCTTGACTCGGCGTCTTTAGCTTTGTGGCGTTGGCAACAGCGCGCGTTCGATCCTCTCCCTACGCTGTTCTTCTCCTTCCAGTTCGTGTCGCAACTAGATCTTGTCAAAAGACGGGTGTGCGTCCACGTATGCACACTCAGCGCATAGACCTCACGCAATGGGCGGGCTCACATTTCTTGTTGTCGTTACGCTTCCGCTTGTCTTGGTGCGCGACAGGCGATCTCAGCCACGGATCTCTTCCTCTTCGCTGTTAGCGCCCGCTGTTTTTCACTTCCTTGCCCTCCTGTCTGTCAACAGCACCCCCCTTCACACTGACCGCCATCATCCCTACGGACTGACACCCCGCCATGCATCCTCGGAAGAAACAGCGGGCTAACGACACTACACACTCAACCACAACGCCCAGTGCGAGTTCGCAGACCGCCGCGCCTCCCCGCATGACTGGCAGAGCAGCAACCAAAGCTGCTCAATGGGGAGGCGCCATCGAAAAACCAGCACCTGGTGCTATTGACCCTGCAAGAATAGACAGCATCAAGGCAGCCCTTAGAGACCCTCTCAAGCATGCCGTTCAGAAGAGCTGTCCGCGTAAAGCTCTTCCCGAACTTCCCTTAGACGTCTTTCTCGAGGCAAGTTCCGTGCGGCTTTGACTTCGGGGACACTTATTGATGCGTCATATACATTCCAGATATACCATTACCTCGACTTGGGAGACCTGTACCGCATATCGAGGGTCTGCAAGAAGTTTCGTACCCCTTTCTTGGACTCCCAGCTCGAGAAGACGCTGTGGGTTCCAGCGCGGGCGAACACTCCCGGCGTCCCCGAGCGGCCGCCTTTCATGAGCGAATACGTCTTTGCTCATCTCCTCTACTCGCAACAGTGTCACGTACGTTCTCGGCTCATTCACGACCAGTGTAACGGTTACTGAGGTGCTCTCAGAGCTGCGGGGCGCCCAACATTCGCGAGGTTATGCATGACTGCTTTGTTCGCCTGTGCCCCATATGTTTCCACGAAAGGTTCGTCGATGGGCTTTCAATTGGTACGACAAACCACCTGATGTAATGATCCAGGACCGTGTGGTATGTCGATGTTTCATCCGAAGCAGACAAGATCGACGGCAGCGGGACTTTGTCCTCCCTCTTTTTCAATATCTACTCGCTACCTTTCCTTCTCCCGGTGCAGGGATATTCGAGACAGTGAGTCGCACGAGGAACCGCGCGTATACATAGCTCATGCAGTACCCTTGGGCGCCCTCAGACGTCCGTACGATCCGAGATGCAACCGTCTCTTAAGGCATCATGTCGACCGCATCTTTGAACGATTCAAGGCACTCCCGATTCCTTTGACTTCGGAGGCCAGCCTAGCACTCTACCAGCAAAAACAGGCGGATCATCAAACTCGCGTACCGGTACGCCTACTGCAGCGTAGTCTCATCATCACTTGCGTTGCTGAGAATCCCTTGCGCCAGTATGCCAAGGCCATACATGCCTGGCTGGTCGAGCAAGAAGAGAAGAGGAGGGACAATCTCGGGGACGCTATGGAGCAGCGCTTCGACACGTAAGTTCACTTCTGCGCTACAGCGATATGGCCCGCGCTTACAATGATTGTGTACTATAGCATCCTCGTCAACTTGAGAGGCGCCGGCTGGGGCGAGGAGCTTGACTTCTTGGGTGATGAGGGGATCAAGACTATCTCGAAGATGCCCGTTGTTCGGCGGTCGTCCCAGTTGGACGATGAAGGCGAGTACACTTTCCACCTTCATGTGATGTACATGAACGTGCTGACGGACATAACACATCGCAGAATGGCAGAAGGTCCTGGTGGCGCTCGATGGGTTCCTGCAGAATGCAAGAGAGAAACGTGTCAACAAAGACTACCGGACGTCGCTCCGGGCGCGCTTCAGGGCTCTCGAGGACGCGATCACGGGGCACTATGTGACCCTCCCGCGCACCGCGCGCATGGACTGTCGCCCCCAGTACATCGACCTCGCGTTCAGCCGCGAGTGCCGTGCGATCATGGACCTGCCCACGTCTGAAACTGTCACCGCCGACTCCTTCGCGCCCATCGTCCCCGCACTAATACAGAAATGGGACGCGGACCGCCGGAAGGAACTTGCGGCATACCTCGTCCCGCACCTCGGCGATATTGCCGCCGACCTGGACCCGCTCGCGCTCGCAATCGCGTCCTTCACGTTCAGTGCGCACGTCACGTGCTCCGCGTCCATCCACACCATGCGATACCCTGCGATCCTCAAGCACCGCTGTTCCCGAGGCAATGACTGCTTTCGCACCGCCCGAGTCCACACACAAGAGTACTTCGAAGACGATTTGTGTACGCGCACGACGAAGACCTTGGACGGCGGGGTGGAATTCGAGGCTGAGATCCGCGAGCGCAGCTACGACCACCTTGTCACTCGCGTCCCGTTCCACACAGACGGACTGGATGAAGGCCTTCGCGCGCGTGACGTTGTAGGTAGGATGCGGCGGATCGTGGTTGCGGTCGGCCTCGATCCGGCGCGCGCGACGCTTGAGGACCTTGAGCGATGCGATGTGTGGCTGCGGTGTGTGGTGTGCGAGAGGCAGGGCCCCAGCGAGGCAATCCACGCACGGTCCTGGAGCAACGCGGTGAGTGCAGCCAAATGTATGAGTCGAACGCGAGCTCATCACACAACATTTCTTAACCTGCAGTACGAACACGATCGATACCACACCACCAACCCACACTGTCCGGCGAGCACGCGCGGGGTCCCCGAGTGGCGGCGTGCAGACGACGCGGACATGGCGAAAGTACGCACGTTCAAAAAGGCCGAATCCGCGAAGACTCGCTTTGGCGCTCTCTGCCAGTGGTCGTGCGCGCTTTGCGTAGACTTCGACGCGGATACGGACGCGATGGCGACGCACCTCGCGAACACGTGAGTGGTATTGTGCGGGGTTCACGCGCGACCTATGCTGAGACGTTGGATGCCTCACAGGCACGTTATCGCGGATCCCTGCTGGGCACGGAGGGAGGGGATCGTCTACCTTTCCCCATTCGCGGAACCCTCAGAGGCGCACGCAGACTCTATCTGCCTGCGAGGGCGCATCCGTGCGGGGCTAGCTGAAGATTGCCCTACCCAAGGACGCGCGCGGTCGCTAATGGTATACGATGATCCAATTTCTCGACGGCGATGATCGAAACTGCATTCCTCAAAAGCGTGCGGGGCCGCTTATGCCAGGGGAGTGTTTGTAATCATGGCCTGCGACTACCTAGGCGACCACCTCTAGTCCGACATGTACTTTTTGTCAGTCGCCTTTTCCGGCCTCAGGAATGACATTGCAACCACCCCAGCTGGTATCGGCACATACTGCACATCCGAATGACAGAGCGCGGATATGCAGTCAAGCTGCAGTTGTGCCAATGTGGATCGAGTCCATGCACACGAAGGTCGTCAACGGACATGGGATGGAGTCACGATCAGAAGCACCAATGAATGGAGAATTCTATGGCTTAGTAAGTGGTCAACCAGTCTACGCATGTGGATGTCCTTTCTCGACGATGACGTGCCGGCGGCATGCTGCGGCCGCTGCTGACTGAGACTCACGCGCGTAGGCCCTTGGCGTACATATAGAGCCCTTGCTGAGGAGACAATTTCTAAGCTAAGCCCTGCCGCGATGACTGAGCCCATCGTCTTCTACGACCTTCCTGGCAAGGACGACGCCCATAAGGCGGTGTCTTCGAACACTTGGAAGACAAGGTGTGTATCACTTGTGGCACGCCTCTACGGCGAGAGTGCGCCCGGTTAACATCGCTTTCGCACTGCACAGGTTCGCTCTGAACATCAAGGGTATCCCATACAAGACAGTCTGGGTCGAGCACCCCGACATCCCGGCCCTCTCGCGCAAGATCGGGGCTCCCCCAACTGGTCACAACGCCGATGGATCTCCGCAATACACACTCCCCGCGATCTCCGACCCGAACACCAAAACCGTGCTCGCCGACTCGGCCTTGATCGTGCGCTACCTCGACAAGACGTACCCGGATACCGCACGACTCATCCCCGCCGGGACCGACGCGCTGCACGCCGCGTTCGACCACGCGTTCCATTCCGTGCTGGATGGCGACCTCCGGCCGCTCGTAGTTAACGAGTCGGCGAACGCGCTCCTTCCGCGCGGCGCGGCGCACTTCCGCGCTACGCGTGAGGCGTTCTTTGGCGGGCCGCTGCAGGAGATCGCGCCTCCGGGCAGCGAGAAGCGCGCGAAGCACTGGGCCGGGGTGAAGAAGGCGTTCGGCACGTTCGCGCAGTGGTTCCAGGCAGACGGGGCCGACAAGCCCTTCCTCCTTGGTGACTCGATCGGGTACGCGGACGTCACTCTCGCCGCTGTCCTGGTCTTCATGCAAATCGTTCTGGGAGAAGATGGCAAGGAGTGGGCGGATCTCAAGACTTGGGATGAGGGTCGTTGGACGAGATACGTGGATGCGTTCAAGAAGTACGAGGGCGTGGATGTCGGCGAAATGGTTGTACTATAGCTTCGCGCCGCCCAAATTTGGTCTGTTCGGCCCAGTAGCAGAAAGGTATGGGGCAACCATAATTCGTATTCCCCGGATTCCAGTGTGCTGCGCTTGCACAAATATTGGCTTCTACTCTGGCACAAGCTACTGTCAGGGTTACAAGTGGCGGCGGTTGTTTGAAATATGTAGAATCCCTTGAGTCGGATATATAGCATATGCAATGCTCGAGGCGATCTAGACAAGGATGCAGCCAGCTGGTTAGTCCGGCGCTTTCGGCTTTCGGCCCGTATGTGCCACAGGTCTGAAGGCGGAAGATCGGTCGCCAGAGCTCGTCTATTCAGCGGGAACACGGACAGACCACGAGCGCATTGTGCTACACCGACCCTGCGCCGGTGTTCTCATTTTCTGGGCGGAGTGTCTTGAAAGTACGTCCGTCTTCCGTGCTGACACCGTCGCGCCCGCTCTTTTGGCCCTGGGCCGGGCGCAGGCCACGGCATTCATAACGACGCTCCCATGCGAACAAGCGGATGCCTGTGCAACGCTGACCGGTATGGATCAATCTAGTTCTCCGTGAGCAGCTGCATAAAGCCCCGAGTCTTTGATGAGGGCGGTACCTAGATCTCGTCCACGAAACTTCGGCCGAGATGCCCTGCGCGACCCCATACTTTCCCGTGCACGCACCCTTGTCATTTCTCCGTCTATGCGCATGATCCATACTGTGGTACACGACCTCGGGGCCAACACATGCGTACGCGCTCTGCACCGAGATATCAGAGGGGGGAAGGTGCGGTATATGTGTGAGTATGGGCGTACCTTCTGCGCATGTTTTCGACTTCGTATTGCGGGGAGCTGGTAGCGCAACTAATCATCAAGCCGGTGCCTCTCCCGATGTCTCAGCGACAGCATCAAGGTCAGAAATGATACTGACACTGACGAGTGCATCATAACTCCATTCTGGTGGATCAAGTCGGGTTGATAGAGGACGACTTTGCGTGAACTGACGTACCTCTTGTGATAGGGCAAGCTGCCGAAATATCTCGGAAGGGTGCTCCAGCGTCGGTGCGCAGAGCTTAGCCTCAGGGTGTGCAAGAGGCTCCTCACCCGCGGCCGGTACATATATTATAAGTGCCGCAATGGATATCAGATTCCGTTCAACGGAGGTGTGAGCGACGGACCTTATTATTGCAGCACAAATCTGAAGGAATTCTATGCGTGAGCACAGCGACTTTGACTATAGCTATGGCTGTTCTCAGGCTGAGAACGTACCAGTTTACCCGGAGTTTTTCTCCTTCGGATATTCTCCAGAATGTGAAAACGCGACCTATTTATCTCAACATGGCGTACGCGCATGTGTCGGCGGTCATAGAGAAATGACTCATGCACCGGAGTGGTGCTTGAACCAGGACAATCTAGGCGGCAGTGCCGTGACTAAGCTTGGAGGCTCGCGGTAGGCAGCTCAGGAAGAGGTAGGATAAGGGGATTAGCGTGTAGTATTCTGAATCTGAGAAAGTCGTCTGCATAGAGCGAACGAGTAGCCCGAGGAGCAAAAGCGACGACGGCGCTCGAGCGGACGCCAGTCGGCGAGAGAAGCGCGGTCACGTGGTCGTGCTTCTCCCACTCCAGCGGCCTGGGCCCTGTAAACGCCATGTGTGTCCCCCGCTCTGACCGACCTGCCACGACCTGCCTCTTCTCTCTGCGTCAAAACATACGCCTCAAGCAGCCCGTGGATCCTGCTCGCGTTTATTAACGGCTTGGGAGCCTCACGACTCGCCACAGAGAGGCCCTCCTTGCAACATCACGCGCAGATTCAGTTCACACGTGGCAAATATTCAGTCAAATTTCCTAGCAGTCTGCGCCCCATCTGGTGTCTACTACGGCATCGGATTCAAGATCGTCTGCCAGCTGTTGGAGTCTCCCGGTAAAATTGTCGCTGCAATCTGCTGCACCTCCGACAAGGCGACTGCGCTCGCAGATCTGTAACCATGTACATCGAGCGACTTTGACAGCATTCGCGCCCTTCCCTCGCCGTTCGGGCCTATCCTCCACGCCTAAACGTGGGCACGGTGCGTCTGAGCCCTTTCTGCCCCCACGTTTGCACAGCTGACCATAACCCTCTCTCACTCCTCAGTTATCTCCACCACGTCGCGCCAACTGCAGCAGAGCACACACAAGATCGTGCGCACTGACTTCGGCCGAAAGTGATCGTCGTCGCACTATGCCCTGGCTGGGTTAGGACGGGTGAGTCTTCTACGCGAGCGCTGTCCCTGCTGTAGATCGATGACGCCTCGTTCTCCTTCTGCAGATATGGGCGGCGAGATATGAGCGGCGAGAAGGATCTGCTCCAGCCGGAGGAGAGCATCGCCAGCATCATCAAAGTCATCGCCGGTGCCACCTCTGCCGACAGTGGCAAGTTCCTGCGGTACGACGGAGAAGAGATTCAGTGGTAGGCTCTGGCTCTGGCTACCACGTCGATGTCAGTACACGCATGTACGCCTACAAATTCTCAAATACTCGTCCAGACTCCCGGCCGATCACAACCTCGTCGTCGGAGCATGTTGTGATCCAGAAAAGGCGAAAGCGCTGGCCGATTTGAGGTACACTGCAAAGAGCACACTGCACGCTATCCCGTTCGATATCGTCGACATCGACAGCGTTCTCGCGTCTGCGACGGTGCTCAAGGGGATCTTCAAACACACCCGCCTGGACCACCTCATCAACAATGCTGCCGTCGTATGTCTCGCTCCCTGACACTCACGCATGGCGCCTTACTAACTGACTTCTATCTCTTCTTGCTCCCGACGCAACGCGATTGCAGTTCTCGTGCGACGCGATGTTCATGAGCGACCTGGGCACGTTCCTGTACTTCCTGCGCGTGAACACGGTGGGATCTACGCTCGTTGGGCAGTGCGTTGCAGGGAAATACTGACCACTAAACGGGTATTCCACAGCCTGCAATGAGAGGATATGCTCGAATCTAGGGAGCAGTAATTATACATAGAAGCGGGTCTGGTGGATGCAGAGGAGGGGCCGAAGCTTGCTCGTCAGCGCAAGGCTCTCAAGATCTCACCGCACATTTGTGGTCAATCAAACCGTGCACGGCGTTAGCGCTTGTCATCTGACGACCAAGGACGCGCCGCTGCAAGCGCCATTGGGGTAATTGGAGTAAGAAGATGATCATGAGAACTGAACGTTGCACAACTTACGGCCGATATGGACAGATGTAGCGTACGTACTCCCAGAAAAGCGAGAGCTGGCGCAAGGTTTCGCCAACCGCGCGGGGCCTCCATTTGGATTTGAACCCAACGGGTGCGTGGTTCAAGTTTGGGCCCTGCGACGCGCGTCGACAGCCTGTGCACGTCTCTCGCTGCAATCCCCACCCCCCCACGCCGTGCTTAACCTGCCACTGATCACACACCCGTCTTCGCTGCAGATATACGTTCACCGGCTACAAACGCGCCTACGTAGCTCACTGTCGTCAAATCATCGGTTGCTGTCGTAGCCCTCAACAATGTCGTCCGAGACCAAATCTCCTTATCCAGTACGCTCCTTCTCATTCTCCCGCAGCTCAATCATGCATATCTTTTATGGCCTTTCATCCAGCGGCCCCAGGGCACGAATGCTCACCCCAGCCCGCCTGTGTCGTTTACCAGTGGTGTTCTAGACGGCCTCACGATCCGTATCGAAATTAAGGAGATACAGAAAGCCGATATCGGGCGCAAGTATGCATAGCTCTGGCCACCTCCCACGCGCTCCCCCTGATTTCTTCTAGATATGGGCTGAAGGACAAGCGGCCGATCGAACCCCCTCCCGTTGCGGTCTGTAGTTTCGTCGACCTCACCAATTCTCACCCGCAGAGACTCCGTGCTCAGCCCCTGAGTATCGAGACGGCGGTAAGTATTGCCCTAGCTTAGTCAATCAGTATCTGCGTGCTTACGTCTCCCACTGGCAGGCCTTTAGTGCAGTCTGCCACGTAGATCTGTTCACGGTGCCCTCTAATGTTGAGGAATATACCGCCGTTCAGCCCCCGGCTTCGTTCAAGCCTCAAAATCTCTTTTCTCAACTCCCCAGCGACATAATCCCACCCATACTCTGTGCTTCGTCCAGCACAATATCTCCTTCCGCTATGTTGCAGAGGCTTTTGCCGCTCATGCCAAGCTCCAGGGATGCGAAGGAAACTTCTCTGCCATCCTTCAGCTCCTTTCATCCTCCTACAGCCGGCAATTACTCCCAGACACCACCGTCGCTCCACCCTAGCTCAATGGTCCCTGCGCATTCCCAAGGCATCGTGCTCCCGGGTGTGCAGTCCCTGGTGGAGGCCGGGCAGCTGCCAGGCGACGACCAGGGGCACCAGATGCGCTCCCCTGAGCCTGGCCCCGAGGACATTGTTGCATGGTTCGGATCCCATCCCATCCGGGAGAGTGACAAATGCAGCACGATGCTAGCCGGTGCGACATTTGTTCAAGCAGAGATCGTGGACTACCACAGCAAGAAAGAAGCAATGTTTGTCTTTCCAGTGAGTGCAAGCCCCTATGTATTCCCATATCCTTATTGAACACGAAGCTTAGGACCTCGCCGTCAGAGCCGAGGGCACATTCGTCCTGCGCTACCGCACGATGAACCTGGCCTCCCTGGACTCTCCGTCGCTTCCATTCCGCATCCTCGCCGAATGCTTCGGTGGACCGTTCAAAATCTACTCCGCCAAGGGTTTCCCCGGGCTGCCCCCCTCCACCGCGCTCACAAAGGTCAGTTCCCCGCCCCGTGCGCGAACTCGCCCCTCCACCGGTGCTCAGCTACGTCTGAGAAACATGTTAATGAGCTCTCGCTTTCGCTTCCCCACAAGCTCCTCTCGATGTACGGCATCCGTGTCAACGTGCGCGAGAACGAGCGCAAGCGCCGGACGAGGGAGCAGATCGACGCGGGCGTGAAGCTCACAGGCGTGGCGGTACCATTCGATGGCCGCGGAGGCGACGGACTCGGGCTGGCACAAACGTCGGCCGCTGGAGGCTCTACAACTCCCACGCAGATAATGCTCTACCCCCCTACTAGCACCACCTCGGGGCCGTCCTCTGTCGCTGCGACCGAACGACACGATAGGGCGCGGCCACACGGATTATCTGATTCGTGCGGGTTCTCCAGCGCCATGTATGACGGGATGGAAGTTGACGAGTGGGACGACTGCTAGTGCTCACTGTCCGATGCGGTGCTGCATCAGCAAAAAGTCATTTCTTGGGGCGAAGATTAGCGCCATTCTGCGAGAGGCGCCCGCGTATACCGGTATCATCTACCCCACAGATGTGGTCTCTCTCTCGGGACACGTACCCCCGAGTCGTGGCGATGTGTATGTCACTCCTGTGCTATGCGGTTCATGTCCTGTTCCCTTGTACGCACTTTCCGCCCATGATTACGCCCTGCGTTGGTCGTTTGTGCCTGTTGTGTCCTCTGATAACGCCCCGGTTGCGTGTGGCACCTGTACATGTAGTTTCATCCGGATCTTACAAACTCGTTCTTCGTGTGCTGGGCCACTGCCATATATATAGTTGTCATGTTTTCCGGTGCCCACATTGCCCATGGTGGCCAGTACGAACGTGCGCTCAGCTGTGATTATTACAATATGGGTGTCACTGACCTCGTGCTGCGGCAATAAACCTCCAGTATCCGGAACACCGTCTGCGGTATGCTGCCAGTATTTAAATTTCTCTTACGTAGAAACGGCGTCGCAATACATCTCTGCTCTGTATCTACGAGCCGCTGGTCAAGCACGAGGTGTATGTGCTGATTGGCTTCTCCTCACATGTGCACCCGCGCCGCGGGGTCAAGGAGACGATTGGGAGTCATGTCTCCGGTAAATCCACCGGGGACTTGAAGGCGAAATGAACGCCTTCGGATGAACAAATGGACGATTGTAAATGGTTCATATTCTCGTACATTCGACATCATCAGAACCAGCCCTCCACTTGGTGCGAAACTACCCCGAACCGTACCATCCTGCAAGTCGTGCTGATACTTCCCCTCGCTCCGCTCGCTTCCTACCATTTTGGTGGCTTTTGGTATGGGAAGCGTCCGGGGTTAGGTGATGATGCGCCGGTACTGTATCGCGCCGCTGTGTCCGTTTACGCCGTTCGCACCCTCCGTTCGGGGGTGTTCTCCCTCCCCTCGCCCTGCTTGGCGGCACTCGGAACAGACGTCCCTGTTCTCTTCCATGATCAGGTGCTGTTCCTCCTGTTGACTGCGTCATATGGTGAGTAAACATTCGACTGCATCAACGGCAGGGCACTCACACTGCGGAGATGCACACGCCCTCGCAGTTGTGGTCGTTGATGGGGTGGCGGTTGCTCATGCGGCAGTTAGGACGGGCACACTCTACCTGTCGACACCGTGTTCAGCATAGACTAGCGTAAGCCGCCCTTGCCATACTCACGCGGTGTCGTCCAGTGTGCTGACGGTAGCCGCACTGCCAATCGGTATAGGTGATAACATAAAAACACATGATGGTAATGGTGGTGTGGGGCTAGGGAGCGACGACGCGGGGCAGGTATGATCCCGGCTTGTACGGACGCCCACACCACCTTACTTATACCCAAAGCAAAGCGAGTGACACACCCACGAAAAGGTACCTGGAGTGCGGGCTGCTCATCCGGGTCTAGAGGACCGATCTGCGCATTCCCGGATATAATCGTGCCCCCCGATCCTATTGCCTTTCCTGTGAGTTCAGCACGATGCACCCCGGGCTCCGTCGCAGTTCAAGACTGGCCTGGACGCGAAAGCACCCTCGACGTCAGAGCGAATCAGTCTTACGAGCATCGCAACACTGACTTACTAGACAAAATGGGGGCACCCAGTACTCAGGCATGGTATCGTGTCAGTACCGCCTCACGCGCGAGGACCATCTTGTTGAGGTGAACCGATTTCCATGCCAGACATCAAACTCCGCCTACTCGACACGAATGTCGCAGAAAATGAACGATTGTCGACATTAGCACAGTACGTGCAGCATGGAAGGGCCCGTGGAATCCCATCGCTTCGCCAGAGGGCTCCTCGCTGATGATCGTGGTATTAAGCCTCTTCTTCCATTTGAAGAGCGTCGAAGTTTGACGGGATATATCTGCACGGACCCAGCCAAGAAAGGAATACGAGTACCATGACGGCACTCTTACGGTAGTGGAACTCCACGGATCCGCGATAGTTCCACAACCGCCTGGTACTGCTCCAGCCTGTCGATAAACTCGGCGGGAGGGGGCTTCGGTATTGATGGATGCTTATGCCCGAGAAGTACTTGGCGCGGTGCATATGGCGCGGCCCTGGCCACGGCGGATGGTTCAGTGTACGGAAGGTTGCCGGCGTGTCAGAGTGCGTGAACAATCCTGCATGCGGATGCTGACAACGGCCCGACCAGCCCCGGTCTCGGCAGTGCGGATCCCGCGGGAGGCCTGTACGAGCACTCCTGTTGGCGAATAGGTGGATGGGGGGACGGAGAGGAATGTCTAAGCCTGGGGTGATTGTCGTCAACCCAGTTGTCTCTCCTGCTAGTTACCAACTCGAATATTATGTCCTTGTAGCGTCTAGTTAACGATAAGTCTGGTTGCGGCCCAAGCGAGTGTTTCTAGGGCTGACATCTTCGAAGTAGCATGATCGCGGGACAGGAACGAGGATAGCTCGACAAGAATGCGATATCAGCAGTGCAAGCTACGGAGACACAGTCGCCTGCCTTCGCGTCGTAGGCGGTTTGTCTCCCGGTTTCTCTTGATTCGCAGCGAAACACTGAAAACAATGATCAGACTCGATCAGACGTGCGCTCTCGTTCGCGTGCAGAGCATGAGGCGTACCGGCGTCGAGACAGCTAGTATCCAGCTCTCAAGCACGCTGCAAAACATGTTCGCGGAATTCCCGTAATGTTTCCGCATCGAGCGTGTTCGTGGTGATACGGATCGAGCCCCCAGGGGCACCTGGCGTCGGAATGTCGACAAACTGTCCCGGACCCGGAGGGCGCAATCTGAACGGTAGTTCATCTGCAGTGGTTCCCGAGGGCCCCGCAGTGGGGGGCGGCGCGTCTTCTGTATCATCGCTGTCCACAGAGTCCCCAAGCTCATATATGGTGAGAGCTAGGGATTTCTCTGCCTCTGTGATGGAGGGCGGCTTCCCGGTCGAGCCCGGTTTGCAGATAGTTTTGTGTCTCTGCTTCCAGTCCTTCGAAAGATGAGTACACGACAGGGCGCGTATTTTCGACCAACTCGCCTTCGTCTGGCACTCTTTGCTACAATAGTGCGGCTTCAAGTCAGGAGGGCACCTTCCGGCGCATGACCGCAGCGCCCGTCGCTCCTCCCCGCGTATGCCACAACCCTCCGCCGCACACACATACGCAGCCGGGTCCGCCGCGGCCTTCCTCCGCCTCAGCCTTTCTTCCACGTAAATCTCCTCTGATCTCCGGTCGAGCGCGCGCCATAGTGGGCGGAAACGCCTGCTGCCGTCCATCCGCGAGAGGTCGACCCCGAGCGACGCTCCGATGTCGCGCATCATGAACCCAGCTCTGAGCACGACGGGCGAGACGAGGCCGAGCTTGACGCTCTCGTTGGCGTGGTGGAGCGCGAGGGCGAAATTCGCAAATGGCGGCGCGCTGACGCCAAGCGCCATTGTCTCTTTCCGGTGGAAGCGTCGCTCATCCGCTTGAATCGCGACGCGCTCTTCGGGGCTTGCGAGCACCTTCTCGAAATACGCGAGCGCGGCGCAGCAGTGCGCCTGCGCCTTGAGGCTGCGCGGGATAGCGTCACCCACGTAGGGCATCTCCGTGCACTCGGGATCGAAGAACGAGTCGAGCAAGAGAAGCGCGCCTTCAAAGCTCTTCTTGCGCATCCCGCATCCACTTAAGTATCTAGAACGCGCGCGTAGGCGAATAAGATTAGTGCTCAGCGCGTCAGTAGCAAATTGGCGCGGTACACCTACCTGAGCGCGAGGTCCAATATAGCGTCTGGGTCTCCCGTGGTCGCGCGTGCGAAAACGCGCTCCGATAGGTTGCCATTCGTGAAATCTGCTGAAGCTTCCTCCAGCGACCGTTTGACGTACTGCTCGCCCGACTCGTGGTAGTCGATGAGACACCCGGATTTGACGTTCACGTACTGCTCCATGTTTTCGAACCACGGCATGTTCTCGTCAATCTCGGTGATGTTGACATGGGTGTTTCCAAACAGAGTCGGAATGTTCATGATGGGCTCCGGATCCGATGGGTATGTATAGCAGATCAGAAGAAGAGAGAAAGGCCAACTTTCGAGCTGCGGCCTTGCAGCAGGGAGGACCAGTGGCACTGGCACCGGTCGCGGGCTTGCCGGGGCTTACCGGAACGGTACAGTCGGCCCGGGATCCCGCGCAAAGTCCCATAAGCCCTCGGCGGGTAGGTACTTAGTACGAAGAAGGCCATCACTGACTCTCAGTTCCCCTCAACCAGTGAGTCGCTGTGTCTCGCAGGCCTTGCATACTTTAACTCCATGTCATCGCTGGGAGGTGTATATTGCTCCAGCAAGGCATCTTCCAGGTTACCTGCACGACTTTGACTGATGTTCCGTTATCCACTCTTTCATCTAAGTAATGGGGAGGAAGGGAAGCGGCCGCGCAGAACAAGAACTGAGCAGACTTTTCGATGACCAATAAATCCCGATCCCCAAGTGATAGCTACAGTAACCGAAAAACAGAGTGAGTGGGTCCATCCGGGGCCGCCGCGCAAAACGCGGAACGCAGCCGTGCTGTCCAAGGCTGCGAGAGTAGTAAGCAGCGTGAAGCGATTCTACTTCTGCAGTCGGGCATAGCCGTCCGTCAACACATTCGCTAGCTCTCGCCAGAGTCTCGCCGATGCGCCCACGCGAGTGTGCATATTCTGGAGTGCCGTTCGCTTCTCCTGTGACCGGGTACCCCAAACCAGCGGTGCCGTAGTACAATCTTCAGCAGTAGTAGTGCTAGATGCGAGGAAAGCACTCACAGGGGTAGGATATATCTTGACAGCCTGGAAGGCAGACTGGTACGCGTTCAACTCGTTCTCGAGCTGCGTGCGTAGAGTTTTCAAGGGCGTGATGTGAGCGATATACACGCGCACAACGGATGTAGTACAGACACGTACATGCTTCGCTGCATCGGCGAACGCTCTGAACTTGTTGGTCTGCTTCTCCAAACTCGCGATGATATCCTGGATAGACTTCACCAAGGCGCCATCGATGTACGTCGGTGCCGTAGGCTGGGGAGCATTCTGTGCGTCTGTGAGTGATGCAGAGCCTCCTTCTGGGACCTCATGGGGAGCTTGGGGGGCTGGGGATTGTCCGTCCCACTCTCAGCAAATACAACCAGAGCGACCAAACACGGGCTCACTTCTAGATTGCACATTAGAGCTCAGCGACTGGTCCTTTGCGTAGCTCTGCGACCGAGCATTTAAACTCCCTTTGCTCTGATCTATCTGCTGTAGTGCCGCCAACGCATTGCTCATGCGGCCCCACGCTCTCCTGTTGACATGGACATTGTTAGCGCTCACCACATTTGTGCTAGATTTGATTTGACATGTCATAGGCCGTCGTGGACGTACTGCCGCAGGTTGGTAGGCTTCACCTGGTCTTGAGTCCTGGGGAAGTCTGTTGTTAGCTCATAAACGCTTGCAAGATCGGTGTAGGCTCACTTTGACGTCGCAGAATTTGTAGCAGCGGGCGGAGTTCCCTGACCTCCGGAAGCTGGAGCCCCGGTTAGTTCACGAAGACACGACTCCAGACGACGCTTGAGGTCGGTGCAAGCAGCACTCATGTCTGTCGGGACCTTTGCTAGGTCCTATCATGGGCACACATAGCTTTGAGTGACGCGCCGGCAACGAAGGAAGTAATACACGAGCGGACCTTGATTAACGCAGCAAGCTCTTCGATCATGTCGTCCGTATCCTCCTCACCGATCTCGCCCTGCAATGAGAGGTATACTATGTGGCCATGAGATCAGCATTAACCAAGAGGCACAGCGGCGACTCAGCTAACGTACCATTGATGTTGGAGGCTACACCGGTAGCGGCACTATCAGAGGAGTGTATGATGTTATTGTATTGCTGTAGTACGGGATGAATATGAGAATACACCTGAAGAGGATTCATGAACCACGAACCTCTGAAAATATGTGCCATTCGGACGACAGCCGTGGTGGTTTCAGTTGATCTGGAATGCGGAGGATCTGCCGATGCGTCTCATCGAAAGCTTTGTGCGTATTGCGCACATCAGAAGCTAGACCATAGATCGTAGTGGCGCAATCTACAATCGGTACGCTGGCAGTCTTCAGGGACATGGTAAGAGGTATGGAGTCGAAGTGGAGGTTACTGTGATGGGTGATGGGTACTCCGGCTAACGCAGATGTTACCTTCTTATACCGAAAATACACAGGACTCGAGGTACACAGGGTACCCACACGTTTGACCTCGCAGCTGGCGTCCTGTGGCCACGAGCAGAGGACGCACTTCTCGACGTAGGAATTCGATGCATCCAAACCTGCTATCGAAACCGTTTATAGGACAAAACACTTTGTACCTACCAGTGCAGCTTTATTAGCACACCCTTACGGGTATATAGACGGTCGAAGGAGGCTCAAGCGAGGTGGAGGGGCGGAGCACATGGCATGGCCGTGCGTTTTAGGCAGTAGAGGATCGGGTGGACGGACCAGCACGGCATGCCGCACCGCCGACGGGCATGAAGTGGACGACGCGGTAGAAGCACAGTCACGTTGTGTATAGGTTCAGGCCTTGAGATATGAATGAGTAACGTCGGCGGCATCCACCAGGCGAGCTGTATCGATTAAGTTCGGAAGGTGGACATACCGGCCTCACTTCAAATGCGTGGTGGAGGAGCTGAGCCTGTGGTGGTTCGCCGGTAATGACTCAGGCTCCACTTGATGGCTATATCTTCGGTGTCCAGACACTCTGGTTTCAATATACGGCCATGTCGTGGCAAAGGGGACTGCGATGGACATGACACGGAAAGCGTCAGCACTCTGTGGGCAGAAGGCTCGTGGTGGCAAGAAACCCAAAATAGGCGCCTCGTCCGACACGTCGACAAGATCGCCCTGGCACGGGCGTCTACCCAACGTTGAATGCTTTAGCTGATCCACAATCAACTCTGTAAATCTGAGCGGTGAGCAGCTGTACTTACTGTAATGCCAAGTTCTTGCATGAGAATTCCTGACCTCATATATGTACGTCTTCACAGAGGGGCGGCTTGACCGTTGGTCAAATACTATCTGATGCCGCGTGTCCTGAAGCTGAAGCTTTGAACTTGAAGCTCGGATCCTGAAGCTTGACATGGCTCCTTGGGCTTCTTGTCCACCACGCCGGTGCTCGATGTGTGGCCGACATCGGGGTGGACCATGACTCCGAGGCGCGATGACGAACACACGCGTTTTCTGTCCACAATGATCGAAGTATGTCACTGTCGACCGTCCACCCCGCCCGTATTCTGGGAGAGATTAACTTCCGGTAGCTCCGATGGATGGTATATCATCGGTATGATGCATTGATGCAGAGCTTCACTCCTCTCTCAAGCGTCGCCGTAGTTCCTACTAAGCCCACAGGCCCTTCGTGACCATGTCGTTCACTCAAACCGAAGTCGCTCATCCCCTCCTTTCCGAAGGCGTTATCCGTCTTCAGAATGAGATGCACGACCACGTCAATACGCACCCCGAGATCCAGGAGAAGTTCACGAAGGGCTTGCAAGAAGCGAGCGAGAAGGTCGTGCATGACGTTCGAGGGCTCAGCAAATCCATTCGCGAGATCCAAGGTGCATTTTGTGGTATCAGCAAAGCACTCCACAAGTTCGACGACGAGACCGATCTTGGTGAGAGTGACGGCCCTTCGCCTCTTAGGCAACGATGGGATGGACTACATGAGGTCAGCTATCTGTCTATTCCGCGTGCCCTTGACCTTTCCTGATCTTCAACCCATAAAACCAGGAATTCGACATCCTCCTCGAAAATAGTCGCAAGAACGCTGCTGATGCGATAACCGTCCTAGATAGTCAGTTGCATACCTTCCGCAACCTGTAAACACTCACGTAATCTCCACCGACCACGTCCAGCTTACAACAACGTACTCTTCCCGGGAGGTGGCCCGCTGGACCCGACTCAATACGATTCCATCAAGGTAGAAATTCAGGGGCTCATCGAGGTAAGCCCTCGGCTCAGCCAGCTCGGTTGCTTCAGACCTCTAACAAGCAGCTCAACCAAGGACGTCGGCAATGACGGCGACAAAGCGGCGGTCATAGAGAAGGGGTTCACGGCATTGGCCCGCAAGATACGCCAATTCGAGGACACCGTCGAGGATACTGTAATGACGCGAGGTGAAGCTGTCGCCGTGTTGCTGCAGAATACGCGCGAGGAACTCGCCTCTCTCCGTGTCAAGCTCGCAGCGTACGAATTTTTGCCATATCTCGTCAGGCTCCGCGCTGACTGCCTTTCCCTCCAGGGTTAAGTCGGAGGTGAGAGGCGACAAGCACGTGCGAGACGCCCATACTGAATATCCCGACCAAGATGACGGACATAGGCCTGGCATGTGTCGCCTGCCTGTCGGCCGGTGCCATTTCCGCTGCGTTCCTGTTCTGCGCGCTCTCCCCCACGGCAATCCAGGCCCTAGTCGTAAGTATAGGCACCCACTTGCCTGTCTGGTATGCGCGTCTCATGCTTGGAACCCCAGACCTCCGTCCTTGGTGCTGTTATCGCCGCGAAGGAGTTTAGGAACAAGTATAAGGAATGCAATGGTCGGTGACCACGATAATTTAAACGACACACGCTCACATCTTTCGTCCAATCTAGAACTCAAGTCGAGCATTGAAGAATGCAAGCTGCGTATCGCCGAGGAGTGGCAGAAGGACGAGCTCCTCAAACAGTACCACGACGAGCTTGCGAAGTCGAAATCCGACATCGAAGATCTCTGCTTGAAGATCGACAGCATCGCGGGCATCTGGTACTACGTGCGTGATCCTTGATATCCAGCCAAGCCTCTCTCGTGCTGACGCGCCACCCGTTTTCCGCCAGCTCAAATCCGACTTTATTCTCCTGCACTCGCAGCTGTCCAAGGCAGCGGGCCCTGAAAAACCGATGACAAGGGTGCGGGATTTGTGCGTTGTAATCTGCATGGTGATCGCTTATTCGTGCACAACTAGTTCTTCGGGGCGAAGATCGGGAGGTCCCGCGAACTCTATGTGAAGCTGCAGTATCTCCTGGAAGAATACGTTAGAGGCGTCTCGGTGGCTGATGAAGCCGTGGCTTAGTCCAAGCAGGAGTAGACCTCTTGTCGCAGCGCTGGTCCATGGAGGGCCTTCGCTGTAGAACGATCTTCGCCTTACGATAAACATGTTGAAGGAACACGACTAACTAGCAGCCATCTCATACGTATATGCACATGTATTCTCGATGTACCATAGGACCATATACGCCATCGCAACGCATTGAAGACTATGGATCAGTCATTGCTGGATCTTAATTTGGCTCGCTCGCCGCCTTTGATCTGGTGTGTTTACGCATTATCTATAGAATGCCTTGCATTCTGGGCAGGCTTGCAAGTAATGCAGGCGCCGCCTACCGCAATGATTTTATGCAACCTGTCTTTCGAAACGACACGTCCAATACGTTTAGCATTACAACGGCACATGCCAGATAATACGATAGAAAAAGGCGGCCATGCTCGAGCCTCCGGGCCGACTATACTGAGTTTCCTCCACCAGGCATCTCTTCGAAGAACGCTTCGAACGCTTCGCGCGACTGGCCTATCACACCGAACGCGTCTTGGAGCGTGTGTCCCAAATAGTCGAGTTCCTGGATGACCGCCTTCATGGTGAGCGCGTAAGCGAAGAACAGCAGATGCCGGGAGCCCTTGATCTCGCGGTTTCGGACGACATCCAGATTTCGGATCGCGTCCACCTAGAAGAGACATCCCCAGCATCAGACACAACCAAGGGCGAAAGAGAGACAACGTACGAGACGCTGGCGGGAGGCCTCCGCGGGAGGGAGATACGGCGGCAGCGGCGACTTGAGCCGGAACGCCGCGGCGAGGACCGAGAAGTACAGGATGACGTTGCCGACCATCTCGCGGCGGTCCCGGTTGACCGGCACGATGAAATCATGTCTGACGGTCTACGAATGAGTTGTGTCAGCTTCACACCCTGAATTCTCGGTAATTGCTGTATATTCACCGTATGCCTAGAGTATACCGTTCAGCATATAGCGAGATGGAGTGGGGAGCGGGGACCAACTGACCATTCCTCACGCGAAGTGACACAGCGCATACTGTGCATCCTATCCAGGATCGTTTGCAGACTCGTCAAAATCGAGCGATACAGTGCCACTGGGAAGGGGCCCTTCAGACGGGGCTCGTGCTGCGTCTGGGACAGCAGGCCTTGCAGCTCGATCAGCTTGATTTGGAGGTGTAATTCCCTACAAAAACTATCAGTTCCAGACCAACGGGCTACCGGTCGGTGAGCTAGGAACTCACATCGCCATGAAGTGCTGGATGGACTGGGAGAGCGCCGGGTTGACAGCGAGCAGGTGCGTCTCCTCTGTCGGCGAATTCTCGTCCTCCATCGCGTGCATCTGGAGATCGTTGTCGGAGAACGAGTTGAAGGCGACCAAGCGTGTATACAGCCACCCCATGTTCAGGCAAAATCTGATGGCAGCAGGAGATCAGCGTCCTCGCACTGTATGAAGATGGCAACCGACGTACTCTCCGAGCGCCCTGCTGAGCTCGCGCCGCGCTTCTGCCGGCCACCAATACCTCGACACAACCGCAGCCCACACGACGCCGACTGTGACTGCCACAGCGCGGTGGTAAGCGATGTCGAAGACTGAGATGTCTCTTTGGCGAATATTGTAACTGAGCAGAGGGATCACAACTCGCTCAGTAGATGCTCTAAACTCGTTGCAAAAAAAACTCACCAGTAGAGACACGTCAGGTTGTAGGTCAGAAGCACGAAGCGCGAAGACGTCGCGAACTGAGGCTTGGCGCAGATGTAGTAGAAGCAAGGAATCGAGTAGAAGAATCCGAAGATCGACAGAACGTAGGGGTTTTCGGGGAACAATGACCATACTACGAAGGCTGTCGCTGCGCCGAACCTAGATTTTGCCATAGTTAGTCCTGCAGACCAAAAGAAGGCAGCGTTGATCTCACAATGTTCCCAGTACACGATGGACGCCCATGTAGTTCGTCTGCGAGTTAAAATGTGAGTATATGCGCCTCTGTGCCCCATTATATTTCACTTACAGCACCGATCGTGGGCGAGATGACCACAAAGAACTGAATATACAGCGTCAGCACTGAGCTTTTCTCCTGGTGACACAGAGTGCATACCGAGATCAACGCCCACTCTCCCCTATACTCCACAAACACGGGCCTGGTCCTCTCAAAGAACGCAGGGGCAGCCAAAATGGCAGTCGCCATGCCCGCTTTGATGGCATATTTCGAGTCCTGCTGCTTCAAGCGCGCGCCGATGGCCCAAATCGTCTGCTTCACCCGCCCCATGAACGAGAGGTTCGCCCGCGCGGGCGTCTGGATTGTGTTGGGGGCGTGCGGCGTGACCTTGGGGAACGACACCGCCCTGTGCGGCTGGTGCGGGACGAAGAATGCAGCTGTGCGCAGACGGTTCGGTGAGTGACTGACGTAAGTCAACGTGCAGGAGACCTACATAGGCGTTTGCGCATGCTGCTCTGCTGCTTCTCCCGGGCTCGGCGCCTCAGTGTGCTGCGCGCTCCTGAGCCGAACGGAAGAACAGCTTTGAAGTGCGCCCACAGGCCGCTGCGGGCGGCGTTGGCACGCTCAATGTTGCATATCCGGCCCATAGCGTCGACGAGCGATATGAGCTCGCGGGAGAACTCCTGCAAGGTGAAGATGTAACTGCCCATACCTTCGTCAGCGCAATCACATCTCAGCGACGATAGTAGATACGCACAAGTAGACCAAGAAGATGTTCTCGCTCTCATCTCCTGATAGCGCCTGGTTCTCCGAAGTAAGAGAGGCGACGGAAGCACGCGAGTCGACGCCGGATACGTTGCCACTCCGATACAAACGGAGCACCGCGTGGTTCGATGTGCTCTCGAACGTGAAGAGCGCGCGTTCCACGTTCTCCGAGAGCTCGTGGAAGTCAGCGGGCTCCATGGTCGTCCGATCGGTGTTCTCTCGCGGGTGTACGAATGCCTCGCGAAGTTTCTTCAGCGTCGTGGTACAGGTCGACTAGAGTTTGCGTGTCCTCATAAGCAAGTTGCGAGAGGGCCGAACTGTTCAAAGTGCTCACCGAAAGCGCCTTGAGCGGAGGCCCTAAATCGTCCATCAACTCTCCGAATACCGTCGCAGCCGCCTGCAGCAACATAGACTCTTCGTCCGGCGCAGAGGGTTCAGCACCATTCGGATCCGTGACCTTGCCCTTCCCATTCCCGTTGCTCGCCAACACATCCTCCGGGTGAAATCGCGCGTTCTTCAGCACGATTTTACCCTCCCGATACCCCTTGATGATCTCCTGTTGCAGACTAATTCCGCTCCTCAGCCCGTTCAGGTGCTGCCCGAGCCTGTTCAGACTATCGATTGCGTCCTGGTACGCCTGACCGGAGCTGCCGCGCAGCTGCGCGCGGTTCCCGACGCGCCCCGGGCCGCCGAAGAAGCGCTCGGAGTGCGCCTCATCGAGACTCTTCTTGAGGCTGGTGAACGATGCCTGATGGGCCGCGACCGCGCGTTGGAGCTTATCTGTGCTGAAGCCATGGGGCTCCTCGAGCAGGAACGTCTGCGTGAGCATGCCGAGCAGAGTGGAGAAGGAGTTGAGCGTCTGCGTCATGTTGTTCTGCAGGTTCGCAGTCGCGCGTTGCGGCCAGATGAGTAGGCAGACGACGTTGGATATGAGCGCGCCGACGATGACGATGAATGCGACCTGCATGAGGGTTTGCAGGCCCCCTTCTTTGACGACACTGGGGGTGTGGGACGTTAGAAGCTGTGCACTGGCGATAAACCTTCTCCACTTACACAGTAAAGAGAATGATGGCCGTCATGCTGCAGGCTGTGCGCGTATAAGTTACTATATGCTACGTGTTTGCGCAAGTGGGAGCGCGTACCAGTATTGAATGGGGGCTTTGCCATCCAAACCTTCATCCACGCCGCGGCGGACATTCCGACGCCGATCATGAGCAGAACCAGGATGTCGGCGAGCCACTCATAACCCGACTGCAGCTCGAAAAACCAGTAGACGGACATGCTCGTCAGAGAGACGAAAGTCGAAAAGAGAAGCCCCATGGTGCAGAACACGTCCGCTTCGAACATCCCGCCGATAGTTTTAGCCGGGTTGAAATATACAGCACTAAATGCAAGGACGTTAGCACCACACAAAATCACTGTCGACGGATTCCTTACATGGTAGCAACCATATGTCCGGAGGGTGAGGGCACGCGATCGCCAGGGTCGTCCCCGGTGATATCTGCGATGAACCCGGAGAGATATGGAGAGAAGGTGAACAACGACCCGACGAAGTACGCGATGCAGCACTTCAGGATGTTGCGGTATAAAGGCGGCAGAGTGGGTATTGTCGGTATCTTCTGCAAAGAGTACCATTTGCGACTCGATGATGAGTGGAGCTGAGATGCATCGTGTGAACTTCGGTCAGGGTCAGAGTTTTCCGAGGAGTCGTCGGTATAGGAAGGGGAATATCGGGGTGCGCCATTCCGAAGGGTGCCTGTGGTATCTCCCAGAGGTTCCGTGTTCGGAGGAGAGTCGGTCAAAAACGGATGACGGTCGCCCAAGGGGGACGGGGTGCCCTCGAAGTACGACTGCATACCCTCGCTAACAGCGCGTGGGGTGTTGTTCTTGGTGGAGCGAGCCGTCCCAGGCCCCCTAGTAGGAGGTGCGCGCAGTCGGGCCTCATCCTCCATGAGCTGGCCGAAGACCGTCCATTCACGGTCCTGACTCGGACGCTCATACTGTGATCGCCTAGTGAAGCTGGATGCGATTTCCTGTACACGAGAGATCGTGTCGCCTCTCCTAGCGTTTGGCGTTGACGACGAGAAACTGCGCTGGAAGCTTGGCCTCGACTGGTCCGCTCTGATATGAGAGGAGGATGAGTGAGCGCTCATGAAGGAGCGCAGACCACCATCTTGAATATTTATCTGTTCCGGTGAACCAACGAGGTCTCGGGGGCCTTCGGAGAGATAGCGCTGGGGAGAGGAGGGTGTTGGAATCGGTATGGACGATGAAGGTGGCTGCTGAGGTGATCCCGTGGCCATGTAAGCTTATCACCCAGGATGTAGTACCGTGAATACGGCGCGGGATAGCGGATACAGTCGTATAGACAGGCACCGGTAGTCGTGCGAGATTACGATCGGAGATTGAGCGGTGGCAGTATCAGGACGAGGACGTCCGACTTGTTGTTGGTGGCAAAATTACGAGCGTACTCAAAACGCGAAAGCTTGCAGAGTGTGAGTAGAGACAGGAAGAAAGAGGGGCGTCACCAGATATGCGCGCAGTAGGCGGAATGAGCTGCACGAGACGCAAGTGGCGTGGAAGAGAGCCGGTCAACCCAAGAACCTCAGGCTGCTCGATTCGTCGTCGTGCACCGCGTGACAACCGCTAGGCGAGTGGCTGTGCTCAGTGACTTCCAGGATCTGCCGTGACAAAGTCACCAGCGCTTGACTTGTTGTGGTTCCGGCAACTCATCCGAGTCGCGCTCCTTGTTCAGCAACTCCGGCCACGATTTCACTCACACACACAGACGCAATGCTCGTATAGGTTATCTCTGTCAATAACTGGGTCGGTCCCTGCTGTGACATTTTACAACTGGTGCTACTTATTCGCCAACTTTGCCACGTCGCTCACTGTATTGTTACCCAACTCTAGACCAGCAGTCGCGCAATCGCCTCCTTATTCAACAGGATCGCCTTGTCGTCCTCCATGTTCTTCAAAAGCGTCGTCGTTTCGACGGCGCCCGTATTCTTTGACAGCGCCCGCTGGTTGATCTTGCCGTTATAGTTCTTCGCGCGCATCCAGCTCTCGAGCGTATACCCGTTCGGGTTCACCTTCCGCAGCCAGTCGAAGTTGCGCCGGATCACGTCGTCCCGCCACTGCGCCCAGAACCCGACGAAGTTCTGCCGCCACGTCGTCGACCCGTCCCCAAACGCCCGCTCGTTCGCGACCGGGTGGTCCGTGCGCACGAATATCTCGGACCACTCGTCGAACGTCCGGTGCAGCACCACCGCCTTCTCCCCCGTCACCTTCGTGAACGTCTTCACGAGGTAGTCCCAGTCAACCCAGTCCGTGGCGATCTCGAGGTCTTTCCCGGACGTCTCCGCGCGGTGGTCGAACGTGTACCGCGCGAAGAAGCCGAGGTCTTCGAGTGCGATCATCGGGACGTGTCCCTTGCCGATCGGAGACGCGAACACGAATGTACCGTCTTTACGCTGCCCGATGGGGCCGAACATTCCCTTCAGAGAAGGTGAGTATACATAAACTAAATTTGCGTCTTTGGGCTGCTTACGATGTTAAGCATCTCCATGTAGGGGCCAGACGTGACGATGCTCCAGGACATGTCGTCGTCGCTGACAACCGACGGCTGTGCCTGCATCCACTCGCCGACACGGCCTTTGCCGTCGTAATGCTCGACGCGGTACGTCGGATTGTATCCACCTTTCTGCGTTATGCACCGAGGTCAGCCATGGATAACAAGGAAACTAAGTGCGTCACTTGCCTTGAACGAGTAGTCTAGGTTGCTCCAGACGTAGTGCCGCACGGTCCCGGTCTGCTTCGCGAGCTCGAAGATCCTCATCCCCGCGAACAGCTCCTTGACCTCCCCGACGGTGAAACCGTCGGTGTTGACCCACGCGCCCCACACGCCCTCCAGCGCCGCGTACACTGAGGGAAGATCATCAAACGCTCCTACAGTGTACAGAAGTCACACGGTCAGTCTCGCAAATACGAAGGGCGTGCCAGTGTCCGACACCGACAATAATCGGGCGAACCTTTCGCTAGCTCGACCCCATTGTCGGCGAGCAGCTTCGCCCTGCGGCTCGCCGGGTCGCGCGTGAGGGCACGCACGGCGTAGGGAGAGGGGGATCCGTCGGCGGCAGGCTCGAGGAGCTTGTCGATGACTGCGATGCCCTGCGCGCCGGTCGCCCCGATGACCAGGATGAGCTTCTTGTTGATAATGTCAGACATGAGCGGTAGATTGGCGGTGTTTGAGTGGTAGCTGAAGTGCGGGATGTTGTCTTTACGAGGCCGTAGATGAGACATATAAAGCACCCCTCTGCGGGCTTACATTTCGCTCGGGCTTCCCTCGGCTGAACGCCGACGGGCTCACTCACGTCCCTGGGTAGCTTTCAAGATGACGCCACACCGGGCTACGGCTCAGGGTGCCATGAACTATACACGACGTCTGACATGCGTGACCGCCCATGGGACATCGTCGTCATCGCAGGGCCCCGGGCGTTGCTGGTCATAAAGGAAACCTCGGGGAGCCCGCATCCCGCCGAGGTGGCTTACAAGGAGACACATCCTGCCATGGTGCACCGGGTTGTAACGAGTACATCGCAGGCACACGGTGGTGTGGAGGCAATCCAAAGCAGCACTCACTCGACGTACGGACCGCTTAATCATTCTTCCGCTGACGACCAGATATAACATACAACCCGATACTATGCACGGATACCAAGAAAACAATCAAAGCGTCGATGCATTGCTCACACATTAGTGTGTATCGACGCGTTGTAGGTGGGGCACAACTTCTCCCACTCCTCTGTAGGAGAAAATGAGTCAAAGTATAAGTATATGCATTGATACGACATACCCGGGACGGGATTAACAAGCGCAGTGGCCTTTGTGTCTTCCGCAAACACGATGGCGAGGCCCGCTTCCAAGTGGAAATCGATGTGGCAGTGGAGGAACCACGGGCCCGGGTTGTCCGTCTGCGTGCCCAGTCAGCCTTCGTACGCCCGCAGAGACGGAGACAGAGAAAACGTACAACGAAGCGCACGGTCACGTTGTCGCCCATCTCGCCGATACTCACAGTGTCGCGTCTCACGGGGTTATCGTAGTTGTAGTGGTCGCTACCGGCGCTGCGTACCACGGAGAAGGTGTGCTGTAGAGTTTGCAGTCAGCGACCAAAATACCAATCCGTAGAGCAGTGCTTACGCCGTGCAGATGGAAGGGGTGCGGGCCGCCCCTAACACCGCCAGGGATGGACAGTTCAATAGTGGAGTAGGGAGGGAGGCTGTAGACGCTGCCTTTCGGCAGGAGGTCGTGGGCGTCGAGCGTTCCGTTCAGGATCTGCAGCAGCACGGGAACGGTCGGAGGCTTGAAAGCTGCACCATTGATGAAGAACTCCGAGTCGTTCTGAAAGTTTAGTCAGCAGATGACTACCTCAGCAGCAAGGAAGCCGCGTACGAAGGTCAGTTTGAGGTTCACAGCGTGATCGACGCCACCTCTGAAGGGAAGGCCAGGCTAGGGTATGGTCTAGTCAGATAGGCTCGGCTTCCCGTGACTAAGATCAGGATTTACCGCGCGCGGGTTGGTGAGCGGATCCAAGTCCGCCTCGTTCAGAAACTTTACGGAGGGCGTCTGGTTCGTCGTAGGCTCCGTGATGGGTGCGCCCTTGTAGCGTAGGATAGCAGAATTTATGCCTTGGAGGAAGCCAGTATGGGCGAGGTTAGGATCTGCGCGGATCCAGTAATTGTTGACCGGCTGGTCGGCATGGAGCTATATACGCCAAGCTGTCAGCGCAGTCACCTCTTCTAACTAGATATGACATACGACGAAAGAGTACCGCTGGGCGGCGAAGATCTGAAGCTTATCGACCTGGAGCGGTTGGGTGTTCTCCCCATCTGCCTCGATGATCGTCATGGAGTGACCATCGATAGTGAAGTTGTAATTCGGGTCACAGGAGATGCTGACCAGACGGAAGCGATAACTAGAACACATTTTCAGCCTCCCTTGCATTTGTAAGCCAAGAGCCTGAGGGCTGTCACTCACCGTTTTCCGTGCTCGACTTCGATGACGGCTAGGTCGGCGGTCGGGTTACCCGCCCAACGACCCAGGCCATTGATAAGTGTGCTGTCTGCCATCCTGTGCACATATATGAGATTCGGGACACTGCACATATGCGAAGACGTACGCGGGAATCGGGATCAGAGGCGCCGGGGTATGGTACCAGTCAGCTAAGGTGATGACGGTACTCTCTGTATAGAATTAGAAGCTGTCGCCTTGCTCAACATTACGCTTACCATCATCCACATCATACAAGTGTGCTTGTGGATCTTGGGGATCATAAATCACCATTGGGCCGCGAAGCCCATCGCAATACTGCAGAGATAGATGGCTATGGTACCAATACGTTCCTATAAAGTGAAGATTGTCAAGAAGCATCCGTAGGTGTACATAGGATTCGACCTATACCTGTCTGGTCCGGCACGTGGAATTTGTACAGAAAGTCGTGGCCAGTGGTGATAGGGCATTGGGTAACAAAGGCGGGACCATCTGCCCAGTTCGTCGTGTGCTGAAACATCCCGTGCCAGTGCTAAAACAAAATAGTGTCGGTTGACCGGTTCTCAAGATAGTAAAAGAAAAAGTGGCAGCGCACAATGGTAGTCGCAGTGAGCATAGTCTCGTTGACCAACTTGTCGACGACGTTGATGCGGAAATTGTCTCCCTGGCGGCCCGGGTATCAATGTCAGCCAGAGGGCGGCGGTATCCCATGCACCGCTCAACATACCTTCTTGCCTGTGATGAGTGGGCCCGGGAAGGTACCGCCTGCGAGGACGGTGTCACGAGCGAAACCATCCGGGGCGATGACCTTGTTGACAATGTCGAGCTCAGTCACTGGGCCAATAGCGGCGAACGCGGCGCCGCAGACACCCAAGAAGACCAAGGCCCGGCGAAGGCTACGGAAAGACATGTCGAACTGCAGTTAGCAGAATAGAGTATCTCTGCGGCGGGAGATGCAGCAGCAGCAGCAAAATGCGCCAGCATTATATAGCCATCCAGGCTTGGATGGCTTCCAGTCTTGCGTCCTAAGGCGCCCCGGGCCAGCGACCGGAGCATTGTCATCGGCCACCGAGGGTTGCGTCAACGCGACAGCGAAAACGAAAGGCCGTAGTCAGACGTCAGTCTGAAGCACGGGAGTCCGAAAGTAGCTGATGGATCGTCCACGCGAAAAGCATTCGTCGCTTGCGCCGCTTCCCAGAACGCCCAGGCGACGTCAGTCCGACAGACAGCACGAATGCGACTAAGAGAAATATACCATGGATTTCCTACTTTCTATCGCTTGGGGTGGTAATTAGACGTCTGCATAGGGGCAGCATGCGTATAGAGGCACGCCACACAATTACAGTGTACGAGAAGCAGCCTGGAACCGGGTCGGTCAGTGACATTTCTATTGCCAAGAGATGGGATATCCACTCACGAAGACGCTAGGTACGTGAGGCCGGAGAGCGAAGGCGTGTCCCCGATCCGAGTCGGTACTGAACACTTAATGTCGCATACTATGAATCCGGAGGCGTTAAGACATAGCCGCTACAGTGAAATTCGGCGGCTGGCGAGCAGCGTTTGCGTGATTCATGGCTGCTTGGGTCGAAATGTGTGGCACTGGGCCCCGAGTGGGAGGCAACGATATGCCAGCTAGCGGCCCTGCGTCTGCCACGGTAGTGCATCTATGGAGATTCATCATATGACAAGCCACGTGCACATCAATCTAAGTCGAAGCGAACGCACCGCATTGTCCGTACTCGGGTATGTTCTCGGCCGTACAGTCCCGCCAAGCGCTTTTTGCGCTAGTACCGGGCATATATAGCAGAGAATTGATTGCATCGGACAAGACAAGCCGTGCGCCTCAATTTAGTGTTTGACGTCTGCACCGGCGTTGGTCAGCGGCGTACAGTCTCTAGGCTCATGGCCTGCATGCATGGTAGGATCCACCGGCGGACTCACGATGACGATGTACAGAGATTTTTGAGTTTCGTGAACATGTTGTACTTCTTCACAAGCCTTAAGAGGGCCAGGATCATTGTGACTCATCAGACTCGACTACTCGGGTCCTGACGTAGCACATTGCCAGCGCCGATGTACATCTAGTATATCAAGATGAAGTCAGTGATGTATGATTATAGGCACTAAATGCATACCTTTTCTTGAGAGAGCAGTCCATGTTGCTCCATAAAATAGCGGCACACAGTGTCAATCTGCCTCGCGAGCTCGAAGATTCTCATCTCGGAAAGCAGCAGCTCCGAGTCCTTGACTTCCCCGACCGGGAACCCGTCTGTGAATATCCACGCACCACGCGCACCCTTCACTGCTGCATGCACCGATGGGAGCTCATCGTACGCTACTGCACCGTACGTGCATGGCAACCGCACATGCGTATGTCGTTCTCGAACTGGATACTGCAGGAAGCCTGCTTCTTGCGTATCTTTTACCAACTCTACAGCAATGGCGACGAAGAGCAAGAAGAATTGAGTCACTGCAAGGCTAAACGCACCCCGAAAGGCGCTCGTCGAGGCATGTGCCCGAAACGACGAGTCAGAGGGTCAAATCAGTGAGGGTTAATGATTGTCATGGGCCCGGAGAGAGCTTGAGAACTTTCCAAAGGCGCCCAGCGGCGCCACGGTATACCAGGACCCCCGCCTATGCCGCCAAAGGTCCGATCGCAAAACCCTCGGATTTGACCACATTTATCAGCATACCTTTTCGGGATTATATACAGCATGATTATGGTACATACCCTTTTGACGGTCGTTTTTATCAGCATGGCGATCGGACCTCGTGCAGCATAAGGGTTCGATTTGTCTAGTCTCCTGGGTAGACGTACCGTGGAGCAAGCTCAACAGACCGTTTTGTCCAGTATATGGGGATCGTACCCCCAAATGCGAGCCCAGTGCTGCCCAGTGGGTACCGTTCTGCTCAGTCTTCCTCGACAGCCGCCGGCAGATACAGGTAGGCCGGCCGGGCAGCTGCCTCTTTTGTCAGCATAACGGATCGGACCTGCGGCGCCCTAAGGCCCATTATACAGCACATATTATCGGACATAGCTAGCCATAAGGGCCCAATATACCGCATAATTATCGGACATAAGGCCCCTTTATAGGCCATTTTGTACAGCACTATTATCGGACCTCTTGCAGCATAGGCGGGGGTCCTGGTATACCTGCCTAATCGAGACGCGGTGCCAATATGTACACCACGTCTTAGGCGCCGGGCCCGCTCGCCTCCGCACGCTTTGCCTCTCGCCCTCACTCGTGTTTGCCGCAGCGAGACAACATACTTGTTACCATCAGGTATTGCACCAGAACGGCGATTTGTTTCTAAGTGAATGGGCCGTATGTAGATCAACATAGGATTGTTTGTTTGGAATGAATGGGTCCTATTTTACAAATGTGGCGGCGAGGCGTGCATTTATCGTACAACACAGAATGATGCGGAAAATGGTGGGAGCAGTCGGCGACGGCATCGATGAGTCCACGAGATATTTTTACTGCACAGTGATCTTCTTCGGGGCCTGCTCAGGTGTGGTGCGCGGATATGTCACCGTCAGCACCCCGTTCTCGAGCGACGCCTTGATCTCCTCGGGCTGTTCACATACGCGTCAGCATCCCATCCCCGAATCACAACAACACAAGTGCACATACCCTGATGCCCTCCGGCACGGGGACCGAGCGCGAGAACTTGCCGTAGCGGCGCTCCTTGACGACGTAGCCGTTCTCGGTGCGCTCCTCCGCAAGCTTCGTCTCGCCGGAGACGGTGAGCACGTTGTTGTGCACGTCGATGTTCACGTCCTCCTTTTTCAGGCCCGGCAGCTCGAAGTTCGCGGTCACAAGGTTCTTCTCCTTGTCCTCGTGCACGTCAATCCTGCGGGAGGTGTTAGCGTCGACGTCCACTCGAATAGGGGAAGGATACCACTTACGAAGGCCTGAAGACGCGAGGGGCGTTGTTCCCCTGACGCGCGACTTGGTTGGAGTCGCCGCCAGCCGTGCGGCGGGAGAACGCCTCGTCGAAGAGGCGGTCGAAGTCGTCGTAGATGGGGGAGTTGAAGAAGTGGACGAGGGACATGATGGTGCTTTGCAGATGAGAGCGAAGAGCTGGTGGTTGATGGTCGAGTGTATGCTGTTGTGCTGCACCCCTGACAGCGTAGGGCTTTATATATTGCTGCGAGCCCCAAGCTCATACAGACCTGCGCAAAGTTCTTTCAAATTCGAGACAAGTCGCGCGCGCGAGTGAGGTCAGCGGTTACGACACTCATGAATGTCATTGAACTTTCCTGTGGTGCAGGGGTAAATCTAGAGAGGTCTGGTGCTTGGCGGATGACGCGAGAAGTCGAGGAAGCGGCGGCAGCTGGCACACCGAAACGATCCCGAACTTAGTGGAATGTACGTTAGCGCCCAAGGTGCAATGCCGCATTCGGAAGCCGCGCGCTCGCAAGACCACCGCGTTGGCGGCATTTGCGAACAGCGGGAACCTCTGAGCACAAATATTTCAGTATGTCGTGATATTGGGAGATTGCATCCTACCCCTCGGTTTCAAGAGGTGACATCATACATCAAGTCATACATGAATGCAACAGTCCGCACGAGAACGCACTGCTGCTTCTCATCCTTGCAACTGAAGCATCGCGCATGACGCGTGTTATAATATACACATTAATAGCATTATCCGGATTACGCATGTTGCGCACAGTACAACCAGTAGTAAAGCTAACTAAGCACTAATCGCAGGGGTCATTGAATGATATCCTGCTAAGCGGAAGAGTATCCAGCGTGATGCAGCCCTGTGCAAAGATTCCAAGAAAACGGCCATGAGCGCCAGGTGTCGCTTAAACCGTGATGTTCATCGCCTTATCGAAGGTGGGGCACAGCTTGTTCCAGTCCTCTGTTGCAAAAGATAAGTCACTGTGCGGGAGCGCATGCATCCAGATTTCAGAGGACGTACCAGGGACGGGGTTCACAAGCTTCGTGTCCTGCGCGTCCTCCGCAAACACGATGGCGAGGCCTGCCTGCAAGTGGAAGTCGATGTGGCAGTGGAGGAACCACGGGCCGGGGTTGTCGGTCTACGCGCCCAGTCAACTTCTGAACGCCCACGGAGATAGAGAGGCTGTAAAACATACCACGAAGCGCACGGTGACGTTGTCGCCCCCAAGACCAATGCTGACCGTGTCGCGCTTCACCGGGTTCGCGTAGTTGTATTCGGTGCTTCCAGCGCTACGCACGACAGAGAAAGCGTGCTGAAGATGCGAAGCGAAAGTCAGTATTGGGAGACCAAAGTATACAGAGAGATTCTTACGCCATGCAAGTGGAAGGGGTGCGGGCCACCCGTCACACCACCGGGGATGGAAAGCTCGATGGTGGAGTTGGGAGGAAGGTTGTAGACGCTGCCGGGCGGTAGAAGTTGGTTTGCGTCGAGCGTTCCGTTCAGGATCTGCAGTAGCACCGGGACAGTCGGAGGGACGAAAGGCGCATCGTTGATGAAGAACTCCGATCCGTTCTGTTGAACGGTCAGCAGATAGACTACTCGATATCTGAGGCGCTACGTACGAAAGTGAGGTTGAGGTTCAAAGCGTGGTCAACGCCCCCTTTGAAAGGAAGGCCAGGCTACGACACAGTACAATCAGACAACAGTTCAGCCGTCCGTGACTGTGTGTAGAACTTACTGCACGTGGGTCAGTGAGCGGGTGCAAGTCCGTCTCCTTCAAAAAGTTCCGGATGGTAGTCTGGTTCGTCGTAGGCTCCTTAATCGGCGCCCCCTTGTAGCGCAGGATGGCGGAGTTGATGCCATTGGCGAAGCCCGTAGTGTTAGCACGGTTAGGGTTCGCACGGATCCAGTAGTTGTTGACCGCTTGGTTAGCGTTAAGCTACGCACACTCGAGCTGTCAGCGCAATTCCTTTTCCAGAAAAGCGGAAAACATACAACGAAGGAGTACCGCTGTGCCGCGAAGATCTGAAGTCCGTCGACTTGGTGTGGCTGGGTGTTCTGGCCATCCGCCTCGATGATTGTCATGGTGTGGCCATCGATAGTGAAGTTGTAGTTCGGGTCGCATGAGGTGCTGACCAGGCGGAACCGGTAGCTAGAACAAGACTTTAGCTTCGAGGCCACGAGTACGAATAGAGAACCGAGCTATGACATACCGCTTTCCGTGCTGGACTTCGATGACGGCCAGGTCGGCGGTGGGGTTGCCAGGCCAGCGACCCAGGCCATTAATCAAAGTGCTGTCCGATAAACTTTAAGGGTATGAGATACGGAACGCTGTGCAGATGTGTGGAGGCGTACGCGGCAGGCGGCAGCAGAGGCGCCGGGGTATGGTACCAGTCTGCCAGAGTGATAACGGTGCTCTCTATGAAGATATTTACAGAATTAGAAGTTAACCGTTTTAAGGAAACTGTGCTGCGTACCGTCATCGACGTCATACAGGTATGCCTGCGGATCATGGGGATCGTAAATCACCAGGGGGCCGCGAAGCCCATCACAGTACTGCAAGGCCAGATGGCTATGGTACCAGTACGTTCCTAGGTAGGAAATGCTTAGAAATGTCTTTGAGTACGCATGTTGCCCTTTGCGTACCTGTCTGGTCGGGCACGCGGAAGTTGTACAGGAAGTCATCACCAGTGGTGATAGGGCATTGAGTCACAAAGGCGGGACCATCCGCCCAGTTCGTCGTATGCTGGAACATCCCGTGCCAGTGCTACGGCAAATGTTGTCGGTCAGCGGGTCTCGAGATAGCGAGAGCTAGTGACATACAATGGTGGTGGATGTCAGCATAGTCTGGTTAACCAACTTGTCGACGACGTTGATGCGGAAGTTGTCACCCTGGCGGCGTCGAACGTCAGCCACAGGATGATGGGGGCGGGACTACTTAGCATACCTTCTTTCCTGTGATGAGTGGGCCCGGGAACGTGCCCCCGGCGAGGACTGTATCACGAGCGACGCCATCCGGTGCGATAACCTTGTTGACGATGTCGAGCTCAGTGACTGGGCCTATGGAGGCCAACGCACTGCTGCAAGCACCCAGGAAGACCAATGTACGGCAAAGGCTAGAGAAGGACATCTCGAGCTGTGGCTGGCAGGGGAGAGGAACTCTGCGACTGGAGATGCAGAAGTGGTAGGACCTCTTGGTATTTTATACCCCTCGGGCCTTGGTGGACTTCCAATCTTGCATCCTAGGGCGTCCCGATACGACAACCGAGGCACTGTCGGAGGCGCACTGAGGGTTGCGTCAATGTGTCAGGGAATGTGAAGGGCCGTACATAGACCTTCGGGCTGTGTCAACCTGAAGCACGGGGATGATGAGACAAATGCCGTCTCGTCTACGCGAATAACACCCGCCACTTGCGACGTTTCCCAGAGCGCTCTAGGGGCGTCGGTCCGACAGGCGGCGCAAATGCGACTATGAGAAAAACACTGTTAGATGCTTATTTCCTCGCTTGCTGCGGCATTTGAACGTCTGCTTATGGACAGCTTGCATAGAGAGGCCCGCGACATCGCTCGGTTCCCTAGGAGAAGCGGCCTGAGATTGGTTTAGTCGGCAACGTCGCCATCACAGTGAGATGGGACATCTGCTCACAAAGACGCTAGAGGCCCAAGGCCGGAGCATGAGGGGCTCATTCCCGACCCTCGGTACGGGACGCTCAGTATCGCACAGGCATGCGGAGCGCAGGGTAGGGGCGCCCTATGCCGTGGCGGTTAGATGGATGCGCCACATATTTGAGGGATTTGGGAAGCTCACAAGCAACTCTTGCGTGATCCGTGTCTTCTTAAGTCGAGATGTGTGGTTGATACTGGACAACGGCTGGGCGGCCATGCTATGCAGACTGGTAGCGCTACGTCTACCACGCTGTCGCAGCTATGGTGGTCCATCATATGTCGAGCCACAGGTACAGCAGTCAAGATAAACCTAACTCCAAGAGAACGCACCGTGCTGTCCATCTCCGGATATGTTCTCGGCCGTTCATTGCCACTGGACGCTTTCTGCGCGAGTATCGGTGCGTAGCAGAGAATGAATCGTATTCGTACAGGACAAGGCGCGCGCCTCTACTTAGTGTTTGACATCTGCGCCGGCGTTGTTCAGCGGCGAATAGTTTCGAGGCCCACGGCCGCATGTGAAAACACACACACCTGTGCCGGAGACCCTCATGCTCTTCAGCGTCATGGTGACGCCACTCAACCTTCGTCCATCGTTTCAACACCTGCATTCCTCCACCATGATGTTGGTCCTAGCCCTTGCTCGGCCATAGAGCACTAATAGCGCATGCATCAACTGTCATGAGTGGAATGATGACTACCTCGTGGGGACTCACGGTGATAGTGTAGGGGGACCTTCGATTTTCCTGAACCTGCTGTACTCCTTCGTGGGCCTTAGGAGGGCCAGGCTCATCATCGTGAAACTCGTCCGACTCAACTCGGACCCTGACCACATCTCCGGTGTCGATGTACATCCGGTCTGTCAAGGCCGAGTCCAGGAGTTCATGAGAGGAGGTCGCTTCGGATCCTGGTAGCCAAAAGTGTGCGCGCTCTTTTGAATCACTGCCACACATCGTCAGGGCTGTGGATACGGGCGTGGCACAAATGACTCACAATGCTGTGGGCTCCGGCAGGTACACCAGGGGGACATATATGTCATCGAAGAAGCCCACGGTTACTAGAATTTGTCTATGAGACCAGCGGATCAAGTAATTAGGCAAGAAACGTACAGCGGATGCCGTCCTCATCGGACGACTTCACTCTTGCGAGGAGAACTTCAGACGCGAAAGGTCTAAACACGACAAGTCGAAATACAACTATATGGGGTTGGTGGCGGCCTTCACAAACTGTCATGGTTTGACTCACCGACCTTTATACCACAGACAGCCATCGCCGTATCTCACCTTGCCTTCACCGACCTCTGACAGATCAAAGACGCAGATACACAGCCCAACGTCGTGAAGCACGCGGTTGGCATATTTCTTGTTCAACTCATTCGTAACGGCTTGCTGGGGTGGCAGACCAAATTGCGACGGGTGAATGGCTACTGTATCCTAGGTAAGCAGTTCAGCAAATATACGAGGCTTTGTAATACCCATGGAAAGACCTTGATTATGGAGAGCTGAAACATGGCTTGCCAATAGCTGGTGCGGCTCCTGCTCAGACTCTACCAGTTTCGAGCTGAGGTGCAGCCGCCTTCGGGGGTAGTAGGCCGAGCTGACGCGATTTTTCTTAGTTTATGCGTTCTATACTTATCCTGGATATCTTTAGAGGACGCCGATCACCAGATTGTAGACGAGTGACCAAATGACAGTAAGGGAGGATGATGGTATGGATCGAAGAGGGGAGGGCAGCGAGTTCGAGGAGCGATCGCAGCAAGCTTAGAGGCGTCTATCTAATCTTATCGCAGCCAAAAATTATGACGGTTTGGTGCGTAACGCGGCGGCTCGGATTCGGCGTCGTCGAGCTCTCTCTCGTCCACCTCCCTCTACGTCCTCCGCACAAAATGTCCGCCACCCCTCCTAGACCCGCCGAGGGGCCCTCGCAAAGCAGCTGGCTGCCAGCAAAATCATGGCATCACTTCGTTGCTGGCGGGTACGTGTCGGTTAGTACGCACAGAAGCAGACACGTCTACTTAACATGCCACAGACTCGGCGGGATGTGTGGGGCAATCGTGACGAGCCCGTTCGACGTGGTAAAAACGCGTCTACAGTCAGACCTTTTCAAGGTGAAAGCGTCCACTGTTAGCTTAGCGGGAAACGGTACGGCGGCGGTAGTCGGACCACGGCCCAATCTGCTATGGCACTTTGTCGAGACTGGTCATATCCTACGGTAAGCGCGCTTGAAATGCTCGATCGGAACGCGACGCTCATGCTTGCTCTCAGCGATATCTACCGCGACGAGTCTCCACGCGCACTCTTCAAGGGCCTCGGGCCAACGCTCGTTGGCGTCGTCCCCGCGCGCTCCATCAACTTCTTCACCTACGGCAACGGCAAGCAGATCATAGCCAATCGCTTCAATAACGGCGAAGAGAACTCATGGGTTCACCTTACCGCCGCCGCCTTTGCTGGCATCGCTACGGGCACCGCAACAAATCCTATCTGGGTCGTCAAGACGCGTCTTCAACTGGACGCGCACCGACCAGCGGCCATACCAGCTGGGCAGTCATTCTTTGGCGGGTCGATCACGATGTTCAAGAAAATCTTGCGGGAGGAGGGCGTCCGAGGGTTCTACAAGGGTCTCAGTGCCAGCTATCTGGGTGTGACGGAAGGGACGATCCAGTGGGTGCTGTATGAGCGACTGAAGGCGCTAACAGCTGGTACGGAAGGGAAGGGTGGAGTACAGGAGTGGTTTGGTATGCTGGGGAGTGCAGGCACGGCCAAGTGTGTCGCGTCTCTCATCACATATCCTCATGAGGTGCGTGTATTCCGCGATCCACCTGTGGATCGTGATTTACGCCATCCTGCAGGTCATCCGAACGCGGCTACGACAACCACTCGTCGACGGCAAGATGAAATACACCGGCCTCGTCCAGACCCTCCGACTGGTCATCGCAGAAGAGGGCGCGCGCTCTTTATACGGCGGGCTCAGCGCACATCTCATGCGCGTCATCCCCAATGCTGCAGTGATGTACTCCATCTATGAGGCTGTCCTGCGCATGTCGTGATCCCCCCTCTCTCCCTTCCTATGATTCCGGGTATAATTCTCATGCACACGCTATCGACTGAACTGTATCCCCAAGTATAATGCGCCTCCACCCCTCACTCAGCTTTATTACTTACCTTACTCACAACTCATGTATCATTATTGCACGGGATATCCGCTTAGTATGCTCTAGAGTAGTCCGCGTTCACTGTATAATATCATTGGACATTCGCCGCAATGGTTTAGTCACACATGGATCTCGCGGATATCGAAACCCGACACAGCCGTAAAGGCACCACTGAGGCAGAGTTGGTATGCATCATGTTATCCTTCCTTCTGAAATCGTTGTACAGCAAAGTGACACTGCCTAACTGTCCGCACCCGCTTGGTGTCTTCATGCACGCATGCCCTGCATGACTCGGCATATTCCTGTCTAGTTCTCGCCGCGCCCGAGCTTGTCCAGCGCGCGCACACCCTGCTCAAACCACTCTTCGCGCGACACCCAGAACTCCTCGCGGTTCTTCATGATGTCCGCAAGCACAGCACCACCGAGGAAGACCATGTGTTTCCGGCGCGGGGGATCCTCGATACGGATCTTGAATTTCTGTTGACGCGCAGATCGTCAAAGACGGACATGGTAGCACCAAAAAATGTACGCACGTTGAGTCGTGTGGGGTCTCCGTTGAGCACCCGCGTGAGGTAGAGCTGCTTCATCTCCTTCTCCAGCCTGCTTGGCAAGCCGGGGTACATACTCGAACCACCAGAGAGGACGACGTGCTTGTAGAGCTCCGTCCGTACGTCGACGGCAGCGGCTTGGATGGTTTGGAAGAGCATTTCTGGGATATGTGCATGAAGATGGCTGCGTTCGTGACCCAGATCGTGTACTTACCTGCTACACCAGGCTGCTCAACATCTACGAGGTGAGGCTGGAACATGCATTCTGGTGCCTCGAACCTCTCCGACCCGATTTTGATTACTCTCCCGTCGGGAAGCTACGTCATGGTTAACCGCGCCGGGAATGCCGTGTACAGAAGCGGCACTCACGGTGTAGCTCTCGACCAGCACCGTCGTCTCCTCCGCTAGCCGCGTATCTTGGTCAAGGTCGTAGCTCACGTAGCACAACTTCTCCTTGATCTCCCGCACGGTCTCGAAGTCTGCTGTCCGGTTGAACGCGTATCCTCGCATGAGCAGCAGCTTGATCAGATAGCGCGTGACGTCTCGCCCCGCGATGTCGAGTCGGCGCGTCAGGTGGGGGAGGGAAAAGCCATCGTACACCGGGACAATATGGGTCACGCCGTCTCCAGAGTCGACGACGACACCCGTGGTGAGACCTGAACGGTACCACCATCCCTAAGTTACTGAATTCATCGACTATGGGGAACCAGGGACAGACCTTGCGCATATAGGGTGAGCACGGCCTGGATAGCAACGTACACGCCTTGAAAGCCGTATTCCTCGAACATGACTTGACACATGCGCTGCCGGTTCACCTTGGGGTTCATAGGCGGCTCGGTGAGGAGGACCTTTCGGCCCTGAGGTGCGACGCGCAGCTTCTCGTCGAAGGTGTAGTCCCATAGCAGCTTCATGTCCTCCCAGTTCCGCACAATGCCGTGCTCCATTGGTTGAGTGACCTGCAGGTAGTTGCGGTTCTCCGCGGCCTCGTCGCCGATCATAACATCCTTGATCACCGCGGACCCGCCAGCGCGCTCCTCCGCACGCAGGATAGGGCGGCCAACGATAGAAGGGAAGACTAGATAATTCGTAAGTTCAATGCATAGGAAATGGCTTGTCCGGTGTGAGAGCGGTACGCACCATGCTCGGGGAAGTTAGACCCCGCATATCCCACTTTGACGAACTGCGCGGTAACGATGAGTACCTAGGGGTCACAGACTAGGGCGATGACGCTCACGCCGGTACCGTTGTCGACGACCAGAGGAACTGAGGGGTCCATGACAGAGTGTGAGCAGTGTTATCGAAGAGGTCGTCGTGGTCGATGTCGAAGATGGCGCAGCCGAAGCAGGCGGCGCTTCCCTCAGAACGGCGCGGAGCGCGTCGCGGGACTCGAGCCTCGCGCCACTCTCCTCCGTCTCTCACTCCCTCGCGGTCTATCCGCCTCTACTCGTCACCCTTCGCGTCCTGCTCGCGCTCTGTGTGCTGTGTAGACGTCTCCGTGCGGACTGTGTCTGCGTTTCCCCACTCAGACGCGCTCGATCATCATGGCTCGCGGGGGAGCTTCCCCCGCGCCAAATCCTTTACCGAAAGTCTCCTTCGTGCGAGTAACCGACGAAGTAACACAACAACCCTCCGGCGTGCACGACCATGTGGCGCGATCGTACGGATGTGCGTGTGCAACGCATAACGCGTCCTACTATGGCTGAAGCCGTCCCACAGACAATGACTTCAACGATGAATTCATGCGACCCGAGGAGCACTACATTCGATACATTGGTATGTCTAAGATGTTCGCCATCTCCGTACACACATCAACGTGCCTGTTATAGAACCTTTGGAGAGCGATCTCGCCACGCAGGTCGAATATGACATGGACGAGCAAGGTGCGTGTTCACCCTACTTCCGGCATTGCGAGCGCTGACCTGTTATTCCCTGAAATAGACCAGGAATGGCTCGACGCCGTGAACGTTGAGAGGAAGGCGCAACAACTAGACAAAATCACTTACGAAACCTTCGAGATCATCATGGACCGTTTGGAGAAGGAGTGGTTCGACCTGGTAAGTTCCCTTGGATCAGCCACTCAAACGCTGTGCGTGACTATGCTTGCGACAGTCGAAGAACATCCCCAAGTCAGACATGGCGCTCCCCTCTGAGGATTCGACATGTGCTATATGCGATGATTCGGAGGGTGAGAACACCAATGCCATCGTGTTCTGCGATGGCTGCAACCTCGCTGTGCATCAAGGTACGCGGAACGTCCAAGTCCTGTTTCAGGTACTTATGATATTTGTGTAGATTGCTATGGGGTACCGTACATCCCCGAGGGGCAATGGTTGTGCCGGAAATGCACAGTATCTCCGGAGAACCCAGTGGTAGGCTTCTGTCCGCGGTTATGCTGGTTGTATACGACGATACTAAGCGTTCACCACAGTCATGTATTCTGTGTCCAAACGAAGGGGGTGCGTTCAAGCAGACCGTTTCCGGGGACTGGGTGCACTTGCTATGCGCCATCTGGGTGCCAGAAACTGCGGTCGCCAACGACGTCTTCATGGAGCCCATCACTGGTGTAGAGAGAATATCTAAACAGCGCTGGAGACTGGTCAGCGTACTGTTATCTATCTGTGTGGATACATCGCTGAGTTATCCTAGAGGTGCTCAGTATGCGACGTCAGAGAGGGTGCTTGTGTACAGTGCTCGAAGGCGTCGTGCTTCGTGGCCTTCCATGCGACATGTGCAAGGAAGGAGAAGCTCCTGATGCCTATGAAGGCTACGCAAGGGTCGGAAGCACCTACTTTGGCATGCTACTGCGAGAAGCATCTGCCGGTAAGCGGCTTACACATCGTTTTCTTGCTCGCCTGTGACTTGCTCACGCATCAACAGCGAGAGCAACAGGAAGCACGGCTCGCCGCCTTCAGAGCGCAAGCCCCAGAGGACTCGGATGCTGAAAATGGTCAAGCCAACGCCAAATCCAACAAGACAGCCCGTGCGTATGCGAAGACGTACAAACCGGGCCCGCCGTTAGTGCCTCGCATCATAGTCAACAGGATACTGCAATACATCTCTCGAATATCTGTCCGACACAAACCGGAATTTGTGCAACTGGTTTGTAGGTATTGGAGCTTGAAGCGAGAGGCGAGGCGAGGCGCCCCGCTCCTCAAACGGCTACACTTGGAGCCGTGGACGGCGCTCTCAGGCAGCAAACTCCAGACGGACGCAGAAAAGGTGGCGAAGTTGGAAGTATGTTCACATCGCTTTGCTCCGCTCGTCTTCGTGCTAACCAAAACCCCCCTAGTATATGAGGAAATTGCGGCTAGATTTGGAGCGTGTTCGCCTGATCATCGACGTCATTCGTCATCGGGAGAGCGCGAAGCAGAAGCAACAAGAGCAAATCCAACTTGTTCTGTCGCGTATCTTCTTCCCTCACGAACCGGCGCTGAGGTTCACGTTCGAGAAGATCTTAAGGTTCGGGTGCTATCCCGTTCACGTTGTTCTCGGCGTACTGATCGTTCGTTTAGTTACGATCGGCAGGAATATTTTAAGTCGCCTGTGAACAAGCACGAGGTACCCGACTACTACGATATCATCAAGGAGCCTATGTGCTGGGACACCATCGACAAGAAGTTGGACAGCCATGAGTATCTTGACCTCGCGCAGTTCAAGGTACGTTGGTCACCCTCCAAGGCTATATCATATAACCTCATCGATCCGCAGCGAGATGTTGCACTAGTAGTGGCCAACGCGATGGCCTATAACCAAACCAACACCCCCTTTTACAAGACAGCCTCGCGAATTCAGGGAAATATGCCGCACATATTCGCAGACCTTGACCGTAATCTGTCGATGCGGCCTAGTGGGCTCAAAGTGGAGCCGGTTGACAATGACCATCTCATCAGTGGCCACCTCGATAGTTCGCAGCCAAATGACGAGCGGGATGGGGAAGAGCATCTCAACGGCGAGCGTATCCTGTCGCAAACCCCTCCAGAAGAGCCCCTTCCACCCATTGGGGATCTCGAGCCACCTCTCGAGCTTCTCGAGCTCCTGGTTTCCGAAGAGCTGATCAGACAGGACACGAACGTCGTCATGACGTCGCAGCCAATCGAGTCCCTCCTCAGTTTCGAGATGCCCAACATTCGTCCTCTGGCCCCGCCGCCGCCCCCTCCAAAAGCAAAGCCAAAGCCACAACCACAACCACCACATCAGACACAACCGGAAGAGAGCGAGCAGGAGAAGGGACGGCGACCACGTGCGAAGGTCGACCGAAAGGCGGCTCTGGAGCGCAAGCGATTAGAGCGCCTGCGCGCCCTGGACAACTCGCCTGGCTTCCGTGCACCACGGACGCGTGCTGCTATGGCTGCCGCGGTCGCCTTTGAGGCAGAGGCCACCGGAAGCTCTCAGCCGCCAGAGAGCGAGCCCGCCGCCGAGTCGTCTTCTGCGGCCGGTTTGGGAGAGGAGGCAAGCTCGTCAAAGCCAACGCCAGCGAAGAAGCCACGACGATCTATGGTACACGCCCCCCGGGACCTCCCACTCACGGTCGACAACGTCGACAACCGGAAGTCGTTCACGATGTTCGAGCGCGGATGGATCCTGCCCCCAGATCAAAAGCGCGGTGGCCGGGCGCGGGTCGAGCGGACTCCGTTGCCGCCACCCAAGAAGAAGGCGAAGCACGGTGAGTAGCCAGAGCGCCGAATTGTATTTTACCAACATCATACTGAGTAATCGACAGCCCACGAAGGGTCTCGCCGCTCTGTTTCTAGTTCAGCGCCTGGGGAGGGAAGCCGGTCTCATCTGGCGGAGGGAGAATCGTTCGAACTCGCAACACACGACGCTACGGTATCCAACCCTATAGAAAGCGACGTCTCGACCACGGATATCTCTGCTGCCGCCATCCCTCCGGACAACATCCCTGGACCTCCAACCTCAGCAGCTGAAGTTGCGCCTGCCGAACACGACAGTCCACCCTTGGAGCTGCCGATACCTGAAATACCTGACACTGTCGACCCTGTCCCTCCATCGACCTCCGAACCCATGACGGTGGAACCCATCACTTCCACAGATCCTCCCACTCTCCACGCGTCGTCTGATGACCAGGAACACGCGTCGGTAGAAGGAGCGCCTATGGATGTAGACGACCCTGTCCTTGCCGAGAGTTCTCGCGAAGAAGACGTCGATGTCGAGATTCTCGACGAGGAAGTTCTGCCGTCTATCGTGGTTGATCAAACGCCGCCTCAGGAGGACCAGATGGAGGTGCAGGAGGAGGTACGGGAGGAAGTTCACGCACTTGATGTCCACCAGGAGCCAGAGGCCGCCTCAGAGCCAGCGCCAGATCCAGACTTAGCGCAAGAATTGGAAAGTGTGCATGAACACGAACACGGGCGCGATGGCGAGGGCGAGGGCGCGGGCGAGCGGGATCACGAGCCGGAGCGCGAGCTGGAACAAGAACCAGAACTGGGGTCGGAACGGGGAGAAGAACCGGCGCCCGAACAAGAACCAGAGCAGATGTCAGCAGGGCAGGAGCAGGAACCAGAACCCGAGGCACCGCAGACCCCGGTGGAAGAGCCACCACAAGAGCCGGTGGAGGAGCCAGCTCAAGAGGAGGACGAGGAGGAAGACACGGGGCCGATAAAGATCATCTACATCGACGAGCTCGACACCCCCGCGACGCGGAAGGAGAAGAACCTGCTCAAGAAGCTGAAGCGGCAGGCCGCCCGCGAGGCCCGCGAAGCCGCCGCCCGCGCCGCCGCCGGAGAGTCGTCCCCAGCTCCTGCTCCGGGTCCATCCCCACGGCACGAGCAGCCTTCTGCGGGTCCGTCGCGGTCGCGGTTGTCGTCGGATGCGCTGGACGACTACGACTCGGAACTCACCGACCTGTCGGACGGGGATGACGACGGGGAGCCGGACGCGGAGATTCCGAGTGCGGCGGGCCCGGGTGTGTTGCAAAAGCCTGAGGAAGGCCCGGCGATGTTCCGCTCGTCGAGGCGGGGACCGCCCCCGGCGCAGGAGGAGGTGGAGCCTGGTTCCATTGTTGTGAAGCCGGGGGAGAAGCTCGAGGGTGGGACGCTAGGTACGCTACCGCTGTCTCTTCGAAGCTCTTAGTGCGCTGACGTTGATTACTTCTTGTACGTGTTAGTGTGGGCCAAATTTGGTGAGCATTCTCTCTTTGATACTTGTGCCACGACCGTGCTCATCGTCGATACAGAGTCGTTCCCGTGGTGGCCAGCTGTTGTGTTCGAGGAGGACGACCCGGAGGTGCCCGAAAGCGTCGTCGCACGAATACCGCCGAGCGAGCCAGACTTGGAACTTGTTCGGTTCTACGAGAAGAAGCACATCAACAACTGGTACGCCCTTCTGCGGACTCTCTCATTCGCTCCTCGAGCTGCGCTGACCGCGTCTCTAGGGCATGGGTGCGCCACCGCAACATGCGCTACCTTGGCGAGGACGACTGTGAGTGTTCCGGGCTGCGCGATCCGAGGCCTGCACTAAGGACCCCGTAATGAATTCACAGCGCTCGATGCGTTGATGCTTGCGCCGACGAGCAAATACCAGCGATGGCGGAGCGCCACGCGGCGAACGGAGTGCCGCAATGCATACCAGTGCGTTGTCCTTCTTTGTATCGAGTCGACCGTTGTCCGTCACTGAGCATGGACTGCGTTGTAGGGACGCACTCGCAGAGATGGAGGCCGAGGGGGAGGCGCAGGCTGCCAATGATGCGCCGCAGGGCGGGTCATCTCGCACGCGCACCCAAACGGCTGGCCAATCGGGGTCAGCTAGGGGTCCCGATTCTAAACCGGGGCCTGCGGGACGGCTGCGCAAGGCTGAAGCATCGCGGAACGCACCCGAGGAGGACCCGCTGCCCGCCGCCATGGGTGCTGACAGCCCTATGACAGATGTGGACTCGGTCGAGTGAGCAGCGCTGTTCATGGTTACTGATGACGATGTGTGTGTATGTACGTTGCTTAGCTTATGGTCGCTGTATACTTGTCTGCTATGATAATGCTGTCTGCTTGCTATCCAGCATCCCGGGTCAGGAGCGAGCACTGGTCCGAGGCGGGGAGGGCGCGGGTTGATTGATATGACGCAGTGGCGGCATCTGCAAGGGATGCTAATCTGTGCGACTGCGCATCGAGATGGTACCATAGATCTGCCCGTGCTTCGCTGCCCGCGGACATGGACTCGGGGCGGCTGACGACTGCCACTGGAGACTATGTATTCTTGGCCCCCACGTGTGCTGGCTGACTGGACACACTCGTTCTCGGAGTGCTGAAGTTAGACCGTCGCCTCCATGATCAGTGCTCGCCATGCCATCAGCATGCAGGACGAACAGAAAATCAGACGTAGGGGGCATGCATATCCATTTACGTCGTATCAACGCGGTCGCGAAGGCTTAGCCTTGTTCCCTGTGATGTGCAAAGTCTAGGTTGGAAGAACCGTGATGCATGCTGATGAGTTCTGGTTCAGATGCTCCGCCAGGCGAGGGAAGCTGGCAACGACGGTGTTGTAGAGTCAGCATGAGCGCTTTCTGCTGGAGGACATGGAGCCATTCGCTCACGAAAAGCTGGTAGAGGACTGCTTCGCGTTCTTTGAACTTTTTGCGCGGTCCTGGCGCCGAGACCACGGGTGAGGGCGGGGGTGATTCTGAAGTCAGGAACATCCGCGGACCCCATCATTCTGGTCCTCCGCATGCGGCCATATCCCCCCGCAGGCGCCGGGTATTCTATCCGAGGCGTTGCCTCTCTCGTTGCCTCCGCCGCCAGCGGCCGCACCTCATTCGCCAGCAGGCAAAGTGCCTCACGGCGCAGGGGACGCCGAGCCGGCACCGGTGTCTTTGAGACGGGTTTGTCGAATGTATCGTCAGCTGAGTCGGCAGCGTTTCCAGCTGGGCATCCTGCGCTTCGCTGTGTGGGCGACTTCCGTGTGCTTGGCTGGAAACCACCATCAACGAGGTTTCCTATCGAGCATCCCGTGGGGCATGCATGCACACCGCGGCGGAGCACGACGCCTTCTGCAGCAGGATGAGTGGTGCGCGGACTCCTCCACCTCGAGCAGCTAATTACGCGCTAGCCCGGTCCGGTCACGGCGACGGCGCGCCAAGGGGTTTTTCCAGGTCGACTCCCTCCTCCGAGCGTCGTTGCCTGCCGGGTGTCGCAGATGCCACCGACCGCGCGGTTGCTCGACGCATTTGATGGCGAAAATACCGATTCAATCCTGCTCAGGCCTGGCCAAGTTACCTCCGGCCCTGGGAAGTTTCGGCGCGCAACACAGGCATCTGGTGGGCCATCTGGTTCCGGACCGTTCTAGTGCTCCGTTGCCCCTCCTTTGCGCGCGCAGGTCTGTGCACACTGCAAATTATCGCCACGGGTTGCTGATTCTGCATTCACATCGACGCTCAGTCGCAGCGGGGACCGCTTAGCTGAGCCCGTGAGCTCAAGCCGGCCATCGGCTGCTGCCCTCCTGGCGGCGTCCGAGTCTCGATCGCGCCCTAGCGACGCCCACTCCCTCTGTCGTCTCCAGGAGGAGGCGTGGAACGGGGGCCGGGTGAACAGAACTCGCCTGCGATAGCCATCGCCGTCCTCAGATCAACTTGGCGCGCGCCGAATTATAAGAATCGTCGTCTGGCCCTCGACCGCTCCTCCATCCCCCCATACTTTCCTTGGTTCTGGTAGCTGGGCTTCCCGGGTTCATTTTCCTCTCCTTCTCCCTTTCGCCTTCCAGACCTCTGTCTCCGGCCGGTCCGCCCACCTTCCATCGTCTCCGCCTGTCAAGCTCGCTCGTTCCACTCGCCTTTTGCTCTATCCTTATTGACAGAAGTCATCATGTCCGTCTTTAAGAGCATTGCTGTGCTTTCGCTCGCAGTCTCGTCTGCCTACGGCCACGCGTTTATCAACGGTGTCCAGGGTGCCAACGGCATCAGTGGCCTCGGCCTCGGTGTCAGTGAGTAGCATTTCGCATTTGTACGGTGTCTTTCGAGATACTAACAGGAATTTTCTTAGCGTTCAACGGAGAGGTTGCGCGTGGTGGTACCACCGAGCAGCCCTTCCAGCTCGACACCCCGGTGATGAAGAACCAGAAGGACGACCCCTGCGGCGCGACCCTCCTCGCCGGCTCCGTCGACATCTCCACCGCCATCGAGACCGTCTCGACCGCCTTCGGTGGCCTGCCGACCATCCCCACCAGCGGCAAGCTTACCCTGGGCATGTTCCAGGTCAACGCTGACGGCGGAGGACCCTTCACCGCTGAGATCAACACCGACGCTACTGGCAAGTCTTGGACCGCCATCAACGTCCTCTCGCAGCCCCCTGGTGTCAACGGTATCATCCAGTAAGCTCACCTGCCTGCCGTAATATTTTATGAGCATTCACTTACGCTTTGCTTGCGCTCCAGCTCTGCCCCCGCCAACTCGACGATCACTGTCGAGATCCCCTCGGGCACGACGTGCACCGGCGCGAACGGCGCGTGTGTCATCCGCTTCAACAACGGTGGCCCCGACTCCGGTTCGCTCGCGAACGGTGCTGGCCCCTTCGGTGGGTGTGTCGCCGTCGCTCAGACTGGTGCCACCGCTGGAACTGGCGCCGCCGCGACCACCACCGCGAAGACCGCGACGTCCACCAAGAAGGCGGGCAAGGGCAACAAGGCCGCTGCGGCTGCCGCCGGCCAGCGCAACGCCAAGGTGTACGGGCGCCACTTCTACCCCACTGTGAAGGCCCGCGAGGAGGCGATCGCCGAGCTCGAGCGCCGCCAAAAGCTCACCGCGCAGCTCATCGACGAGATCAAGGTGCGTTTTTTTATGCACGTTCGGTGTTTCGGAGCAGTACGCTGACTATTTATTTATCCAGACCGCCACTGGTACCGCCATTGACATCCCTATCGACGCTGTCGCCGGCCACGATGACGCCGCGCTCCTCGGCGGCAACTCCACCACGCCTACCAACGCCCCGCTCTCTGCGCAGAACGCCGTCGACCTCAAGAAGGCGGTGCAGCTCGCGATCGAGCAGGCGCTCGGCCTCCTCGCGTCCGACGAGGTCGATGCGGGCGCGAACGGCCAGGCTGAGGCTGTCACTGACAAGGCCAATGCCGACGCTGCTGCCGCGATTGCGGACGGCCAGCTCACGTCCATCAACGCTGGCAACGCCGGTGTTGGTTTCTTCCAGACCGCAGTTGTTGACTCCCTCCTCGGTGGTCGTACGTCTTTCCTCTTCCTTAGCATGTGTAGCAGATGCTGACCAAGGTTCCGTGTCTTCGCAGTCGTAACCGCGACCAACGACCTGACTGCAACAGCAGCGGCCACCGCGACCGCCGCAGGTGGCAACAACGCTGCCGCTGCGAGCGCGACCACTGCTGCCGCGACTGGCCGCAAGGGCAAGGGTGGCAAGGGCCGCTTTGCCGCGGCCGCCGCCGCAACGAGCCGCCCGAAGATGATGAAGAGGCGTCTCGAGTAGACAGCGCAGCGCACGCCCCACCCCCGTCGCCCGCGTACATAGGTCTCTTTTCCTTTCCCCTCTTGGTGATCCCGACCGCATCCGCATGCATACGTACTAGCAGATAGTTTTGTGTGTTGTGTACGGTCGAAGGGAGTTCGGGACGCAGTCGTACTTTTCTTTCTTTACAGTACCCTGTGTTTCCTGGACTACGTGAAGCTCAGAATTCCATCGCGTCGAACCAAAATATGCCCTGTGGTGTGAGCGTGTCTTAAAGCTTGGGGATGAAAGTTATAATGGGGGTATGTTTGCACGAGCGCAACTGCACGCGAAGATAGCAGTCGAAGCTTCCGTCCTTGTGTTTACACTGGGTTCTTCCGTTGCTACTCAACTTTGGGGGAGTGATGTGTGTACGTGCTTCCGACGTTCGTGAGCATGCATTCATCGAGGTCGCTGCGCACCGATCGCGCGGCCGCGGTTCTATGCAAATTCTCAAACGCGCAGTAAGTCCTTGGCGACGGTCCAGTGACCTAAGTAGTATCACCCAGAACAGAACCTTCAAAGCAACTAGACATTTGTACAGTACGACTAACGTTCTACGGATACATGATGCTACGCACTACAAGCACATTCCTACATTGTCCTCGTTATCTCAACATCACAACACAGCAGAAAGCAACGAGAATCACGACGATCACAAGCACGGAGGTAAAACGGGGAGCGGAGAGGGAGCGGTATAGGGCGGCTGACAAGAGGCTTGATAGCCTCAGACCTGGTTGTGAAACACAGACTGGGTGAACTGCTCGTCTGTGCTGCCTTCCTTGGTCAGGAGGATGTCCTTAACCTACATAGCATGTCAGTCTGACGGCCTGTATGCGGCAAGAAACGAGCATATATGCGTACCTCCGAAGGCGGATTGAGTCCCAGAGCATGAGCGCGCTCCCAACGATCGAGTCTTGACACTCCTATGCAGGGTCCGTATTCGTATGACCTAACGTCCGCATACATTAGCAGAGCCAAAAGGGCTAGGGGCCAGTCAAACTTACAGGTCAAACACCCGAAGGATGTGGTGCACCATGGTTTGTCCCTGCGCGTGCACTACATGCCTGCCGTCAGTTCTCCAGCTCCACTTCGCATATAGCGCCACGGACTCACCAGGCTCGAGATGACCCATCTTCTCGCGTACGACGCCATACTGCTTCCTCCACCGCTTGTCCTCAAGGTCCAGCTTTGTCTTCGCTTTCTCGGGCTCAGCCTCTTCGACCACATCCTCCTCTTGCGCCTTGCGCGCCTTCTTAGCAGCCGGCCCGCGCGGCGGGTTCACGCGGCGCTTCTTCGTCTCCGGAACAACGTAGTCGTCGTTGAACGACACATCGCTGTCGCTGTCCGATATGGAGATTGAGATGGGTTCGGTAGGGATGGTGGTAGAAACCGAGCGAGAGCCTGCGGCCCGAGCAAGTGAAGGCTTGCGGACCGTGTCCGCCTTCTGTTGCTTTCCTGCAGCAGCGCTAGCGGTGGAGGAGTTCCGCTTGGATGCGAACGAGAGCTTTGCTTGCTTCGTCGCGGGAGTTTGTTTGGAGTTCTTTCGGGTAGACATGGTAGACGGAGGTAAGGAGCGAAACTCTGTGAGCGGAGCGCATGGGTCGACGTCCATGACATCTCCGTCATTCTGGCCCTAATGTGCTCACCGAGGGTAAACATATGGCCGGCTAGCTCAGTTGGTTAGAGCGTGGTGCTAATAACGCCAAGGTCGTCGGTTCGATCCCGGCGTTGGCCAAGCTTTTTGCTCTTTCATGTATCTCCCGCCCACCCAGTATTGGAAAGAACAGCACCATGTATACATATCACCAGCGCGTACACAGGTTCTGGAGCATAAGGGTGACCCGAAACCCCTTTGGCAGGCCCGTATACTGCATTAAGGAGGGCAATCCACCTCGGGGGAAGAAGAGCATGTCAATCAAACGTGCTGAAGCACTATGGACGTTGTAGCCTCGGACAGATCTATCCAACATTGAGGCGAGCAATTAGGATGATATGTAGTATAGTGTGGATAGTCCTTCGAGCTGGTCTACAGACATCGCCGCACTCTAACTACAGTACCTCAGATCGCCTTGTTCTTGATGAGCTCTAGAGACACGGCCCGTCAGTCCGTGACAACATGAGTACCCAAATAACCCGACGTACGCTCGATCTCGGCAATGGCACCGGCAAGGACCTCCTTTTGCGTCTTCTCGTTGTTGAGGTTCTTGAGCACGTTCTCGACAACGGTCTTGACGAGGTCGGCCTGCTCGCTCTCCTTCGCCTGCTGCTCGAAGCGGACCCAGCTGTCGAGGACGGTCTTGACCTCGGTCGCAAGAGCAACCTTCTGGCGCTGGACGAATGCCTCGGACTCGAGCTGCGCGGTCTCCTGAAGGTATGATGACGCGCGTGTCAGGGGGACGGGACAGGGGAGAGACAAGTGGGCAACGCACCTTCGAGAGCGCGAAGAGACCCTCCGTGACGGAGACGACATCCTTCATCTGCTCAACAGACTGGATGCGGTCCTTGACGACCTGGGTGTGCTCGGTGCGGGACGCGTTCAGGATGTCCTTGACGCGGTTGATGTGACCCTCCGCCCAGTCGCGGTACGGCTCCTTCACAGCCTAATTTACGAAAGGCGTTAGCATCCCTCGCGTACAACAGTACAATATTATACGGGCAGCGGCCGCAAAGACGCCGTCAACTGGGCCTCACGTCCAGTCAACCCTGCTTCTCCGTGCACCAAGGCATGGTCGCCGCCAAGCGGACCGCACTACCCGCGACGCGACACGTACCTTGTAAATGAAGGAGATGAGGATGAAGAAGCCGGCAGCGATGACAGTCTCCTCGTTGACGACGTAGAGCTCCTGCGAGATGGCGGTCGCGACGAGACCCGTGCCAAGGATGACGGAGCCAGTTTTCGTGACGAGGTTGGGGGAGGAGGGGAGGCTGTTGATGATCTCCGCGGCGCGCTCCTCCGGCGGGGGCTTGCTGGACGAGCTCGCCATGCCCCGGCTACATTTTTGCAACGCACATACGCACGGCCTCGGTCAGAAGGTTTGCTGGATGGGTGGTGAACATGACGCTGAATAAACTCACGCGGTGAGAGCCCGGGGGATGGAAGAGACGACCTGGGGCCTGACTCGGGAGGCTAGAAATCCATGTGTCGGTCGTACGCGCAGAAATAAATTATAAACAGACCACACCTGATGCCCTGAGGGAGGAAACGGCAATCCTGGACGCCATGGACGATGAAGGTGAAGTGCTGGCGGACGACGTCGACGGTGAGCAGCTCTGCAGCGGCGCCTACACACCGTGGGAGTTCGGCATTCCGATTTCTCACGATATCTTCCCGAAAACACTCCGAACCGCGTGAGCGCCTAATGCTCTTGAAGCGTACCGCATCAACTTATTCTTGGCGGCATCTTCGCTCTCTCTAGTCTGATCTCTTACTTTGCCCTTAAGTATCGTAGCCAGACCTCAGGTAAGATATATGATAGGCTTGATAAGCGAACGCCTTGGGTATGAGAGGAAAAGAGTGCGACACCTTAGTAGGTCCTTACCCCGGCGAACAGCTCGATTTGAATCTCAACCATACCGTCACTTCATAGGCAGCTGCCGATGCCGGTCGACAGAAAGCTCCCTCATAACTACCGCACGTATGTGTCTCTTGAACTCGCGTGCCGTTCATGTGTACTTATCTACCGCCCCTAGAAGCAATCCACGGTGATATCCCCATCACAGCATGGGCGCGCGAGCTCGTTTATTTGCAATGTCCCGCCGATCCCGAATCCACTTTCAGCAATACGCGGCGATCAAATATTCAGGGCACACCCAGTAGTAGCTAAGGTCCCTGCACCCGGATCCCAACACTCCGATAGATATGGAGGGCGCCCGCTGCGTGGATGTAAATCTGCAAATGATGCCCCCATGGTCTCCGAGGGGAGAGGGAGGTTAGTCAGACTGGGCTCGAGCTTTAGGTCGATCATTGGACGGCTACCCCCGAACCCTGTCCCCCGGGACGATAATAGCTGGGCCGGAGCTGGATACTGCGCACTGCAGGTGCTCCCTCACGGCCTCCCCCAACATCGCACAAGCTTGTGGTCCGTACCTGCCCGTCGCACAGAAACATGTCTACGCAGGACGCTTCCGCCACTATCGAAGTGTATAATAGCTTGTAAGTCTGCCGTCTTCCGCACCACAATCGATACTCATCATCTGGCCACGTTTCCAGATATGTGGACAACCGCTGTCTAATCGCGGTCATGGGTGAGATCCCCGAATGCGAACATTCTGCACCGCCTCTCACATACGGCCAGCCCTGCTAGCGTACGAATTCCTAATAACCTTCGACCAAGAGGTGGAAATGTTCTGGGTGCGCAAGATGACGGGTGCATCCGTCCTCTTCTTGTCCAACAGGTACCTGCTGCTGTTAGGCTACATTCTCGTCATGTGCGAGTATATTCCGATGTCTGACACGGTACGTCACGCTCTCCTTGCTCTCTAATCATATGACTTCGGTCTGGCTAATGATATTGCAGAGGTACGCCCGCTTAGGATTTCGTCACCCTCAAGCCTGACGTGCTTGCCCCCGACCTCCAGTTGTGCTCAGATGGTCAAGGCACAGTCAGTCATACACTTCCTTCAATACCTTCCTTGGGCTGGTGAGCATTAGTATATCATGACGGTCAACGCCGCACTCCAATCGACTTGCAGCATTTTCTGGCCTGCGTGCGTTTGCGCTGAATGGCCAAAGCTGGCCACTCCCGACGCTCATATTCCTCCTCTCTCTGATGCCAATGGGTGTGAACTTTGTACGTCTCTCGTCGCTTTTCAGAGATCACAGTTCGTGTTTTCATTGAAGCTACATTGTTACCAGGCTCAGTACAGCTTCGGGCTAACCGGAAGCCACGATCCGACATTCGGCTGCCTCGTCGAAGTGAACCTCACTGTCCCCCAAGCTAAGACGTAAGAGTACTTTAAATGCACTCCGTTGCGCCGCGTCCACTGACGTTGTTATTGTAGACGTGAGCTACCTAGCCACGCTGTTCGATACTCTCCTAACACCAGCGCAGTGACGATTTTATCCCGGGTTCCTCTGATTGTGGCAGACATCCTGGTCATCGCTGTCACCTGGTTCACAATGCGGCGTCGAGTGCTCCGTGACGAGCCTGGATTCCGGAGCCCCCTGACCCTCTCTACTATTCTCTTACGCGACGGTGAGTGTCCGGGCATCAGTGCTTTAAACGAGAATCGTTGAACGAGAATGCGCAGGCACCATATACTTCATGTGCGTAGCAACGTAGTATCCCTTGCATACGCCCCAGGTGCGACAACTGAAGTTCCCGCAGAATACTTCTTATCTTAAACGTCCTTCACCTCACGTTGACTATGATCTCGGTGAGAGCCACGCGATAGGTTATAAAAATATTTCTAACGACGCACGTCTAGCTGGTCATACCCTTCGACCCTTCAAGCCAGGTCACGACTGTCACCGAGCCGTACGCCGCGTCCCCCTCTCCCTTATTCATCTCTCACGGTCACAATCGCCCTATAGTGTGACCGCGGTGCTCGTCTCGCGTTTCCTCATCGACCTGCAAACCGCCAGCCGCAAAACCCTACGGCTCGATTCCCAGGACTCCATGTACATTGACAGCACCGCCTTCGGCGTCGGCACGCTCAGTTTCGCGCGCGTCGTCGGTTCGCTCGGGTCGTCGCTCGAGTCGGCCTCATTGTCGAGTCCAAGCCGGGACGAAGCGGGAGAGGACGATGGCGATGGTCCTTCGAGCACCGAAATAGACTCCCAAGAAGTACAGATCACCTCATTGGCACTCAACACGCGTCAAAAGCGAGGACAAACTGGAATCTATTAAACCATGCTCCGTTAGTTCTAGAGACTGCGCAATGATAACATACCTGCAAGTTCTCCAGAGGGAGATCCCTTTCCGCGCGAGCTCGCATGCCTTTCAGTTGTGTCCTTCTTGCCTTTGCGGCCAAATTCTCTGTAACGTAATAATCTGCGCGAGCGATTGTCGAAACGAGGCCACCATGATACTACATAGGTCGACTTTAATACAGGAATCGGCGTACCTGGCGTCGAAGACAAAACCTATGAGTACACCCGTACGATCAGATTGGTACAGCACTCACGCTTCCGCAGATCGAACGAACACGATCTCCCAAGAGCGAAGGCGATTGCATTTCCAGTTTCAAGCAAGTTCGGCTTGGTAAGTTAGGGGCGACCGTGTTGCAGTACCAACAGGCCGCAGAGCGGGAATAGACGCTCGCGGGTTGGCCGGATCGATTGAGCGGTCCGTCGACCGCGACATCCTGCTCCTGCTCCTCTTCCTGCTCTTGCTCCTCTCAACGACATTGACTACGGACAGAAGTTCGTACTACTGAATTGATCTATGTCACCGGACGCTAGCACCCCGCCAGGCCGCGCTATATGCAGTAGTTTGCTGAAGCGGAAATTACTGTTTGAGTTCGTCTCTCTTCACGCCGCGCCTGAGGCACGCCCACAATTATCCATCACAACTACCGCAGCTCTTTGGGAAAATGCGCATCCGGGCCACAACATCCCTCAAAACTGCACCTGTGGCCGTCGTCGAAGTCCTAGACAACAAACATGAATTCTACCGTGTCCTTCGACACCACACGCCTCCCGTCCCCTGATACCTGTCATGCCCCGTCACCCACTAGCACCCCCATCCCCAATACGCTAAACGACAGCGTCGAAATGGGTAATCGCACCGCCGGGCCTACACTGGCAGGAGGGCCCCATGACGTGTCTCCCATTTTTAAAGGGAGACCCCACGAATATGTCGTCACTCACCCAGGGCAAAGCCAGTACACACAGGCTGGTAGTGGCGTATCCGCGTGCGGTATTGCCGCCTTGAACTGCGCTAGGATCGTCCTTGGAGTTCGCTCCACCGCGCTCAGAAGCCCGGTGATTATGCAGGAACTCTTAGAACGCCGCTTCATGGAGGTGAGGCAAAGCGCGCTGTGTTCTATTGCAAGCAGTAGCTGACGAATGATGCGTAGGATATCCTCAAGCCCTGCCTGACTTGGGAGAACAAGGCACATCTTGCGGTGGAAGACATCTACAAGATGCCCGTCTTCAAGCAGTCTTTGACGCAGCTCACTTCGCACTTCGGACAGTCGAACTACGGGTTCTTCAAGAAAATCATATCGTACGCTACTCCATCCCTGCCGCCTCGCCGCCTGTTACAACGCTGAATCGGGATTGCTGTCTACAGCGATATCGCGAACGTCACCAAGGAGCGGCGAGTCTCCGCCTGCGTGATCATCACTCGCCCGCCCGAGATCATCGTCTGCTTCAGCATCGCAGATGCTCCCGGCGGCACCGAGCTATTTGTCGTTTTCGACTCCCACCCGCGCCCCGAGAAGCACCCCGATGGCGCCGCTTTCATCCTCTTCAACGCGGTATGCACAACTGCACGCCATCTCGCCGAACTCCTCTACTTCGACGAGGACATCCTGCAGGAGCCAGACATGCACTGGCATGAGCAGCTCCTCGGGCAATGTTCCGGAGATGTCTTCGTCGCCGCCGAGGCGCCCCCGAACGGCGCCAAGTGGGCCGAGATCGCGCTCGAGGCGAGCCTGCAGGTGCTCAGACTGGAAGCACAGGTGCGTGAGCTTCAGGAGAAGACACAGATCCTGGAGGGTGAGAAGAAGCAGATCCGTGAGGAGCTCGTCGGGGTCGAGCACGAAATTATCCAGATGGACGACATGCTGCAAAAGGAAAAGGAGAAGAACGAGCGCCTCAAGCGGAAGCATGCTCCTCACCAGCCGCAGCGCAAGACTACAGCACCCGCGCCAACGCCTAGCCAGGCAGAAAGCCAGCACGGACAAAGCGGCTTTGGCTTCAGGAATTTTGCGTGGCGGCCGGCTCCTGGTCATGCATTTTCGGCAAATGGCGCGACCAGAGACGACACAACGGCGAAGGGCAAACTCCAGGGCGACAGCAGCACGGCCCGCAAGGGCAAGCCCAAAAGGCGCCATGGCGAGACGATGCGCGACCAGAAGAAGCCCGAGGACGAGGCCAAACGCTCGGCCGCCGAATCCGTCCCCGTCCCCAAAATCGACCCCATCGTAGTGCAGCTGCAGACCCAGGATGACGAGGAGAACCGCGATCTCGAGCGGCAGATGCGCAATCTACAGGCCAGCCAGCCCAAGTCTTTCGATTGTGGCCTTTGCTTGGAGCGGTTCCAGGAGGACTTCATTGCGCGTGTGGACCTGTGCGGCCATGTGTACTGCCGCCAGTGTCTTGCCGGGCAGGTGGCGTCCAAGATCGACGAACACCGGTATCCGATCCTGTGCCCCTTGTGCACCGCGGACAAGACGCGCATTGACGCGCCCAGAGGTGCGTGTGCCCTTGTGTGTTGCTTCTGGAATGTTATCTGACGTGGTTGCTGCCACAGAGATCGATGACTTGACCATCCAGCTGCTCGGGCTCACGGAGGAGCAGTACACAGTCTTCGAGGAGATGCAGATGAACAGGTTCTCCATCACGATCCTCTGCCGCAGGTGCGTCCGACTATGCGTGTTTTCAGGGGCTTGTTTGACCTTGTGCGACCGTAGGTGCAAGCAGACGCTGTTGGTGGACAAGACTGAGTACCGGGAGACCAAGATCGTCCGCTGTCCGCTGAAAGGTTGTGGCTACACATGGTGTAAGCTGTGCTTGCGGGAGGTCGACCCCATGATACAGAAGCACACCTGCGACGGGACGTATGTGTTCGACCGCTTCATAAGAAAGCGCTGCCCTAGTAAGCACCGGCGGCCACTGCCCCAACTCCCACGGACTGACCGCTCAACGTCTCAGCGTGCACAACCCCCTCCGAGAAGATCTCTGGGTGCAACCACATTACTGTGAGTCCCGCGGCAGCTACTTTGCTACTCTGCAGAAACGAGGCTGACGCGAGGGGGGCGTAGTGCGTGTCTCCGGGCTGCAACACGTCAGTGTTACTCAATTTTGATCGTCGAGACACTGCGACTGACATCTGTGCAGCCACTTCTGCTACCGTTGCGGAGCGCTCATCGTGCAGTCGGCCTTGCCCAGTGACATCGTCGCGGCGACAACTGCGCATTACACCAAGTGCACGATTTAGCATCGATAAAGAATTCTTCGTACGGTCGGGGCTGTGTCTTGTATTTCTGCTTCTCCTTGTAGAGTACGATCACTGGTGTTAGTGAAGTATCAGATCATGGATGCTACATTGTCACCGCGACGAAATGCGAAGGTTGCGCGTTGGTGTCACAGGTTGGTTCATTTCTAGCTGCGCATTGCGAGTCAGGTTCACGATTCTCACTGCAGCCTCGTCGCTCCTGCCGGAGCAATAGACCGGGAGCATTCCTCAAACTCCAGGGATGCCGGAGACGCTGGGACTTGCCTGCAGGTTACGAAGTTTGTGTAAGCGCTAAAAGCTCAAGGGAGCGACGCTGCTATGTAGGCTGCTTTATCCTGAATCAGCCGCCGAGTCTTTACTGCATACCACATCGTCGATAGGGGCCTAGTGGACCCACTTCCTGGTGGCGGACTTCGACTAAACCCATAGTTAGCTGTCAAAAAGCGTTCGTACCCACGTGAGCGCTGTCGCACGATTCTAGCGATGGGTGATACCCAGTGAGAATCGACAGGATCCAGCCGGATCTGCTCGCATCCAAATCGATCCAAAAAGGACTCCTGCGAGGGATCCCTCCAGATAGTAGTAGATCGGAAAACCGTACAAGGGATCCTTTTCTTCAGGTCTGTGAGGATCTCAAAAGATCCAATGGCATCCTGTGCAGTCTGGTATAATAGGTTCGATTTGGATCGTTGTAGATCCTAGCTACGTAGGAATACAAATATTTTAACCCGGACGCCTCCGGTCCTCCTCCCGAAACTGTCCGCCTGTAATGCGCGCGCCCACTCGCGCTGCCCCGTCGCCTGCGTGCTCGCGCCGCCCCACGTACCTCCCACCGCGAGACCGCGCGCCCGCGCGCCCGCGCGCCGATCACCGTACGCGCACCTGTACTCACCGGTTCTTCCACGCGCCCGTCCCGACCCCATCTCCCTATCCTCGCGGTCGCCCACCCATCTCGCCCAACGCCGCCCCACGTCGTCCGTCTCTAACGCCTCCGCTTGCCAAGGCATGGTGGGGAGGAGACGGGGATCGTCTCAGTCCATGCCCCGGTCGATGCCGTCTTTGGTGTAGGCCTAGGGGAGGATACTAGTCAGTACACGGTCCAATGTATACTCGGAGGGGCACATACCTTGCACACAGCCTGCGAGCGTTTGACATACCATTTGTTGAAGTCCTGCTTCGTGCAGGTAGGGTTTTGTTTTGCCCAGACGAGGGCGCAAGCTTCCCTACACAAGGTTATGAGCAAATGGGTGCGTGGCAACTCGAGCAGGCTTACTTGGGCTTCAGCTTGACGCCGTCCTGGGGCACAGGGGGCCAAACTGCAACCTGTTTCCCTTTAGGACGGGATTCCGGCTTGACGGGGACCAATGTAGACGGGGTCGTCGTGGCGGGCGCGGCGCCCTTCTTTTGGGTGGTTGTAGAGATGGTTGCGGCGGAGGGCGCGGCGCCGCTCGCGGTCACGGTCGCATGAGCCCGTCCGGCGGTGGTGCGCGCGGCGGAGGGCACGGCGGTGGAGGGCGCGGCAGTGGAGGGCGCGGCGGTGGAGGGCGCGGTGGTGTTGTCGGACGCCGTGGTCGTGGCAGTCGAAGCGGTAGTCGTGGCAGTCGAGGCGGTCGGGCTTGTCATCGTCGCAGACGGGGGTCCCGCGGTGGCTGTGGCCTCTTCCGCTGCGGGGTCCTCGCTATTTCCCCACATGTCGGCGCTGTCGCCACATTGATGTTAGCTAGCGCGGACCGGTATATAGTTGTAACTCACAAAGGATCCGGCACACATAGCGGCTCCTCCTGCCGTGTGCGCGAAGTGGTGTTAGTAGGGTGGCAGAGTGAGTATACGTGGCAGGGCGCACCTCGGCGGGCGTATTAACATGGGAGGGTGGGGGCAGAGACGCAGGAGATGGGCGTGCAGGGGAGGGTCGAGAGCTCGTTGCGGTGGGCGTGGGTGATTGGTACGCGTTCGGCACAGGCGTGCGACCATCAGTGGGCTTTGCGTGCGCAATAGAAGCGGTTTTCTGGGCCGACAGCCGGAGTTTTTTGGAAGATGGTCCCGCCTCGGCCAAGGCATGCAGGGGCTCGTCGGCCGGACGCTTGCCATGGAGTGATTGTGGGATCTCCGAGGCCTCGCGGGACAAAGTGTACATGGGCTGTTTGAAGAACTCCCCTACGAGGTTTGCGCCCGGCATGTCCTCATCATCCTCTTCGTCGCTGCTGGACTGGACATCTTCATCATCGCTGCTGTCAGTCGGCTTCTGGATAGCTCCATCTGGCGGGAAGTGCCACTGTCAGCAGCGTGCCTGGAACATGGCTCTACCGTGGCGCTGGTCCATACCTCTGGTTCCCTCACAGTTCTCCTTCCCCTGGCGTTTCTTCTTGTGCTTATTCTTACGCTGCTTCTTCTTCTGATCGCGCTTAGCGGCTTTGCGCTTCTCTCGGTTCGCGAGGTACTGTATGTGTTTCTTTCTCCATTGAGAGTAATTGTCTAAGGCGATCTGGTCGGCCCACCACCCGGCCTCACAGTACTGTAAGACCGGGTGTCGCGCGTTCATTAACGCATGGTAGCGTTCCTGTACCCACGGGTTGGCGTCCCGACTCCAGCTCTTCGGCGCCATCTTGACAGACCAGAGGTACACACAGAATTCATAAAACGTCTTGCGCATGCCAGTGGCCTCGAATCCGTTGGCGATAACGCCCTCCTGGTTGCTAACGTAGCCCATGCTGACGTTAATGCCCTGCGCGGCGCGTGTGGGTCCTCGCTGGATGGCGACCCCGGGCTTCTGGACACGCTTGTTGGCGCGTTTCCAGTCATGCTTGTACCAATAGGGAACCTGCGCAAATATTAGATCGTGAGATCGTTTTATATATCAATCAAACCTTTGGGTAGTCTCGGCGAAGTTTGGGCGGGATTGGGGGTGCCAGGCCCGGCGGCCCCGGGCCAAATGATGGGGGTCCGAGGCCGTGGGCTGGGGTAGAAGCACATGCACCTGTAAGACGAATGCGTGAGCCATATCAGTGGTACGGTGCATTCGGATGATCGACTCGCCTGGAATGGGGAGCGGCGTGCAGTACGCGTACGGCGTCGGGGTGCTGGGCATAGTCGGGGCCTGCGATCTGCGATGCACGAAGGATGTGCGTTAATGGAGATAGCACAAAATAGTGCGCATATACCCACTGGATTTGCGACCTGCATATAGTAAGTATTTGGACACGAGCGTCACAACCGCACTCACTCAATTTGGGCAGCGTATCGTAGAGCGTTGTCGCGCTGTTGAAGAAGGTCGGCAGTTGTGCTGGGCCTCGGAGTCCTGGGGGTCGCGATTGGCAGATGAAATGCCGGAGGTGTGGTACTGGGCGCGTACTCGGTGTGATGAAAGATCGTATGTGCCGGATGGGTGAATGAGGCACTGCGGCTTATATTGCGAGCCTCATTGTGTTCAAATGACCTTGGGATATCTTCACCGGGGTCATTCGCAAATTGACGGCTCCCTGTGAATTGCATCGGAGAGCCGAGCGAGGCATGGGAGTTAGAATCTCCATCATGCGCAAGTGCCTCATGTGGGAGAGAAAAAATATCACTCGGGAGTGAGGGTATCAGAGCCATTGGGGTATCTGGTTTTTACGGGGAGGCGGGAGAGAGGGGAGAGGGAAGAGGGGAGAGGGAAAGAGACGAGGACAGGTCTGCGGAGGTCCGCTCGAGTGAAGCGCGTCCTGCGCGACGTAATCACGTGATGAGAACGAGGGTGAAGACACGCGTCCCAAAGCGGACGCGCCCAAGGCCTCTGCCACTTACGTTCACACCACGACCACTCTTCTCGCTATGTTCACAAACAAACCCGCTGCAAGAACGCAGGAGAAGGAGACACAGGCGGAGGAGATACAAACTATGTGAGTTTCTCACGGGTTTTGATACAGGTGAAAAGACTAACAAGCGCAGGCCTCTCGACGACGAGTTCCTCCACCTCGACTTCCTCAAACTTGCGCATACAATCGCTACGAATGGCGATAGGCCTCGCGATGCGCACACAGCGGACCTGGTCACCTCTCTCCTAGCCGTCTCACGCCTCTCAGCTCGCATCGCCTGTGAACTCACTTGGGACCAAATCAGCGCGGACAACAAGGGGATTCTCATTGCGCGCCGCGACATGGCCCGCATCATCCGGGACTACGACCTTCAGATGGAGCGCACCATCGCAGGCGGCGAAGCTCAGCACCTCCATGTGCACGGTCCTATGCCAGCTCCGGCTCCGCTGAACATGTCCCAGCTAATCGACAACGGGAGCTCCTCTGTGGAAACTGTAGCTCACTGGACTGCAGAGCCTATGACTAAGCTACTGAAGGACACCCTCTTTGAACGTCTCAAGGTCCCGCTCTTCACACTGCTCAAGGAGTCCCTGCACGAACCGCTGCTCAAATCACTCGCCGGCGACTTGTACTCTGATCTGCTGGCCCAACTGCGAGCTCCACTTCAGCAAGATCTGGCTGAGCCTCTGATAGCCGGTGTCGCTCCCGGTGTGGTCGCAAAGGCGAAGGCCCAGCTGGACGAACTCATGAGGGACTACAAGACGGAGGTAGCCCACGAGGCCGATGCGCTCGAAAAGCGCGAACTCATCCTGAAGACGCGCGAGATCGCGTTCGCGCGCGAGTGCGCTGCAGCGCGTGATCACACTGTCGACACCGACTTCGACTGCGACGACGCCCGTGTCCGCGACCGTGCCCTCGAGCGCGATGTGGGTAACACGTTCTACAGCGAGCTCGCCCTCGACATAGTCCGCGACCGTGATGCGAACCGCGCGCTGAACCGGAACCGCCTCCCCGGCAACACGGAGCAGGTACGGGGTGTGGGCTACGCGCGCAACATGGGCTATGGACGCGAGGTGGACGTCGGCGTAAACGACCAGAAGATTGCCCGCGACCATGATGCACGCGAGCGCACCAAGGAACGTACGAAGCGCACACGCACGAACTAACCCGCGCGCGAGGCCGCGGACGGACGATGGGAACCCATGAAGTACACGCATAGGAGCGGAAACCTGCGAGTGGCATGTGACTGAGCGTGGATGGGTGGAGGATCGGGCACCTGGTTATGGAAGCAAAAGCAATGTACAATAGCGCGACGCGAATGAAGTTACTACTCGTACAAATACGAAAGGTGTGCATACATCAAGAACAGACATCACCAGAGGGGGCGCGCGGGGAGACCTGCATGTCCTACTAGTCATCATCGTCATCTTCGTCGTCATCCTCCTCGACACCGCCAAGTACTGCAACCTCCAGCCCGGGCTTCTCTACGACAAAATAGCGATCAGCGTACAGTGTACCCGTGGGGTCCCGTGCGCGCTCGTCCGCGGTCGTGGGCAACGGAACCATGCCGATGGCAGACACAATCTCCTTGACGTTGATGATCCTGCGAGAGAGGTCGCCACGGTGGAGGCATGCGAGCAAGACGCCGAAGGTCTCGCGCAATATGGTGGGGTCGGGTGAGGAGAATTCGGACACCATGGCGAAGGTGTGGACTTCATCATGTATGTCGTACTGGAAGTAATATATCACCTCTACGAATCGAGTGTTCGTGAGCTGTAAGATTGTTGCGCATTTTCGAGATTAGTCGTGACCGGTGTTAGAGCAATAAGGATGACATACCTTCACCATGCGGGCGCGTCGCGGGTACAGGCCGCGCTCCTCGCGGGGGACCTCGAGCCAAGCACTGCGAGCGATCTGCCCGTTCGGAAGTCTAAGGCGAGCCCAACGCTGCACTGAGGGTCTCCAGCGCTGGTCGATGACTACATCATGCTGGGCGAGGAGCTCGAGGATGGCGTCCTGCTCGAGCTGTTGTGTGAGGTTGGAGGGGCTGCGCTCCTGGCGACGCAGGAGGCGAAATCCGTCACCGAGGTCGATGGAGCCGCGAGGCGGGAGGTCGGCAGGTGCGAGCGTAGGGTACAATGACATGAGGGCATTCACCTGGCAACGCGCAAGAGCACGCTCGGAGACGTTCGCGTACGGAGTGACGTGCTGTTTCATCTCGCGCGTAATGTTCCCTATATAAGTCTCCATCGCCCATTGGCTGTAGAGACTGCCGGGCCCAGCGCGATATGCCTCGGGTGCCATGTGAGTTGAGGCGTGGAGGCTCGGCCGAGCAAAGTGCATCCTGTCGGCGCGGCGTTGGCAAAAGAGAGTCTCGAACTCCTCGGCATGCTCGACGAGTCGCTGGCGTGCGAGGCGGAGTTGGTCGACGGAGATGACGTACTGGAGGAGAATGCGGATGGCAAAGACGAGCTTGCAGAAGAGGAAATAGTATTGAGCTTCGAGAAGATGACGGAGAAAGCCAGGGAGGTAACCCCAGGTGTAGAGCGAGAACTCCCAGGCCTTGTAGCCACTGTTGATCTTCTCGGCGATGTTGCGTGGCGGTCGACCGAAGGACGCCGGCAGGTAGCGCGTCGAGTCGGCGACGAGCTTCCCGTGCTCGCGCCACACGTCCTTGTCACGCAGGCATGCGAAGTCCCAGAAGTCCCTGTCGTCAGTCCCGTCGCATTGGATCGTGCCACGCAGGAGATTGATGTAGAGGTCGGTCAGGTTGAGAGTTACGAGGTGCATGAGGTCGGCAGGAAAGCATAGTGGGACGGGTAGGATGCGGAGGAGGCCGTTGAATATGGAGGGTTTACCGATGCCAGTTTTGAGCCGATTGCGGACGTACGCTGCTTCTGAGCGCGAGTCGATCACGACGGCAAGAGCCTCATTGTACCGTTGCACCGTCGTACGGGAGGATGGCGGCGGTGCCCGAAGGCTGTGATCAGGATGGTCAGAGCCAGGGACGTTGTAGTCGTGGGGTTTCTGAGTTACCGGGTAGTATGTAGAGCCAGACGCCTTGAAGCGGCTGGGCATGCCGCAGTACAGGCGGCAACCATGGGCACCCTGGTGGCCGACGAGACCGTTGAGGTACGTCATGCCGGGGCCGTCGGCGGTCGCAAACAGGAGGTACGGGTGTGACTTGAAAGTGCGACCAGTGTCAGCGTCCCAAATCTGCAGCCCGTCGCGCTGGAGAGCGGCGACATGGAAGAGGCCTGGGAATAGAAACGAGTCCACATTCTTCGGCTTGCGTGGGCCCGGGATGACGCCGCCTGGGAGTATATAGCGCTTCTTGTATCGCGTGCCCGGTGGTAGGTCGTAGAGGACCCAGATATAGAACCAGGTGTCGCTGCGCTTCATGGCGTAGAGCTGCGCGCCGTCGATCGAGAACATCAGGACGGTGTCGTCGTCCTTGATGCGACCTTGCGCGACCTCGTTCAGGTAGTCCGTGCCCCAGTACACGTCGTCAAGGACCTTCGCACTCGCGGGGTCCGCGCGCAGCTGGTCGCGGATCGCGGTGGTGCGGGTCGCGCGGTGGCGCATCAGCCGTGCGTTCTCGGGGGAGGCCCACATTGCCTGTATCTGGGGCCCCAGCGGGAATGTGTGGAAGCGACGGCGTGGGACCTTCTTGCCGTGCGCGAGATGCCACGGGTCGTAGCGTGCCTCACCACAAAGGTGACAGGTGTCGTAGTCGGCGAAGGGACCGGTGAAGGCCAGGCACGAGTTGACACACATGTCCGTGAGGATGGCATGGACGCCCGAGACATCGCCGACGAGTTTCTTGACCTGGTCGTAGGTGGGGATCTCGTCGGCCGAGTACGTCGAGTGGAGTTCCATGAACGCGTCCCGATTGTCGCTATAGTTGGCTTCTGAGGAATCGCCTCGCGCGATAAACATGCGCAGACCAGCGCGCTCATACGGGGAGATGTTCGTGACGGCCTGACGCGGTGTGGTCATGCGGGCAAGCGTCTCGCTGTCCAGGCCAGAGGACGCAAGGTCGGCCTGGCGAAGCGCCTGGATGAACGCTTGCGCCTCGCGCGACTCGCGGCGGTGGACCTCCTGTGGAACATCGGGCTCCTCGAGATACCCCTGCTCGGGCTCGACCGCCGCGGGTTCGCCTGGCTCCAGTGCGACGGGCTCCGCGGGTGACCGGGAACCTTCCGGCTGGGGCAAAGGTTCGGGTGAGAGACGAGGGGAGTGGACTGGTGGGTGAGGTGGATCGACATCGCCGTCGTCCCCCATGGGTTCGTCATCTTCATCGTCAGATGATTCATCGACGTCCGGAGGTGTGCCAGCGCGTGCACCCGGCGGTAGACCCTGTATGAAATATTAAGCAGGTGCATTATCGAACATCAAAATGCGTACCTGGGGCACGCCGCCTGCTGGGCCAGCCTGTGCAAGGTCGTACGCGGCCATGAATCCAGCAACGCCGTGGCGATAGGGAGCGTGACGGCGATACTTCCAGTCGGGGATTTGGCGCCAGACGCTGTCGCAGCGCTTCCAGCAGTTGCACCATGCGTGTCCGGGCTGCAGTGGGTCGTCCGGTGGTGGGTTGGCCTCCATAGCAGGACGTAGCAGGGCGTCGAAGCGAGTCAGAGGAGATGGGGAGTGTTGGGTATACGGCAAGCGGCATAAACACTATATACATTGGTGCTATCAAAGTTTACAAGGTCCGAGCAAGTCCTATTCACAGCATCTGCAGCCGGTGGAAAAAAACCGAGCAAAGAGGAATCCTAGAGGGGGCCGAAGTGACAGGAAGTGAAAGCGAGAGAAGGAATGTCCGAAATGCGAGCTCGAGTGACAAACTCGCGATCTCGCCTGACAAACCGCGCTCGATTTAGCGCCTGCGGTTACCTTATTAGGCATTCGATTCACCAGGACGCATTTAGATCTCTCTTATTCCGGATAGATCTTTTTGGTTCGGATTGGATCATGTCGATTCTCACTGGGGGTGATACGTGACTGACAGCAGTTTGTGTAGATTCAGCGGTCAGTGTGGTTCTGTTGCCAGTGGCGGCGTGTTTCCGCAGCGGAAGGGCCACTATGCGTCGGCGTCACCCCAAGTGCGCTGCGGTAATGAGCTCCGGACAACGAGGCGCGGCAAACCAACCCTGTACTCACGAGTACTAGCTCGGCACTCTAGATTCGCCGCACACCAGTCCTTCCGAGAAGATACGTCACCGGCGCAGATGAAACCTTCATTTCTGGGAAGCATAGAATCGAGCCGCGAGGATACAGCATGAAGCAGCTCGCTCGCACTTCGCACCGGAAAGGCGAGGTTACCACCCTGTAGGCTAAAACTCCTCCCGTTCGCCACCCGGACGATAGCCTCCTGTCTCTTGTACGCCGACCACTGTGGTGCTGCCGTTCCTGGTCCTCTCCCGACATATCTACCTCTTTGTGATGGATTTTGCTTCTCGCATTTGGAAAGCCGAAAATTACGCCAGGGGCACCACTGGCAGGCCCTTGAGCGTCTCTCGACGGTCCGACCTGGAACACATTGTCAACAGTCAAGTGGAGAAGATACAGGAGTGGAAGAAAAAGGACCGGGCGTCGCAGGATATAATCAAAGGCTTACAAGAGGACCTACAGGCTTCCCAAGCCGCTTGCCAGGCTAGCGAGGGGCGATGCCGCGAGCTGGAAGACTACAGCCAGCGGCTTAAGAGGCACGCCGACCAACTGGAGTGTAACGCGAAGGCTACGGAAGAGGAGAAGGCCGAGCTGGAACGGGCCCTCGCAGGCTTACAAGAGGACCTACAGGCTTCCCAAGCCGCTTGCCAGGCTAGCGAGGGGCGATGCCGCGAGCTGGAAGACTACAGCCAGCGGCTTAAGACGCATGCCGACCAACTGGAGCGTAACGCGAAGGCTACGGAAGAGGAGAAGGCCGAGCTGGAACGGGCCCTCGCGCAGGCACGGGTGGAACGAACGGACCAAACGACACCGTTGGACGGGCGGACGGCGGGGCTCAAGGGGGCGCAGGCGTACCTCAACGAGGTCGACGCCGTCACGGACAGTGAGGTGCTTGCCCTCGTGCAGCGCATCAACGCCCAGATCTTCCAGACGGCTGCAAATATCTCCGACGACTTTCAGGCCTCCTATGGCACGCAGAAGTGCGGCGCCATGGTCGCAGACGCCGTCGTGCGCTTGGAGAAGTCGGACGTGGTCGGCGTGGAGCTCCCCCTGGCCCTGTGCACGAGCAACCACAGCGCGGACCCCATCCTGGTGCAGATCGCACTGCAGGCTGCACTCGCGACGTCGGCCTTCCACGCAGCGTCCCTGTGGTCCACCTCTTTTGGGAAGCAGACGGCGTTTCTCCGCTCCATATACGCGGAGATGCGCAAGCACGGTGCGTCCGCTGGCACGAACATGTGCATGCACTGACTCGGATGCCACTGCCCCAACAGAGCATCCGTCCGTCTTCCAGCAATGGAGGACGACGACCCTCACCTACGCGCGCGCTATCATACCCGAGAAGACGCAAGGCGCATCCGCGCACGCTTCGAAGATGACCGACTATGTCAGCGACGTGTTCCTCGCTTGCGGCCTGGACGGATCCCCAGAGCACGTCCGCGACCTCGTCAAGCAGCGCTACGGCAAGCGGCTGAAGCAGCTCGCCTCGCATGCCCTCGACGTCCGCCGCATCGCGGGCGAACAAATGTTGTCGCGCGATCTCCAGGTATTCGTCGTCCGGCCGCGTGCGCCGTTTGATCCCACGTTGATGGAGGACGAGTGGGCGGACACGAAGAAGCGAGCAGGCCCGGCAGATTCTTCCGCTGGCGACGTCCTGTGTACGACGTACTTGGGCCTTGTCCAGCAGGAGCGTAGGACGGATGCGGATAAGGACACCCAGGACGCCGAGCCGATGCCGAAGGTGGTGATGCTCAAGCCCAAGGTCGTACTGCATAGCACCGTGCACGAGTTGCTGCCAGAGCCGGCGGCGGAGACCGGGATCGAGGAACTTGAAGGTACGTTTTAGGCTTGAAAGGGTTTCATATGACTGACGACGGAGCATCCGTAGGAGATTCCACAAGGTCGAATGCCATTCGATTCTTACTTCGAGGCGCGAACCGCAGGCTGACTAGTATTGCCCTCCCATCGCACAGGCACGCCCAGGATGCAGCAGACTGATACACACGCCGGAGGACAGGGTGAGAGTATGCACAAGAGGGATACTATAGCCTCCCATCCACCGGACACGATCCCTCAGAATGTTTTCACTAAGGCGATGGCATCATACGACCTACCTGCCCTCGATGCAGGGCGGCGTTTGTTCCACTACTAGGTTCACCACCCTCGTGATACACCATTAGCATATACGGATAGTATCGCGCGTCGTAGAAGCGAGACCGCCAACGGTGAGCATGATGTACTGCCATAGCACTTGAGATGTACCAGAGCAGTAGCGCGAGAGGGGGAGGCCGGAGGGGGACAAGCACTAGAAGTCATCGACATTAAGAACAAAGACAAGCCGAATAGACGCCGTAGAAGAGCATGCGCGAGAGTGGTTCGTGCACGAGAGGTGCGAGAGCAGAGCTGCATTGTGCGCGCGCGAGGGGAGAATAAGAACCGAGTGCTAGAACGAGTTAGCACGCAAGAGACACGTAGCTCAGAGCATACATATCCAAGGGCGGAAATATGACGGTCATTTTGCACATTTATTCAGATTAGCACGCACATGTTAACTTCCATTTCGCACACCACTTTACAGGCTTATTCTATGCATTAGCATCACTATTGGGACTATATTCACCACAAGTTTATAGGATTACAATTCACGCGCCACCTTAGAACGAGCGCTCCGCCATAAGCGGTCGCGCGCACCACTGCACCGTCGAGCGCGCGACCATACCATGCCGCACGCGCCACTAACCGCAGGCCGCACGCCATCGTCACCAGTTGCGCGCCACCAATAGTAGACCGCGCGCGACACTGTAAGGGAAACGGTAGGGCACACGGCTTCCATAGGACCCAGCTTCTTAGTAGTCATTTGATTGGAGTCCCCTTAATTATACTAGCGCTGCTTATTCTCATGTTTGTATGTACAAAGCGACCTTGCTGCTAGAGGTCTTGAGCCTGGGAAACCTTTTTTGAAAGAAGACGAGCAGCACAGCGGAAGCCTACTGCAGCATTGAAATATTTTCCCCATTCCCTAAGTGCTCCGCCGCGGCCTTCACCGCGACCTTCTCTATGGCATCCGTAGTGGTCATCTGCATATGAACTCTGTGTTAGATGAGGATTGAGAAACCATACTACATAGAGAGATCTAGCAGGACGTGTACCAAGCAGGGCGACGAGCATGGGAATGCATGCAGAGCATCATGGAGGGTCGGACACAGAAGACGATACACATGCGGATACAAAGTCAGGGCGACGCAATATTTGAACTGTTGCTCTTCTGCGGAGGATCCGAGCGACTGCACTTTCTCGAATTAGTATGCAAGACCAATCCAGAACGTCCGCTGCCCGCTACGAGTCTGGCTCAGTCAGTACATATTATTGGGCTCAGAAAGGCGGATTGTCACGATGGACGTACGTGCAGCGGCGAGAGTTAGCGGAGTCTGCAAACACTGCGCGGAGCTTGGCAAGGACGTGAAGATCTAGGCAGACGGATGTAGATTTGTATGACCGCGCATGGAAACCGGAGGATCAAGGACTAACCTGGCAGCCTGAGTACGGGCCTCGCATTGGGGGGCAAAGACTCGACGATGGCTCTCAGGCTCATCAACGGTCAGGGTCCTGTTGCTCACAAGCCATACATTGAAGCGACCAGTGCCAGTGCGGAGGCTGAGGACGGGCACATAGCAGCTAAGGAAGCCGAAGCTTGAGGGGAGTCGGAACCACCGGTGAAGGACGTGGTAGCCAAGGCCTACTAAGACATAGTACTACTACTGGCAGGGCCACCTGCTGAATGGTTTGCGGTGCTACCTCTGTCGACAGAAGTATGAGCAATGATAGATGACATATGGCGGCGGGAGAGAGCGGCAGAAGGCTGGAATCGCTGCGGGGAGACCACTAGGAGTGGAGATACTATTGCAACTCGGCGACATGGGCTATCAACTCGGGTTCCCCACACTGTCGCTATCACAACATCTCTTGATGTCCCTCTTTGCCTCGAGGCCAACCAATTGAAGACGATGGCAGCACGGGGCTCGTGCCGAGAGACTCTGTACCTAAGGAGTTAAGGAAATCAGCGAACAAAGGACATCATACACTGTGAGTACTAAACGTTGACATCCTATAGCATGATATGTACGATTTTGACTATTACTTGAACTCGTCACCTGAGGGGAAAATAGCCTAAGTCATACATGATCGTGTCCCAGTTCTTAACCCTATACTGATATGTATTTGGCCGCACCGAGGATATGTTGGTCTAGCTACGAACATTATTCCTGACTTGTAATGCGGCTACAACTCGAGAATTTCAAGTTAGTATTATCATGTGCCCTACCGTTTCCCTTACAGTGTCGCGCGCGGTCTACTATTGGTGGCGCGCAACTGGTGACGATGGCGTGCGGCCTGCGGTTAGTGGCGCGTGCGGCATGGTATGGTCGCGCGCTCGACGGTGCAGTGGTGCGCGCGACCGCTTATGGCGGAGCGCTCGTTCTAAGGTGGCGCGTGAATTGTAATCCTATAAACTTGTGGTGAATATAGTCCCAATAGTGATGCTAATGCATAGAATAAGCCTGTAAAGTGGTGTGCGAAATGGAAGTTAACATGTGCGTGCTAATCTGAATAAATGTGCAAAATGACCGTCATACGGAAAGGTGTCCATATATGCGCATATATGCGGGTCCAAAAAGTGTCGCACTGGAACTTACATGCAAGAACCCACCTTTAATCATCTTGAAAATCACCCCTACCATATACGAGTACCAGAGAAGGGGGGGGGCGAAGGCAAGACAGGCACTGACCTTGCCAGGTGGAAATGACCTTGCAAAGAGGAACTTGAGGGGGCAGATGGTGGTTCGAGGAAGAGCGACGACAAGAGGGGTGCAGGGAGGCGACGGCCTTATATATGAAGCGGGCAGCTACGTAGGATGTGGGGCTTCAGAGGAGGGGGACGATCGAGGGAGGCTCCAAGTCAACGCGACGCGACGCGCCGTTCTAGTTTCAGTCACGTGAACCGCGTTTTGGACGGTGGCGCGCAGGCCCAAACTTGCCGTCTTTCAGTAAGATGTACCGTTTCGCTACGTATAGCGAGCGCTATGCTCATAGTACTTATTAGCAGCGCACGAACAGGCTCGTTCGCTTATAACGGTACTAGTGAGGCTCCATCAAATGCATGTCTCGTGCGGCCTATGATAGACTCGAGAGTTGGTGGCGCGCGATCATCGCCGCGGGCGCTACACATAGCGATGTAGAATACTACAGTCCCTTGCGTTTTCATCCACAAATCCTGATCGCCTCCGTAGCGTGACCGCGGTGCTCGTCTCGCGCTTCCTCATCGATCTGCAATCCGCTAGCCGCAAAACCCTACGACTCGACTCGCAAGACTCGATGTACATGGACAGCACCGCCCTCGGCATCGGCACTCTCAGCTTCGCGCGGGGAGTCGGGTCGCTCGGGGAGTCGCTCGATCCGGCCTCTCCGTCGACCTCGAGCTTATACGACGCGGGCGATGATGATGGACCCTCTAGCACGGAAGTAGATGCCGGGGAAGACGCGCGGTGTGGTCCCCCATCGGAGAAATCGGACGCGGATGCCGCTGGTAGCATCGCGGGTGCTGTGCTTGCCTGCGAAGTACGGACTGTATGAATGACACTATCCCCGTTTGACATATCTTTCCCTCAGGCAACTGGTCTGTGCCCGCTGGCAGACAAGCACGCGTCTGGTGTCACCGAGCACAGCTCGAAGGCCATGCGGAGTGATGTCCTCCACAAACGCATCAAATTCTGACGTTCAAATAGGAGGCTGGCTGCCAAAACGTCTTCATAGACGTATTGAGTAAGCGCTACTGCACAAATGTAGCAAATGCCAACCCGATGAGCGCTGTGATGCTATCAGCGCTGGGGTAGGTTCAGGAGATTGCTGCACTCTGTCGCAGCGCGGTAGTAGTACTGATGACGGATCGTTGACGTGGCGCAGATGCAGACCAGTTCACAAGCGGCGGTGTATGCACTCGTGAACGTATATCAGCTCATACCTGGAGAGCCCATGCAACGACGACAGTTTTCCGCTTCCTTTCTTTCCTGCGTAACTTGGCTGCTGTGACTCGTCAAGACGCTGCTCTGTTCTGAGCCATACAGTTGCAAAGAAGTGAGCATTTCCCACCCGTCTCTCTGTGCATGTTCCGTCACTCACCCGATCCTAGCATCACCAAGCATGCCACGATTCCTGGATACACGGACAGGCCAGTTCGTATGGCGGGACGATCCAACCAACGTCGTGTACGCCATCCTTTCCCACACGTGGCGGTCCGCAGCAGAAGGCGGCGAACAGTCCTACGACGATCTCCGCATACTCCAGGCTGAAGTCGAAGTTACGAAGGCATTCCCGAGCCCACTTTCCCCTGAGCCCGATGGCGGTCAGGTAGGCTCGGATCCGCTCAACTCCACCATATTCTCCCACCCGGCACTGTCGGACAAAACCCAGGGCATCTGTCGAATCGCGCGGGAGGCCGGATACCGTCTGGTCTGGAACGACGCCTGCTGCATCGACAAGTCGAGCAGCGCCGAGCTCACCGAGGCGATCAACTCCATGTTCCAATGGTACCGGCTCGCGGATGTGTGCTACGTCTACCTCGCGGACCTCCCAGATACGAACGCCTCCGGGGTCGCTTTCGAGCAAAGCAAGTGGCATCGGCGCGGGTGGACGCTGCAGGAACTCATCGCGCCGAAGCGGGTCGTATTTCTCAACCAGGCTTGGTGCGCCATTGGCACAAAGTTCGCACTGGCGCCGGTCCTCGAGAATATCACTGATATCGACTTCGACGTCCTCACCGGCCGCGCCGCCCTCGACTCCGTCAGCGTGGCTCGGAGAATGTCTTGGGCCGCTCGACGGGAGACCACGCGCGTCGAGGACAGAGCGTACTCGCTGATGGGGATCTTCGGTGTCCACATGCCCACGATCTACGGCGAGGGGAGCAACGCGTTCCTCCGTCTCCAGGAGGAAATCATCAAACTCATCCCCGACCAAAGCATCTTTGCCTGGGGCCGTGCTTGCGTTTTGACGTCGTTGCACACCAAAGACGATCGGATGCCAGGGGAAACAGACAGCTACGGCCTCCTTGCAGACTCACCATCTGCCTTCTCGGGATCTAGCGACATCTACACTTTGTCCCCGGAGGATTTTGCGTCGCGTATTAGGCGAACGAAGAAAGACGTCCCATCCCTCCACAGCGTCTTCACTCCTCAGGGCGTCCGAATAGAGCTCCCATGTATCGACCTCGCACAGGTCCCGGAGCTTCGCCACACATTCGTGGTTCCCCGGCACGTGTGCGTCGCTGAGGCGATGTGCGATGACTGCTTGCAGCTTGGGCAAGCACATGTGCTTGCTCTGCTCCAGTGCGAAGACCAAGGTGGTGCCTTGATAGCGCTCCCTCTATGCGAACCTCCTTCGGGACTCGGGAACCGTCATGGCTTGTTGGTGGTCACACACATCAACTGCGCTAGACTCCTGCACCAGCCGGTTCGCACCATCCGCCTCACCAGATACGCGTTACTGGAGCTTCTCAGGCACCTTCCTCTGGGACCGAACCCGATGAGCCTCTCAATCCTTCGACACTACTCGGGTTCCATGGTCCCCAATCTGTCCCGAGATTACTCATTCGAAACCAGAGGCCCATCCTCTATTGACCACGAATTCTGGCAATCCGTAGATCAACGAGGCGACAGCGTTTTTCGGATTGCCCCCCGCTGTGACCAAGAGCTAGGGATGCTCGGTTTCGAGCTCTCCCTGCTGCGGTGCCAGCGCCTCATCGGCGAGGTCGTTCTGTCGACCACCCTCACTGAATTCCTTCGACCTGATCCTCGTGACGGACCTTCGAAAAGGATACCGCGGGGGATCACTGAGTTGAAGATCACCCTCACCCAGAACGGCGACGGTTATGGCGACGACGTGCCAGTGGGCGCGACAGTCGTCCGCTTCTCCATCACCAACCAGCGATGCATCATATTCCCGGACACGGGCAGACCTTCCTCGTTGTATATTGACCTCTCTCCACGCCCCACATCCTCCCACTCTACCACATACGAAATGCCCGTTCTCGTCCACAACGATTACACCAGCACATCGGTCTCGGAAGTCTCTTGCGGGCTCTTGTTCGCCGCCCGTGCACTGGCCAGCACTGTTTTTGTCGTCTACTGGGGCGCCGACGACCCTGGGGAGCAGAATATGCTCGACCGCCGATTTCTGCGGCTCGCCCTGGAGCGCTCGGTGGGGGCGACCGGTGCCAACGACTTTTGCGATCTGTGGGTCGCAGTCGAGATCTCGGATGAATACTGGCACTGGAATAACGGACTCGATGACGACGGCGTCAACAAGCCTGTATCTGCAGGTAATCATGCTATTCCATTTCTACTTCAAAGCACGACCATAGGCTGACTAATACTGCCCTTCCATTCCACCAGGTACGCAAAAGATGCAGCAGGCTAGCACGCAAGCGGGGGAACAGGCTGGTCATATGCGTAAGAGGGAGGCCATAGTCTCCCAACCACCTGACGCGATCCCCCAGAACGTATTCACTAAAGCGATGGCATCGTACGGACCACCCGCCCTCGATGTATGGCGGCGTTTGTCCCGCCAGGTTCTACCACCCTCGTGATATACAATCAACAAACAGACACCGATATACTCACGTGTGATCTCGCGCCGCGTCGGGCTTGGTACTTGTAGTGCTGGTATGGCTTGATACATTCAGGTTCCCCGAGACTGGTAGCTTGGACTACAGTATTTGAGCGCCAGATGGAAAATGACCACCAGATGGAAAATTGGTGCGCGTTCGGCTCAGACCCACGCACTTCACTGCGCGTCGTTATGAACGGATACTACTGCACGCACCCTAGTATCGATGCGCTGTTGGGACGACCTCGTTAATGGAGACGTACTGAGGGAAGTCCTTTCATATGATCCCCCTCCGTATCTTGGAGACACCTTTTCCTCCCAACAAATTTATGAAATTCTGTCCAGTACATATGATACCTGCTATGCTCCCCCTCGGTTTCGTCGAGGGTACTCTACTGAGTTGTGGCAGTGCACCATCATTTGGTGCCATAACGCTACCGATGTGCGACGCGCGCAAAAGGCTTTCCACCTGGCGCTCAAATACTGTACTTCCAGACGCGTCCGCTAGTTTGTAATTACATCTCAGTGGGGCACCCCGGCAGGTCGAGGTGACCTCCTCGGAGTCCGCACCTTATCGTCTCGGACGCTCGTCTCTTTGCAATATTGACGAACAGGGCCAGAAGGGGCATAAACACATGCCCCGAACCATTCAACCCACCCTCACACGCATGGTATAGTAGCGAGAGCACACAGAACGAGTTAGCGAGAGCACACAGAACGAGTTAGCGAGAGCACACAGAACGAGTTGTATATCAGGAGGATTTTGTCACAGATGGTGATACACGTCTATAGATCGATCTCGAGTCGCGGGCAAGCCGCACGCTGCACGGCGAAGAACGGGAGCGGAAGGAGCGCCACGACGTAACACGGACGGAGCCAGACCAAATACCCAAAGTTCGCGGGGTTGCCCAGGAGCGCGGGACCGCGCGCACACTCCCGCGCACGCGCGGCCGAGAAGAGGGTGGAGAAGCGGAAGGTGTACAGAGCGGAAAATGCAGGAGACAATAGTGAGTGGAGGGGACAGAGATGGGGGAACAAAAGGAGGCGGTCGGGGGACCGCCAGTTGCAGACGGGGGCGCAGCGGATGTGTACGGGGTTGTATATACGATGCGCATGGGTAGAAGCGACGACAGGGAACGTACGGCGGGCGACAAAGGAGGGACAGCAGTCGGCGGGGTATGCTCGGAACGCACTGGGGATGGCGGGTACGGGCGCTGGAACAGAATGCAACGCAGAAAACAGACAGGCAGACGAAGTGGTACACTGAGCAGAACAGTCCAAGAAAACACGAGGCGGCGGACGAGCAGCGAAACATCGAAATCCATCATCCTACACACGCACGCGCCCGGGTCGCGGGCGCGCGGGCCGTTTTTACGCACAGTCGCAGCGTATTCCTCCTCCTCCACATAGCACGCGCAGCATCAACTCGACGGCTGCTTCGTCATCGACGGGATCGACAGCATCGGCAGCTGGCTCCGCGAGAGCGAGCCGATGTTGGGCACCTCCTCGCGCCGTCCAGTGCTCATGCTGCCCAATCCCAGGTTCGAGCCGCCGGGGTTCCCAAGACCGCGGGGCGCGAGGCCGCTGCCGCTTCGTGGTCGAGTCTGCGGCCAGTTGGTCAGGCCGTACCCGAGCGGCGCGCTATCGCTGCGGGCACGGCTGCCCTTCTTGAGGGACGACGAGTTCGGCGCCGAGCCGTCGGCTGATCCGGGGACCGAGAACGAGGTGGACGAGCCCGGGCCAGTACGCTGCCGCTTCGCACCGATGCGGTCCTCAAACTCCATGGGCCCCGGTGACGGGGGAAGTGGCGTCGTCAGCGGGTTCTCATACCTAGCGTTGCTCACGCTATGCATACCGTGGTGCTGCTGGTGATGATGCGCGTGCTGATGGGCATGGTGCGCGTGGTGGGAGTGGTGTTGCATGTTGTCGTACGACGGGATATGCTGGTAAGAGTGCTGCCTCGAGAGCGAGTGCGGGGTGTGCGTATGGGACGGAAACTCGGCAGTCGTGGGGCTGGAGCCTGGGCTCAGCGAATGCAACGAGTGGAGACCGCTGTTGGGAAGGGATGACAGCGACGGGAAGTGGGAGGCCTGCGGTGCCGAACTGGTTGGAGACGTCACGTAGATGTTCGGGCTGTCGGACTCTAAGACGTCGGTGGGGAAGGCGACAGGCACTACACGTGCTGTAAGTCGAACGTTGCAGAACGCCACGGTAGAACAGATGACGCACCGCTACCTGGGAAGCTCTTGGCCATGATGTCGTACATGACCTTCGTAACGCCCGCCAGCCGCTCGACCTTTATGCGCTCCTGCTGGAACGCAGCCATAAGCCGCCGGTTATCGTCACGCATCTGGGAGAGCTGGGCGGCGACTTCTCCTGGCAGTTCGACACGGTGCTTGAGGGACGGATCGGGCTCAAGCGCCTTCCGCTTGATCTCCTCGAGCAGATCGGGGCGTCCGCGCAAGAACTTGTGGTGGGAGAACTCCCAGGTCTGTACGTCGGCGGATGTGCGCTGTGCTCGCGGCGTCTACAACGAACCGTTGGTTCTCTGGGGTTATAATGCTTGATGCGAGGACTTACGCGGTTGATCTTGTGGAAGCCGTACATGTTAAGCTGCCGGACAAAGCTAGAGAACTAGAAGGGCGGTGAGTCCTGGGAGTAGTGATATGGCTGGGATGACCTACGTTGTTGTGCTTGAAGTGGGACCCGAGGATCGTACGGCTGAACTCGCCGACGTTCGACACAACGAAGCTAGCAGGGCATTACAGGTGGGAACGCGCCGTGGACACAGAGGGACGAGAAAGTACCTTGTCCCGTGCTCCGTCCACGTGATGAACTGGGAGGATTTTGGGTCGTTGATCATCCTGGGGAAGTGGGTCAGCCAACATGTCGGGAGAAGTACAATCCGGGTCACATTTCAAGGAGATCAGACTACCGTCGAAAGATGGTTATATGACACGAAAACGGGCCATGACCTCATCGGCGGAGACACAGTGAAGCATAAAATCGGTCGAATACTGTTCGCACCCCGAAAGCGGACAAGCAAGCGGGCGAACAGCATAACAAACCAAATCTCAACGATATTCAACCCCTACTAGCAGTAGAGCGCCAACGGAGCAGCAATGACTCCATCGCTAGAGGCTCTACTAAGCATAAAACTCGGTCGGCGCGCCTTGGTCGGCCGCGCTTCTATCCCCGCACGGCTGCAAACGCGAGAATGGTCGAAGCACGAACACCGCCTCCGGCGAATACACTTCAGTCCAGAAGAGAGCACTGCCTGCCACTGCCAAGACGTCATGATCCGCCGATAGCTCTGAACACCAGCCTTCGCGCGGGAGCACGGGGGATGTACAGAGGTGGCAGACCCGCTCCCGCGCGCAGCCATGAAGCTGCGAGCTAGATAGTACAAACCACCACGAGTACTCGGGCTGTCAGGCGCACGGTTTGGCTACGTCGCAGTGCATTGCACATCGCGGCTGCAAACGGCAAAAGGTCTAAGCACCAACACCGCCCGGCGCGAATACGCTTGGGTGAGGCATAACGCCGCCTGTCGTCACGAAAGAAGTCATGTCATCCCGATAGCCCTGGATGTCAGTTTTCCAGCGCAACCCAAGGCACATCCGCAGCGGGCGCGAAGCTCAGTGGTAACATCCAGAGACAACCCCGCTACCAGGGCGCAGCGATGAAACCGCAGGCGCAGACCGCGCGTATTCGCGCTGTTAGGCACGCGCGTTGGTTGCGTCGCCCGCATTGCGCACCACGCCCGCAGCATAGCAGGAGCATGTGCGCCTGCCGCGTAATTAAGCGCCGGTACCTCCCCGCGGGGCGCGCCCGTGTCCGCTCCTCGAGTCACTGCCAACGCGGCGAGAACACGGCGCGCGCGCGCCATAAAGAGTATCGCGCGTCGAAGCCCTCGCAGATCTGTGGCGCCACGAAAAATTCAGTTGGAGCAGAATAGACTCACTGGTACAGCTTGGTGACAAAGTTGTTGGTCCCCAGCGGCTTGTTGAGCACGCCAAGCGAGGGGGCCGCGCCGCCAGAATGGAGCGCGCTGCCGCCGGTCGGGACCTGACCCTCCATAGGTTTCATCTGGTCGTCCTCGCCGCCACTGTTGCTCCCGTCGATCGGACTGCCTTCCGTGTCCATGGCGCCGTATGTCATGTCTACCTCGTCGTACATCGCGCTGTTGGGACCCTCGCCTAAGTCATACGCGGTCTCCTCTACGGAGGTCGCGAGTGGCGCCAATGTGGTGTAAGAGCGCTTGCGCGGAACCGACTTTTCGGAAGAGGATGAAGAGCGCGAGCTGGTCAGTCGCTTCGAGCCGTAGCTGTCGTAGTGCCCGTCATCATAGCGCACGCCGTGATCGGGCGGCGCGAACTGGAACTGCTGCTGGATGTGCGGGTGGTGAGCGTGATGGGGGTGGTGGCCGACAAGTCCGCCGGAGGGGCTAATGGGCGTGATCGGTGAAACGTGCGAGCTCGCGTGCGTCGACGGGTGGGGTGAAGGGTTGATGGGAGACAGGTTGGTGGGGGAAGTGACGGTGAGGGAAGACAGGTTAAGGGAGAGGGCGGTCTTGTCACCCTGTCTATCGTTGAGCGAGTCGGACATGGAGGAGTGGGTGGACGACTGAGAGTGCTGGAAGTACGACGGGTAGGGCTGCTCGCTCAGCGAGGAGGAGGGCGAGGACGGGGAGGGGAATGCCGACTGGTTCTGGGGCGGGGGGAGGAGGTGGGACGGCGACTGCTGAGACCATTGCTGGCTCTGCTGCGACTGACTCTGCGGCTGGGAGTAGGGGCCGTCTTGGGAGGACATGCTGGGCTGGTAGTGGGAGGCGGCGCTGTCCATGAGAATAAGAGGGCGCAATCGGGCGATCAGCATGCAGCCGCAGGCCAGGCGGCAGGTGGGGGCAGGGAGTGGCAGGAAGGGGCGCGCCGGGGGGTCAGAGAGTGCGCGTGGATGACATGCGCCGTCGACAGCGTCGGGGCGTCGCGCACGGTGTGTAGAGGGGCGAAGACAACGAGCGGGGGCGAGCGGGGGATGGAGGAGGAAGAGGAAGAGGGACGGAGAGAAGAGAAGAGAGCGCGTCCGCTCGCGATTGGAATAAATCTAGATTTGAGGGTTTCGTGCAGCCATCACTAGTTGCCAATCTAGTCGGTTTCTTAAAATCCAATAACCCGGTAAGTAACGTTTGCGTCAGTCGCCTGTTCGCGATCTCCTCTGCCGCCGGATGTCGAGCACAGGTGATCGTTTGTCGGCGGCAGAAAACATACGCTCCTCGGTCCTCTCCCCTCTCCCCCCCTCCGTCTTCCCCCCTGCCTCCTCGCCCGTCCGATATCGCGCAGAGGCCGACGAGTTCGGTTCTAGCACGGCCTTCGCTGTCAGCTGGACGTACTCGGAAGGCAGCGCGCCGTTCTCACACTGGCAAATACGACACTTCCCGCTCGGTCCTCCAATCATCCTCCCCTGATCCAGCGCGCGCGTTCCGCTACGTACGAACCCGCCCCCTTTCCCTCGCCTCCTCCGCCGGCAAGTGCCCTGCCCCTCCGGCCGGCGTTGTGCTGCTCTCCCACCCCCACCCTCCTCGGCCCCAGCGGCGGATGGCCATCAACGTAATCTCCGGCTTTCTTCAATCAACTGATCCATCCACGCCTCCCGCTCGTGCTCGCTCGCCCGGACTCTCGCCGACCACCTGCACACCTCGCCAAGTGTCCCTCAAATCACCCCCTGATAAATTTCCCCTCCCCGCCCGCATCATCTCTGATCTCGCCGTGTCCGGGCGGACTCGCGGAGTCCAGCGGACTCCTCGCAGTCATCCGCTCGCCCGGCGTCGCGCGCCCTCCAGCGTCTCGCCCCCTCCAGCGTCTCGCCCGACTTGCCACCCGACCTGGCGTGAACATTTCTCCGACACGTCCGCCCTTCTTTACCTCCACGATCATCATGATCTCGCTCAACTGTCGGGCTGACCCCACCAGGAACATACCACACGCAAGCAAATTTGGCTCCCGAGCATGGCACGACCTCTCATTGCATCCACAGCTACGAGTCTGTGCGCTCCTCCAACCGGCATAAGTGCACTATGTGTCCGTCTGCGGCCACACCCGGACTTCGACGACGCGCGCTCGCAGCCCGGGCAACTATCCTGCTATTACATCTGTAGCTTTCGACGTCCGGCCAGTTATCGCGAGCGTCCCAGCCTGTCACTCAATCCCGCACCCTTCGCTGTCCGGCGAGGACGCGGCCGGCGCAAATGAAGAATCCGTTGCGCGTACCGGACGCTGGTGAGTACCCTCCTCGGGCAGGTGACCACTATCGTCCGTCGGGCGGGCCCAGCTGCGCAGCCTGCATCCCAATACAGGGCGCGCTCGATGCCGCGAGTCACCGGGTGCAGTCACCTCCGATGGCACTCGCATCTGGCGTGTGCGACGCTGTACTCGTACGCAGGCGCGCAGACGTACAATGCATCCACTCATCCCCTGTCCTCCAAGTTCACGTCCCTTCTCTCTGGACCCTGATCCGCCCCCAGGCGGCAGACAGCCTAGGTATCTTGGTCTTCCCTGCACGGTCCCCCGGCCGGCGTAAACCCGAGCCCATCGCCTCCGACCTCGCCCCCGGGCCCGGCCTGCTCGCATCCGTCCTGCTGATCCTCACGCCGTATGTACTTAGGCTCCAGCGCGCAGGACCACCCCACCAGCGCTGCGCCCTCGGCTACACGGATCCCATCATCGTGCAACACGTACTCAATGCAAAGTTTACTTGATGCAGGGCGAGCCGGAGCTTGAGTGAGAGCTGGGCGTGTTTGCAGCAGCCCGCCTCAGACCTGAGCACGCACATCCCCCTCCGGGTACAGTTCGCAGCGGTGGCCTGTGGCACGTCTCGCATCTCGCCCGCATTCCGCCCTCCCACCGGAGCGCCGGCGATGGCGTTTGCAATTGCAATCGCCCGCGTAGGGGCCTGCGATATGCAGCTTGTGTCTTGTGTGCACCGTGACGGCCTCCCTAATCTCCTCCGTTCCCCGTGCCGAGGTTCGAGAGCGCGCGCCCGATATGTCTCCAGAGGCCCGGTGCGGCGTTTGCGCGGCTGAATAGGCTTTGTACAGGCGCGCGCGGGATTGCGCAGGAAGGGGCCGCAAATGCGAAGCGCATGACGGTAGCAGGGCCCATCGCGCCGAAAATTCGGGGGACACGGCATACGACAAACGGCGTGCGATGCGATCCTGGGTCCCTGCCACTCGTGCGCCTGGGGACGCGCGGGATGCGTGCCAGCGGTGGCACTGCGAGCCTAAAAGCTGGCTGACGTCCACACCGAGGCGGCATTGTGGCGTCAAGGCAGCCTTGCTCCATCTGGCCGGTGCCACGAAGCCACAGCATGGCAAATACACTAGTCGACAATGCTGCATGTGCGTATGAGGGTGTGTGTTTCTGGCTGACTCGTCGCTGATGCTGATACCAGTTTTGTGGGCGGTCGTGGGCGACGACTGCGCTTCACCGCAACATATCAACCTGACGCTAGTCATCACCATGCTGTCAGTCCACATCCTTCGCGCCGAGCTGGCAAAACATACGAATGATACATCTCGCGCCGAAGTGCATATTATTACCGTGTCCGCCATTCCGTACGCCGCCGCCCATGCCGCAGGCGTGACAGCCCGGGTGTGAACGATCATAGCACCCCGTCCACCTGGAACCAGATTGTTTCGCCTTTGGATGATCGTGACTCGCGACGTGCACGGCGCCCTAGCTGCGAACAGCCAGGCTCGACGCGTGACGCGCCGACCCCAGTTGTTCTCTCACCGTCAGTACTTGTCAGTCTGCGCGCAGCGATACGTACACGGATGTACACCGGCCGCAGTGCCCGACGGTGCGGCCGAGGCTCGTCTCCCGGTGTCCACCAGTTTACTCGCCGAGGTGCACCCCCGCGCGGATTCTTTCGAGCCGGGCACCTTCCAAAGTTCCATACGCCTGGGATGATTCAGGGAGTGCAAGCCCACACTAAACCGTAAGCGGGGTCCCACGCTGCGGTATCTCCATACGTGCACATGCGCGACGACCCCGAAGGTGCGCTGCTATACAGTACAGTACGTCCCAATGACGCGGGCGCGCCCTGATCCGCCCTGGACTAAGTATTTTCTGCACACCCTCCCGGCTTCCGCGCACGCGCCTCTCCCCGCAGAGGCACAAGAAGCACAGGAGGCGGAATACGTGGCCGGATTCTACCTTCAGAGTTTGGGGGCCCCGACACCGCGCAAGAGGTACCGAAACGGGTGTCCGCATGACGTACGTACGGTGGACCAGCGGACCAGCGGCGTGCGGCTTCGCGGCTCCGCCGTCCATGCGGGGCGGTCTTGTTCCTTCGCTTAGCGCAGGAGAAGGGCACGAAGCCGGAGCGTACATGATGCAGTACCTCATACGTGCACGCCATCACCACATACGCTGCATATCCGGATGCCGCCCGGGCGTCGAAGCTCGCGGCGGGGTTCTGGAGGGCAGAATAGAACGCGGACGTGCTGATGCGCGCGCCCCGTCCTTCCGCCCTGGTTGTGCCCGCATCCCGGGCCCGTCGGCGACGACGAAGTGGGCAAGTATCATGCGCGCGTGCTCGCCTCGGGTCCGCGACGGGTGGATCGTCGCGCGACGCAGGCGCTGTTTCGATGCGTGCCGCCAGGAGGTTCGTAGAACGTGGCAGCAGCCCGCTCGGGAGCCTTGAATGTTGCTGAACGTTTTCCCGCCCGCCAGGTGCACCGCCGTCGATCGCAGGTGCGCACAAACCCACACGCGAGCCGGTGCGGGACTGCGAGGGACGACGTGCATGCATGGGTGAACACATACGAACGGCCCACTCCGCCGGTGCTCGCCGCGCGATTGATGGGGAGCAGATCGCGCCCCGAGTCCGAGTCGGCCTGCGAGCGTGCACCTGCGTGCACACAAACGTACCTGCTGCGCCCGGCGGCGGGTGCGCTCGAAAACAAAGTTGCGCGGTCGCGCGTGGGAGTGTGTAAACGGGCAGGCTTAGCAAGAAGAGATCCGCGCGTCCCATGAGGCAGGCTGAGACGCGCCCTCCACACAGCTTGCCATGCGCAGGCGCGTGCGCGTGCGCCTGAGTCCCATGACGCGCCACACCCGAAGCCGGATAAGTTATAACACATGGGCGAGATAGGAATCCATACGGTCTGTGCAGCGGTCGAGGCACCCGCGAAGGACATTGATCTACGTGCGGCTGAGCTTGCGGCCTTGCAGGGTCGCCTTGACGTGGGTCCGCGAAGGTCACTCGGCCACCGAACTGTGTTCTGATCCACGGCCGACGGGCGCAAGTCTCGACGTTCACGGTACGGGTGCGGTTGTCGATGTCGGGGTTTTCTGCTCGATATAGCCGTTTGCATTGACCTGTAGTACTTCGGGTGACGGAAGAAAGGCCTCCATCCCCGACAAGCGTACCACCGTTCCGGGCTGAATTTGTCCGGCGTTGAGTATGCACGGGCCACAAGCTCACGCCACGCGCGAAGCACGGCTGGGAACGCACCCTTCCTCGGGCCCTATCTTCCTTCCCGGGCACGATAGCTCGATCGCTGGCCTGCATCCTCCTGCATCCTCCTGCGCCTTCCTGCACACGGGTCAACGTTGAGTACGTACACGACGCGCGCCCGCGCCGCCCGGTTCCCGCCTGCTTGCCGCTGCCAATCCACGCACCTCGCCAGCGATGCTATCGTCCGCGCGCGTCCCACAGTGCCCACCGTGACCTGCCTGGGGGCCGCGCGAACGTGCGCACCGCGCTGCTTCGCACTTCCCCGCGTCCTGATCGCGGGCGCGCGCCTGCCCCAAATGCGCCGCAAGTCTAGCACGAGGGGCCGAAGCGGACAGATCGTGCCCAATCTGGGCATCCCACCGATCGCGCAGAGTCAATCAGCAGCTTCGTGCGATCGTGTGGCGAAGCGCACCTGTCTTATCGCTCCGTGGCATCGAGGGTGGGAGACCCCGCCGGGAACCAGCGGCTTTGCGCGCAGGGCTCCTCGGGGATGGCGGAGTACGAGCGCGAGAGGCCCGCGAGAGCTCGACGATTTGAGACGACAAGGTCAGGCTCTCATCGGAGGGGTCTAAACGGGGGTGACATGAGTAGCGTGCCTGGGGTAGACGCCGAGAGGAGGCGGGTACAGTGTCCCGCCGGCGCGGCCTTACGTGTATTGGGCGGAGGGTGAGTAGCCACGAGGCAGCACTAGCTGCGCGCGTGTCATCGGGGCGGGGCGCGGGCAGGCGCGTACAAAGTGTACGTCACGCCCAGAAGGGCGGGCAGGAAAACGCGCATCGAAAACGGAAGAACTCGAGGACCAGGTTCGGCGAACTCGAAGAATTCTTACGGTCGAGGCCGCGTCGGCCCACGAGATGCAGAGAAGGTGCTGCTGCATGAATGCGTACCGAGGCCGTAGATGGTGTATTTGTGGATCGAGCCATGGCGCTGGGCGCACTTCCCAGTTCAGTGGGTTCGGTCGACGAGCTCATATCCGAGAGAAGTACAAAGCCGCTGGAGAATGACGCGCAATAATCAGCTATCCGCGACATGAGACGAAAAACAGCTACGTACCCTATAATCTTGCTTGAAACATAAATGCGCAATGTCTTCCGGGCAAACGTTCGAGGCCCTAAAGGCGGAACGAATAGAGAAGAAACAAGCATTTACGTGGTCGGGCAACAAGCATGGGAAAGCCAGCCCACCAAACGGGAGCCTTTGCGCGCTCCGACCCATGCGATGTCGTGAGCAGCGTACTCTGGGCGGTCTGCTGATCCACGGCGAGCACCCCAAAAGCCATGCCGGGGGCCCAGACGGCTCGCCTGTCGCGGACGCAGTACACGACGGGGCACGCCTTCGACTCCTGGAGCTCCTCTGTTTGCGAATACGCCACCTGCGGCAGGCCTGAGGACGGCTTATCAGCCACGCATAGCCGCTACAGGAAGGCACGCTCCCCGCAGCGCCGGCACTCACCGCGAAGTCCGGTGCGGAGCGCAAAGTATCGTGCTTCGAGGGCCCTGCCGGGCTCTGAGCGTTGCGGGATGTCGTACAGTATTCATTGCTGCCCCTCTTCCCCCGCTGGTGGCTGAATGACCTGTCGATAGGCTGGGCCCGCGGCGAACTTTAACGCGTCGAGCGCGGCAGTGGGCGGACCCCACCTTCTCGTCGACGTCGCCGCGACCCGAGGCTGGCTGGCGGGAACCCGAGGCCTGTATGAATAGCTGGACTCAGCGAATGAGCTCCGCTGCTGTCCTGGAGCTCGTCGCAGGCAAACCTTGCGGTGTTCTTCCATTCTAATAACTTTGAGGGCTGTCGGGCGCCTGGACCGCTGCATTCAATCGCTTGCCACTCCGATATCCCAGGCTCGGAGAGCCCAAGGGGGAGGTAAGGTTCAAGGTTGCGTCGGGAGATGGAGAAGCGCAAGCTTGGGTGCGCCCAGGGCGATGGAGATGAGCGCACGGGGGCGTGACATCATGATCCGTGTTCGTAGTGAACTCTGCAATAAACCTGCCCGGCCACAGAGCTTGCGTCTGACAGTATCGGCCTTCCTCGAGGAATGGAACGCGACGTCAGAACAGTGGTGTTTTGCAAGCCTGTCGGACAGACCAGCGCCTCGGCGACTGGGTGCCTGCTGCGACGTTCCCAAGGCGGACGTTTCATCTGTTGTGGGTGCGCTGGGAGCGATATCGTGAGCTGGCAGTTGCGGACGCCGTACGTGCTGGAAAGAGGCGTACCTTTGTGGCGAAAATAGCGCGAAGATGGAGTCCTCTGGGAAGCGCCTCGAGCGGGTTCCCCACTGGAGCCAGTCCAAGGGCATGTTTTGCTGAGTGCCGTAAGCAAGAAGGGGGCGCTGGGAAAATTGCTCCTCTTGTCTGAGTCGTAGCGGCGGAGGATATCAAAGCCACATGGGAGATGAAGAACATAGGAATAGCCGTATCAAGCCTACTTGGAAAAAGAGACGCGCTTCCGTGCCAAATCGGACTGCAAAGGTGGCGCGTAAGCGGACGATGCAACATAGGTAGCGTTCAGGATCAACGGATGGTGGTTCGACCGGACACATGCAAACCATAAAGTCGACGATCCTCCCATAGTAGAGTATGGTGACCGCAGTCGGACACTACAAGACGCGCTCATCCAGCGTCAGAAGCAACGAGTTGATTCAGTGAGTCGCTGCGATGATTGCACGGATGTGATTGCGGCACGACAGAGTGGAGCTGGCGCTGTAGGAAAGGATGAGCCTAAGGGTGGTGCCACAATACTGAGCGCACCTATGGCAAACATACGGCTCTAACGAAGAAGGGGGATTGACACCGTTAAATCGCCTAGGCAGCATATGTCGTAGGTCTAGATATTGTTGTCGCGCATACAGCCACTTGAACAATGATTGAATAGCTCGCAAGGCACGCTCTCTGCGTGAGAGCGGGTGGGACGAAACGTGCCGCATAGCGTTCAAGACATGTACGTCGTGGACGAGCGTTCGATCCACGATCGCCAGGTCCCGCCTACATGTCCGTGTATGACCGGCGGACGACAGGTGCTGGCAGCTGCGGCCGGGAGGATAGAATGAACAGCGGGCACGTGGAGGTGTTCCTGTGCCACATCGCCCTTTGAACGGAATAGCAAGTGTCAAAGAGTCGCTGCGGCCGGGAGGAAATGCGGCAGCGTTTCCCTAAAAGCCACTTTGAATGGCCGGTGATCCGAGGACAGAAGCTGTAAGTTTGGCTCACTTCAGCGCCGTGTAAGGGTCCTGTTCGACGAGCTACCAGCCAATGGTGGTCGAAACGTGTATTACGCTGCCGGCCGGAGCCGCACCGTCTCCGGGTATCAGAGAGAACACCTGGGGTAAAGATATTTGGTCATCGATACGTACAGCAGAGGGAAGAGGTTCACATACAGTCATACCCCGATGAAAGACGAAGTCATGTATTCTTCGGCCTGCTAAACATGACCTTCCCATCCGGAAACTTCTGCTCTTGTAGCCATCCTCGACGATTCAACCAGCTGAACATCAACGGGAACCGCGACTGGAAGGTGCATATAGTGAGCGTGGCTATGTCGTCGAGCTCGCGAATCATCGTAGTCAGACAGCCCGCCGCTCTCCATTCAGAAGACACTCCCGCGAGCCAGATGTGGAGACCGTCAACAGCGCCGTTCGTGAGAGGTGGGTCGTATTGGCGATGAATGACAAAAATAAACGCGATAGGAATATCAGGTTGTATGCTGGAAGCGAGGGAGATGATGAAAGAAGATGGATGGCGGAGGTGGTTGCGCCAGTACGGCAGCGAGCCATGTTTGTCATTGCTGTCGGTGACGGCAAAGATGGCGTTGGACATCGCCAGAACGCGCTCGATGTTTTCATCATCCGGGGTATCGATTCGGTGAATGCGCAGGGGTGTGCTCGGAGCGGTGGTCGGGGTGGGCTCGGAGGAGGTCATCGTCGAGGACAAGCAGCGGGGGAGCGGGAGGACCGCGGCCCGCGGCCGAGATTCAGGACGGTCACAGTTCTGTGACACGGAGTCACGGTGCGTCTGATGCGGAGCGAGCAGCCGACGTTGCTGGTGCGACGGCGCGTGCACTTGAAGCCTCCGTTCGACTGTGTCCTCGACCCTGCCCTTTCCTCGACCCTCACCTCCTCCTCACCTCCCTCTACCTCTCCGCGGCCCTGGGTGCCACTCTGCAGCTTTCTTGTCTCATCCGTCTCACCTAGCCGCTCTTTGCTTTCGACTCCTGCACCATAACGAACTTATTGACGACCTCAACAATAACATCATCCTATTGACTTATTTCTCTCTATGGCACAACCACTCTTCGACGAGCATCCTCTAGGGGAATACTTCCGACGTACGTAGCTCACGAACATATATGCAGCACTACTAGAAGAGCTGACGGTTACTGCGTACAGAAACCGGTGAACTCGCCGAGCCCATGCCTGGCTCCTCTGCCGACTTTGTATTGGAAGAACAAGATCTCTTGGACGTGGACGAATCTTCTCCCCAGGTAGAGCTTGAGCTCTCGCGACTCGTGCAACAGGTCGTTCAGGTGAGCAGCTCTTCTCTAGTTGCACGCATAGCCGGCAGAGGAAGCTGCGCTCGCTACGTCTCCGCAGTTCGGTTCTCTGCATCTTGCCTGGAGAATCAGTGACATAGGGGCGGGCTTACCGGGGCGTTCATAGCACCGATCTGGCAAGGAATGTCGCATAACCGAGGGCTGCGGGTCCAGGCCATTTGCCACATGTTCTCCCCCTGACATGCGGTGACCGCGCCGTGCACACCTTTTTCGTGAAATATCTTAAGCTGCAGCCGACTTAGACTAACTTCCCCCCTAGTTCGTCAATGACTTGCTGCAATCGTCGACAAGTAATTCCACAGAAGGCAATTTCGCGGAACGCTTCAAGTACGATGTTATCTCATCATCCTTGCTCGCGTCAACCCTCGCCGCCGTACCGAGTAGTGCTGTCCGGCAAACTTTCTCTCCCGATATACCTGGGAAGTTAGACGACGGTGGCGGCGGAGATAAACTCGAATCCTTCCCCGCGGATGCGAAGACCGAAAGTTCATACCCCCCTAATGCAGACTCTACCTTGGCCCCGGACTCACTAGGACTCCAGTTGCCATACGTGCTCGCCTCTCTAGCTGCTCTCGCTTTGTCGACAAACTACGTTTTCTTCGCCATCCTATTACTTTGTGCTGCCGCCTATGTCAGGTATGTTGTAAACACAGACAGTGAAAAGAGCGATACCACCAAGCAGGTAAGCGCATACACTCTTAGCTTTATCGTCATATGCTAAGTCCTTGTAGACCCTTGACTCAGTGAACGAGCTCATCTCTGCTGGAAATGTGTGGGACTCCTCCGTGAACGAGGCGATGATGCTCATCGAGAACGAAGAACGCAGGTGGGTCATACAAGCGTCCACAACGTCTGGGTGATGCGCACTGACTAACCCTAACCCTTCACAGTATTTTCTATGGACCCACCAGCTCTCAAGCCCCGTCCTCCGCGCTGCGCCTCGCCCTCCAGTCATCACTCCAGACGACTCAAACCCAGTGCGACAATGTTCGCCACCTGCTCTCGGCTCTCACCTCCCCGACGTCCCTGTCGCAAATCTCGGAGATGTACGCGCCTCCGTCCCCTGTCCGCCCTCCCTTGACACTCCTCGACCCTCCCCGGTCGCCGCTCGCGTCCAACACGATACGCCCGTTCTCGCTACCTTTCACCACCCCATCACGTAATCGCACGACCTCCTTCCCCGTCACCAGCCCAACAAACAAGCGCGCAACGTGGGGCGGGTCGCATGCTGCGCTCGCGCTTTCGGGCAGTCCCACCGCGCAGATGCTCCAACGCAAGCAGATGAACCGCCGTTCGGATCTCGCTTCGCTCTTCCAACCCGTCCCCACGATCGCGAGTGTGAGCGCGCCAGTCAGCCCGCAGCCCCCCAGTCCCACCAAGGGCGCGCTGGAGAACGTGACAGAAGAGGAGGACCCTCTTACGCCCGAGCTTGAAGCGAAGGGTTACTTCGGCGCCGCTGCACTAGACCTACAAAGGAAACGGAGGAGCGCCGCTCTGGAGACGTTTGGCATCCCGCCGCCCAGTTACGCGTTTTCAGCGGATCAGACTTTCACAGAGCCCCCGCTGCGCTCACCCGTGCGCGCCTCGCACTCGCGCAATAGCTCCGGCATCTCCCCGACGTTCTCTTCGTCGTCGCGTTTTACACCCGTGCACACGACACGCCATCCTCTTTCGCTTTCCGGCCTGCATGGGTCATTGCACGGGGCACTGTCGGCAAAGCGCTATACGTGCTCTCACCTTCTTGCTCTGCGCTTCAACGAGGACGAGGACGACACCTACTGGGAGAACGTGCGGTCCGTCATGGCCCTGCTCACAAGCACTTTCGCCGACGCATCCTCGCGGCTCGTCGAGGCGCTGGACGATGCCGAGAAGCGGCGTATCAAGGATGAGCACCCCACGCCGCCCAGCGGACCCCTCAACCGGGAGAGCAGCATATCCCCGCTCCGGAACCAGATGGGCGGCGGGCACAAACGACTGCGGTCGATGGCCGAAATGGTGTCCTTCGCGCCGATGCCGAGCAACATGTCGCGCTTCGGTGTGCATGTCGACGCTATTTCCAGCGCGCTCAACGACGCCCGAGATCACCTGGAGGAGTGCGTCGCCGCACTGCGCGACTCCTCGTCCCGACGACAGTCATTGGAGTCCTCCGACGGCGAGCTCTCCGTGCAGGACCACCCCGCGTTCCAGGCGTACGACCGTCTGCGCAAAGAGCTCGGCTTTGCGCTGCGCGAGTGCGAACGCGGCCGCGAGCGCATGCTCGACATCCTGGCCGGTCCGCGTGCGATTGCCGAGGTCGTGGAAGACGAAGACGTGTCCCCACATACGCCTGGGCTCCGGCAAGACTCCGGCAGCGAGTCCTCGGAGAAAGGTCCCATCTCGCCGAACGCGCAGCTCGACGGCGACGCAGGTCTCGGCCTGGAGTTCTCGCACGGACGCGACGGGCAAGAACACGAGCTGGACGACGCGACCGCCCATCTGCTGCTCGCGACATCGTCGCAGCATCTGCCCCCACCTGGGGCCGAGCAGGTCTTCGAGGCGGAGTCGGGTGCGGGCGCGTCGTTCGCGCGCGAGCGGTCGAAGCTCTCTCGCGAGGAGCGCATCAGACTCGCGAAGGCCCGGCGATCGAGTGGCGTGCCTTCACTGGCGTCTTCGGACGGCAGCGAGAGGCCGTCGCGCGGCAGCCCCTGGGGCCCGAACGGAGAGGTCGTTCAGGAGCTCAAGGATGTGATTTGGAAAGTCGGCGAGAAGCGGCGAAAATTCTCGGAGCGGCTCGAAGCGCCCCTTTCCAAGGAAGAGGAGGAGCCTGCCGCGGAGGCAGAGCCGGTCGCAGCCCCGATAGAGGCTGGTGCACCGGAGGATGACGAGTCCGTATTTAAGCGGGAACAGTCTCGCCCCGTGCCTATAGATACCCTGCGGACAGGGCCTCCCGCTACTGTTGCCCCTGTAGTCGGCGCGGGCGGGGAGGCGGATATGTCATGACCCATCGTAACGTCTGGAATCTGGAATGGTTGGCCCACCCATGTATATGCTACTGCATCGTTCATAATCTCTTAGGTCGCATCGTCGCTTGTCGCATCTCGCATTATCGCACACAATACTATCACTACATTGGATATCACGCTTCTTCCCACCTCTGCATCACCGATTGACTAGGTCCAAGACGGCGGGTGTATAGTCCAAGATAAAGAGTACGCGGCTTCGCATCACAGATGACATGAGGGCAAGTGAGAGACAAGCGATATGAGTCTACCGAGTGTCTTGTCCAGCGTTCAGTGCGTCTGAAGATTGAGGCTGGGTTTGTGCTGCAGCTTCTTCGGATGACTTCTCATATCGGCGGGACCAGCGCCGCCATATACCGAGGACCTTGGCCTTGATCGTAAGCTTTTTGGAGACTGAGCCGGGCGGGCGGGAGTCCTCAAATATCTCTCTCCTGCCATGGGCATCTGGTACGACGGATAGTACGCCGTGGGTCCCCTGCGGTGACAGTTGAACGGAAGGTTGGGTATTAGCACAGCCACCCGCAGGTCCAGTGGGTCCGTCGCAAACGAAGCCTTCTTGACTCCTCGTTTGCACCATGGAGAAAGCGTTGTGCTGAGGAACACGTCAGTACGCTGGCAGTACACGCAGAGTTGATGCAACACTTACATCATCGGGTGCGAGCAGACTGCTGTCGACGCCGACGTCGATTGTGTCGCTCCAGCTCCAATACCCGTCGGAGATCTCGACCGCGACCCAAACGTCGCGGAAGTCATTGGCGTTTGTCGCCCCCGCCGAACGCTCCAGTGCGAGCCGCAAAAGTCGACGGTTTAACACGTTCTGACGCCCGGGCTCGTCGGTACGCCAACAGGCGACAAACACCGTACTAGCCAGCGCACGACCAGCGAGGAGCGGCCTGCAAGAGAACGCCGACACCGATGTGCTGCTAGTTCCGCTGCTGCAGGGAGGCGGGGTATCCGGTGCGGTGTGGGAGGACAAGGGGGAGGAGGGGCCATCTGTGGGCGAACGCGTGTCCGTGTCCGCGAAGATGATGCATCGCTGGTTTGCAACGGAGAAGTGGACCGCGGGCGCGCCCGCCGGCACGTTGTCGTAGCCCTCGCCGTTCTTGATTAGGGTGATTTTCAATTCCGTGGTTCCCCGCGGTCTTCTCTGCCAGTGTCCAACCCGAGGATCAGGAGTGAGGGTGGTCAGCAGAATGACCTCCCCTAGGAAGTGCCAGCACTGCAGAGGCGAGAGAAAGAAGCCGAGCATGGCCAGTTCCTGGCTGGAGTGGGGAGCAATGCGGAACACACCGCTCCCTCCTTGATCTACCCGTCTCCAGAAATTGCGACCAATGGAGGATGAGCCTCGAGTTTCGGAGAAGCAATCCCGCGACAAATTTTGCACCATAGAACGCGAGTAGTGTTGGACGATAGATAGGTTCATCGACTCCGGTCCGGCCGGAAGGTGTTCCAGAGCCTCCTCCAGTGCGGGCCTCGCAAGACGGATGGTGCGAACCGGGTGGTGCAGCGATTTAGCGCAGTTGATATGAGTGATGACCAGCAGGCCGCGTCGCGCCCCGGATTCGAACCGAGGTTCGCAAAGAGGCAACGCTAGGAGCGCACCGTCCTCGTCTTCGCACTGGAGCAGGGCAAGCACATGGGCATGTCCGAGCTGGAAGCATTCATCGCACATCGCTTCATCGACGCTCGCGTACCGGGGAGTCATGAAAGTCTGGCGAAGGTCCGGAATCTGTGCAAGATCGATGCATGAGAGCTCCATCCGGACGCTCTGCGGGGTAAAGATGCTGTGGAGAGGAGGGACGTCCTCCTTCCTTCGCCCGACACGGGACGCGAAGTCCGCAGGGGAGAGCGGACAAACGTCGCCAGAACCGGAGAAAGCAGCTGGCGACTCTGCGAGGAGGCCGTAGCCGTCTGTGTCTCCAGGCAGCCGGTTGTCCTTGACATGCGATGACGCCAAGACGCAAGCGCGGCCCCAGGCAAAGATGCTTTGATCGGGGATGGCCTTGATGATTTCCTCCTGGAGACGGAGAAACGCGTTGCTCCCTTCGCCGTAGATTGTGGGCATATGGACGCCGAAGATCCCCAAGAGCGAGTACGCCCTGTCCTTGACGCGCGTGGTCTCCCGTCGAGCGGCCCAGGACATCCTCCGCGCCACGCTGATCGAGTCGAGGGCAGCGCGGCCAGTGAGAACGTTGAAGTCGATATTGGTGATCTTCTCCAGCGTCAGCGCTAGCCCGAACTTTGTGCCAATCATGCGCCAGTTCTGGGTGAGAAATACCACCCGCTTCGGAGCGATGAGTTCCTGCAACGTCCACCCGCGCCGGTGCCATTTGCTTCGCGCAAAGCGAGCCCCGAAGGCATCTTCGTCCGGTACGTCCGCGAGGTAGACGTAGCACACATCTGCGAGCCGGTACCACTGGAACATGGAATTGATAGCCTCGGTGAGCTCGGCACTGCTCGACTTGTCGATGCAGCACGCGTCGTTCCAGATCAGGCGGTACCCAGCCTCTCGTGCGATCCGGCAGCTACCACTGATTTTATCTGAGAGTGCGGGGTGAGAGAAGATGCCATTGGTCCGGGACTCGAGTGGATCGACCCCAACGCGGTTGGCCCTGGAGTATAGCGGGTACTTTGATGCATGTGAGGCCTCTACCTCAGCTTGGAGTTTACAGACATCGTCGTAGGATTGCTCGCTGCCTTGTTCCGCAGATCGCCATGTATGGGATAGAATAGCATAGATGACGTTGGCCGGACTGTCCTTCCAGACGAATTGGCCTGTTAACGTGTCTAGAAAGCGTGGCATGGCGGGGGCTACGCAGGAGTGTTGAAATGTGTACGCAAGAACGAGTCAGCGATACTCACCTTCGAACGACAGTATATATATCCTGGGCAGCTTCTTTGATATCAATCCCAGGATGGGCTTGACTACCCGCTGGCAGGACAGAAGTCAAACTTCGCTTCTCGACTTGTTCAAAGGTGACTAGTCACCCGGATCGCTTTTTGGAACGTGAACGCTTCTGAGCTCATACAGTATCGATAACTGAGCCATTTTGACGACGGCCTGGCCTGGTGGTCATTCAGCTGCGGAAAGATTTTTGACAGGTAGCCACTGGCAACAGAACCACACTGGCCGCCGAATCTACACCTGCTGCAGTCAATCAGTACTGCACGGCAATAAGTGTCCGACTCACCCGCAGGACAGACTCCCCATCGTCGCGGATTTGTGCAACAGCACTTACGCGTGTGCTGAGTTGCTCACTGAGTTCTACCACGAGGATGCCATGGGTCCACTCTATGAATGGGTAAGGTCTTGGGTTGATGAGAGCGCTAATACTTAGCCTATGGCGTCGATTTGTACGCATCAGCAAAAAGTGCGAAACATTGCATACCCGTATGTATAGTTTGGCATGGACATGCATAACCAATTTTCAATGCAATGTCTACCTTGCTAGCCAAATTTCCGCCGAACTATGCAGGGGGTACACGATGATATGGCATTTACCTGCCGAGCATTGCCATCCCTCCGCCCAGCGCTGACATCCTTTGCCCCGCCGGGTATGTATATGCCATCCCGGCCATGTAAGGCAGGAAATGTCACCGAAGGCGACGTCAGGCCATTCATGGCTATAGAATGGCACTGGAATGTGATGGCAGGTAAACTGATCACCAATGCATGCCTACTATAATGCTACAGTACTATACTTGACCCCGGCACACGGGGCTATAATCATATAGAAATAGATAACAAATGACGATTTATTGAAAAACAACTCGATCATACAGCGCGAGCGAAGCATACAAATGCTGATAAAGTAGGAGCTGCGAAGGCGGACCGAGGGAAATACTCAGCTGCTAGCAGTGTGGGGCAGTCGTTTGTGATGAGCCCAGACCCCGCGGGACTGAAGCACGTTGGTGCTGTACCTACGATAGGATTCGTTCGGATGCCTGCAAGATCACGTACCTTACGAGCAGGGCGGCGCAAGACCATCGGTTAGCACACAATATCGCGCGCATATATGCATAAATAAACAAGACTTACAGTTTCACCAAGGCCTGTGCTTGAAAGGGACTCACCGCCGCGCTGCACACCTGTCCGGTCAACTCACCTTCGAAAGAGACACTAGCTATGATGCGGGACTCCAGATAGAGTGTATCAAGAGCTGTGACTGCAGCACGGAGGTCCGGCGAGACTTGAAGCAGGGAGAAAGAGCGGGTATGGGGGTGTGTAGACAAGAGACGATGGGAGGGACACCGAGAGCGCTGAGAACTTTATAGGACAGGCGTAGGGCGCAGGGTTTGGGGCAAGGGAGCCGAACAGCGATGCTTCGAGGGTGCGTGAAGATAAGTCGAAGTCGGCGTGAAGACATGAGAGGGGGAGGATCGACCGACCATATATGCATGCGCCCGCCGCCGACCTGCCGACATGCCTCGATTTGGTAACAGTCACGTCTTCATTCCGAGCTCATCGCATTTATTTCATCAGTCCTAAGGATACCACTAGACTCGTACAAACTACCGCAATCAATTTACTCTGACTCCCGATTAATGCGCGCCCGGGGCCGCTGCTAATATTCGCTCACACTACGATATCGAGTAAGTACGGCTCCGCGGGCGGCTACAGTGATGGCATACCTTTGCCATACGTTGCCATGCGCGGCGGAGGATGGCATTCCATCCCCTCGCGCGGCGATTTCTTGCATATATTCCCCCTGCATGGCAATATTATGGCCATCCTTCACCGAGCGCGGCCGCGAGTATACCTTCCTTCGCCGAGCGCGTCGATGGTAGGCCGCGTGTGGTGGTCGAATGCCAGCGTTTAACCGGCCGGTTTAGGAATGCAATCCTCGCCGAGCACTGACTTGCTATGCACAGTTTCGCACACTTTGCTGATGGCCACTCACTAGCGCTCACACAAATATCAATGAACTGCTTTAGAGCTAGTGTCTCAAACAAGTACGTGTATCGTAGTACAGATGAGGCTCGCATACACAGTGCAGTGTGCACACAGCGATACCGGACCCGAATAAATATGCAACTAGTACTAGAACGGTCGAAGTACGTTCAACCTCATCCGCGTCCCTCGGGCCCTCAGCCCAAATATGGTATTGCATCGACAGCAGCAGTCCGTACCGCTCGACGTAGCGCTATCGATTCTCGTAAAGCACGACGTCGGGTGCTTGATAGGAATGATGACCCTGCATACGCGGACAGCGAAGTTGTCAACAGGTGACCAATCTAAACTGTCGCCCACATGTCGCCTAGTAGTACTTCGCGCTAGCGAATTTGATGGTTCGCGGGTAGCCCGATGCCGGTCGTGCCTCAAAGCCTCACACGCACGCGTACGAGCAGTACCGAGCAACGATTGTTCCACGAGCGCGGCAGATGCATGTGCTCGGCACGCGATGGCACGCTGCTTTTGTGAACTGGATTGGGAGATACCGCTAGCACGCGGCACGCACACAATTGGAGAGATAGAGAAGCAGAAAGACAAGCAAAATAGGATTCCATCCGGGACACAATAACCTGACGAACTAGCTGCAGGCCGGGGCGACAAGGGGGCGCGCGGTGGCGGGGCAAGGCAGATCGGGGGCGGGAGCGGGAGATAAGCGCACACTATACAGACTATGGAACATGGGGGCAATGGACGATGGGGGGCAGGGATAGAGAGATAGGGAGGAACAGTCAATCAATCAGCCAGGAAAACACGGCGGACGGCGGGCGTAGGGTAACAACACGATAGCGAAGGGAAAGGATGTAGGCGGAACGGGTCTGGGAGGCGTGAGGTGAGGAGGGGCGGAGGAGGGGGTGAGTTCAGAGCTCCGACGCTCGGGGCTCATCCCGGACAGTAGGCATCGCAGCGATAGGGCTGGAGGGGGGAGCATGGGGGGAGTGGGTAGTAGACAGTCCGACGGCGGTCTTCAGGAGGAAGCGGTATGGTGGGAAGGTGCGGTAGCAGACACCGCGGTGGCACAGCAGCAGCGCACCTGAACCGACGCAACGGCAGCGGCGACGGCGGGTGTGAACGGAGACGCAAGCAAATAGTCTACGAATAACGGTGGACGGCGGCTCGAGACCGGACGATCTCGAGCGTGAGGTGTACCCGGGATGGCGAGGAAACACGAGCTGCCGGCCTTTTGGCATAAATATGGCCAGCCGGTATACGATGCAAGGGCGGGGGAGGAGTTGTGACAAAGACGGGGAGTTTGGGAGAAAGAATAGGAGATTGCAAAGGCGTTGGGGGGAGGGAGGATATGATACGGTGAAGATGAGAACGCGCGACGAACTGAACCAGCAAGTGTCCTCCGAATCGACCAGGACGGGTCCGACCGTGATAATGAACACCACATACCGAGCACCGAGCGCACTGTTCACCGGCACCATCGTGTGATCGCCGCTACAATTTGTCTCCGCGCATCGCTCCTCATGCCCCGTTCGCGTTCTCGGGATCGAACCATGCCGCGAAGTCGCGCTCAAAGTTGAGGCTCGTTTCCGCTCCGAAGATCGACGGATCCAGGCTGCCTTCGAAGTCGGCGAGGGTCCCGGTTCCAAAGTCGATGGTGCCGAAGTTCGTCGGGTCGAGGCCATCAGTTGGCACTGACGATCCGGGTGGAGGGGGCGGTGGCGGATGCGACATCGAAGGGGTCGAAGTGCCTAGAATTGCCGACGGTGACGGAGCGGTCATCGACGATGCTGTCGGCGTTGGCGGCGCTGGCGTCCCTGAGTGAGGAGGGCCGCCCTGAGGCGTCTGGCCCTGCTGCGGGTGCTGCGGGTGGTGGGGATGCTGCTGCAGCTGTTGGGGGTGTCCTGCGGCGGCATTCTGCGGTGACCGGTCGATGTGGCCATTTGGAATAGGGCCTTCCGAGCCTTCCGACTTCATCGGCCCACCCGTTTGCTTGTGGTTCATGCCGGGTGATGGAGGGGGAAGCATCCCCATCGGCTTGTTCTGTACCATGCGAGACCCTGGAGGCATACCGCTGGCCATGTATTGCATGCCTTGACGCTGCTGCTCATCGCCCTGTTGGCCACCGGAGGCGGACGGAGATGCTACATTCCCGCCGGGATGCATCTGTGGCATATGTGCTGGGCCCTTATGCAGAGCGCTCATCTGCTGCCGGTACTGCGCGGAAGTCTGAGGTCAGTTTGGCACGGCAGCGGCAATGACGGAGACAGGACGCTTTGCGACGCACCTGATGGATTTGTGCAGTGTTCATCCCGCCAGGGGGCGGACCGCCCATCATCGTCGCGTTCATGGGGTTCATCGGCGGAGCTCCTAGCCCGTGGCCCATCATCGGGTTGCTCATACCACCCATTGGAGGTCCCGGGAAGGGTTGCATGGGGTTCCGCATCATACCGTTGTGCATCGGCGGCGGGCCAGGTTGTGGCGGGTACATGGGTGCCATCGGGGGCGGTTGTTGTTGCTGTTGCTGCTGCTGCTGCTGCTGTTGCTGCTGTTGCTGTTGCTGTACCTGTTCTCCGCCAGGCGATCGACGTACTCGTTTGCGATCTGGCGGTGAAGATTCGTTCCTCGGCAAATGTTCGGGCTAAGAAGTGATAGAAATCTCAGAATATGCCGCATACAATATCAGTATGCGCCGCCCACCTCCTGTCCAGGCGATGTGCTGTTTCTCTTCGCACCCCGTTGCTGCTGGTTCTGCCCCTGTTGCTGTTGTGGCTGCCCTTGTTGTGGCGCGCTAGGCTGCATCTGCGGTGTCCGAAGACCTGCTGGGTGTTGCAATGGACTTGGACCAGGCTGCCCAGAGGGCCCCGCGCTGGGACCGGGGCCAGGCATGTTCGGCGGCTTCATGTGGTAGCGTCGGAACTGGTTTACCAGTTGTTGCTAGGGCGGGGGGTGAGCACTTCCGGATGGGGAACACTCACAACAGCGGACGAACCTTCTCGTCTATCGTTAACGCGTTCGGATCCTTGTCACCGAAGCCCAAATCTTGCTTGAGCTTGCTCAGCAATGGCGGAGGAATGCGGTTGAACTCCACATTCAGCACGTCTAACGTTTGCCGGGGCGGTATCGCCGGACTGCGCTGGGTCATCGCAGAACCAGGTGATCCAGGGTTGCTTGGAGAGCGGCCCAGCTGCTGCTGGTATGGGGGTTGCGGCGTGTGTTGGGGGTTACCCATCGGCCCTGCAGGTCCATTGGGAGGAAGCATGTTCCCCCGCTGGTTCATCTGTGTCAACGGGGCGTTGGTGCCAACCGGACCTAGACCTCCGCCCATCGGGACGTTTTGTTGTGGTCCACCTTGAGCGTTGGGGGGAGAATGCGCCATGGTCGGCGACTGGAACTGAGCTCCATTTACGCCGCGTTGCTGTAGTGGGCCCGCACGTTGGCCATGTCCGAGTTGAGGCCCGTTTCCTTGGGGTGGAGGTACACCGCCCGGAGACCCAGCTGACGTTCCTGGCACTCCGTTGGTATGTGGTACGTTACCCGGAAAAGGTCCAGCGCTTGGTGCACCGTTCGGCATCGATGCGGGCTGTGGCTGAGGAACTTGGCCCCCGACACCATTGGATTGGGGACCGTTCTGCATCGGTGGTCGCACGCCGTTGGCGTACCGTTGGTGCCCAGGCGCTGTCCGATTCGCCTTCTGGTTAGCGGTTTGGGACGCCGCTTGGTGCTGTCGGAGTACGGTGTCGTATCATTGCCCGGCACGAAGACACATACAACGCACCTGTGTGTACAACATCGCATCCTCCGGCCCCTGTCCACTACTCTTCGCCGTAAATAGTACCCAGAAGACGCTCCACCACCTGAATACGAGTAAGCGCCGATGACCCGGTGGCACAGACATGAACCTGAGAGACGATGGACCGCATATCTCGGGGGCTATATTCACTTGCGTGGCAATACGACGCGTAGAATTATGGAAGCCCGTGTGGTCTGTCGGGTTCCAATATATGGCGAACATGCACTCACTCGAACAACAGGCCCTGCTTTGCGTTGATCGGCGGGCTCGACTGGGGTGGAATATTGGCTTCTTTCAGAAGCTCTGACGCGGTCTTCTGAAAACCGCGCTTCGTGCAGTAGTCGTATATGTAGATATTGAACCTGCGGGAGGGGGGATATTTCGTGAGGGGCGCACAGGGAAACGCACAGATATGAAAACGGACATTCTGTCGCCTTCCCAACTTGGCGCGACCTGGTCTGAAGTGGGAGTATTGTGCGAGGAGGCATTCGCGCCATCGGTGGCCATGGCGGAGGCGTCTCAGAGCGGATCGAGAGGCTGAGGTAGGCGGACGATGAGCGCTGAGCAAGCGAGTATGGGAAGCGCGGGGAGAAGAGTAAGCAAGACAAACCTTCCGCAGCAGCGATATGCAAGGGGGATGTGCGTCGGACGGGATATGCAGGGCGAGGAGGGTGGGAGAGATAGAGCAAGCGAGGTCGACGCGGATGATGATTGGTGTATGGTGGTACAGATGATACAGTTTACAGGAAGCGAGGGCTGATCGTCGCTGACAGGGTCAGCTCGATATAGTGGTCGGATTGGGAGCGTCGGGCGATGAGGGAGGGCGTCGACGGCGAGGGAGGGCGGGAGCTGAGCGAGGGAAGGTGGGAGAGAGACGGCAGAGGAGGGACGTGCGCAGAACACGCCCGTCCCGATTCCCATCGGGCGGGTCACAAACTCAGCGCGGCAATTACCGGGCGTCTCCCCACGCCTCCTCGTACCCCGCCTTCCTAGATTCCTCTCTCCCGGTCAGCGTCCGCTTCAACATCCCCAGTGCAGAACAACACGCGCGTATTATGATTACTATATCGTAGCCTCAAATATCGTACTGGAGCGGGGCCTAATGTCGCCGCACCACCGCAATCTGGAAGTCCCACCCGCCAAGCACATACTTGAACTCCAGCAGCCGCTTCATCTCCCTCCACGTCCCCGCACTCACGCTCCCCACCTCCTTCTCGTCCGTCACCACGTAGATGAAGTCCGCGGGGGACAGCAGCGACCGCAGCAACGATCCCACCAAGAACGCGATCAGCGCGACGACGACCACCGTTGACAGCGGGTATGTCGTCCCTCCCCGCGTTCCCGTCCGTAACGTCCCCGCGAGCACATCGCTTCCCGTTCTCGGGCTGACAGCACCTAGCGGCGATCTTGCTCCCGCGATGTCTGGGCTGCTCGGGCTGAGCTGTGCACTCGATCGCCGCGACGGGCTGAACGGCAGCGTGTAGCTGTTCAGGAATCGCATCAGCCCATGCCCGGCGCTCTCTTGCGGGTGCGCCTCGGCGATCGACGACGCCGACGATGCCTGTTGCGAGCAGCGACACGATAGATTGCATGTTGAGGGGAGCACAGGCGCAGGGGGCAGAGTGCGCGAAACGAAACAAATTGCAGGGCGGAGCGGGCAGCACGTCAGCGAGCGGTACTTTGACAGATGGCGCGCGGCCGTGAATTACTCACGTTCTCGGCGGCTTCTTCTGTCGCCTCGCATGGCGCGGGCGTACTCTCCGTCTCTTGAGGTTCTGGCGCGTCAGACGGCTCGGGTGCTCTCGCCGGGGCTTCCAGAAGGTGCTGGGCAATGGCCAGGGGGGTCTGCAGCGCTGTCGGCACCTGCTCTTCTGCGGCAACGGACCTGCAGATACGAGGCGTTACGAGCGCGCGTCAGTAAACAGCGCACGCGCGCGCAAGGCACGCCCACACGGCGTGCGTAGGACACCGGGGCGTGCACATGAACGTGGAATGGGCACGCACCGTGCAAGGATATCCGCCTTCGCCGTGCGCGTCTCCAAGAGTTCGTCGCGCCCGAGCGCCGTGAGTGATTCCTTCTCGTTCATCACAGCCACGCGCACCCCGTTCACCGCCACCGCTGTTGCAATCCTCGCGGGCGCATTGTTGTCGCCGCCTGCGAGAGATGTAGGGCGCACGCGAATGTCGATAATCGCGCGGCCGTCCTCGAGGTCGAGAAGCCACTGCGGCTTCTGCGGGGCGCTTCGTGTTTCGCCAGTCAGCGGGTCCACGATCGTCGACATCTGGTACTGCGCAGTGGGCAACGTGAATCGGAGCAAATGGCGCGGGGGTCGGTCCGTGTTCAATCCTGCGGAGTGTAATGGGGACGGCGGTAGCGTATACGCCGCGCAGGCGATAGGAAGCGCAACGTCGTCAGCGCCTGGCACACCGCCCGATTCGTGCTGCCCGGGTGCGGAGACGGGCAGCGCGAGCTGAGCCTTCCCGGACTTCTCGACCCGGGAGCGCAGGAGGACGTCGTAGCCGCCAGGGTACAGTTTTGAGTCGACAATGAGCTCCGAGACGAGTAGATCCACGGGGTGGCGTACCTCGCCGCGGGGCGTGAATATCGTCGAAGACCGCCCGACGAGGTCACGCGCGCGGGGAGAGCGTGAGCGTGCGGCCCTTATCCGACGCTCCGAGGCATTGGCTTCCGGACTGTCGTTAGATGGCTCGGATGCAAGAGATGCCTCTGCTTCCGGAGTCGCGGGCGTACTGTTAGGTCCGGGGAGTATGGTACTTGGCCTGGGAGTCCTATCGTTTGCCGCTGCCGGCGGCGAGAAACTCGCGGCGCCGTTGAGGATGACGACGCTGGAGTAGACCTTGCTGGAGGGGCCGAATGCAGCGGTGAGGAACGTGCGGTTGGTATCCTTTTGGCGGAGCGTCCATCCAGCTTGTGGCGTCCGCAACTTGTCCTCAGGCGGAGGTGCGAGGATGAAGCCCGTCGCGGGTAGACGCATCAACGGCGAGGGCGAAAGGTTCTTCAGATAGGTCTCAACGGCAAGGATGGACTTCGGGAGCATGCCGTTGATCGTCGAATTCATCGCCGCCGGAATGGAGCCCGCATAGTCCACAGCGACCACTCGAGTACACTTAGTGGAAGGGATGGCATAGTTCTCCGAGGAATACGGGTCGAGTGTTTCCAGTATCCACGCGTCAAGGTAGACGCGACCAATCGGGAGGGAGTAGGAGTTGTACTTGGTAGCCGCGAATTGGCCGACCGACTCTGGTGAAAAGGACGCCGTAACACAGAAGATAGCTGACCGAGACTCGCTTGACGAATGGTCGACCTCAGTGGCGCTCCGACGAGCTGCAGGTTGGGAGACGGTCTCGCGTGCGATCAAGGAAGACAAGTAAAATCCTCGGTCCCGGAAAGGGAAACCTCCCTTCATGACGACGAAGGCGGTGTGTGCGTCGGCGCCGTACGCCTCGAGTACGCTGGCGGAGTCGAAACGTGCATCCCACTGCTTCCTGCAGTCGTAGCTCTTGAGAACAGAAGCAACCTCTTCTGCGGCAACGCCTTCGACGACCTTCTCTCCCCGGTGGACTGGGATGACGGATGAGACTTGAGGGTAGACTCTGCGATGCACGGGGAAATCCTTCTCGCTGACGACGGTCCAGCCTTCGGAGGAGGGTTGAGAGTGGAGTTCCTGGACGAAAGATAGAGCTTCCAGCGCGTATTGCATCGGCGGCTTTGCCGAGGACGGCACCGCATCTTCTCCGCCGGCGATAGCGGGGGATATAGCAGCCACGGCCTGCTGTGTGGACGTCGTCGCTTGTTCGACGGCATAGGTGAAGAACTTCGAGAACGATGTCGCGAAGGAGGGCGGGGTAGTCACGAACGATGTAGCAGAGGCGGCGGGGGAGGACCCATTGCTGCTTCCGTTCTCCACGGCTTGAGGATCCTGATCCGCGTCCCATTCAGCCTTACGGCGACGTATAACGCCTAGAACAGGAGGCTGGTCAAGTGGAACGCGCGCAGGCTTGATGCGCTTCTGCTTCGTGATGTTCTTCATCTCCCGCTCAGGCATCTCTTCCAAGTCCACATCGAGCTTGACGCCGTTCACCATGACCAGGCCCTTGTCCTTCGGTGCGCTCACCGGCCCTCTTCGAATGATGGCCTGCAGGCGTTCTTGCTCCGAGAACACGGCGTCGTGGGTGATGGTGAGCCACAGACCCCCGCCTCCACCAGAGAAACGGTGACGACGGAGCGCAGCAATGGACTGAGGCGGTGGATCGACAACGATGTCGAGAGAAGATGCCCAAGTGTCTAGGTCGCAACGAATCTCGCATTCGATGACCGGCAGCGACGGCGAAGAAGCACCTCGACCGATATCCGCTTCGCCTGACACCCGTCGTTTCGCGCAGCCCTCATATTCCACGCGGAAGTTACCGCGTTCGTGGTCGTAGCGTATTTGGTTCGTCTTCGCGCCCTCAAGCCGGGTAACGATGGGCGGGCCACCGCACTTAATCGCGAACTCCCCGATACCGGCGAGAGCGGTGATCATCTGTTGCGGAATCGTCCCCTTGTTCGACCATCCTTTGGGATCGGACTGCTCCAGCAAGGTGACGAGGACCGTGTTCGGGGACAGCGCCTCGATCGACCAGCCTTGTAGGTCCACCTGCGTTCGGATGACGTTCGGGTCCACAGGCGGGATCTGCGGGAACAGATTTGGATCGTCGGCAGAGAAAGCGAACACGTGGATCGTCGTCGGGGACTTGTATACCGTCTTGAGCACGACCATATCCCGACCGCTAGTGCGCGGACAATTGTCAGCATCGCCGTAATCATGATGCCCAGTGACAATTCTTACTTGACTGGCCACGCAGGCTTAGTCTTGAAGTGCCACAGTTCCGTCAGCTCGTTCACGTCCTCCAGCAGCGTAGCGTCTTCGTACAACTTGTCCCAATATGAACGCGCCCCAGGGGTAGTGATGGCAGCATACAGGTCCCAGAGACCAATGCCGACGAAAGTGGCCTCTCCCCGATAGACCACCAACGTCGGGTCGATCGAGTCCAATTGCGAGACCGACACGCCTCGCGCCTCCACAGCTGAGGGATTGTCAGCGAAATGCGCGATGCACTAAGCGCATATACTGACTCTGTTTCCATTTGGCCTCCGGCTCTTGCAATAGCGAAGAAAAGTAGATATAATTCCGCTTCACTCTTGACAGTATAGACTTCTCTGCGGCTGCAGACCGCTCCGTAAGTGTCCGCGAAATTTGAGGACGATCGCCGCCGACAGTGGAGGCCCTCGATGTGCTTGTGGCGGTGGTGGCGACAGAAGACTGCGTATGGAAGCTCTTCTCCGCCGTACTCGACGCGTCCTGGAACATGGACTGCGAGATGAAGAAGGACGCGGGGTCGCGCGCTTCGAGTTCTTCAATCGATTGCGGTATGCCGTTCAAGCGGAGTCCGCTAGAAGGCCCCGAGAGCTCGACGACGACCCGAACTTTCAGCACAGAGTGATCGTTCGGCAGAGACGCATGCTTCACCGCGAAGACGAACTTCGGCTGGTCTACAACCCCTGCGTCCACGCTCGATGATGCTGATGGCGGTCTGGTGGCATGGGCCGTCCAAGGGAGCTGCGACACTTCGGCTGACCCCTTCGTAGACAGCTGAACGTCCCAACCGTGGGCGGCAGGTAACGAGAACTCGACCGAGCGAGTGAGCCTTCGTATCTCCCGTATGGTATGTAGCTCCTCCAGGCTGTGTTCTGTTGGTGGCGGATGGTCTTCGTCCTCAGGAACGATGGAATAGTCTACAGTGAGCGCTTCTCTGTCGATGGCGAAGTGTACGCGTTCGATAGATACTCCGTTCCCGTACCCCGTGAGGAGCGGGACGCGTGCGCCACGCTGCTGCACGGTCTTGAATAAGCCTACGGTCATTGCACCCAGCTGCTGCCCGAAGTTCGAGCCTGAGCCGAGATTCCATAGCAATCGAAAACTATGTTGCCAGAAGCAAGTGATGTGCAATTTCGAAGGAAGAGGGTTTGGGAACCCATTCTGCTCGCTTGGCTGTGGTTGTATGCGCTGTATGCACCAAGCAAACACTAGCCGAAAAGGATAAGAGAGGTGACGGAGTGAACCACACTGTGGACTCACATGTGACATCAGAGCGCACATATGGAGGAGAGGGTCGCAGGTAAGTCGGCTCGTCCGGGGAACGAGGAAGCGAGGTAGAGATGTCGATGAGGGTAGTGGCATCGTTGAACGTGCGTGATATTGTGACCGCATCCCGAGGACTGTCTACGAGTTGGAGCGAGATTGAGAAAAGCATATAACATGCACTCACTTCGAAGGCCAGCCCAACCTAAAGTTAACCTTCGAGATCCGCGTCGCCTGGTCGAACATTTCGAGTAGCTGCGCGCCCTCAACCGCCGGATCCCACTCTCTCCGCAGCTCTGGCGTCACTAGCACAGACTTCCACGTCTCCAGGGAAATTGGTTCGTCGCCTATGGACACCTCCAGGACGGCGCGGTAAACGTTTTCCCCCGACTTGCTTGCGCGGCGGTGAACGAGAACATCTGTGACTTCCGGTACGCCAGATGCACGCCCCTTTCCCTTCGTCGTCGGGGCAGCACCATCGTTCGTGACTGGCAGGCGCTTCCAGTCAGAAGATGCATGGGAGGTGAGAAGCTGCCTAAAGTGCGCCTGTGCATTGTCGAGTGCGGCGTACCACGACTCTCGCAATCTGTACATTGATCAGCAGGAATCACGTATTAGACGTCACAGATGCATACCGGGTACCGTCCATGGTGTTTGTGTTTCGTTAAGTCGTGATAGGTCGTGGTTGAGCGACTCGAGAAAGTCGGAAGGTGGAACGATGAGCGCCTTGCACGACGTCGTGGGGTTGATCGGGGTACACGTGAATGGCACCGATGACACGTTGCCTCCGCAAGTATTATGACACTTTACACAGCGCGAGGTGTGTCGAATGTTCCCCTCGTTGCCCCCGGAGAGCGAGGATCGTAGGTTTACAGCCGTAATAGTGCGGTCCGAGAGTACACGCCCCCGTAAGGGACCGTCAAAACAGAATTAGATCCGAACACACAGTCAAGACGCGGGTAAGCAGATGATCCCAGAGAGCACGTCCAGCAGACCAGAGGATGGGGGAAACGGCGACGAGCAGTAGTCTGCCAACGTCGGGTCCGTCGATGACGGCGGGAGAGGGGAGAGCTGATTCGCGTCATATTCCCATTTACGGGTTACCTAGCTTAACGTGCTTATCCAAGCGTATAAATTAACAATTTTCGGCAACCAAATTCATCTCCGCGAACCGCCCGCGAGATCGAGTCACTTGGATGAGGAAGTCGCTGAAAGCGTCGGGCGGGGCAAGGGCGGCAGCGGCGCGAGCGAGGCTTCCAGCAGCACACCACCTCCGCACACGATGGCGAAAGTCAAGGGACGCATCCTGAGCATCCAGTCCCACGTTACATACGGATACGTCGGCGGGAAGGCCGCGGTCTTCCCTCTGCAGTGTCTCGGGTACGATGTCGACGTGAGGAATATCTGATCTGCATTGCCGCGCCGCTTCTAGGCTGTCGAGGACCCTTTCACTGACGCACTTGCGCCGGACACAGGTCGTAAACACCGTCAACTTCTCCAACCATTCCGGTGAGTTTGCTGTGCCCTGGTTCCTTGCAATGGCCGAAGGCTGACAAGATGCAGGATATGCCCGATTCGGGGGATCGAGGGCCTCTGCGGGCGAACTCGAGCAGATCTTTGGCATCATGGAGCAAAATGAATTGCTTCGACAAGAACGATTGCTGACAGGTCAGTGGAACCAACGAGTTATGTTACGGGTGGCTGATTTTCGTGTAAAGGATATATACCCGGAGCGGAAGCTACGGCGGCAGTTACCTTGTTCGCGAGAAAACTCCGCGAGAGGAACCCTAAGCTCATATATCTCTTGGACCGTGAGTAAAGCTAGTGATTGCTATTGAAAGCTCAAAACATTAACGACTAATTCAGCGGTCTTGGGTGACTCGGGACGACTGTATGTCGCGCCAGAGGTGGTGCCTATCTACCGAGAGGCACTTCCCCTCGCCACCATAATTACGCCGAACTGGTTTGAAGTCGAGTACGTTTTGTATTACCTCTTGAGGAACGACCTCTCATCGCCATAAAACAGGGTCCTCACAGACATCAAAATGATAGACCCGTCTTCCCTTCGTCGGGCCATACAAACGCTTCACGACGTCTACCACGTACCCCACGTCGTCATCAGCTCCATACCCCTCAGGCAATGGCTAACCGGGCTCCTTCCTGCACACCTGCGTCCCCCGACGGAGTCAGCCGACGCCGACTACCTCGCATGCATTGCCTCTTCTCGGACGGAGACCCCTGGTGCCTCTGCCGTATATGCAACATGCTTCCCTTGCCTTCCGGGTTACTTCTCGGGCGTCGGCGACCTCTTCTCGGCGCTCGTGTTGGCCCACTTCGACGAAGCGAACGCGGAAGGCACCGACGGCGAGTCGCCGCTGTCTCGCGCTGCCTCCCAGGCAGTCTCGCAAACGCACGCGATGCTCTCGCTGACCCACGAAGCGTCTATGGCACTACCAGAGGACGAGCGGCAGGTGACGGACGAGGAGCTGGACGTGCGCGAGCCGATGCGCAAAATCAAGCGGATGAGAGGGCGCGAACTGCGGCTCATCCAGGGCCAGGACATCATCCGCGGGACGCAGTCGATTAAATATAGACGTCTGGAGCCGTGGACGAACTTCTGGGCAGCATAGAGCCAAGGAGTCAATGGTATCGAGGGGGATATTAGATAGATTGCGGCGGAAAGGTGCCGATGTACAGAGTGTATCTTGGCCTCGCCACGATTATAGGTCGTGTAAACTAGCGGTGGGTGGTGGTACAATTCGTGGGCTGGGTATAAGTACACCGTTCATGTGAGATCGAGCAGCAGGGTTCCCGTAACGAGTGAGTGGATATACAGTTCATGGTTCCGCTTTCTCTTCAGCTTCTGGTTGTGCGGGACGCCTCCGCCTCCTACGAATGCAAAGACCTAGAAAAATGACAGCCGCAAGGAGCGCTGTCCCTAGAAGAGCGCCTAGGACTTCCGCCGCGATATCTCCGCTAGTCTGTCCAGAGCTCGTCGGTGTCTGGGTGGGACTGGGTATAACGATGGATGGAGTGACCGATGGAAGTATGGTGGCTGAAGGTAGAGGAGGAGAAACGAATGGTGATGTACTGACTTCATCAATATCGCATCTTAGCGGGAAAGAAATCCGCAGCTCACTTGTTGTCGGAGATAAGGACGGCGATAGAGTCTATATCCAGATGCGTCGAAATATTGGACGCGACAAACGCAACTGAGAGCGTGGTGACAATGTCCTCGGGTAGACCGATGATAGATATGGAGTCGACGGAACTGTTCAGCTCCGATCTGACTGACACAATTGGGTTGGTCATGCTGGACACGGTGACATTTGCGATGGCATTGGATGACGGGGACGTCTTGACGAAGAGAGCACGAGCTACAATTTCAGACATGAGCACGCGACATCTATTTGCGTTTAACTTGACGGATTGCGGAAGCTACGCACCTCTCACAGACAGAAATATCTGCGGAACTAGCCCTCCGCTGCCATCCGTGGGCCCCGATGTGGTGGTGAGCGTGCCGCCAGAGGCATTCTGTGCAGCAACGATGCGCCTGCGGACGATCGGGATCGAGACAAATATCGGCTAAGGGCGCAATACAGTGAGAGTAGATCGAGCTGTACGCACCATGCACTATCGCAGGTCTCGGTCTCGGTTCCAGCCGAAGAAAGAGTCAAACCGCACGCCGAGGGGCTGTAGATGATCTGTGAAGCGGTGTCCTCGAGAGTGATGTTGACGTCGGCTCTGACAAGTGCGATGAGGAGCAGGACGACGAGGAGTGACCAGACCAGTACAGCCTGCCTCTGCAGGAACATGCTGGCACCGGGCAGGCTGTCATGAGAGGGGAGTCCGGAGTGATGAGGGCTGGGATCCGGAGAGGCGGTGGCGAACGGTGCGCCTATCCGTCATGGCAACGTGAACACGACATTCCAAGCTTGACGCCGGATTTAGCCTTCCAAACTCCGGCCATGGGAGCCATACAAGCGTGGAAGTCTCGACCCGCAGGGATGCATGGCCAATACTGCGGTCGTTGTGCTGCTGCGTGGTAGAGAGACATGGATGGCGCAGTTGTCGGAGGAGTCCAAGACATAGCTCTCGCAGTGGCAACGTACGTTACCCCAGTTCTATAAAGACGTCCGGGGTACATAGCGCCGGTGTGTGCGGCCCGGGCCTCGAAATCCAAAAAAGTATTTATCAGACAGATTTGCCGGTTGATTGGGCAAATTGGTGACAGAAATTGAAATGGCTGGCAATTGGCTGGCAACGTCGGACTCGGAGTCTCGGTCGTGGTCGCTGCCTCTCTTGCCCTCAGCCTCACGCCCGCCTCTGCCTGCACCCCCTCTCCGAGCTCGCAGGCCGCTCACAGTCCCTCCGCGGGACGTTCACTCTTTTTCATCACGTTCTTTTGCCTCTCGGTCTCACAAAAACAACGAAATGTCGGCCCAGTTCCTTGTCGAGAAGTCTAGCGTCCATCGCCGCGGCCTAGCGGGAGGTGTCCGCCGGTTGAACAAGCGTTGGGTCTACACCCCGACGGCGATCTTCACCACGGATACGGACATCTTGCTCCCTACCACTACCTCGGATGTTGCTGGTGAGTACATCATGTCCTGTGGGTCGTTTTTGCCGAAATGTCGCGTCGCGTTGCCCAATTATCACGGTCGTTCTCCTTCGCCTCGCCATTTTGAACATTCATCTGGGCGACAAGAGACTTGTTGTCCCATCTCGCGATGCTCTACACTATTCCAACGCGCGTGTACAAGCTGCGCGAGTGCACTGTTTTTGAGCTCGCGGACGCGTCCTGGCGCCTGCTATCTTGGATAGATAGACTGAAGCAAGACCGTATATGCTAACAACTTTCGTTAGCTGACCCCAACGCTACTGTCACAACGTCTGCCATTGTGCCGACCACTTCGGCCACGGGCATAATTCCGGTTGCGTCCACAACCAGCTCGTCCACCGCTGTCGCCGCCGCAACGTCCACTCCCGCCACTACGTCTGCTACGGTCGCTACGCCTGTGCCCACCACTACGTCTACCTCGAGTGTTGCACCAACCACTACTCAGCAACAGCAAGCCCAGCAAGCTGCTACGACTCCGGCGACCACCCAAGCACCGACCACGACCACCCGGACGGTGGCCAATGCTCTCACTGAGGTGACTCAGACGTTGACTTCCACTCGTGCTGGCAGTGCAGCTGCAGCTTCAAGCGCTATTGCGAGCCCGTCGGCGTCCACCACTCCTACTTCCACAACAAGCCCTGGGTTGGTTGGGGGTGGTATCATCGCAGCTGTTGTCGGTGTTGCTGGTATACTGTTCGCTGTGGTTTACTTCATCGTAAGTCGAATGCCTGGTAGATCAGGGCGACTGTTGTTTAACGATATCCATGCAGCGCCGTTCACGCAAGACTAATGACGATGAGGACGATGGAAATGAGTTTAACGCTCAGGCTTTCCGGCGTCAATCTGTCGTGCTCCAAGACGATAACTATCCGGTTATGAGCCGCGCCATGACTGTCAACCGCAATGGCAACACGCCCCGGCCTCCGACTATGATTGAGCGCAAGATGGCCAACACCCCGGCTCCGTACGACGTTCCGGCGATGTCTCATCCTTACGGATACTCAGGCGCTTATGGCCAGCCGTCCTTCGCTCCGGGTCAGGTTATGACCCCTGGTCCGTACACTCCGACCTCAGTCAATTCGGCCAACCCCTTCTTCTCGCCCTACGGCGACTCACCCATTGGTACTCCTGTCTCTGTCGCAGCATACAACACTGCATACACTGAAGATGGACACGCGATCTCACGCCAGCCCTCCAATGGCTCCTCTGCTATCCTCTCTCGCCAACCGTCGTCCGCTGCTCTTTCTACGCCGCCGGCAGTTGACGGAGCGCAGTATGTTGACCTGAACCGGTCCAGTGTGACGCCCTTCCAGGCCGCCCAGTATGCCGAGATCTCCCGCCGCCTGAACACCAACCCGCCCCAGCCTTTGCCCGCTTCTGAGGTCGCGGAGGTTGCAGAGGAACTCGCCGAGCACGAAGGAGCCGCTCCGGTACTGTCCCCGAGGACAGTTGAGCCTCTTGAGCTCCAGCCGACACTGAGCTTTGACGAGCCGCGGCGCTTCACCGTACAGCCGACGCCGAAAGAGAGCGCCTTCCCCGAGTCGCCCTTCGCCGACCCGACTATGAGCTTCCACGAAGAGCAATTGCAGCACGCCCCGGAGCGCGATTCGTTCCCCATGCCGCCGTCGCCGACGTACTCATCGAAGTCGCGCGTCACATCCAAGCCGCCTACGCTCCCGGAGATCCAGATCCAGCAACGCCCCTTCTCGCCGGTGTCGCTCGACTTCCCGCTCGTGCCCTCAACGCCGCACGTCGCGCCCTCGCCGCTCGGCTCGACGTTCACCATGCCATCACCTCCCGCCGACGCACACTTCTCCGAGCCCGCTTCTCCTGCCACACCCGTGTCGCGCGGCCAGGTCGTGCCGATGAGCAAGCGGCCGGACACGGTGTACACCCTCTACGATGAGGACGACGCCTACGCCGGTATCTGAACCAGCAGACTTGTATCACCACCATCCGCGGCTTCCCTTCTCGCGATCTGACGCGCCCACTGTGGCGCGTTTCGGCGCGGAGGTGCACGCGTTGTAGCATTGCTCCCCTGTTCGACATCTGTCTTGTCTTACTTATCCTTTGGTGTGTGTCCCTGTGCTTGTGTTCCATTGGCGTAATTATGCGGCGGCGGGGCAGAACTGGATTCTCTGGGCGCGCGAGCATGCACCTCGTCCTTCGCCTGTCACTTCCACCCATCCCTGCCCAGCGTAACGGCTGCCGGCTCCTCCTTCTCCCTGTTTGTGCTACCCATGCTCGCTCCCTCTGGCGGTTGATCCTCTTCCTGTGTTTCACGGCTCTAGATGAGATCCCCCTACAGTACACCCCGGTTCGCTCTAATGCGGGCCCTCCTTCCCTCCTCTCTCTCTCTGTTCCCCTCTGCGTTCCGTATCGTTTGGTGTCGCTCCTGCCCGCGTTCGCTCCTTCACTTCCTCTTCCGTGCGGGCGGAGCCGTGTCGCTTTGCTCGATTGGCGTAGGTACCTGGGAAGCCTCCTCCGTCTCCACTGGGCAACGAGCCGCTACAATCTCGTCGATACCTCGTTTACGCTTATTACCACAATTTCTATGTTCATGTCACGCCGAAGATCTATGCGGCCATAATACCATCTGTTGGCCGCAGTGTACACAAAACGCGGGAGGTAGTGAGCGTGCACGTTGTACTGCAGCACCTGCTGTGCATCGATGCTTCTTGTGCGAATCCTACGGTGCCCCTTTTGGTGTTTGGCTAACTTGCACACGAAGAAAGGCGCTGCACGACGCACACCCTCATGGGACCTATGATTTCTTTGAGATAGTTGCTTGCCTGACTCGGCAGCGTCGTCACAGATTGCTCTCGTCTTCGTTAGTTTCCTTAGAGTGCGGACTGGGTTTCCAAAATTGTTCGTTAAACAATGACACTAGAGTAACAGACATCACTGAGGTGTACGAGTCCTTCCCTGGGATTCAGTAGCACGAATACCACGGAACATAACATATCGTACAACATACCACGGGATAGCCTGGGTATCAACTCGAGCACACAGACAGCATATACTAGACAGCTCCTCGCACGACCAAGGTCCAGGACTTCCGCTCCTCATGGACGCCCTGTCGGCGACGCCGGAGACTTGCTGTCCGGGAACTTCGCGTCAAGCGCCTTCCCAATCTGCACGCTCTTCTCCGACAACTTCCGCTCCAGCACCGCCGCATGCGCCTCGACATACTGCCCGAGCGCCCTCCCCCCAACCTCCAACAGCTCGCCCAACCGCTTGAACAGGCCCCCCGCGATCTGCGTCTCCTCCACCCGGTCGAGCCCGCTGATCCCGACCGTAATCCGCCCATGGCGCGTGCGCACGAACACCCTGTCCCCGTCGTCCGGGCCCGGCTGCGACGGCGACATCGGCGGGGCAGGCTTCGGCCTGCCCGGCTCCTCGGGCGCGGTGCACACGACGAGCGTCTCGCGGTCGCCCGCGCGCAGCGTGCGCGTGCGCGCGGCGAAGGCGGGCAGGAACGAGACCGCGCCCGCGTTGCGCGTCTCGAACATCAGCGGGCCGTCGTACGTCGGCGGGAGGAGGAGCGTGATCTTGCCGTGCCGCGACTCGACCTGGAGGTCGACGCTCCGCCCGGGCTGGGCTTCGAACTGCGGCGCGGGTATGTTAGCTTCGGAGTGTGGGGTGCCTGCTGCGTGCGGTGGAAGGGGCTTACTAAGTTCAGATTAATGCGGCCGTGCCGGGTGGACACGACGACTGTGGCGGGCACTTTGGGCGTGCCCGGCGGTGGGATGGCGGGGGACTCTGCGACGACGGCGAGGTCGAGGCTGATAGCACCGTGGCGCGTGCGGAAAGAGGCGTTGATGTCGGAGGTGCCGCGCCCGTCCTTGCCCCAGGCCCGATTGCGCTTCCTGCGCTGTTTGCGTAGTGTACTCGGCACCGGTCCGACCGACGGAAGTGTGGGGTCAATGAGATACGTTCCTGCACGGTTGGGAGTTAGCAGGAGAGTTCTGTGATGTGCACACAATATCCACATACCTTCAATGGGAATATGCTTCGAGAACACCTCGAAGTAGTTCACCGTTTGCGCATTTTGTGGCCGGAAGATGGTGCTGCTGGGCGAGCGCGGCACGGGCACAGATCGCGGCGGGGGTGGCGCAGCTGTACTGGGACCAGCAGCAGGCGAATACGGGGGTGGCGGTGGCAATTGGTCAAGTTGGGAAATTGGCTGTTTACAGGAGCTATCAGACTTCCAAATCCTTGCAGCTCAAGTGTTGTGGGCTCACCGGTGGTCGCGAACGATCCTTAGGGGGCAGTGCGGGTGCGCCCTTGAGCTCAGTGTCGGGCTCGCTGTTGTTCGCGATGATCATGGTCGCTTGGGATTTTGTGGTGGCGGGAGGAAGAGAGGAGTTCTCCAGGGATATCAGTGAATGATGGCGATATATAAGGGTGGGATGGACAGGACGATCGACTGCGCGGGTCGTGCGCAGGGCCTGTCTACTCTAGTAGCGCCCCTCGCCGCAGAGCTTACGCACAGCCTCCGATCAACTGCGCCGAACCCATCTTAATGTACCTCCTCGGAGTACACTCGGACCTGTCTAGTCTAACATAGTTCTGGGCAGTACAGCGTGGGTGCAAAGAGGCTACGCAACCCGTACCGACACTCAATACTTATTACTAGAGACACCCAAGGATTGTGGATGAAAGAAAGTTCAAGAAACCGAGTGGGTCAGTGAACCAGGAGTAATCGTAGATCATGAGCCGAGCGAACAATATATCGGCACGAGGTCGATGGCGAAAGTAGTCAGCGCGGCTTGTATATCACCGCCACCATGACGAGCCGGGAGACGGAACAGCGAGGAGAGCTTGCCGTAAACTGCGCAATGCGCACGGTGATAGCAGGAACGTTGGATGCGAACGTGCAGACGTGCGGAAAACATACATGATACCCAAAGGACCGCCCTATGTCGACCCCTTTCTCCGCTTCATCTCACGATACAGCCTGATAACCCGGTCGCGCTCCTCCTCCATCATCGCCTTCTGCGCCATCGACAGTACGCCGTCCTTGAGGGATACTCCAGTCTTCGGCGTGCCGCCAGCCGCCGCCAGCTTTTTCGCCTTGCGCGGGAGCTGCTTGATTTGCGGCGGTGCTTGCACAATGTCGTTCAGCCGCTTCGGCGCAGACGACGACACCCGCTCGAACTCCTTCGCCTTCCCGTCGTGCTTCGTCTCCGGACGGCGTAATGGTACCGCGCGTTCGCTCTTGTCTTCTGGTTTTGGTTTTGACTTGAGTTTTGACGGAGGTTCGTCGTCGTCGTCGCTACCGTCGGATGTCTTGGTAGATTTTGCAGCCTTAGAGCTAGCAACGGCAGCCTTCTTTTCGGCCTTCTTCTGCGCAAGCTCCTCCTGCTCCTCCTTCTGCGTCCGCCGCATCTTCGCTGACGAACTTTGCATGGCCTCTTTCACCGTATGCCGCAGCGAGTCCTCCACCCGCCTATGTCCCAGTTTAAGCCAAACGGCGCCCCAAAGGAAACAGCGATACACGCACCGATTGAAATGCCCAATCGACTCTCCAGGCTTTATGCGCAGCGCATTCGCTCCCTCGTTCTGGCCGCCCGCGCCGCCCTTCTGCTTCTTGCGAGACGGTCCCGCGCCGTCCGCTTCATCACGCTGCTTGCGCTTCTTCTCCGCGAACTCCTGCTGGATCTTCGCCGCGTTCAGTACGCGCGCGGCACCTTTCGGGATCTCTTCGTTCTCGATCGACTTGCGTACGCCGGGTACGAGGTCCGCGCCCCTGCATAGTGTGAAGCGTAAGGAATGGTGATGGCTATTCTTGTGATTCGGAGTGAACGTACGATTCGGCGCGAGTTTTCTCCCGGACGGAGCGTTTTGCACGTTTATGAGGCATCGCTCAGTGTGTTGGATGCCGTCAGTTTTGGAGGGTTATGAGTTGTCGACCCGGTATCAGAACAGCACTTAAGGAAATGTTAGACTTTACAGGAGCCTCAGATACTTTCGAAGATGAAGAAATAGAGGCGTGAGCGGGAAGGAAGGTGTGGTGGTTCGGGACAAGCGCTCATTTTGGCAGATTGTTGCCTCGACTTCCGAGAAAGTCGGACTTGTCAATACTATACCTGAGTAACTTATAAACATCGATTCTGGCGGCAACCGTGCATGGCTATAACATTGGGAGCTACGAACATCATTTTCTTAGATATACTTATGTGAGTACTTGTCTACGATACTATTCGCACATACGGAGACGTGAAGCCTGAGCCGGATAAATACGCGACTTCAAGTCTGTGTTGTATCACAGTCTACAAATGCGATGCTTCGCGGATGCTCTGGTGCACTATCATTGGTATGGCCGAGTGGTGAGCGTATCGCCGTGAGCGCGACAATTGGAAGTGCTCGGGGGAGAGGCCGACGGCCGACTTTGCTGCTGACTTCCGGCCAGGGCACGGCGTAACGCATTTATATTTGATAGCTATGTTCGTACAAGGGATGAAATAGCAGATATGAGTGCCTAGCAAGACTAACCCGAACGCGTACCTTGTTCGTGTTCAAACGCGCACCGTACCATACGAGCCTGCCGAATGTGTGATGATGGGCACCGGGGACCAGGAGGGGTGCTCTCGACTGCCACCTTGTCCAGAAGCGACTGCAGTAGCGGACGGAACCCGCTGCGATTTCCGCAAGACTTTGGAAAGTATGCCATACAACCTTGCCGAAACGTGGGTCAGTACACAACGTGTCAAGCAGGCACCGAACTTGAAGGTTGGACGCCCACACCGGCGTCCCATATATAACAAATTCCGGTCGGAAGAAGTCCGACGGTCCACAATACGCGCTGGGCAATGCTACATTGTCACAGTAACCACCATAGATATGCGTGGGCTATCGTGGCAGCACCGTGAAAAGGTCACTGCCAGTCATTCATGCTTACAGGGAAGTACGGAAGCACGACAACTTGGAGCGGGATGCACTTGTCCAAATGCGCAGCCCTGGGCGGATGGAGCACCTCGACCAGATGTGGAAGGTATACCGCCAGTGACTACAGTCGGCAGGCTGCATGGGCCATCCGGTATGCTCCGCCGCTTACGGCCAAGGGGGTTCACTCCGGCATGCCGCTCGGGGAGATGACAAAGAGGGCGTCGACGACGAACCTTACTCGGAGAACGTCATCTGCTACCCCTTCCGGGTGTCGGTACAGAGAAACCTTCATGGTCACGAAGACGAACGCTCCAGATATCCAGCGGACAGCAATTGAGGACGATGAAGGTGCACACCTGCTCTCCGCCGACGACCTTCTGGAGGTACTCGAGGGCACCGTGGTGGCCGCCCGGCTGCAGGAGAGACAATAGGACACAGAGCCGGTGAGGGAGTGGATACAGCGCCGTCTAGGTCATGAGAACAGCCGGCGTGTCCTCTCCCTGTACGACTGGCAAACAGAGGCTGCAGACCTGCCGGGCGGTTTGTCCAAGAACCTCGCGAATCTGGTCCTCGGCGTCGCCCTCCTCCTCCAGCAGAGCCGAGACGCCAGCGCAGACGCCCCGGCACACCCTGTCCCTTCCAGTACCAACACCCGCATCTGGGACCTCATCCGCGACGCAGTCGCAGATGGATCCCTCGGCGTGGTCCCCAAGCGCACGGCGCATGGCTTTTTCGCCGTTCCGCTTTGCAGCCGCCTCGACGCCGAAGGGCATGTCACCGCGCTCGTCTCCCTCCACGTATGGCTGGCGGACGGCGAGCGCAGCAAACAGGACCTAAACGCATACTCCTACCAGTCAACGGCGCGGAGCTGGGTGTTGGCCGGAAGGGGAACGCATCATGTCCATGAGGCGACCCACGTGGCGTATGACACAGCAGGGAGTGGAGGCGGAGAAGAAAACAGGAGAACAGGACACGAGACTCACCGAAAGCCTTCGTTCGTGGAGAACAAGAGTGTCATAATCTGTGGCAAGGAGATGCGCGCGGAAGTCTATATGCGGGACATGTCGTACGCCGTCCCCGCAAACTCGTACCACCGGACGGAGGTCGATCCAGAGGAGATCTACGCGACGCTGTTCCACCTGGACGGGCCGGACGGCGCAGTCGGGGACGCTCGCGCACTTGGACCAACCAACAGCGCCGAGTGCATCTCGGAGCAGACGCACCGCCCAGGAGAGTACACCGCCGCTCGGTTTGTGAACGTGGTCGACACCCTCCGTCGCTTCGAGCTGCTGATACAGGAGGGCCGTCAGCGTGCAGGTGAAGCAGAGTGGGAGCCGGCACAGCGAGCTATCCGAGACGCGATCGACGTCTGCAGCTCGCCCACTAGCGCCCTCGTCCACGAACTGCGGTATCTCGCCATCGCGGTCGCAGAGCTGGGGAATATCAGCCGACGGTTCGGGCACTACGATCGCGCCCGGACCATCCTCGAGGAGCTGTTATCCGCGATGAGGAAGCCAAGCTTGCTGTGCGCCGAGATATATGGGGAGCTCGGCGTCATCTGCCGGCACTTGGGGAAGCTGGATGAAGCGAAGGACGCGCTCGAGGCCCAATACATGATGGCGAAGGAGCTGGGCTGGGAGCGCGGCACGTGCAGAGCGGTAGGGAATCTAGGCATGATCAACTACCAGCTCTCACAAAACACGCACGACGACGGGCTGTTGGACGCGGCGACCCGGCAGCTGGAGGAGAGGGTTGAGCTGGCACGGCGTCTGAAGGAGACGACCGACGGTGGCAAGGCTCCGGACTGGAACAAGCTCACCGCCTGGGAGGGCATCGGGCTCGCCCGATTGTCGTTGTGCCACACCGCGCGGGGGAGCTTTCACGAGGCGATCGAGGCCGCCCGAACATCCCTTGACTGCAACTACGCTTCGGGGGATCCGACGGTGATAGCTATGTCCCGCCTCTTCTACGGCCGAGCCCTGTTGCTTGAAAGGCGGCGGGATGAAGCTCTTGCGGCGTTCAATCCACCAGGCACATGCACTCCGGCCATGGCGCTGTGCAAAGAGCCATCTGAAGAGTACCGCGGGTATCTGGGCGCACTGGTGGCGGACGTAGGAGTGCACTTAGACGTGCTCGACGAACAGGGGTACAGCGCGCTGGACTACGCGGTCTTCAGCGGTGACGGCGAGACTGAGCGCCTCGTTATCCAGGGCCTCCAGCTCAGGCTTCCAGGGAGCCAGGTCGAACGGCACCGAACTGAGGCCTATCTGCGGAAGGGCTACCGCGAGCTATTCCAGGAGGCCCTGCGACCGGTCCTCCTCGAGAGCAAAGACCACAACGGGCTCCAGCGTTTGAGAGTGGCGTACGCGGATGCGCTGGCCGCGGACGAGTCGAAGGGAGAGCTCTTTGATCGCCTCAAGTTCGTGCGGTACAGGGACTTCGAGAAGTTCGGGCGGCTGCCCATGTCGAGCGAGGGCCGGACGCAGGTATTCAACCCGAAGAAGGCGGAGGAGGGTGGAGAAGCCAACTACATCGTCTTCTTCTCGTACACGTGGTGCTGGAACAAGAGATTGGGTATCCCATCACCGGACGACGAGGAACACACCCAATACCGCCGCATGCTCGGGGCCATCAAAGCCTTCTTAGAGTTGCGTCCCAGTATAGATCCGAACCGGCTTGGTATTTGGCTTGTAAGTCCCGTCTTCGTGTGCGTTACAATATTTGAACTCTCCGCTGATGAGTTTGTCCAGGACTACGCCTGTGTCGACCAGCTCTCGCCTGCAGCAGGTGTCAACGCGCTGCCTCTGAACCTGATGCAGTGCAATGCCGTCATCAGCCTCTTTGACGAACGCTACTACTCACGCGCGTGGTGTTCCCTCGAAGTGTTGATCGTGCAGACGTTGCGAAGGGCGTGGCGCATGCACTCCTGGTTCGTGTGCGACAAAGAGGGCACGTTGAGCGAGGCGCCACACGGGTTCGATATCGATATGACAGGCAAGGACTTGACTTACGAGGACGAGCGGCCGAAACTGGAGTTCCTAGAGAGGCAGAGCAAGTTATTAGGGTAGACGATGCGTAGGCTCGTAAACAAACCTCACGTTTAAGTGGGGAAGAGCGATGCGTAGTAGCTTCGCTTGTCTGGTTCGATGCTGTGTATTAGTGTCTGAACAAGTTGTAGCGATCGAAAATCTCCGATGAGAAGTGAGCCCCATTAAATGTCCAGCTGAGGATGTTCAGTATGCATCGTCTAGCGAAAGTCAATTCGAACTCACATGTCCACTATCCTCAAGGGATGCCATGTCGCGGACTTGACGCACGCGGGTGCAACGACTAGAGAGGAGAGCCGCGGACCTTTGATATTATATCTGTACGAGCGAATAACAATATTGATAGCGATATAAAAGAGACAGCACTACACCGACCGCGGACCCGAGCTCCGCGCGTCCAACAACCTGCGCACCCTCCCGTCACGACGAAACCCCAACCTGCACCCACTTCCACTGCTGCGCCTGCAGTTTCCAGCCCTTGCGCATGCCGTTCTCGACCTCGCTGCTCAGCACGTGGATGCCGTCCGGCAGGAACTCGAAGTTCTCCTCGCTGAGATTGTGGTGCAGGATCTGGATCGGTCCGTTCGCGTCGTCCGTGGCCTCCGTGGACTCGTCGCTGGCCTTCGACGGCGTTGGGGTCGGTTCCTTGGAGGCACCATTCGCAGGCGCATCTTGCAAGGCATCCGGCAATGGTGTGAGAGTGGAGCCGTTCTCGGTGATACTTGGCGTCGGAGTGGTAGTGTCCGTAACCGGTAGCGCGCTTTCGTGTGTCTGAACGCCGTTCGGTTTCGGAACTTCCAGCGCCTCCGAAGCAGGAACGGCTTGCTCCTGGGAGCCTTGAGCCTTCGGTCGAGGACGCGGGAGCTTCCCAGCCGTGCCACCGGCGGTCGTGAGGACAGCGATCACATACCGGCGACCACCACCGTCGCTTCCATCCCCCGCGTTCTCCTTGTCGCTCTCACCCTCTCCGGACGGTATCTGACCGCGCTGCGAGATGAGGAAGCTCTCCCACATCGTCTCGACGACGACGGCGCGTTGCTCGGAGAGCCCGTCGTCGCTACCGGCGTCGGTTGCGGGCTCTGACGTCGCGTTCTCCGGAGACGTCCCAACCTTCCTACGTTTGTTGGGACGGGACTCGGCGACTGGTTGGGGGAACAGGACATCGCGCAGAGCATCCGGATGATATTTAAAACTGCACCCGCGTGTCAATTACGGTGCCTCCCGGGTATACATATATTGTCGACTCACCCAATTTCAGGCCAGCTCGCGTCGGTGCCGAAGACCATGATGCGCGTCGAGCTGAGATCGTCGTCCACTTGGTCCAAACGCAGCTGCAACGGGCTCTCCGAAACGTCCGCAAAGGACATAGCATGCAGCCGTCTCCGCTTGCGACCTGAACGAGGCGCACATCCCAGTGCGCATCGCCGTTCTGCATACTCCAGCAGCCGCTGCGAGCGATTCCGAAGGCCGAACGAGTGTGCGGTACCCGACTGTATCGCAAAACGAACGTTAGCAAGAACAACGGCCCGACATGAAACGGTTAAACGTACAGCAACGAACTCGGCGTTGAGAATCTCGACGCCCGAGCCATCGTGCCCGTTGCCCCAACCAGAACTCAGCAGCGAGCTCCCGTCGTTTTCGAGCTCAGCATCTTCGTCTGATGCAGCGTCCTTCTTGCGCAACGCCTGGCCGAGTCCGCCCACGAACCGTGCCTCCCTCGTGAGCCGCACCTCCAGGCGCAAGTCCTTGCCCTCGCGCCGCGCACGACGCGCAGCGCTCCAAGACACCCACCCCGCGTGCAGCGCACACAGAAAGAGGTCCGAGTCGTCCGTGTATACGCGCCGACCGTCCCGAATCTCCTGCTGCTCTGGCCTGCCGTAACCCGGCAGTCCGCCACTGAACTGCTGCACGAGCTGCCGCTGCGCGGCAGTGAGCGGGGGAACGGCGGGGATGAGGCTACCGCCCCATATGCGCGGGCGTACGGGACGCGTGAGCGGGATAAAGCGTGAGGGGATGAAGAGTGTCGCGCGTATGTCGATGGGGTCGGACGGTGCGCCAGTTTCGGCGACGGGTCCCGGGAAGTCGACGAACGGGAAGGGCGTACGAGGGTAGATAAAGGTCCCGAGATGACGTATTGGGAGGATGAGCGTAGGTGGCGGTGTCGCTGAACGAGGGAACACAAATGATGCTGCTATGGGAGGTGCGGAGCCAGGATGGAAGGGCGGTGGTGAGAGGCGGCGTGGAGGGTACCCCAGTGGGCCTCCAGGCCCGTACATGTCCGCGGGGTGTTGGCGGAGATGGGGTCCAGGCCCCAGCTGATGTAAGTGTTGGGGATGGTGACCCATAAGGTGCGGTGGGGGCTGGTGCTGTGGTGGTGGTGGGATAACCTGCGAGAGAGCCGACGGGCCGGTGGCCTTGGACGAGCCTTGTCGGAACTGAGGATCGCGGTCTTGAGGAAACTGTGGAGGCATGTCGCCAGGCCCAGGAATGTGAATGAGACCTTGGGGCGTCATTGCTCCCTGCTTGCTCGACGATCTGGCATGGCCTTGCGGTTGGGGACTTGAGTAGGCTTGATTCGGCGGATAGGCATTGTGGTGGGCATGAAGATGGGAGTTGGACGGTGGGCCCTGGGGCGGTCCTTGTGGCTCGCGGGCTCGGCCGCGCATAGCTTCAATCTCCCGCCTCTCGCGCTCCATAATCTGGTATTGGACCTCCTTTTCCATCGCAAGTTGGTGCTCGCGCTCAAGTGCCTTCTCCTTCTCGCGCCTCTCCGCGTCTACCTTCTCGCGCTCGCGCTCCTTTTCACGTTGGCCAGCATTTACCTTACTTCGACGTTCTTCCCTCTGCGTCGCCTTCACACGCTCCCTCTCCTCCCTCTCCTTCGGATTCGACCGCGACTTGCTGCTGCGTGTGGGTGCCCGCTCGACCTTCTCTGCCTCCCACTCCAGGTCTTGCATCCGTGCATCCTCGTACAGTGGTCTCCTCTCCACCGACCGCTCGTGCTCCCTAACGATCCGCCCATCCTCCATCGAAGGGCCCCTCGGCTGCACGAACCGCGACCAGACCTCTCCTGGAGGCGGGCCCATCGTTTGCATCGGTGGCTGCGGCTGGAGCTGGACGCGCATATTTGGATGGCCGAGGCCCTGCGTTTGCGCCTGCTGACCCTTCATGTACTCACGTTCGCGGCCCTCCCGCTCAATGACACTGCCGAGTGTCATCATCTCCTGGGCCTGACGCCTGAACACCTCCTCCCTCTGCGCCTCGCTCTCCCGCTCTCTCTCCCGTTGCACCTCCCGCATTCGCTGCTCTTCACGTTCTCGTTGCGCGTGCCGCTCCATCCGGTCGCGTTCGCGCTCGCGCTCCTTCATCCGCTCTCTCTGAATCTCCCGCTCCCGGTCTCTTTCCCGTTGATCGCGCTCGCGACGAGCTGAGCCAGGCGACTCTTGCATACTCGCACCGCTGTCTCGTCTCTCCCGTTCGCGCTCCATCGCTCGCTCCATGCCCCTCTCGCGGTCGCGGTCCTTCGCCATAGCGCTGGGATGGAGTCCAGGACCAAGTAACTGCGTCACGCCATCCTGAGAGCGGCCGTGCGCTATAGCGCTGGAGACGATTGATCCCAATGCGGACCCCGGAGGCATGCCTGCTCCAGGGGGTCCACGGGGTCTGCCGCCCGTACTCGGCCCGGGCTCCCGCTCCCGCTCACGAGGGTCGCGCTCGTCGAACGCCGGGCGCTGGAGACTTGCCATGACGGGGGAGGCGGTGTTACTCGGTCTGTGGTTGTGGTCGAACACGCCGCCCGGACCAGGAGGACCAGAGCTGCTGGTGCTACTGCCGCGGACACGGTGCTGCCGTTCCTGATGGGAAAGCGAGCTGCTGCTGTGACTATGCATGATCTGGTGGGAATGGTGGGGTGGAGGGGGGCCTTGGTTTTGGTGAGACATGCCGTATGGATTCGGCTCGCCCATGCGCAAACCCATGGATGCGGATTGACCAGGTGGACCAGAGGCCCCATGTGGCCCAGGAGGCGCATGCATTGGGTGGCCGCTGGGTGGAATACCCGGACCTACTTGCGTCGGGAACAGCGGGATACTGCCGGGGCCAGGACCGTGAATGTGATGGCTGAGGGGGGGAGAGGAGTGTAGTGAAGAGCGTCCGGAGGGCGGGTGCATGTAACCCGACGATGACGTGGTCGGCAGTGGTTGTGCATGATGGTGATGGTGGTGGTGGGAGAGGGACTTGGGTGGAATAGAGCTTGAGTGAGAGCTCGAGTTTCGGTGCTCAACGACGTATGGTTGTGCTTGTACAGGCTGACTCTGTTGACCTGGCGTATCTGACATGAGTACACGAATGCAAGGAGCTGCGGCGCAGACGAATCAAGACAAACAAGACATAGGCCAGAAATCTAGAAGGCGTCAAGCATGTGATCGTATCCTCGGAAGAGCCGAGACCGAAGTAGTCTAACCCGAGTCGAAGCCCGCCAGGTAACACGCGAACTCCTGCACTTCGGCACAAGCAGTGCAAAACAACCGCTTCGGACCGCGCCGATAGAGAGGCAAAAGACATTGCATAGTGACGCTTGCATGACGCGATACAACATACGGGCAACTGAAGAGGCGAGCACCCGCATTCGCAGTCGGGGGAGATACGGGAGCAGTAAAGTCGTCTTTAAGGCCGAAATCAACGTGCGGATGGACGCGACATCAAATCAAACGCCTTTGTCCGTGCAGAAGCGGCGAATAACGGCGCCCGCATGCCCTTCCTGTGCGCCAAGACCACTTTAGGAGCAGGACTGATGCCCACTGCGCACCCCCGCCCCGTCATCGTCTGCACGACTACAACGCCAACAAGAACAAGACGCGAAAGTGAAACCAAGAGAGAATGCTACTCACCAGGTGGGCCTAAGCGATCGTGCGAGTGGGCATGCACGTCCGGATTCCCCCTCCTTCCCTGCTGATGACTCAACTCATATGGCTCCGCGGAGTAGAGGCTTGATGGCGGGGGCAAATGATGGCGCTGCTGCGGCTGGCCGGGGTAGTCGGATGCAAGAGAGTACTGGTGACGCGGAGGTGAGGGCGGGCGCGAAGCGTATTGCGGAGGTGGCGATCGGCGGTACTGGAGCGGCGGGGGCTGCTGAGCATGGTGGGGAGCGTCGAGCGACGGTCGGTCGCGTTCTCGGTCGCGGTCGCGAGGCCGCTCGAGGGGCGGGGAGTGATGAGGTGGACGGTGGGAATGGGGCTGTTGCTGAGGTGGGGGAGGTGGCCTAGGGTCCGGCTCCTGGCGGGGCTGCCGTTGTCGAGGGTCGTCGTTGGGGTCGTTGGGGTGGACGAGGGCGGCGACGTTCATGGTGGGAGGAGGAGGAAGTGGGGGAAGGGAAGAGGGCGAAGGTGAGAAATTGGCAGTCGTCCATTGAAAACGCGGTCGCTGATCACAGGGGTAATCGAGATCGTTATCTCGCAACGCCTATTACCTCATATGTCCTTCTTCGCTGTCTCCTCCGCCCTCCTCGCTTGCCGCTTCCTTTAGCGCAACTGAGCGTTGCTTTACGCCTTGCTGCGTATACTTGTAGGCCATACACTGGAACCTTGTCGAGCAGCAGCGCTCACAAGGTACAGAGCGAGCTTGAAGCGGAGTTTGCATCCGGGGTGGACCCGGGAAGTAGGATGCAGTGCCACGCGACAGCTACAGACTTCGATCATTGCTCCGGGATCTGAGATTCTCGCCTCCGGATTTAGCCGCCAGCCTTCCCCGTTCTGCGCCACCGACCCTCAGCGCTGAGCGTCCCAAACTATCATATGTTTAGCCGACTCACTACATAACAACGACTGTCCCCTGGTTATCTTATGACTGGTGCAATGTATTGGGAATAGAGTTGAATAGAATCAGGATGCTCAACGCTCATTTGGAGACTTCTAAGAGGCGATATTTGGGTGCCCTTCGGGCACGAGTATGAGCACAAGACCAACTCCACAGATAAAGCCTGGAAACGATGCATATTCCGTCCTACATTATCCTATAGCGAAAGGCGCATGCTCGAGCCTCCGAATTCAGCAATATGTTGGTCCAAACCCATCCCAGCCACACAAACTTGTAGATATTCCAACGTCCAACTTGGAGGGACCAATCCTCGCTGGGCGTAATGAACGCCGATACGATCGATCGAGTGTGTTGCCGCCACCCCAAGGTTGAGAACCAGAAGATCGGCGCGAGGGTGGTTCTACAAAGCTGCCTTTCGCCCAAGCATGAGCACGAAGACATAGCAAAGCTTTCTAGCAGCCGATGGGCGGCGTTTAGACCCACGATGACTGTGGCAGCGCGAGCGCAAAAAGGCGCAAAACGAAGGGATGGTGGTCAGGAACGAGGCGGGATGAGGACGGAAGCGCCGACGAGACCGCGTCCGATCGTGGCATCCCCGATCCGGCGGCCCGTTTCAACGCGGAGTTGAGCGCCTAATGTTCATCTTGGTGGTGGCAACATTGCAGACAAAACATAGTCAAACCGCCACTTTCGTCATGCCATGATCAAGAACTCGACCTTGCGTACTAGATATCGTACTGTATGATAGCACCTTCAGAACATACCGAGCAAAACTCTGTGTAAATACATGCGAAATGCGATGGCTCCGCGGCCCGTGGAAATATCATGATGTCCTCAAGCCGCTGTCTGTCTGTCCGTCGCCCAACGATTACAGCCTCGACCTTCCCGCCACGCTTCGTTCACTGCATCGAAGAAGCTCCGGACACACCGACTCTAATGCTTACTCGTTCGGAATGTGCGCGTTAATCTCCTCGAGGAGCTCTTCGGCGATTTTCGCACTCGAAACCTAAACATCGACATCTTTTGTCAGTCAAAGCAACACGGAAGGAAGATTAAGCGCAACTTACCCTCAAGTTGTAATGCGTGGTCGCCGCGCCGTTGATGACGCTAAAGCGGATGTATCGCGGATCTTGCGCCGGGAAGCACCGCATGCCCTTGAAGAGCGTCGCGTTCAGCAGCACCGTGTACACTGCTTCCTTGCGCATCACTGCACAAGCACAAAAAAAGTCAATAAAGCTGGCTACTGATGAAGAAGGAATAGCTCACCAAGACGCGCACCGCCGCCATCTTCTCGCCGCACGTTGAGCCGGAGAGTGCCCGTGCCCTTCTCCTTCCACTGGTTCTGCGGGCTCAGCGTAAACAGCTTCCCGCGGACTTGGTACACCGTATCCTCTTCCTCCTCTCCGGTGTGTACTGGACGCCACATGAGCCACATGATAGGCAACAACGGGTGTATGGATAACACATACCTTCCTGCTCCGTGAGGTTGAGCTTCTTCTCGTCGTCGCTCGCCTCGTTCGAATCCTTGTCCTTCGCCTCCCGCAAGCGCTCGCCGAAGCTCACTCCACTGTCCTTCTCGCTGTCGTCATCCTTCCCTGTGTCCTCGGCGGCACTTTCCGCCAAAGCACCCGTGTTTGAGCTCTCACCTAGCGCGGGTGTGCTCGACCCCGACCTGCGCTTGTTCGACGCAGCACCGAAGCCATACGTGCCGCCCGTAGCGTACGCCGAGAACGCATTCGACGCTCGGGCGGGGGTACCGTGGCGCGACGGCGAGCGGCTGCGTCCAAGGACGCTGGAGCTGCTCGAGGGCGGTGGGGGCGACTTCGGCCGCTTCGCCGCGCTTGCAAAGGGAGATGTCGCGGACGCGAACGCCTCGAAGCCGGTGCGCTTCTGCGGGGAAGAGGAAGAGGAAGACGCTGCCGAATCGGTGTCCTTGACAGTTGCGGCGAAGGGCGAAGCGCTGGAGGATGCGAAGGGGGACGTAGACTGAGTGGCGGAGGCTGCCCAAGGAGAGGGAGATGACTGCTTTGAGCCGAATACTTTGGGGCCGTTCACGGATGCGAACGGGGAGCTCGTAGAGGCGTATGCCATAAAGCCGCCCTGATGCCGCGAGAATTCAGCGTACAGCGACTCATCATGGGCCTGTGAACTCACAAATCTCTGAGCAGACGGTGCCGCAACGGGCGCTGCCGCCTTTGGTTCCTTCTTCTCGTCCTCCTCTGGTGGGGGAGTTGGACGCTTCTTCTCTCGGGTATTTGGGTCCGCTTCGTTGTCGTCCCGAAGACGTTTCGTCGCAGTTACGGGTGGCGTACCGCTGCGACTGGGGGCCTTCTCTCCCGGCAGGAGCCGTTCGCTCACAGTCCTATCTCCTAGTTTGCGCTTCAGACCCTTCTCCTGATCCGAGTCCGAGCCTCGTCGTTGGGGTGGGAGACGCGGAGACAGCTCCGGCTGGGTATCCGTCGGCGTAACCGAAGCAGCTTGAGAGCCGGATGCTTGCAGTGTGGACGGTTCGGGTGCTCCGGGCACATGCGACCCTGCGGGGAACTCCGCACCTGCCGCCGCACCGGAATCCTCGTCCCCGGCCATGTCGTTAAGAATGGGAGGATTCTCGCCCTGGAGGAGCGGAGGCACTTGCACGTCATCTTGCGCGTCCGTCTTCACGTCTTCGACCGGCGTCTCTTCCTGCTCTGCGGTCGGCTCCACAGCATCTTCTACCGTCGCGTCCTCATCGGGCGGGGTAACGGCAGTGTCTTCCTCCATCTGGAGCTCGCTCTCGGGTGGAGAGTCCTTCTTCATGTTCTGCCATGTGATGTCTTCAACACCTTGGCTAATCTGTCGGATCTTCGTCTCATGTGGGGGTGAGCCGCTTAGAGCGGTCTCCTCTTCAGTCTCTTCTTCGGTCGCTTCGAGTGCACCTGCGCTCGTCCTGTTCTTCTTCGCAGGTACCCGATGATCTTTGCGTTCGGGGACGCTCCCGGCTTCAACATCCTAAGGGGTGTGTGTGATTAGTACAGCGCGAACAACGTTCCGAGATGTACGGAGGCAAGATGGGTCGGCATGACAAGCGCAATAGTATGCAACGATATAGGCATCGTACAGCGTGCGAATATGGTGAAGTTGCAGCTGAGCCACTGCGTGGCTTGTATATCTGTGACCTGCCCAAATTGGCCGCCCGCGCGGCCACATGAGGGGCCAAGGTCGTGCAGGCTACCAGACCCACTCGATGCTACGCCGAGTAGACACACAAAGAGCGATTGCTATGGGTCACCAGGCAAAGGTCGCGAGAATGAAGGGCGATCCATAGAACGAGGCCAGCGGGGTAGAAAGTCTAAACATGAGAACAGGGTACGTACCACGGTTGTGACCAGAGGTGTCGCCGGTTCCAAAGAAACCTCCCGCTCGCGTTTCCTCGATATCTTCGAGTCTGCTCCTGTGCAAATCTAGACAACTTTCTCTGACGCTGTGGGGACAAATGTGCTCACCGTTCAAATCCCCGGGAGGGGTAGATAACTGCGTTTGCTCTGGGAGCTGATTGCCTTGAAGCGAGACGTCGGGCTGGCCTCCGTCGCGCGCATGCTCGACTTCGGTCATTGCGTGTGTGTCGTGGTCGTCGATGGTGATGTGGTGTAAGCGGAAGAGGTGTGTGGTGCGAGTGCGTGAGGTTTCCGTTCAAACCAGTTCAGGGACAGAAGCAGGCAGGCAGGCTCCCAAGCCACTGCGGGCGTCTCTTTCAAGCGCACGATGCGATAAGATCCCAGCGGCAGGGGGGCTCCCTTTCGGGGTTTCAACTCGTAAAATCCGGGGTAAGCACGTTCCTTACCGGCCCTATCTCGATCGGGGTTTCGCAGTTCAACCCCTTGTTTCCTCCGTTCATGCCACTCTGCTCGTTATTGTTTTGCATTGTTCGTCTTGTCCCGGGACTGGCAATATTGTCTCGTAGCAACACTGGTGCTTGCGATAGCGACGGCTCTCAGGGAAGTTTATATCTGGGGCTGTGGACTAACTCTGCCGTTCAGTAGTGCCGAGATGCGCTCAGCCTTGCCGATGCTACATGCTTCCGCGCCGAACCCGGGCAGCTCATCGGCACGTAGGCACGCAGCGGGCAGCGGGTATAGGGCGCGGAGATGTCTTCGCGGCGATTGCGACGCGACCTTCCATGGTTGCCGGACCGATCTGTTCGCTACAGCATCCCGCATGCCATGCAGAGTCGGCACGCGGAAGAAGTCGGCGTCCTCGGAGGAATACCGAGCAAGTATGTGCAGCCTCAGTTTCTTCAAAATCAATCTCGATTGACTCAGAGCAGATCTCAGGCATAGTGTCCATTTATGACATATCGTACGGCCCATAAGCTCTCCGGAACTACCTGTGGCTACCGTCCCAACATCGACAGGTCATTTGAGAAATGTGACCCCATCGGCAGTGGTTGACTAAACGGAGCGCACCAGAACTGCACTCCATATGGCCTCTAATCCATAAACATGACAATCCAACATTCATCACGTAGATCTGCAAGACCACAGACGCATCGGCTTTCAGGTGTGCGCCGACTTGACGTCGGGTGCCGTACGGCGGTGTCGAACCACTACTTGACCACTACACCTTCCTGGTTCGAAGGCAAATAGGCACTCTCAATCACGACTCAAAGGTGTCCGCCTGTGACCTTCGTAACATATCCACAAGCTCGTGTTTTGGTCAGTGTACGTATACGTAGGCACTCTTTTCAACTATAACCTAGCGCTATTGCATGCTAATTGTGTGGGTGAATCTCCAAAATCTCTTGCATGTATCGCCGGTTGGGATTCACGTTCCGGATGCCCACTGGAGGTATCGGAGCGCCCATGTCAAGCTCGACGCGCCTCATTACTCAAACCGTGTCAAGCAATCGAATCATCGGTGATGCATTGATAGCGAGTTGCGACAGGTCCGCACAGCGCTGTACGTCCGGCCCATCACGGCTGCGGAGAGGGAGTCCACCTCCCTCGGGCCTCGCGTGCGGACCAGCGTAGACATCCACGGTCCCACATCGACCAGGGCCCTCGGATATGTTTGTAAAGCACCCGAAGACCTCTCCTACTCCGTGAAACCTTGGATTGCTTCCGGCTGGGGACTGTGCTCCATGAGCGCGGTACAGTGTTGCAAGATGTATAAAAGCACAGGAAGTCCCAACACGGTGCCCCATTCAGTATCCTCATACAAGAGGATCCTCAGAGCCTATCTTCCGCCCTCGAGCATATACACTTCGTGCTATGACTAGCCCGTCTACTACCGTCTCCGCCAGCGATCCTGGCGCTGGTGTAACTGCCCACCTCTACGACGATGGGTCTCACAGATCGGCGGTTTTTCCGGTGAGTACGGTCAGCCTCTCCTGTGATGCCACGCTGATCGCCGCCTTTCTTAAAGTTCCTATCAGCCAATGCTGGGCCCCCTCCATACGACGAGACCTCTTCCGCCACTGGCTTACGCAACGTTTACGGGGAGTTTGATCGCGACTTAGTTGCCATGTATCCACTCGCCAAAGCTACGTCCGGCGCACGATTGGATGCCTACCTTTGGGATGCTGCCTTCGGCAGCGCACCCGGAGTTCAGCCGCGGGTTCAAGCGGTGAACGGTATCAATCTGTACTCAAAGAAAGATACTATCACCGGTAAGTTGTATAAAATAGTGGGCGTAGCGCCTCTCCGTGTTGACAATAATTGAACGCTACAGGCTCCTACTCTATCGATCCCGCCATATCAAATACGCATTCCCTGAACGATCCCGACGCGAAAGCCGCTGAACGTGAATACGCGCATGAAGCGGGGCGGGCCGAAAACGGCTGGAGCTGGGACTGGGGCCTAAAGCAGGTCGGGTTCAAAAGCTACAACGCTTGCGTTCAGGACACGTCAAGGCAAGATCGCGCTAAACATATCTGTCGTCACTACTGTAGATGTGGCTACGCAGCTGCAAAGCGTTAAGACACCTGCCTTCGTCTCGGTGTCGAGCCGTCACGCGGACATTGTGGTGAACGTGGTATGTCCAGTCAATATACCGCTCAACCTGCATCGTCTCACGAAATCGCAGATAGAGGTCCAGCCTGGCAGAAGCTTACAACTCGACGTTGGCACTCGAACCGGTATGTAAAACATATCAATGGATCTGGTATCTTATCTTAACGGGTATCAGGCAACATTCTGGTTCTGCTCCCTGCCTCGTTCACAGGATGCATAGTCTTCCACAGCGGCGACCTCGACAACTACCACACCATGTTACTACCCAACCTCGCTCCGCTTTCGACTGTGGTGCAGAAGACGGACCGTGAAACTACCGTTTCCGTCAACGGGCCGTCACAGGTACAAGATGGAAGCAGGCTACAAGCCAAGGATCAGGACTGTTGCGTTATTAGCACGCGTACAGGACGTGTCGCGGTAGGGCTTAGCGGCGTCGACCAAACCGATCCCAATATCCTCTGGCAAGAAAGCCCGCTACGACGTCTCGGGAAGACGATCGAGGTTGGGCTATTGGGGGGAGCGTATCTATCTTCTTGACCGATGGGCTATGGACTTAATATATGGACTTCAAGTTTCTGCAATATATCCCTATGCCCGCCACTTGTCCAACCTACTTACCAGAAACGGGCTCTTCACGGACGCGGTCACAATTAACAGGCAGTTGCAATAAATACGTATGTACATCCAGAGCTAATGGAGTGTATTCGACAGCAAATTATAGGATCCTGCGACGCGGCGGACGAAGCAGCACTAGTACTAAACAACAATGAGGACCATCAGGGACCCATCCCTCCATCCATTCGTGCGGGCCCCGCGACGGCAGCGCACGTCTATATATTCCCGAAAGAACCTCACTCTTCGTCCTCGAACCGCAGAATCTGCGCGTCTTCGTCGACGGGCAGATGTCGGTATCCGCCGCGCCCGCGTAATTGCACGACGGTAGACCCGACCTTCTCGGCGACCCACTCGTACGCGATTCCCGCAACGCCCAGGAGGAACCATGGCACGCTCGCGATCGTATCCAAAACGCTCGAGTCGCCTGAGTACCGAGGCCCGGTCTCTCCACCCGGGAGGCGAATTGCTCTGCAGATGGAACGATGGTGAGCAAGCGGCACTGCGCCGGTGAAGTGTGATACGCACCCTCTGTGGTACCCTCCTTTGCGGTAGTACCAGAAACCAACGAGCCCGGCGAACGAGACGGGAATCAAGATCATCATGAACCAGAAGAATGCCCCGTGGCCCCGAACGCCAGGACAGGGGTGCGACGGGCCGCGATCGAGACGCTTCCCGCCCTCGCACGACGATATCGGGACCTTGCGATACGGCGTGAGGTCGTACCAGTAGTCCGCGCCGTTGCGGCACTGGCCGTTCGCGTCCGGGTCTCGGGGTTTCTGTCCAGGGATAGGGACACATTCTCCGGCGTCGGTGCGTACGTGGTTGAATTCACTAGAGGAACTACATGAGCGTACTGAAACGGGCTAAACCCGAGAGGGGGGCTCACCATTCGAAGTCGATCGCGCTACACTGGCAGTTTTTCACGATCTTCTCTGTTACTTTCTGCTGGTCACCAACGACACAGTTCACATTGCGCTTGCGACGGTGATAGAGTGTCTGGAAGCGTTTCAGCATGCGAGTGTTACAAGCCCCTGACCACTGTACGCACCTGTCTGCCGAACAAGCACTGCTCCTCCCGTTCCTCGCTAGGACTCCATAACTCGAAGTCATCTTGGCTCGGGTTTTCCGGGTCAAGGCGGCCTATTTTCATACAGGAGTCAGCAACTTAACCGGCCGCAAATGAACCAGAAACCCTTACATTTCTGCTGAGTCAAGGCAGAGAAGTCAAGGTGTATCGCAACTGCAGTGTTCTTTGCTCGCGGGTAGTAGCCCATCAGGATGAAGCGCCTGCTAGTGTCCTCTGGCACGGTCACGATTGCCTTCACGCGGACCGGTTCGTCCGAGAACTTGTAATCGTGCCAGCTCGAGCCCTCGTCCGTGCTGTACATGACGTGGTCGGTTGGGCCTTCGTCGTTCGCCATGACGAGGATGGAGCCCGAGTCGCCGAACTCCCAGAGATGCGCATCCTTGTGAACCTCCTCCCAAGTGAAGCCAGCGTCGCGACTGAGGAATGTGTCACTATCCTCATAGCGCTCCAAGGATTCTCCGACGTTGCCAACGGCCATGAGAAGTCCAGGGACTGAGGGCGTACTGAAGGTAGCCCGAACGTCGTAGCGCTCAGTGTATCCGTGAATGTGCAGGGAACATTTCTGTTTGGATTAGCTATACGTGAGCTCGACGCCATGTCGGCAGGCAAAAAAACTTACGGTGGTGCTGCAAGGATACTGGCTACCGTGAGAATCGACCGAGGGCGGCGGGATAAGACGCCAGCTGCCACCTATAAGGAGTCAGTCTAGCCAGATGGGGCAGTATCATGGCGCCGTACCATCGTTGTGCGTAATTTTGCTCTGCAGCAGCTTGCGGCCGGTCAAAGGCGCTTCTCTTGGATTTGAGACAACATTGACAAGCGCAATGCCGTCGAGGTTGATCATCTTTTCAAAATCGACGAAGCCATCCTCGTTACGGTTAACATTGTCCAGGGACAAACCGAAGTAGGTGCCGTTAGAGTTCGACTTCAAAATATTGCCCCAGTACGGCGCTGGAGGCTCAGACGTCGTCACATGGAGGAAGACGGACTTCGTGCTAGATTCCAGGATCGTGTACGCCTGTCCGAAAGTGTCAGTAAGAACCTACGTTCAAGCGTCAAAGCTTACGTGTTGGTCAGGCCTCATAGTGGGAGGGAACTCGCCCGATGCGAAGGTTCGCCCGTCGAGAGATACCTGGATGTCCAACGACTGCCTTGCTGATTGGTACTGCCGAATAGGTTCGTCAGTCTCGCTACAAGTGTGACCAGCTCAGCTATCTCACTTCGGCGACAATCAAATACTCGGAGAACTTCGCGAACCCAACGACGTGGTCGAAGAGCTTGGTCTGCGAGTCGTAGAACTGGGTGCCAGCGATGAGCTGCAGGGGGTTCTCCAGCCGGAAGAGGTGCTGGTTTCCCTGCTTCTCCTTGTATGACTCGCAAAGTATCTGGTTGGGGTCGACAAGGAGCTCGGAGTCGCGTGCCCACGCGCAGTTCCGGACGTAGGTGTCGATTAGCGACCACTCCCGCCCATTCTTGAGCGAATACCGCGCCTCCATGTGGCAGTTCTCCGCGAAACCCTCGCAGCCGTCCTCACCCGTCCAGATGAGGTACTCAGAATTGCCCGGATGGAAGTGGAGGACGGGTAGACCGAATCGGTTAGGCACTGTCGGGGACGTAAACGGGAACCATGTCTTTCCAAAGTCCGTGGTGTAGTAGTGTTTGCGGGAGCTGGTGATGAGGTAGGCGCGGTCATCGGTGAATTTGTGGTGGTAGAACGCCACAAACGCCTCGCCAGGATGGAGTTGGTTCCAGGTATAGCCTTCGTTCGGTGACTGCCAGATTGAGTTGTCTTGGAGCCTAACCAAGATGACCTTGAAGGGGAGATGAGACAGTTATATCACTTATGCAGTGTATGCTGATACGCACCGTGGATGACCGGAAGTATGCGAATTGCACCACAGGACTTGGGAAATCGGACTAGTACGCATGGTCAGTAAAGTTCCGTGTGAGGTGTAGATGCTTGCGTATGTACTCACAGTTTGATGTATGATTTGACCGTCGGCTGGTTTAGCTGTAAAGTCTATCAGTATCAACTCGAAGGTACCCTATTCGCCGTCTTACCATTTGAGCAAGATTTCGTTACGCGGTCATCCAATTTGAGTCCACGATCTCTATCGCAGGTGTTGCCGGGAATCTTGCGGAAACCTGACGAGCCCTGATATGTGTCTGTAGGCTCCACGCATACCCCAGCCGGAATGGGCTCGGGCCCGACGGGAATACATTCATCATTGTGTTGGACGAAATTGTAGTCGCTGTGTGGGTTCAGTATCACTATACACGCCCAATACAACAGGTGCTTACCACTCGTAGTCCTCTTTGGTACAAGGGCAAGACGACTCCTCTGGAACAGGATCGCGGAACTTCTCTCCCACGAAGCAGTCAGCGTCCGGTCGTCGGCGTCTGTACGTTTGCTATTATAAAATTGGTCAGCACAACAAACAGTACCTTCGCGCTGTAGACTCATACCTTGTGGCCCATGAGGCACTCGTGCGTGGACGATCGCGCAGTCCACTGCTCAAAGTCCCTGTCATCGCACTTGCGCCTATCCAAGGTTGCGAAATCCAGGAAGACCACCGCGAAGCGACCGCCGTTGTCCTTCTGATCTTTCTTCGCGACCTGACCAACGAGCAGGAATTTCTGGGAGGTCGAGTCTCCGACGGTCGTCAGGATACGAGCACGGAGACGGGTCTTGAAGTTGTGTGTTTTCCTGAACAACCGCTTCACTTAAAAACTCTAGAGACAAGGTTTGCGATGAGGCACACGCACCATGTTTTCCCGAAGTCGGTAGAATAGTTGACAGAATCCACTCCTTCCTCGTCGTTGACAGTGACGAGGATGCTGCCCTGGTCGCCGAACTCGTACTTTTGGGCATCCTGTCGCACCATCTGCCAATTGATGCCTCCGTCACTGCTCAAGAATGTGTCACATTCTTCGTACGGCAGGAGGTGATTGCCTATCGAGCCAACGCCCATCACGAAGCCGGGGGCGGGCGAAGAGAAGACTCGCCCAAAGTTGTGCGGAAGCGTGACTGAATGCAGGTGCAAGGAGCAGTCCACGTTGTCTGGGCTACAGGTGATCCTATTACCGTCGAGGTCCTTCGTCGGGGGCTTAAGTCGGGACCATGTCCGGCCTGTATGTATAATTATCAGTAGAGGCAAACTTCATGCGCAAAATTGAAACTCGCCGTCGTCAAACGTGATCCGAGTTTGTAGTTGCTTAGGTGCACGCCTTCCCTCGACGTCTTTCGCGTTTGCCACGATGTTCGCGAGGCCCACACCTTCAATGCCATAGATGTTCTCGAAGTCCACGTAACCCATGTCATTGCGGTTCGTGTCCTGCAGACTCTCGACGAAGAACGTTCCGTTGGAGTTGCTCACGAAGAGCGTCCCAATAGAGCTCTGGTCGTGGGAAAGCACGTCAACTGCGAGAGAGTGTGTCGTGGACTCCACGATGGTATACGCGTTCTCGCGCAGCCGCGCCGACGACGAATGCGGGAAGCGTCCCTGCGCCCAGTTCTTGGTGTCCTCGGTTACGTACAGCAGCATGTCGCCCGTTGAGCCTTCGGAAAGATCCTTCAGCGCCACGACTGCGAACTTGGACACGATTGCGAATGCAACGACGCCCCGCGCGTTCTTCCCTATGCCAAGGTCCTCCGTCTTCTTCTCCGTTTCGAAGAAGTCCGTGGAGGAGAAAAGACGGCTGGAAGATAGGGTGTGCACACCTCCAGTGGGTCCCGACCCCTCGAATGCAACGCAATATACTAGGTCGAGGTGAGCCTCGTGCTTGAAGTCCTCACTGCTGTGTGCGAATTGGCATCGAGAGACGTCCGCAAGCAATAGCTTGGAGTCTCCGACAAAGCCGTCCGTGGTGTAATAAGCCTTAGGAAAAGACCATCAGTGTCCGCCATCCATCTGCTCAAACAGCGCCGGTGCCGCCTGTCATTGACAGAGTACCGCTCCCCGCAGGGCGTAGCTCGTACTGCGCGCGACTCGCACGGACGCACCTCGTCGTAGCAAGATGTGTGCCAGCCAGACCCAGTGCACGCCGTCCCTTGGTAGATGATGTACTCCAGTCTCTGTTTGTCTGCGTGGAACGAGAGCGGTCGCCCGACCATAGCAGGGGGGAGAGGCATGTCGAAGGACTGCCATGTCTGGCCGCGGTTCGCCGTCTTATAGTGCGTTTTGCCCCGAGACAATATGAAAGCCTAGCATAGTCGTAGACTGAGTTAAGTGGAACACCGGCGCGAATGACGCGTCGCCCAACACTCACCACTCTGTTGTCATACGGGTGCTCGATGACCATGGCCGCCTTCCCATCCGGAACGCCCTCCGCAGGCTTCCATGATTTGCCTTCGTCTGGAGAGACATAGACAACTCCCTTCACAACGTCGTGGTAGATGGCGTTCTGGCGGTAGCCGAGTTAGCACACGCGTTTACCCCGGACCGCATGGCACACGTACAGTACTGTCATCAAAGAAGAAGAGCCTTGCCGGGAGGTTTTCGAAGGGCGTGACTGACGACTCCGGCTGGGCGAAGGTGGCAACGAAGAAACAGGCTATAGTCCAGAGAAGTAGGGTGGCCCTGTGGTGGGGGGCCATGGTGAAGGTGTTGCTCACTGCGGAGCACAGCGGCGAGCGGTGTGTGGCAGCGGTGGCTGAGTGTAACGTGGAGGCTTCTAACGCGTGCGACTGGTGATAGGCTCGACTTCAAAGAGCTTCTAACGTTTTCAACAAAACGTGATATGACGGGAATAGCTTTGACTATAAATAGTCATCTGGTCCGCATAGAAGTTCTAATACCATTTTAGATATGGATCTAGTACGGCGCCTGTCCTAGCACAGACTAAATCTATGAGCGTACTTATGCTGGGCAGCTCTACAGTAAATGGTAGTACCCCCGTCACTTATGTATGCAGCTATATAGCAGACCAGCGTGTAGATTTCAAGGCCCAACATCAATTGAAACACTCACGAAGGAAATGTCAATGCATACGTCGGGGCGCACCGTCAAGCTTTCAAGGCCATGGTGTCTCGATATCTATATGCGACCGCTTGACAAAACGTTCGCGGCCCGACTCCCCGACCCCGTACGGCGATATTTGGGCTATGTCGGTACCTAGTAGAGTCGTACGTGAGGGTAATGAATTCTTATACCCGACGCAGGCGGTCATATACGTGCACCAGGAATGCGAGCACGACGGCAACCCCATGGACGCATGTCATGAAGCCGTCGTGATGTCACCGGTACCGTCAGTAGCGGTCCTAGAGTGTACACATCTTCAAATCATGCTGCGGTATCCTTACTAACGTGGCATCGATATTCAAGAGGATGTCTCATAATGCCAGTGCCGCTGCGACGCGTCCACCACTTGATCGGGGATAGCGGTACGCTATTGCGTCTTGCGGTATATAAAGAACGGAGTCAAGGACAAATTGAACGGACTTACTTTCTCGGTTTGCCCAGTATCAGCACTATACACCGGCCCAACACCACCAGTACACCCATGTCTCCTTCACTAGCAGGGAAAGTCGCGATCGTGACCGGATCCTCTCGTTCTATCGGCGCCGCCACCGCGACGCACCTTGCCTCGCTCGGCGCGAATGTGGTCATCAACTACGTCTCGAGTGCCTCCGCGGCCCAGGCTGTTGCCGACGCGATAAACAAGCAGGGTGCCGGGAAGGCTATCATCGTCAAGGCCGACGCCGGTTCCATCGCCGACAACAAGCATCTCGTGGACGAGACACTGAAGACGTTCGGTCGGCTTGATATCGTGGTCCTCAATGCGGGGTTGATGGACAACCAGAAGCTGGAGGACGTGACGGAGGAGGCCTTCGCTAAGCAATTCGACACGAATGTCAAGGGTCCACTGTTCCTCGTTCAGGCCGCGGCGAAGCACATGTCCACAGGTAAGCATCGTCGTCCCTTCGCCGACCAGCAGACGTTGAACTGATCGGTGACGGTCTATAGGGGGCAGGGTCATCTTCTTCTCTACCTCATTGACGCAGGCATCGGGTGTGCCGCCCAACTACCTCGTCTATGCATCGACGAAGGGAGCCGTCGAGCAGCTCACGCGCGTGCTCGCGAAGGATCTGGGTACGCGCGGTATCACTGTGAACACGGTCGCACCAGGCCCTATCGACACCGACATGTTCCGCGCCGGGAAGACTGAGCAACAGATCAACTTCTTTGCCGGCATGCATCCCGAGAAGCGCTTGGGCACTACGGACGAGGTCGGGAACGTCGTAGCGTTCCTGGCTAGCGAAGAAGCAAGCTGGGTGAACGGCCAAACGCTTATGGTGAACGGGGTAAGTGTTTTGATACGTTATGATCCGGACAACCACTCACAATTGTGCTTCTGTAGGGGTTCGCCGTATGATGGGCAGAGGCGGACAGTATGGGACGTTATCAATTGTGTGGCGCTTGTACGAATATCAGTCGAACTCGATGAGACTTGAACCTTGATTCCTGGACCTTGCGCGGTGATTGAGGTCTGAATTATGCAAAGGCACATAGCACAACAAGACAAAGTCATGCGACACGGTATTGATACAGATAGCAAGTACATAGCGGCAGCGTAGTGTAGGGGGAGCGAGCGCAGAAGTCCGAGACCAAAGTTCTAGTCGATAACGCCAAGATGGTCCTCTTTGATCGTGCCAATAGCGAACTGTTGAAGGCGGAAGTACCAAGTTCCAGCGTCAGCGTCAACCCTCTCACACCTTGAATCAGAGGGAAGGCAGAGAAGACTGCACGTACGATCTCTGTGGCGTCGACACGCGTTCCAACGATTTTTAGGCGGACTCTTGTGTTCTTCTCGATGATCTGGAGGCGCGTCGTAGAGAGCTGACGCGTGCATATGACCAGTACTGACCTGCTCTTCCGACGCGAAGGAAGGCGGATTCGAATTTGGGTCGAATTTCATGTCGGGATGGATTAGCTACACATGGGCGAACCAGGGATATTGCCGTCAACAAGACGAACAAGAATGCTAGGGCTGTAGCGGGAACAATACTCACCTGGTGCGACACGAACACGGTCAAAGGGCCAACGTCCGCAAAGAAGCCCATCTACCCGGCGCGCCTCGTTTGCACCCATCCACAGCAACATTGGTCATATATACGCACCTTGGTAACGTTGTTCACGACACCGTCTACGACCTGCCCCTTGAACGGCTTGAACACGATCGCGCGGTAGCGGGTTACGAACTCCGCCTGCCCACTGCCCGCAAGCACCATTCCCTTGCCAATGTCCAGGATAGAGACGACGGCAATGATATAGCCAAATTCTCCAGAGCAGGTGCCCTCAACGTCCGAGTAGAGCTTGGACTCGAGGAAGTTCAGCATTCGCGGACCGAAGTAGGACGGGTGGAGGAGAATTGTGTGCGAGAGCTCTTTCTGCGAGCGGTGAGAAGAATCATATATGCATTGCATCAATGTGTATTCTTACAATGAAGAACATGGCGGCAGTGAGCGAGCTAACGGGCTATTGGGCACCGAGGAGAACGAGGTCAAGAGGAGAGGATGCCTCCGGGCCTAGGCAGCGAGCGTCTTTGAGCGCGGCAAGAGCTATCGCACTTGCCATGCTGTGCAAACCATATTTGTGCCCATTACCAAAAAGTGGCAATGGCCGACTAGCTCAGTTGGTTAGAGCGTGGTGCTAATAACGCCAAGGTCGTCGGTTCGATCCCGGCGTTGGCCAGCCTTTTGATGCATCATATTAAGCTGTCTGTTCACAAGTAGACACGTCTTCATCCGCTTTTTCCACCGACGACGGATCCTTAGGCTTTTGGCCAGGTCACTACAGTTTATTCGAAGCGGAGATAATCACGGCGCAAGTAGCAGCTCTGAACGAATCAGCCTCGCCTCTCGTTACACAGAATCTGAGTCGGAAGCCCCCAGTTCGGTATACCGGTACACTTCTCTAACACGCGGTGCCGCCCTTCGCGGGACCCTCTGCGTGTATGGTGGGGGTTCTCCATCCTCCGCGCTCCCGTCCATGTGGACCGTATCGCCCTGAAGCACGGATACACCAGGCGGGTGGCTCGTTCTGACGCCCACCTCCAGGTCTTGGTTGCAATTGTGTGCATCAAGCCTCACGTCTCCCGACGGCTGCAGGGCGGGGAGTGGGTCGGCATTCATAGGCTCCATTGACGCTGGCGCGAATGGATCCCTAGAGAAAGGGACGCCCGCCGTCCCAGCGTATGTCGCGGCCTGTGGCTCCTGAGTGCGATTGACCGTATGCGAGGCCCGGGGTTGCGCAAGGGCGGGTACTGAGGGTATATCGATTGGATGCATGGTCTGCAACTCGGGCACGGAGGTGCGCGCGAGAAGAAGCGTGGGCTGGGTGTGGAAGGCAGCCATTTGCATGGAATCAGCCGTGGAGAACCCGCCTTCCGCGTAATTTGTGTCCTGCTGCCCTGGGATCGGCAAACCAATGACAGGTAGGCGTGCGGCACGACGTTCGCGCCGTTTCTTCAACCAGCAGCAGAAGGCTATCCCGCCGATGCAGTGCAGAACAATTACGACCACAACGACGACAATGATGATCGTCGTTGTCGTAGACACCACACTGGAAGCATTGTCGACGTCCATTTGAGCGTGAAGCCGTAACCTTCAGAAGTGTCTGCGTCGCTGCTTGGCTGAAGCGATGTCAATGTGAGCTATATGTAACCACTGCAAGCACCATGGTACGTACGCGAGTATGACAAGCAATTGTAGGAAACCTGTGACCGAACTAGCCAGCAGTTTGCGGTCTTGAGCAAGAAGGGATGGCTGCACTGAGTGAGGAAGGGCAGGCGTGGGGTAGGAGCAGTAAGGACGAGTTTCGTGATCGGGCGGTAGACTTGTCGTCTGAGGGGAGTACGTCGGATGAGGACGATGGTAGATAAAGAGACAATGCTGCGCACTGTCGGTGCAATGACTGCCGTGGTATCCATCTGCGACGTAGAAGGCGCTAACTTGTACCAGGGACAGGCAAGTAGCCTTCCCCTCTGCAAATACGGGCATCAATGTGGATAGCGGTCGTCACGCCCTCCCCATCTGCCAAATACGAGCACCAAGCTCCGGTCGATGGCAGAGCATGCAGCGCGCGCTGCAGTGCACGACGACACGCCAAGAACTCAAGATAAATACCCATCGGAAAGGTCCATGCATAGCAGTTGGCGCCGCCACCATCAACGTACCAGTACATACTGGCACCTGCATGAGGCGGTGCAATATAAGGTCACTGCATTAAGCCAATGTAAGTAACGTCACTGCATGATCAAAAGGAGCATCGTCACCGCTTGAGCAAAGGCCAGCCACTTGTCGCTCTTGACGAATTTCCCGACAGCCAGAGAAGGGGCAAAGGCTGCGTACAAAGATTGGGAGTTCAAAATGCTTCGGAAGATCAGATCGCTGGTAAATGCGTATGGGTACGAACTGGAATTAGAGCGGGGGGGAGGAGTTCATACTACAGCTTTAAGTAAGACTGGAGGGCTCATACACTGTACGTGCTAGTGCGAGTGTCGGAGGCGTATCAGTTGCATCTGCTAGAGCTCGTCACGCAGAAGTCGACTCCTTCGCCGCCTTCAACGCGTGGCCGTGGAAGAAGTATGCCACCGGGAGGTTCCATTCGCGTATTGCAAACCAAATTTGCGCGCCATATGCGAACCAGAATGCACCGAATGCGGCGCCGCCGAGATGGGCGTAATGGTCAAACATCCTGCGGTGATTGCGTTAGAATCCGCTTGGTGGAGTGGAACTAAACAAAATAATGTGCTCACTTCCAGCCACGTAGCACACCGAGGATATCGAGAGCAATGATGGCGGTGAAGCCGGTTTGTATGTTGATCGGGAACCATGGAGGGATGATGAGCGTGATCTCCGCGTCGGGGAAGCCCAACGCAGTGATGGCAAACATAGCATATATCGCCCCTGACGAGCCAAGAGAGTACTGGCCATCGGTTGTTGCCTTCTTCGCGGATACGAGCGCAGCCTCTGACGCCGCCGATGCGCCCGCGGAAGCTGACGAGCCGGAATGCAGAACGGCTGGCGAGGGTGCTGCGGCTTTAAGCCTGGCGATCATCCTGGGGTAGTTCCAGCGCGCATACGCCACATGCGAGACCAGACCCGCGAAGAGACCCGCTGCAATACAGGTGAGTCCATGGTCAAAAATAAGAGACATATAAGGCGGACCTGAGATAAACAGCGCGAGCAAATGCCACTTAGGCGAGGGCTCTGATAGAATGCCGCGCTCCTGCTCGACCTTCTTGGTCAACAACATCAACTGCTGACCCGCCGCTGAGCCTATGTAGCTAAGTCAGTGCTGCATGAAATGCATAATGCATCTGGTGCATACCAAAGCTTGCGAGAGCCAGGCAGTTAAACGCCAAGTGGAAGAAGCCTTCGTGGCTAACAAACGTGCTCGTCGGTCAATATTACTTATACCAAAATATCGTGTAGGCTTACCTGAACGTGCTCGTGAGCAGCGTATACGAACGACCTGATAGCGGATTATGCGTGAAGCTTCGCATCATGAACGCGCCCCAGCGTGGCACACGCCATGCGAGGAAGACGGCGCAGTTCACCGCGCCGATAGCCCAGCACATGCGCTTGCCTTCGGACGCATTCAGGATCGGTTGGAAGACCTGTATGTATGACCAGGAGACCATCGCCTTGATGGTTTCGGGAAGTTGCTCCATGTTGGTCTTGAGACTGACGAGGCCGTTTTGTAGTCGCTGAAGGGCGATGTTCGAATAAGTACACTTGTGTGAGCCGGCTCGGCACGTACCCGCCCAAATGCATAATACTTGGCTCGTGCCAGCTCCTCTGAGGTAGGCGGTCGATCCTTCTTCAGTCCAGCCTTCGGTGTAGAGGCAATGTATGCCCACCACTTGAACAGCTCGTAGTTTGTCAAGTGTGCACCCACAGCCAGAGTACCAACTGTGCCCGCGACGACGAACTAGACGCATACATCTGTATTTAGAGATTCCAACTAAGCGATTGTCTGGTTGCTCACCAGAACTTGGTTTCGTATAGGCACATTGCGTACTGCGTCGGTAAACGATGGAAGTTTCTTCGCTTTCGCGACCTCCTCCCGAAACACTGGAGCCTTGGGTACACCTTCAGCGAGCACGCGCGGTAGCCGTCGTCCAGGGGTGAATGAAAAGGAGCGTTGTGGAGGACGACATGGGAGCGTCCAGAGTCTGGATGAGCGTAAGGTCCAAAGCATTGCCGGGCGCGTTGGCTGCAGAAGCGCGCGTCCGCTGAGCTTGTGCTTCTTGCCTCCTGCCTCCTCCACGCCTGCCGACGGGCGACGCACTCTCTGCCGTGGCCCAAAATACAACGAGAAAACGCACCATGTTCTTCTACATCTCCTTCCTGCGGCCCCCGGCGACCCAGTCATTTCCGTCGGGTTCAATAGCCATCACACCGCAAGTTGCGAACGACCTGCGAACAGAGCCTTTTGACGGCGCGCAAGACATCTACTACTCGTGGTCACTCGCCGACCCCAACCGCGCGGATCCATATCCAAGTGTTACAACTCCCCAAAAGTTGACAGTTTGGCGGCAGAACAGCGCGTACAAGGAGATCCCAGTTCCGCTGCCCCAGGGTGTACGAGACGGACAGTCGTACAGGCTCGTACTCACTGCACATGGTCAGGGAAGACCGCACATCATCAACCTTGCCGCACACGACCTCGGAGCCAGGCCCTTTCCCGTGTTGTCTATGCCAATACTGCTCAGTTCGCGAGGGCGAACGGTGGAGAAGCAGGAGCAGATTGAACGAGTGTACCGGGTCCCATTGCAGACCGGTGAAAATAGATTTTTGACCGTGCGAGAGCAGACATCGTTTGACTTGGACAAGGTACGCTGCGATATCGCGTACCCTGAAACTGTTCACGAATTGTGTAGAGCTTCCCTCCAGAAAATATGGGACAGCGGCATCGGACTTAGTTCATGGCTCGTTCAACTAGCACAAAACCCCCCTGCAGCTGGTGGAGAGCACGATCTGGTGTCGCGTGCGCGCGACGCCCTCATGTCTCCGGAGAGCCGTAAGATCCTTGAGCTCGGTATGATCCATTTCTTACTTCGCCTGCTCGAGGTCCTTATTGTGCACTAGGGGCCGGCACGGGAATTGTTTCCCTGACTCTCGGTGCTCTACGTTCGGGAACGTCGAAGGACAACGGCGGGTGTATTCTTACCAGTGACCTCGGTGCGTCTTCGTGACCCTGTCTATACACCATCCTAACGAATCATAGATTCGGCGATGCCGCTCCTTGCTCACAATATTTCGGGTAACGGAGGGTCATTTGAAGCAAAACACACGCGACCCTGCCCTTTGGTCCTGGACTGGGACAACGAAGAGCTTCCAGAGGAGGTGTGCGCCGTCGACTCCGGTTTCGATGTGCTCATCATGGCAGACGTGACGTACAACGTGGCCTCCTTCCCCTCATTGGTCCGGACGCTATCCTCTCTCATCCGGTTGAGTCCACCGTCCAATCCCCCGATGATTATATTGGGTTATAAGCAGCGCGACTCCGCTGAAAGAAGTTTATGGGACCTGGCCAAGGAAATCGGGGTAGCGTTCGAACAGGTTGGGGACAGAGTCGGCGCTGGAGGCCAGCCGATAGAGATTTGGATCGGACGACAAGAGCCGGATGCCTGAAGAATAGCTGCTATCTGTACTAGGTGTGTTCACAGCTGACGTAGCGCTCGGTGTTTTTGACGATGATTCTCCTCATGCTGTAGCTTAGAATCCATCTTCGCCGCTGGCACGGTCATAGTACTCCTTTCCGCAGACGATTTCCGATCCCGGCGAAAGCTCGCCGCTTATCGCGTTGTGTACGTTCGATGACACCATCAAGGCGCGTGGGAGACTGTACGACTATACATAGGCGGGTCAGATCAAACTTGCGAGACCAACTCGAAACATCCACCCCCACCTACGGGATGGCTATATGCGATGGTGCGGCTCTTACTCCTCTGCCGGGCTCCTGCATACGTGACTATTGGGCGTCAGCCATCCCGTTCGGATTCCTCATCCTTGTACCGCCACTTCGCGTAGTGGCCAAGCATCTTCGTCCTAAAAGCTATCTGACACTAGAAGAGGCCGAGGCCCTCATTCCTGCGGAGGACGACGTAGGCGAGGACGCTGCTGCTGCTGCTGCTCCCCTCTGGCGCACTCTCCTTTTGTCCACAGTGTCACTTCTACAGTATTCAGCATGGATCGCTGCTGCAACTTACACCATAGCCGTCAGTCCTGCAGATATCTGGAACAGCGTGTCTCATTTTCTGATGGCGACAACCTGGCTCTACGCCGGCCTTCGACCTATCGTGAAGCCGCTCATCTCCTTTCCCTATGACCTCCTGGTTCTCTTTTGCTTGCACCTGACCTGCTCGACTGCTGTGTTCGTTGGCTACCTATACGACAGCTATGTTCTCGCTGTCTCCCTGGAGCCGCTTACGGTAGCCACGAACGCGTTGAATATATTCGCCGTCACGGGGGTCCTGGCAGTAGTCATGAACATGCCGCTGGCTGTCCCTAGCAAGCGGATCAGGAAAGAAGACATCGTAGGTCTATCATGCACTGTCAGTCATCTGTTGAGCTTACCGTTGCATTCAAGGGGAAAACAGTCTCTCCCGAATACTACACTACTGCGTGGGGCTGGGCATCTTTCCGCTGGATGCTCCCTTTGCTCGAGCGCGGTTTGTCCAAGACGTTGAACGAAGAAGACGTGTGGTCGATCAGCCCGCTCCAACAAGCTCGCCCACTGTACATCCTCTTTTCGCGATCCACAGGCACGCTGCTGCGGAAACTCTGGAATTTGCACTACATAGAGCTCTTCCTGGACATCGTGCTGACGTGTCTCAGCGTCATATTCAGCTACGCGGGGCCCGTCTTCCTGAAGCTCATTTTGGACGCACTCGCACAGCCGGGGAAGACACGGGAGCAAAGGGCGCTTGCGTTTGTGTATGCACTACTCGCATTTGCGTGCAAGTTGTTGCAGGTATGTGTACATCGTTTTTATTGGTAGCTCGAAGCCCTGACGCCGTGCAGGGGCAAGTAGAGGTGCAGCGCCTATGGATCAGTCGTCGTGCTTCCGGACGGGTCCGTTCTGAGCTCATGGCTGCGATCTACGACAAAGCTCTCAAGCGCAAGGATATCTCCGGGACCATCCAACGCAAACATTCGGACCCCAATGCTGATCGGCGCGATACCGGGGATACCAAGTCGAGTGCGGATGTCGGGAAGATTGTCAACCTCATGGCCGGCGATGCCAGTCGCATCTCTGGAATCGTCAACTACATGTACTTCATATATCAATGTGAGTGACACTGCCACTTCACGGGTACATGAAAGCTGATCATGCATACAGGCCCGTTCGAAATCCTTCTTGCGACTCTGTTCCTGTACCGGTATGACCCTTGAGATTCTACGCGTACACATGTGCTGACCTGCCAAAAGACTCTTGGGATCAGCTGCATTTGCGAGCGTCTTCATCGTAATGCTGACCACGCCTCTCAACCGAATCATCAGCAAAAGATCAATACGCGTGCAGAAGGGTCTTTCTACGGCGCGCGACAGCCGAATGAGCGTTGTGAACGAGCTCATAAGTGCTGTATGACATACAGCTTTCATTCCATCACCATTTCACTCATCGTCATGTATGCATCAGGTCAAGTTTATCAAGTTCTTTGCATGGGAGGATCGTTGGATCAAACGCGTCTCGGATACGCGCAGGGTCGAGCTGCAATGGCTAGTCAAGGGTGTGTCTTCAACGCCGGTGGCCATGACAAAACTCACTCATTGGTCCCGTCAGAGCGCATCAACTCGCTACTCTTCTCGTTCATCTGGGCGAGCGTCCCAATTCTAGTCTCCGTGTCAACTTTCTTGGTGTTCGTTTGGCAAGGAAACGAGCTCACGATAGGTACTGCTTTCACTGTATGTCCTCCTTTTCATTAACATCGATTTGTACTAACAAGTGAATTCGTTTAGGCCATCGCACTTTTCCAGATGCTCCGTGAACCGTTCAACGGCATTTCGACATGGTTTGTCCAGATATTCCAGGTAGGCTCGCATGTACATGCAGTACACTGACGTTGACAAGCTAATGATCGCGTCTATAGTCCAAGGTTGCGCTTCAGCGCATAGCGGCTTACCTTGATGAAGAGGAGGTGAACGAGCAGGTATCCTCTTTGAAGAAGGGGCATGTTCCCCCATCTGAAGACGCGGAGGGCGGCTTCGGGATCATCCACGGCACCTTTATATGGAACGCGACGAAGGGTCGGGCCGATAGTCGCGAGAGCGCTGACCAGTCAAGCAACTTCCACCGCGACAACGCAGACGATCGCCAGTTTCAACTACAGGATATTGATGTCATGTTCCCCGAGGGCCAACTTTCTGTCGTCACTGGGCCAACCGCCAGCGGGAAGACCGCGTTACTGATGGCGCTCCTAGGCGAGCTGACGACGCTGAAAGGGCGCATCGTCATGTCGAAAAACGCTTCCAAGATTGACGAGTACGGGCTGGCGCATACAATCTCTTACGCATCCCAGACCCCGTGGTTGCGTCACGAGTCGATCAGGAATAACATCCTGTTCGGGTTCCCATACGATGAAGAACGGTACAATGCGGTCTTAGAATGCTGCGCGCTCAGGCCAGATCTAGAGATCCTAGAAGATGGTGATGCGACGGAAATCGGCGCACGGTTCGTTGTCTACTACATGATTCACCCGGAAGTCCAAGGATACTCACCTATAGCTTGCCAGAGGAGTAAATTTGTCTGGAGGTCAGAAGGCACGGTGCGCACTTTCAGCTCCTTCCCTATACACGTTACTGAGTGGATATATCTAGTGTGGCTCTCGCCCGCGCGGTATATGCTGTCAGTCACAGATCTTCACGGATCCAAAGTTCAAGCTGACTCCAGTGGCCATAGCCGACGAAGTATGTACTCCTCGACGACCCGTTGAGCGCAGTGGTATGTGCACGCAAAAATGCTCAACTCTGTCCGATCGTTGATCACTTATGTCCGTGCCGCTCTCAGGATAGCCACACTGCTCGCTTCTTGTACGAGAGGCTGCTCCGGGGATCGTTACTCGCGAATCGTACAGTCGTGAGTGATATCGTGAAGGTTACCTCGAGGCACGGAAACTGATTGGCCAGTTCAGATCTTCGTCACACACCACGTCGAGCTGGTGTTATCGGGAGCATACTACATCGTTCGCATGGCCGATGGTCGCATTGATGTACAAGGCGAGGTGACAAAACTTCGCGCGAGTGGCGCGCTCGAGGACATCGCCCAAGGGGAAGAGGATGCCGCGCTCGAGGACGAGCACGACGTTGCGGAGACAACCCCTCTGGACACTGAAGAAAGTCTTGAGGTGGCGCAGAAGGGTAAGAAGCCTCGGAAGCTGGTAGAGGAAGAACATCGTGCGGCCGGCCGTGTGAAGTGGCCTATCTACAAAGTCTACCTCGTGGCCTCGTGGGTACCTCGTTCTGATTTGACTAGTCTTCTGGCTGATATATGCATAGCTCGTACTGGACGTGGGCAATTCTGGTGGTTCTCCTCCTCTTGACTCAACTCCTGGCTGTAGGCCAGAAATTTTGGATCAAGGTGGGTTTCTGTTGCGATAATCACTGCGGTTTTCGCGGTGTCTCACTCAACGCAGGTCTGGGGTGAAGCGTATGGAGATGCGTCAGGTGGATCGATCAATTCAGCGAATATCTTCTGGACACCTGTCGAGCAGCAATACCCCTTGGACACATCCAACCATAGCGCGGTAACTGAGATCGTCACGACCACCCTGCCGTCCGCCCAGTCGAATCCGTACTTCTATGTCGGCGTATATGCTGCAATCGCGCTGTCGACCATCCTCGTCAACGCTATTGGAGTGGCAGTGCAATACACTGGTGCTCTTCGGGCTTCCAAAATACTATTCGACAGGCTGTTGCGCGCCGTCGTGCGGGCAACGATGAGGTGGCATGATACTACACCTCAGGGACGTATGCTGAATCGCTTCAGCAAGGTAAGAGTGATCCGAATCGTCGTATCAATGAGATTGCTAACCTAAGCTTTAACCTAGGACATTGAAACGGTCGATCTCTCTCTTGCCGGCAGCCTACAGTCCGTCAACCAGTCGTTGGCGCTGATCACAATATCTACGCTCACAATCATGTATGTCCTCGCCTCCCTCGTCGGTCCGTGGAACCGACAGTAACCTTAATCCAATTCCGCGCAGTGCCATCTTCCCGCTCTTCGTCATCCCTGCAGCGATCATCGGTCTCATATTCACCCGTACCACCGTTGCATACCTCAGCACCAGCCGGGACATCCAGCGCATGGAGTCCAACACCCGCAGCCCGATCTTCTCGAACTTCAGCGAGTTGCTCGACGGCATCGTGACCGTCCGCGCGTTCGGCGCGGAGCAGCGCTTCCTCGACGACATGTACAGGCAGATCGACCTCACCACGCGGATGTGGTACACGTTCTGGATGCTGAACCGCTGGGTCGCCCTCACGTTTGGTACGCTCGGTGCGATCGGCACTCTGGCAACGACTATCTTCGTTCTGGCGGGCTATGTGGATGCCGGCTTGGCCGGCGTTTGTATCACGTCGGCGATGTCGTTCTCGGGCAACGCATACTGGGTCTGTCGCAACTGGACCTCTTTGGAGCAGGATCTGAAGTACGCATTATCGTTGATATCTTGCGAAACACTACTGATAAGTGCTCCTTAGTTCTGTAGAACGTGTGGTGGAGTACCTACAGCTGCCTCAGGAACCGCCGGCGGTAATAGAGTCCAAGCGGCCGCCCGCATACTGGCCGTCGTCTACCAGTGGGAACAAGGACAACCTGCTAGTCGTTGAGGGCCTGGTCATCCGATATGCGCCCACACTACCCGAGGTGCTTCACGGTGTCTCGTTCTCACTCAAAGCAGGCGAGCGGGTAGGGCTGTTGGGGAGGACTGGCAGCGGGAAGTCGACGCTCGCTATGAGTCTTTTGCGCTTTGTAAGTGCCACCTCTGGGATAAAAGGGTTATAGGCTGAACACATACTCTACTAGGTTGACCCTGCCAGCGGCCGCATCATCATAGACGGTATCGATATCACCACGATCGGTGTACAGGACTTGCGGTCTCGCACTGTGAGTGGTTCTCTTACTGCAGGCTGATTTCCTGAATGATGTTCATCTACCTCCGTAGACGTTTATTCCCCAGGTATGCATTGCAATCGTCCAGACTTCGTTCCTAGCTTCATCGTTTGACAGGATGCTGTGCTGTTCTCCGGCACAATCCGTGATAACCTTGACCCCTTCAGTATGTCGGCTTAGATTCACCCTTCTCTGGAGACCTGCGCTCATTTATACACGCAGGCGAACATACCGACAGCGAATGTCTGGATGTGTTGTACCGCGTCCAGCTACTGAGAGATCGGCAAGAGGAGGAGCGCACTGCGACTCCCAGCGCTTCTACCCCGGACTCACATTCGGAACGCGAGGGCCAGGCGGCACTCACGCTGGACACCGAAGTCTCCCCCGGCGGTACGAACTTCTCCCAAGGTCAACGGCAGCTCATTGCCATGGCGCGGGCGCTCCTTCGGCGCAGCTCGATCATCATCCTCGACGAGGCCACGAGCAGCATCGATTTTGCCACCGACGCGAAGATTCAGACGGCTATCCGCCAGGAGTTCGGAAACTCGCTGCTGCTGACCGGTGAGTTCAGTATCCAAAAACAAGCGTGGAAATTTATTAACAGCAAATACTCTCAAACAGTCGCTCATAGGTTGCGTACAATCATCGACTACGATCGGCTGATTGTGCTAGACGAGGGCAGGATCGTCGAGTTCGATACCCCTCTCAACCTCTTGCAGAAGGCGGGCGGTGTCTTCAGGACGATGTGTCTCAAGAGTGGGACGTATGCTGAGCTCGAGGCGGCTGCTAAGAGCGCCGATCAAGTCAAAAAGTAAAATGGTAAGTTCGTTGATATAGTGGAAGTCATTTCACCATGCTTAAATCGTTCCAGCAGATTTTCGAGATTTTGCGCCCGTATCTTCACAATCGGACACTACAGGTGGACATTACAGGACATTATTTCCATATTTATAGTACCCTCGAACTTTTATCTGACAGCCAGACCCGGATACACGACAGGACGTTGGACTTGGACTCGATATATTCTTTGATAAAGCTGTGTAACCTCTGCCTCGTTGAAATGGACTGATATACTTGTTTTGTTGTTCGCACTCCAGCATCGTGGGCCACCGGCAGAGACTCTTGGTCCGCCTAAAGGACGCGCCGTTGACTCGGAAGAGGAAGCGTCCTCCTGTGTGTGCCTGTCACGACCGCTGAGGGTATCGATCGTGCCCCGACACGCTAGACGGTAGCTGACTTCTTGTGCTCCTAGGCGACTTGGAAGCCCAAGCGGCGCAACGTCGCTTCTTCCCCCGAAAGCCTATAAATCAAGATGCCTGCCTCCCCTCAGGTCGCTGTGCATTCGCCCTGCCGAGTCCTCCTCACCTCTGCGACCTCTCCTGCGGGCTACACGACTACCATGTTCGTCCGCAGCAGATGGTCCGCTCTCTTCGCCGCCCTCGTTATCACCACCACTCCCGCATCCGCCGACTTCCATATCCTCAACGGAACGAACGGCGGAGACGGGTACGCCGCGAAGGCCGTCCCCTCGAACCACTACTCGTGCCTAGGGTGGTTGGGCGCCCCAGTCATCGGCGGCTTCCCCGACATCGACTCATCCGTGGCCGTCTTCTCCGTCAAGAACCTCTGTGGCACGCCGCAGCTCAACTTCTACAACAACGGGCACGGGTTCGATGTGTATATCAACGACGGGGATGGGTCGTCAAGAGTCGGAACGTGCAGTCCAACGGTGGGCGCTGCCAGTGGCTCCATCAACGGTGGCTCGGCCTGCCCGGATGGTTATGCGGTGTTCGACGGTTATACATGCATGTCGTACGTTTGCGATTGATCAGCGAAGTGAGTAGCCCCTCTATATACGACCGTCTTGATTTGCGTTCTGACGTTCACCCCGTGTACTTTCTCTTATCAGAGTCCTTGACGGTTAACGGTGGGGTACTAGGGTCTCTTCAAAATCAACATGAACCGGATCATCTATACATCTTGCTACACGATATGCGGTCGGCGGGCCTGCAGGGGACGTTTGGTATACTTAAGCGCAATTGGGCTAAGATAGGAGGATACCATCGCCATCTATCGCAAGAACGCCTCACTCAGGCTGCACCTCACTTAGGCTGGGGACAACGATGCTTTTGACGATGAAGCCCCGAAGACTCGGCACACGCATCGCAGTTGCGTCGTCTGGAAACAACATAATTGGCAAATCCTACACTCTACAAAACATGTCCCCCTGTCAGAGCCCCTCAGTCCAGGTCTGGGAGCGACCCCTGCTTGAACATCCACTCGTATGGTGCTGTGCTGACGGGCGTCATTGTGGCCGATGCCGCCGGAGTACTAGTCGACGAGAAGGTGGTCGTCGCTGAGGAGCTGATCGAGTCCGAGTCCGAGTCCTCGGCGTACGGGTTGTAGACCTTCACTTCGAACGCAGAGGAAGCGGTAGCAGATGCACTAGTAGTCGACTCAGTGACAGTCGAGCTCGCGCTAGATGGCGCCGACGACGACGTTGTGGAGGCGGTGTCAGAAGACGTGTCGGAGGAGGTCAAAGTCTCTGTCGCTTCGGAAGAAGCCGCTGAGGAGGTTGTCATGACCGCAGTGGCGGTATCAGACATAGCAGTCGAGGTAGCCGTCCCAGAGACAGAAGCTGTAGACGACGCCAGCTCGGTACTCGAAACTGGTACCGCAGCCTTGTCTTGAGCCACAGGGGCGGCTGGGGGGACCTCGGGGGAGACGGGACTGAACATCAGGGTGACATTCCGGGCGTTCGAGGAAATGTCGGCTGCGAAAGTCTTGAACGACGCCATGCGAGTCGGGGGTCGTGTCGCGTCGCCATACTGCTCCTCCAGCGCCTCTTGTTGAAAGCTCGTGACGTTCACAACCTTGCTGCTGGTAGGGGTGGTCGGATCGACCGTTGTCGAGTTACTAGTACCGCCTAGATCATCGTCAGACCCGTCGCCATCGGACGGATCGTCTGTAGGGACCGTCGAGCTATCGGAGTCATCTTCGGCGGCGCTATCCTGACCCTCATACCACATCGGCCGAATGGCGCCCGAACCGGGTTCGTATGCAAAGACTTGACTCTTATGTTCGTCGGTAGAAGAGCCGTCCGTACATGCCTCTACCGTCATCGGAGCCGGGGCGGCGGGGCGGGGATCGAAGGTCGTGCAGTATGAGCGAAGCTGCGCGGTCTGCGGGTCGAACATAGCCATCTGCAGCGCCACCTTGATGAATGTCGGCGGCGAGGTGGGTGGAGACGAAGCGGGATCGGCCGAGAGTGCATCGACGTCGGAGGCTGGTAAGGGGACCAGGTACAACTGGGTGCTGTTTGTATCTGACGCGTTGAGCACGAAAGTTGCACTCGTCGAGTTGTCGCCAGTGGTCCCATTACCCGGTGCAGCAAGGACGAGAGACGCAATCCTTTGAGCCACATCCGAATTAGGCCCCGGACTCTGCAAATCGCGCATGAGCATTGAGTACAACAATAGTGGGAGGCACTCACCATGATATCAATGGACCCGGGAACACCATTCATCGTCCCGCCATCGCGTCGCAGATTCAGGTTCACATTGACCATGTCTTTGGGCGAGTCTTGTTGAGCCGACGCATGATGAACGTGGTACACGTGTCCTCCGTTCCCGGAAATGAGGATAGGCTGGTAGCCCCAGTAGCTCCTTCGGTGGACATTGACGTGGTCGTGATCGCCTTCGACCACCACCTTGTCGTGGTGGCGATCATGGCTATGGGGCTGGGGCACAGGCGCGGGGGAACGACCGACGTGGACGTGCTGGTTATCCCCTTTGACTACTACCGTGTGGTGGTGACGACGGTGAGGGGCAGGAGAGCGGCGATGGACCTTGACATGGTCGTTGTCACCCTTCACAACGACGGTGTCATGATCATGATGGTCGTGGTGGTGGTGGGGTGCAGGTTCCGGAGACCGATGGAAGTGGACGGAGTCGTGGTCTCCCTTGACCATAACTTCATCGTGGTGAGCACCGTGGTGGTGGGGTGACGGTGAACGGTGGACATGGACGTGGTCGTCATCGCCCTTCACAACTACACGGTCGTGATCGTCGTGGTTGTCGTTGTCGTGGACGTGGACGTGATCGTTGTGGCCCTCTACAAGAATGCGGTCATGGTCGTCGTGGGGAGCTCTGGCAACCCTGGCCTGAGTGACCGACCGACGGTGAACGTCGACATGGTCGTGGTCGCCGTCTACGATGACCTTCTCGTGATCGTGGTGATCATCATCGTGGTGGTGATGCCTCTTGTCGAGGTGCGCGGGCATGCCATCCCGGCCGCCCATCCAAAACCGCTCCATGCGAGAAACGGGGTCGATAGGGTTCCAAACCGCTCGCTGTAAGATTATCAATATAGGCCGCATTGCGAAATAAAAACACGTACCCTGGATTCCGAATGCTTCGGCTCCTTCGTGCCCGAATGTCCCCCATCACTGCCACCAGCCTTCTTCGTAGAAGACGCCTTCTGTGCGCTCTTCTGTGCCATCCGAGCAGGCAAAGGAACGACCGGCTTCGGGTGCCGCTGAGGTGTGTCCGCCGCATTCTTTGTCGATGCTACCATCTTCGACGACGACGCCTTCAAGTCTGACGTAGACGAGTCAGAGTGCTTGGTGCTTTCTGCCTTCTTCCCAGATTTCCCATGAGAAGCGGAATGACGAGCGGCGATGGGCTGGCTAGGCTCGTCCTGATACCGAACTTGGATGGCAGCCGCGTCGGCAGGCGTCGGAAGAAGCGAGATCGCCGCGATGGACGACAGGGTAGCAAGGAGGGTGAAATGAGAGGTGAGGACGACCATGTTGAGCTATGTGTTTCGACGGGAAGCGGACTATATGCGCGCTGCGTAGTGTGTGAGAGGTAAGGTGTGTACGACACAGTCGTAGAGCGAAAGCGAGGAAAGCGACGAGAGCAAAACCGCCTGGGTTTGGAGAGCGAAAATGGGGGTGGGGGGGAAGAAGAGGAATGGTTGAAACCGAACCGCGGCGCGGTTTATATACCCCCCCACTCCTGTCACCCTCAGCGGTCCCGAGTGAAAGAGGCTGACGACTATGTCCATTTCGGGTAACTCACCTTCCATTTTCGGATTTGCGTGCATACCCTGGTCGCCTGCGAGGCTGCGACATCATCAGCGAAACCGCTCGGCACTCGTGCGCACTCGGGAGCGCTTGGGAGCGCTCCCAAACGACGCGATCGCTCCCATTCCGAGGGCATGGTGTAGGAGGTTTCGCCCTGTCTCGGCAAACCCCCGGGAGCGCTCCCAAACCCCCCGAGCACTCGCGCCCCTTGCGGGCGATCGTGCTATTTGCAAGTACTCCTATGTACTCCTGCGTGCTTGCAGCAATATACATTTTAAAAAAGAAATGATATTCCCATTCGACCATTCCCGAAACAGGCGGGGACAACATCCACGATGAAAGCAAACATGAGTATGTGATTGTGGCGTACTACATAATACAGGATGCAGGCCGTATCGGACTAGATATAATACGAATAGAGAACACTGACCTCGCGAGGGAAGGGGCAGCGCACGCTCGAATGCCACGCGATCCGGAAGCATGCTTGCAGACTCGGGACTATGAGCAAGCACTGGGGGCGGCGCAATTAGTATATAGAAATATCTCAGGGACGTCGTAAACTTACGTGGATCAACGGTTACGCATACTGAGCAGGCTATGGAGCGTATTAACTCGCAGTTCCGCCAGTCAGAATATAAGTAATGACGTACCGAAGTTCCTGATCATAGAGCAGCGTCGTTGTTACCGGTCCGCCGCGCATATAGCCTGTTTGTCGCAAGTTAGCTGAGGTGAAGGGCGAGACACGGGACTTAGGAAGTGATACTCACGTACCATGCAACTGGATATGGGGTAGTGTAAGCGTTGGCTTACCCGCATATAGTCACCTTGTACATATGTTAATGCCAGATTTGAAGCAACCAAAGAAGCAGACGCACCCGGAGTCGACCAGGCGATGAGGGACACGGCGTCGACGAGTGAACTTGAATGAAGTTGCACGAGAGATTTGACTAAGGCGACCCAGCTGAGGACAGACGAGGCAAGTCCGGAGCGCAAGCGATGGAGGGGGTAAGAGGAAGAGGGGCAATGAGGGAAGGACAGCCCGGCGGGAGGCTTATGTAGCAGTCGAAATGGAAGACGGGGCGGGATATGAATAACTGACATCTTGGTGTCTCAAAAAGGTCCTCTGGCGGCTGGATTTGGATATTGCTGGTGTTCGCTCGTGGAGGTGATGTCTGAAGGGGTGAAGGAGGACCCTCGAAACCC